CACACTTGCTTGAAGCTGAAAGAGCACTTGCCGTTCTGGATCAATCTCATCAGGCAGAATTGACAGCTGTGCAGCACCAGCTCCTGTCCAATGTTGGGCACTGAAACCCAGTGAAGTCGCAAAGTTGAATCTCTTCTAGTTTGCTGCTCTCGATGGAATTTTCTAAATACATGAAGATCCGTGAAGGCATTCATTTTGATTGTTGCAGACATGGTGGAGGCGATGGAGGAGGCTTTGCTTCCAGAGCTGGGGGAGCCAGGGGATGAAGCACCCCTGCTGCAGCTATCAGCTTCATCAGACAGCAGTCCACAAAGGACTGAGGCAGTGGCACCCATTGAAGCTGCACCCTCAGCCCATGTGGCAGCAGTGGCAGCGGCAGCGCCACCGGCAGCGGCTGAAGCTGATGTGGACAGACCGTGGGCAGCGCCTATGGTGCCCCCTGCAAGGCCGCCAGCGGCGCGTGCAGGGCCGGTGCTGGGCTCGTCCAATGTCCTCTCCAGGCCATTCGCCAGGCTGCTGGGCACTCCAGAGCAGAGGGAACAGCGCGAGCACAGCGAGATTGTGGCGAACAGCAAGTTCGTGCTTGTGCCTGGATACGGCGTTCTGCCAGTGGTGTCTATCAATGACATGATGTTGCAGCCCCAGCATGCTGCAGCGGGCGCATCAGCCCAACCAGCAGCCTTGCACAACTCAATGCTGCCTGGAGCGGCACGCGCGGCAGTAGCACCGACCGCAGGCCTGCAGAGTGGGAGCACAGGTCCTGCACAGCGTTTGCAGCGCGCAATTCCGCAGCTGAGGCACTTGGACTCCATGCAGCAGTTCTGGCAGCTCTGGGAACATGGTGACAGCCTCAGCGGCAGTGCTGCCGTTAGCTGCCTGCCGCTGGAGGTGCGCAGCCAAAAGAATGTGAAGCAGCGTTTCTTTGAGTGGAAGGAGGCTGCCCTGGAAGTGCAGAGGTTGGCAGCTCAGATGCCTGCCACCCGCGCGGGGCCCACAGCAGTGCAGCGCGTGCTCACTCAGTTGGAAAATGATCGCAACGCAGCTGGGCTGTCCATGCCTGCCTTCATCAAGTCGCTTGGGAAGAAGAAGGGCAAGGCGCAGGAGGAGGGGGGATGAGTATTTTGTGCTCCATGTGCATACCGAATCTTATGAACGAAAAATGGTGGAACAGAGGAATGCCTTTTTTATGTAGGGGTTGCTTAATGGTCTACAAACAGCCAATACATGAATAAGCCAGCATGAGCAGCTTAGAGATCAAGATTAGCTTAAGAGATCAAGTCCGTGTGTGACAAATTCTGGTTCAGTGTTGTGCAGGTTACTGATATCAATGATATCATCATGTTCTATCAGTCAATATGTTAAAAAGCATGCAGAAATAGCTATTGTACTGATTTTCAGTCATCAACTTTATACAGTGCAACATGCACACTGTGACTCAATGCAAGCTGGCTGCCCTCTAATGAGCAAATTTCAGCAAGTGCACAAAAGCTTCTTGTGTGAAAGTTTCCCCACTGATTTCAAACCAAAGCATCCAGCAGAAATTCTTCATGTCTGTCAGTCTTGCATGCTTGTCAAAATCCTCCACAGGCATGCCAAGCTTCACAGTCAGGCTGCTAAAATCCGCATGAGGCGTGAGCGCTTGCGAGCATTCCACAAAGTTCCATGAAACCTGTAGCAGAACGATATTCTACTTGCAGAAGTAGCAGTTAGTAACAAACACAAGGAGGGACCACATGCAATCGAGTACTTCATCAAAAGCATTCAAGAAAAGACAGGACGGGGACAGAAACTTACCAGAAACTGTAACGTTATCCAAAGATCTTTCGTCTCGTAGAAAGATGGTTGTAGCAGAATCGGAGCCAAGGGAACAGGTCCACCGTCTTGTAGCTCGTGCAGGATCGCGAGCGCAAACTTCTTGACGGAACGCCAGGCTTCATTTTCCTGCGCCCTTTGTCTCGCTGCCTGCAGATCAAACAGTTTCAACCTTACATTTGTTTCTGAAGCAAGGCGGATTCGCTGTCAGTGCACAATCTGTTCCGGAATCTGTTCCGGACTACTTGAAGACGTTAATTCTCGAGTTGCAGGAGACGTTGAGAATCAACACAGCAGTTTTTGGTGTCTAAGACTAGTAGTAGATTCGAACTCACCTTCGCAGGCGAGTGACGACGATCGTGCAGCGTCTTGCATATTCCGGATGGACTCATCGACACGGGTGCGGGTCGCAATTGCTTGCAATCAGGATCGGGCGGCCTGATCAACAGTTGTAGGAGCTTATTACAATTTTTAAAATCAGGTTTGACGGGACGTATAACTGAAAAGGACCCTCGTCTGGTCAGAAACACAAGTTTCCGTCGAAATTCGGGATTATTGGACCACGTGCGCCTATTCTGGGCACTTTGGGGTGCCCGCTGCTTTGGGTACTCGTTGCAAGTTGATTTTTGTCCCTAATGATATGGTCCTCAGGCAGTCCTCAAAGCGGTCCTCAAACTCAGGATATGCAAGAATATCATATGAATATCATGCTGAAGCATTTATGCAAGATGGCTGCACCACCTCATCGTTCATGATGGCTTACTTTGCAAGTGCTCCCCATGGCGACATATTGAGCGGCCTTGAGGCCGCTGCCAGCGGACTCAGTGCGCAGTGCGGTAGCCAAAATCTGGCCGTTCTCATGCATGATCACCTCCCAAACAGCGGCACCGGCGGGAGGCTGCCACAGGAGCTGGTGGCTCGAGCTCAAACATTGTGATTTCTGATGTCAGTACTTCCTGATAATGTTAGATCAGCTTCTTGCGCAAAAAACAAAAATGCAAAAAAAAAACACCAGGTCGGGGATTTGAACCCCCGACTGGTGCTTTTTCGGATTATCGCTCACTGGGCAGGCACATAGTATCGCTCACTTGCAATTTAACATTGCACAGATGCTGCCCTTTTGTGTTTACGTAGGGCATGCTCGTTCTCCGTGGTGCTTGTCGGACCTGTGAAACCTCTTCAACGCTATACGGCCACAAGGTCTTTTTGTTGTTGGAGCGACGTGAAGGGGAGCACTCCTCTAGGAAGTGTTGATGAAGTCAGCTCGTTGAAAACGAACGATAGCGCTAGCCGTCACCTCCAGGATTGCTCATGAGTGTGTCTTGGATCGTGCAGGGGACTTTTTTGAGGCCCCCGCCGAACCATAGCCCTCCAAGAGCATGATAAGTAAGACAGGTGCAGTAGAAAATTGACCATGCGCATGCACGCATAACAATGGGCCAATGGCACGCCCAACGGGGGGCCCTATGTGCATGCAGCCTGCTGAACTTCCAGCAAGCCAAGAGGAATGCCATGCACGCCGCGTGCGGCATGAGTTGCATCGCAATTGATCATGCCTGCGTTATAAACACATCTCCTGGCCTGATCATGACCATGGTTAAGATTGATCATCATCATGATGTGCCACGTTGCTAGGTCAGGTACATGCCTCCTTCTTTTACAAAGAAAAATATTGTACCTTCTAGACCCTATGGCCGGAGGCCTTGCTCAGTAGATTGGTTTTGCATAGTACAGCAATTGGTGGTATAGTCATGATAACGGGTTGTCTCGTCTAATCAATGGTCTATAATATAATTCAATAACAGCAATCAATATTGCGGTTGTTCCAAGACCAACCATAAATGCTCAATAAATCTAATTAGAATGTTGATGGACATACTGAGACGACAGACAAGCACGTCACTGACTGCCAGAGAACACAAGACCTCGCAGAGCAGGATAGCCTGGGAAGAGGGTCTGGGTTGGCACGCCCAGCCGAGCACTCAAGCGGTCCATCAGAGTCACCACCGTGCTCTCAGCCATCTCAGAGATCACCTGCACACAGGCTCATTAGTAATGCCCATCATTGATTGCAAGCTATCAGCTTTCGGCATATTGTCATCTTCCTGATATGACAAAATTTTGTTGCACGAGATGGTGACATACAAACCTGTGAGTTTGCCGTGCTAGCAGATGCAGCACTCAGGGCGTCTCGAACCTCCCGAATCTGCGCTGAAGGGTTCAGCAACGCCTGCAGTATTCTGTCCAGCCGTACATCTGTAAAATTCATTCCTGCAAACACCCACCAAATGCCTCACGTCTGCCCTCCCACCTCTACCTCCAGCAGACATCTGCACACAGTCCATCAAGCACCATGTCTGCAATTACCAGTTAAAATCCCACCATGTCCTAACCATCAGGCAACCAAGAAGAGACTTGCCAGCACATGACAAGGAAGTGCCACAGGCTCCCACCGGTCAGGGAGGCCACTAGCTGCACGACTGACTGCAGGTAGACCTCCTCACTGCGGCTGAGCTCGGGCGCCACGGCCTCCACAAAGTCCCTCAGGCTCATGAGGCCGCGGCCCGGCACCGGCACGGGCAGCGGTGGCGGGGCCGGCAGCGCGCCGAACAGCGGCAGCCTCGGCGCGAGCGCGGGCAGGCGTGCATGCGCCCGGCGCAACTGGTCGCGCGCCAAGAGGTCGGCCCCGTCCACCAGCTCCCCCAGCAGCAGCGGTCGCAGCTGCCGCGCCTCTGGCGACAGCAGGAACGCCAGTATCTCCTGCGCCAGTACCACCAAACCTCTCAGCTGATGTGAAACGAATGAACACCTACTGTGCAGATATGATGTTTCCAGCCCTGCAGGTGTACCCTTGGGAGAAAGGACCTATTTAGTCTGCCCAATCTAGAGGAGCACCTGAACATTTGGGGCCATCGATGTTCTGGCCTGGCCAAATCCACAGCGAGCTGCACAAACAGGGCTGACCAGATTCACAGATAGATGAAAAATGGAGAGTAATCATTTTACAAGCACGTGCCTACGTGCGGACCACTCTAGTTGAAAGTACTGAGACCTGAGGAGCAGCAGACCTTTGCCAGTCATGCTGAATTTGGCAGCGATCCTAGGAAGGACTGTACTGCATAGTGCTCTCAGCCGTGGTTCACTACTTTGGTATTGGCATGTGACACTTCCGTGACCAGCCTGGCTGCCTAGTCCTCAAATTGGCACTGGAGGCCCGAGGCCAGAGAGCGAGACAGAGTCTGGTAGATCCAAACCTGCAGCGGGGCGCCGTCTGCGGGCACGGCATCAAAGTCCACAAAGCCATCGGTCTGCTCTGCCACGTAGCCCAGCGCGGCGTTGAGCACGGCCGACATGCGCGCCGGCTTCACACTGCCGCTGGCGTCAAACAGCATGTCGCGCAGCAGCATGCGCGCGCCCCCGCTGCTGCTGTCCCGCAGCACCTTCCGCACCACAAACGGGTACGCCTGCGCACCAGTGCTGCCTGTCAAATGGCTGGAGTTTGCATGCATCGAAGGCACCAGCAATTTTATATTGCATGTCACGCATAAGCAGGAAAACACCACAAGCTCATTACAATGAACTGGTGATGATCCCGGGCAGAGGGGAAGGCTGACCTGAGCAACCATCTGGTAGCCTGGGTCGCCCACAAGCGCAATTCCCTCCAGCGTTGCCACAGCGCGCGCCAACAGAGACCTGCATCAATAGCAACCGCCTGCTTGAGGGCCCACATCCCAATTAAGATGCAGGTGTTGGGCAAGAACAGAGCAGTGGAAGTGGGGAGAAAGGAAGCTCACATGTATGGCGGCACCGAGAAGGGGATCTGGAGCGAGGCCTGCAGCAGATCCTGTGACAGCATCTGCAACACACCACCCAAGGATCAGCACATCCCATGTAGGCAGAGAATTGCCTTGGTGCTTGTACTGCTCAGGACATGACACGATGACACCAACTTGTGCACAGCTGCCACATGCTGACTTTGCACTGCAGTCTCAATATGTCCAAGCCATCGCCATGTAAAAGGTGGCACCAGCCCCACGATCTACACTGCAGTCTAGATATCTCAAGCGGAGCGCACCTGGAAGTTGAAGGCCTTGGCGCCGCCGCCACGGAGGTAAGGGGAGAGGACTCGGTCCATGACGGGGATGATGAGGCCGCGGTCGGCGTCAACCGGCAGGAAGCCGAGCGCCACAAAGTCGCTGATGAGGGCGTTCCAGTCGCGGTTGCCCAGGTGGATGGTCGCGCTCACCATCGCCTCCCTGTCCGCCGCCGGCAGCTCCGACACCAGCCCAAAGTCCAGCAGCGCCAGCTTGCCCGCGTGGGGGCCCTCCGTCACCTGTGCTCACAAGCTGCTGTGAGTGCCTTGTATCTCACAATATTGAATTTCTATTACAATTGTATTGATACTTTTTCGGTGTTCCACAAAGTGCAGTAAGTATTGAAACGATAGTTCAATATCAAGCATTTGCAAATCCTTTGAAAGCTAACGGGTCCTCTTTCCTGTGGAGAGCTTGCTGCATGCATACAGTTAATCTCCCAACCCAAAGTGGGATGCCAATAAGGGAGCATAAGCTCTGCATATGTTTGAAACGTAATACATGCATTGGAGGGAAGCAACCACTTCTCTCAAAACTGTTTCTGGAACGACTTGTTCTCAACAGTGATGCGGGAAACTGAGGAAGTCCGGCCCGCCACTGTGGCATTTGAGTCTGGGAAGACATGCCACTGCTCACAGCTGGCAAGTCATTGATGGAGTGTAATGTCAGCACCTTGAGCAGGTTCCCTGGATGTGGGTCTGAGTGGAAGAACCCGATCTCCAGCAGCTGTACCAGGAAGGCGTCCTGCCCAATCTTCACCAATCGTCTAATCTCATCGGGCGGCAGCAGCGACAGCTTCGTGCCCCTCACAAACTCCATGGTCAACACCCGCCTGCACAAGAAAGCCATTCAACATGTCTAGTATAGTCAGCATGAGATTACTGCCTTAAAGATATTATAGACATAGATGCCTTACTTTCAGGACCCAGCACAAGCATTGGGTGATTCTGGGGATCTGCTGACCTGGTGGTGAGCGCAAGGTTGGGCTCAGGAATGACAACTGCCTCACTGTCAACGAATTCAGACTCTCTGAGAAGCATCTTCATGCGGATCGCATTGAGAGCCTCATTTCTGAAATCCATTTCTGTGTACAGACCCTCTGCGCACAACACACCCGCCTTGGTCAACATGGCGGAAAAGACATAGCAAGAATGCAGTTGCTTTAAGGAGTAAGTTCTGAATTCCAGAGAGGAGACAGTTGTGCACCTGCAAATGTGCTCAAGAGGATCTGATAATCAGTGGTCTGCGCTGTGAACCTGCGTATGAGTCTCTCATACAAGACAACTGCTCGCCGCATGACATAAAGATCCTGCAGAACAGTGATCACCAGTGAGGAGGAGATCTCTGCCATCAGATCAGGGAGGTTGGAGCATGAATCCACGGCACATTGCTGCAACCACCAAGCGCACACCTTGGAAATAATTGAAAGCGCCGCCGGCCTCTGCACCTTCACCGCCACCTCTTCCCCTGAGGTGGCTAGCCTTGCTCTGTACACCTGCAGCGCGATAAGACACATCAACACCAAGCTCATGCATCAAGCTCAGACAATGCTAGGTACCGGCATCTTGTTTGAAACTGCAACTACATGGGCCAAGGCAACTTTAGGAGCTGTGATGACATGATCATACCTGTGCAAGGGACGCGGCCGCGATAGGTTCCTCCGAGAACTCTGAGAAGAGAGTGCTGATGGGCTGGCCAAGCTCCGCCTCGATGACAGCCCGGGCCTCGGCCGTGGGGAAGGGGGCGATGTCATCCTGCAGCTTGGCCAGCTCTCGCAGGACTGGGGGCGGCAGCACGTCCGGCCGGATGGACAGCACCTGCCCCAGCTTCACAAAGGTGGGGCCCAGGCGCTCCAGGTTCTGCACAGCCTCCCTGGCCAGCTGCTCTTGCTGCTGCTCCAGCCGGCCACGGATCACCGCCGTCGCCAGCTTGCTGATCCACGGCACTGGAAGTCCACACAGGGAAGGTCTGAGTCAGTGCTGCATGATCCTGGTGCATAGCAGCATGCCAAAGGCCTCTCTCTTCACCACGAAGCATCCAGCAGCAGTCGAAACAAGTGTGCGCACCTGAGATGCCGGCAAATGTCGTCCATCGTGAGGCAAGCTCACCCCACCTGCAAAAAATTATGCAGAGTTAGAAAATGTGCGAGGCCGGGCATGGATAGCAGTGAGGAGCGAATGTCCACATGGCCCACCTCAGCCTCCAAAACTCCGTGATCTTCGCCTCATTATAAACCAGAGGGAGTCCCTCATCATCAACCTGTGCATGGAGACACACATGCGAGATGAATACAGAGAGTTGTGCTGTTTGTCCAGACACGGAGGCAGGCTTATTGACTAAAAGATCTCAACATGAAGGACATGCAGTACCTCATCAGGATCAAAGCCCACATCGTCTGTCATTCTTCGTCTCGAGACATAGCTGACCTCCTGCATGTGCAGCAGTCCACTCCAGTCAGAACTGGCTCATTGTCAACATGACACATCATCTCATACCACATACGCCTCTTGCTAGCCATTCATCGATGTGTTGAAGTTCACGATATCCTCAGAATTTGAGATCTGCACAGCTCCTTGCACCCACCCTGACATCTCGAACTCGCACATCCTCTACGGATATCCTGTCATCTCCAGGTTTGATGATACCCAACCGCTGGAAGTTGTCTACGTTGATTGCGCTGGAGAAACTTAATCCCAGCGGTGTGGTTGCTGCCCGGACAGTTATCCGCGCCTTCCGCGTATTTTGATGACTCTGTGCATTGTAGAATCTAACCAAAGAAGGAAGAACGGTGTAACGAGCACCGATCATGGTGGAGTCCCAATTTAGTAGAGCTGTTGATCTTGACCACCGTTTACTATATTCAACCTAGCAGTCCGAAAGAACAATTGAAACTTGGATCAGTACTGAAGCTCTCTCAAACACGTTCTTCACTATTTAACATGTTGCACTCCACCCTCTGCTGAATGTAAAGCAGTCGAAGACACCGAATCCGCTCGAGACGTTCAAATTTTGATGACGTGAGCACTGCCGTGGCTGCACCTAGGAAGGCCCCGTCAGAGGACAGCCATGCAAATATCCAGTGGCAAGACCAGCTGCTCTAAATTTCTAAAGCTGGAGCCAGAGACCCATTGAGCACTGCTCAGATCGCCATGCTACCAGAGCAAGCCTGTATTGGCCTGCAGGACACCTTGCCTCTCGGCAGGAAAACCTTGTAATGATAATGATATATTTAGGTGGTAGCCGTACGGTGTCCAGAGCCGCTCTGCCGCAAATTCATTATCACCATCCAAAGTGTCATTACAGATGAGTCCGTGATGGTGCCATTTGGTGCAGCTACAGCACAGTACAGCTACAAAGGACTCCTTCGGATTATTCTTGGTCTAGTACTTACAAGCCTTAAGGTGTGGTTTCTAGCAAGACAGTGCTACTGTAGTATACTAGCTAGTACCTATCGGCCTGGGGGCGCCGGCAGTAAATTCTAGCTGACAGATTGCAGGTACCCACACTGGAGCTAGGGACGCCTGACGCATCAATGGAGGCCTGAGCCCCAAGGGTGTTCTTGGTCTACTGTCTCTAGCGCATCTCTCAAGAGCCCCCAAAAAATTTCCAGAACACAGTTCAGACTCATAGGGGCCCATGAGGAGGCAACTTTGGCGCCGCCTTGGCCATCAATCTTTGCGCTCAGATGACATGACGGCCTCTGGCATTTATCTGGCGCCGGAGCAGGGTCAGGTCGAACATGCGGCGCTGGTCCTTGTCTGCAAGGACAGTGTGCGCGCTGGACACCAATCTGAACAGCTTGTCTGACGCCGCCTTCTGGCCCGGGGTGCTCGCTTTGTCAGGGTGGTACTTGAGCGCCAGTTGCCTGCATCAGCGCATTTGTCAGTATCGTTCCTGTGACTGACTACGAATCATCATCCAAGAGTGTTCCCATAAGACACAGCACCCTCAGGTGGCTCCCAACAGGTCCCTCGCAGGTGTCTGACAGGTAATTTTCAACAAAAGATGATGAGATGGTCTAATGGTGAAGGGCAGGAATTGCGGATGCATTCCCACCTGAATGCCTGCTTGATGTCGGCAGTGGTGGCGGTGCTCGGCACGCCCAGCACAGCGTAATGGTTGGGCTCCGTCTCCAGTTTGGCGGCTCGCTGAGCCACTGACATCCTGTCCATTGCCTCCGGATATGCGCCCTTGCCCGCCAGCTGCGTCAGATCCTGCACTTCCATCACAAATTTTACAACCCTCTCAGACAATACTGGGCGCTGCCCACTCCCCTGCTCGCCTGTGCAAAACAGAGATCACTGCAGAGACCGCTGTAATGTAAAATCCCATGGTCAGCACATTTCTTGTCAACAGAGTACGCCTGCACCAAACAGTGCAAGAGGCTGGGTGACAGGGCTTCTCTGTTGGGTGGGAGGCGCCAGTGACACTGACAGCACAGTGACCGTTGATGCACACACAGTGTTCGCACATACCCAGATCCCACCAGCCTCATCCTAACACAATCCTTATCCCATGTCCGGCGTTGTCCTTTTTCCACTTCACAGCACAGGCATTTGTACTTTCATCTTCTGCAGGGCAGGGCATGACAGGACGCAGCTTGCAGTAACCCGGAATGCATAACCTTAGCGGGGGCGCGCATGCCTGCATGGCGGAGTAGTGGTCCCCGACGGCGGAGTAGATGTCGGCACGGCGCTGCAGGACGCGCGTGTATCGGGGGTCGAGTGCCTCGGCCGCGTAGCAGTCGGCGATGGCATCGATATGGCGGCGCATGGCGTGCAGAGCAGCCGCGCGGTTGCAGTGCAACACGGCCTTCAGTGGCCCCTGGTCCGGCTGCGCCAGCACCAGCGCTGCTGTGTACTCCTCCACTGCCTTGGCGTGCTGCCCGCGCTGGAACTCCGCATTGCCAGCCTGCCGACAACACCACGCTCAGCCGTCAGCACATCCCTTGCTTTCTGCTATTTCTCTTTCAGAGGCTGCTGGCTTCCGGGACACACTTAATCATTGAAGAAGAAACAGGGATGCAGACATGAATAAACATCAACAGATGATTTGCAGCACATAACGTTCTTGGTTTTTGGCCTGATGTCTGGCACATACAGCGCAGACATCCGTGCAGGCCTGCCATCAGATGAAGGCAGGGTAGAGCAACGTGCTAGTGGGTTACGGATCTGACCTGCTTGTGTTCTTCGACCTGCCGCCTCCGTTCGGCGGCGGTGGTGCGCGCCTCGGCCTCCGCCTGCTGCTGCTTCAGCTGCGCATTCTCCTGCATTGCAGACGTTCTCAGCATCTCCAGCAGTGCTTGTTACCAGGGATCTCCAGAACAACTCGTACAGCTAACACTTGATGACTTGCAGAACTCAAACTACACTAAAGCAACTGTACAGAGAGGGGTGAGAGAAGGGTGAGACTGCGCACCGCAGTCAGCCGATGGATCTGGGCCTCAATCTCTGCAATGCGCCTCTGCTGGTCATCGCTGAGCACCCGGCGCTCTGGTTGCTGCTCATCTGCAGCACTTGTGCCTTGGCTGAGCCTCCTGCCATGACCAGGCGCAACCCTGGCGCCAAATTCCAACACGCGTCCTTGCAGCACGGGGGTCCCCACATCGCTGCCTTCGCCATCTTCCTGCTGCCCATCCTGCCAACAGTGCACACTCAGAACGATCAGCCAAGCATGTTTGTCATTTGTGGCTTTGGCTTGAAGCTTTTTACAGCCTGTGGCAACGCAAATCAGTGTATTGGATACAGAGAGAAACACTGTTAGGCCTCCAGTTCAGGAGATGGCCTCACCGCTGGCTCGTACTCCTTTAGGCGCTCAAGCAGGGCCTTGCACTCCCGTTGGAGGGCAGCCTTGTCTCGCTGCATGCGCGCTCTCTCCGACTTCCACGCGGCCTCCTGCAACATGCACACCTTTGAAATCCTTTGGTCGCATGTGCTGTAGCTGCACACTTTCTCAGCAACCAGAGGAGTCATATCAACGTTCCTATCAGGCTGCGCATCACCTCGTCCTCACTGAGCCTCCTCAGGGACCCGGAGGCCGTCTTGCTGCTGTCCCTTGCGGGCGAGCCATCCTCCTGCGCCGACAGGTAGGCCTTGCCAGAATGGACCGTTGCTCCCGTGTACATTCCAGACTCCAGCCTTTCCAGCCGTGCCTGCCATAGCACCATGCGAAATGTCATCTGCAGTGCAGCTTATCTTACAGCTGTGCTTGCGCCCAGCGGAAAAGCTTGATGATTAGCACAGACAACTGTGCGCATGGACAGAGCATGCCTACACAGTGCCATTTCTCTGGGACACCTGCAGTGCGACGTGGAGTGCTGAAACACCCATTTTTGGCCAGAGCAATTTGTGCCCAGTGCAACATGACAAGAGATGGCACCTCCCAGCGGGCGCGCTCGGCAGCGAGGCCTTCCTGCAGGCGCTTGAGCTCGGCCTTCTTGGCGCAGTAGCCGACGACCAGGCGCGCGTTCTGAGCGGCCATCTCCCCCAGCGCTTCGCGCGCGCCCCTTCGCGCCGCCAGCACCTCGCTCAGCGCCGCCTGCGCCGCCTCCGCCTTTGAATTTGCGTCCGCCACCGCCTTCTGCTGTGCCTCCAGCTGCTCCCTCACCTCACTCTCCCTGCCACGCCACCACCTCATGAGTCAAGGGAATCACTGAAGTCACAATCTGCTGAGGGGCTCCAGCAGGGTCACCGCATGCGATCATTCTCAAAATATAATGCGATAAAATGCTAGCATTACTGGCGAAAATAAAAATGCGATAAAATGCATTTGGAACAGTTTTGCCAATGTTTTATTGGGCAAAACGTAGGTATAGCCAGGTAAATAGAAGGTTTTTCCTGAAAAATCAAAGTAAAACTCTTTTGGAATGTTTTTTCTCAGTGTGGACAGGCTTGGGGATGGAGTAAGTCCTCAAAGGGACTCTAAAGGTCCCCAAAAAGCACTTTTGAGAGGATCGCATTTTATCGCATTCTACTGGCCCAAAAATAAAATGCTATATAATGCTCGCATGCAATTATATATCGCATTATTTGCATTATCGCATGCGGTGACACTGGGCTCCAGTACTGGTAAAGATCTCTTGTCAAAGAAACAGGTGACACACATTAGAGGATCACACAAGACTGGAACACAGGATAATCTGAGTGAGACAAATCTGCAATCACCCTTACTGTCACAGCCAGGGGTGTCAGTCAGACAGGGCGCCCAAATATTTCAATACCTGCAAAAAGGCAACGCTTGCGAACCAGTACATCTTGTTACATGGAGACAGAAAACCACGGCAAGAGGTGAGCGGGGCAATGGAAGGGAATGCGATTCACCTGTCCTTCATCTCGTCCATCTTGTGGGCGAGCTGCGCCTTCTGCTGCTCGTACGCGGCGGCCTGGCGCTTGACGTAGGTGCGGGCATCGCGCGCTATCGTCTGCGCCTTCTGCATGTGCTCCGCTGCCACCTTCTCCCTGGCGCGCACCTGCGCACCGCATGCATGCCTTACGGGGAAACCCACCTTCCACAAATGTCTCATCATCAGCAGTGACAAAATTCAAACAGCACTTTGCTTTTGTTGCGCAGGATGCAGTTGCATCTGCAGCCTCTGTCTGGCACGGTGCAGCCCAGTGTAAGGGAAACTGGCAGGCTTCTTTCTTTTTGGACAGTTACGCACCTCTCTGTGCGCCTCCTTGGCGACAGCCTTGACGGACTGCAGGTCGAGCAGCGCTTCGCCCTGCTGCTTGAGGGATGTCCGCAGCAGGGACCACAGCACGGTGCTCCTCTGGGGCGACTGCGCAGAAGATTTCTGGGTTGCTGCGCTGGCAGCCTGCCTGACTGACGCCCGCAGCAGGTCCCGAACCTGCAGAGTGCACGTGCAAGATCAGTTCACTCACCAATGCTTGCATTTTGAGCCATGAGAACAAGATGAGGACGTCTGCAGGCAAGAACATGGGCCCGAAACAAATGCTCACCTGCAAGGAGTCTGCGCCCTTAGCTTTTCTGGATGTGGCGGCTTCTGCAGCTGCGCAATCGGCCAGCAGTTCCAGTGCGGCTGTGCTGTCAGCAGGCCTGCTACTGGGTCTCCTCGGACTGGCACTGGTTTTGCAGCTGTCGGCGGCAATCCCTGAACCACTTGAATCGGCTGCGCTCATGGGCCTTGCTGTGGATGGTGGCCTGCTGCCTGAGTCGTTCAAGGGCTGCAGAGGCCAGTATGGGGGCAGCGGCGATATCTGCATTGGGCTGTACTTTGGTGTCAGGGATGCCGAGCGCGCCCTTGTTGCCTGTGCTGACTGCGGTGATGGAATGTCTGCACTCTCTGCATCTGTCTGTCTGCCTTTGGATCTGATTTCTGCTTGCGGTGTCACCTGCATATACCCAGCAATGCCGTCAGGTCAACGGCATATACTTCGGCATTCAAAATCATCCTTTGCTTAGAAATTGATGCTGTCAGCTCTTGGCTCTACCTTTGCAGTAGCTTCAGATGGAGTGTTCTCAGCTCGGACATTCTCCTTGTCTGGGGTGCTGTGCAAAGCAGATCTTGCGGTCTTCCCGGTAGATGGGTTTCTGGAAATTGAACTGCTCCCACCCTTCTGCCGAGGAGAGCAATCGCTGCCAAATAAGCTGCCAAAATTGTTTCCTCGTCTAATGGTGGAGCCAATCCAAGCATCTCCTTCTGGTCCGTGATCCCGGGAAGATCCTGATCTGCTCTTGCATGCTTCCATCGGAGAGTTCTGGATGTCAAGGGTGACTGTTGTTCTCAAGGGACTGCTCGTCCGTCGCAATCTTGAACTTTGTGGGGTTGTAGAGAACAACCGCACAACAGGAAGGCTGAGATTTTCCATCCTCTTTGAGGCACCCTTAGGTGTCATCATGCTTTTATCGTTCGAGACTGTGCGCTCTGCCGCAACCTCTGATGATGATGAGAATGGTCTTGACTCCTGACTGTCTGGGGTCACTTGCTCTCTTGCATCATCGACAGACGGGTTGTGTATTGAAGTAGGGGATTTAGTGTCCATGATCTCCTAAAACGATTTCACTTCAAGATACACTGGTAAATCTGCAGTATTTCTGAAATTTATAAAGTGTAATTTCAAGGCCCCTATTACCATATCCCAAAAACCACAATGTGGTGTTTCATTTGAGGAAAAAAAGGCAGTCTCGCAACTTTAACACCTTTGATCGTCATATGCAGGTTTGTCCATCCCATCTGTTGTTTGGTTTTTGAACCACGAGGGTTTTCTACCCCAAAAATACACACTTCGGCTGGGGATGTATAATATCCATAGCTTCCCTTCCGCGAGAAGCTGCAACTGCCTGAGATAATAAATATTCATCCCTTCTCACTTCGAAGCCAAAGGCAAGGTTAAATTACCTACACTTACATAGTATTGGCTATTGGCTATCGGTATTAATCGACTCCTTGTTGCTGCTGTATTACAGTCGCCGAGACAGCTTGGAAAGGTGAAGCGTCTGAGTTGCCAGGCAGATCTGAGCAGCAATCGATCAGAACCACAGTTCCTAAGGCATTTCACATTTGATTCTGATTAGTGGTACCTATTGTGACAGCCACCATGTCCTCACTTCGCGCGTTTCATAAGGCAGCAAAGGCTGCACGAAGCGGATACGATGCAGTTCTTGCGGTGCATTCAATTGCCAGATTGAAAGGATTGGCCATCCCTTTTTATCATGCTTCTCTGGGAACGTCCACGATTAGACAGGTGACAACGCTTTGCTTTGCTGTATTGCCTAATTGTGGAAATTCTAAATCATTTCTGAAAGTTGGAGGCATTTCAGGCCGATCAACACTTGCGCATTGATATCGGCCGCCTTTGGTGGGGTATTGCTGCGGGAGTGCTGGGACTGGCATCCATGTCATATCCTGGTGATGCCCTCAATGGCAATGAGAAATTAGAGCCCGGTATGTCATCTGCTTCCACGCCCCCACTGTTTACTGCCTCCACCCTACCCTAAATGTCTCTCATATTGCATGGGCCCTCTTGGACGACAGTCGTGTCTGCAAAAGATGTCCATATACTTGTAAGGGTGCTGTGGTGTTGCGCAGAGGCATTACGAGAGCTGGCTGCCGATCTCGGCAGCTCTAGCAATGCAGATCGCGAGAGGTCTGCAAGCATGTTGAGTGGGCTGACCATCTTTCTGGAGCACCATGATACGTTGTACGCTGCTGGCATCTTCCCTGCTTTGATTCGCGCCGTTCTAGACGCCGGCAATGTGCCCCAGGCAAGTCACTTTCACAATAAGTCTGCATGTAATTTTGTTGCGTGCACTGGACATAATTTCTTGTCAACAGAGCTACATGGCAATACCAGAAACCAGAAATTTATTGCGGTCTGCAGGTCAGGGTCATAGCTCTTGGGTGCACGGCAGACATGCTCAAGGATTCTCGCGCCAAGGAAGCAGCGTTTGCAGAGGAACGCTTCATACCCACACTGCTGCAGGCATTGGAGGTCAGGCATGGACCAGAATTAGTTTTGCATAACCTTCCATCCTAATTGGATGATTCAGGGTCTCAAGCCGATGTCCTGAATAACCCGTTGCTGCAAAAATGCCTGTCCTTCAGGCAGAGGGGAGGTGGGCAATTGGGCCCGAGGAGGGTGGTCTCGCCAGGGCTCATGCGGCGCGTGCTCTGGCAGAGCTGTGCGCAGAGCCACGCCTGCATGAGACACTGGACAGGAGAGGAGCCGTCAAAGCCATTGCGCACCATGCTGCCGAGCTGGTGAGCCCCCCATGCATGGCTGCTCCCAAGTTCATGCACATTGCTGCAGCACCAGTGCCTACAGTCCTTCTTTCCATGTGTATTGCATCATACGAGATGATGTGTCCTTGCAGGCAATTCTGAACAAGGAGGATACCAAGACCTACTCATCCCTCAGCGAAGTTCCAGGGAATATGGTTGAGAGGCATTCTGTGGACGATGAGAGGTTCAGTGCGGCTGCACTCTTCGGCTTGTCTGGCAGCAACACCGGCATTGAGGCGCTCCTCGCTGCTGGCCCAGAAGTAGTCCAAGGTGGGATCAGAGAACCTTCGATGAGTATCAGAATAGCTCAAGCTTTCAATAGCACATGACACAGTCCCTCGCACTGTGCGCATGCAAGATTCAAGATGTCAGCCACTCATGCATGCACCATACTATGATGTCAGCTGAGCTCGCAGGCATGGTATTATCAATAATATTGTCAGGCGAAATGTACAAAGAGAGCTGGGTGTTGGCCAGGGCTGGGGGAGTGGGCCACCAGCAATGACCCCATTCTACAGCGCTATGGGGTGGGTGCACTTGCGCGCACGGCAACTTCGAGCCCTGCAGCATTTGCGACTGTGCAGAAGACTGACGGCCTGGACAGACTTGTATCTGCCCTCAACTGCACCGACGCTCAGGCCCAATGCTTTGCAGCAGGCGCAACAGGTGATCTTAAAATGTCGAAGTCGAGTTTGATGCAATGAAGACTTTGTGAACATGTTTTTAGTGCCTCTACAGATGTCCTGATGTTCCCTTGGTGTCATCCTCAGGCAAATTGGTTAGCATTGGTGGGGAGCCAGCAGCTGCAATCATCAGGTCTGGGGCTGCACCTGGACTCTTAGCTATGCTGTCTCGGCAAGAGAATGGACCCACTGTGAGTCCTCATTTCCCCCTGCTGTCTGTCACATCATGTGCACCTGTCTTCCTTCTCCTATAATATTAATGTGAGATCCTGCACAGGCTTGAAAGATGGTGAAAGGGTGTGTCTGGAGGTGCAGGATGCAGCAGGTCAAGGGAACTCCCCAGGTGTGAGGCGAGGCGTGTACCGTTGTGCACTTCGTGGAATCTTGAACGGCCTGCCAAACAAGCTATTCCGAGAGCAGTTGCAGAAGGCAGATGCTATGGCACATCTGCAGGTGAGCTGCTTCATGCCTTTCTTTCAGCTTGCTTTCCTGCGTCCTGCGCGAATGCATTGCTAATTCAACTGACCCTTGAGTGCAGGAGTTCCTGGACGCGTGTGGCAGTCCTGCAGATGCAGACGTTGCCAGTATGGCACGCTCTTGTATGGAGTCGATGCCAGAATAAGATGAAGTGGAGCATGTGTGGCCATGCATCTCAGCATGCAACCCATTTCCCAGTAAATGCTTGGATTTATAGTTATGCAATGCATGCAAGATCATGCAAAGCATGCATGCACTGCAACCAAATAAATACAGCGCCTGTCACACCTTGTAGCTTCCTGGCTGCTTACTATCAGGCTCAGATGGATATTTTCTTTTCCAGACAGCATAATGTTCTGATCCCTAAGCATCTATCTTGATGCATGTAAGACTTCAAAGTCAGATATGTCCAGGATTCACTTGCTGCAGTTCAGCACGAAATACAATCCCTGCTCATTTCATCGCATCAGAGATGCATCTACAGTACTCTAAGTAATAATAAAGTATTCATGCTCACCTGATCTACTCAACCTCGCAACCCAATCAACCCCGCCTCAGAGAGACTGAGATGCTTGAAGGTGACCAAAGCAAGAGGTCTGCTATTCGTCATTCTGAAGGGAGCGACTACCATGCTCTGTGTCGTTGTAGCGGAACATCGGTTCTGCAAACAATACCAGAACTTCTCATTATCGACTTGCATGCAGTGCCAGCTCTCTGTCTAAATTATGGTATACATGGACTGTCTCATTCTTCTGGCTGCAGCCAGTGTGCCTCGACTGCGGTGTAGAGGCGCTTGTAGTCCCTGGGCCCCACAGCAGCTGGCTCAGAAGCCCTCCGCTTTGTGCGCGCATGCGCTGGCTGCTGCAGGGGTGTGAATTGAGCTGAGTTGATGATACGCCGGATGTGTCTGTAGTCCGGCATCTCGTACGTCTGCAAGCGCAATGATGTCATGCTTGCTCCTATCTATCCAACACTAATCATTGTCGTGCAGGATGGTACCTTCAAAAGAGGGGAACAGAAGAGGCGTACCTTCAGGGACATAGCATACTGGTGCAGCTGCTGCAGGAACAGAGGGATGACCTTCTCATGGCAGAGCTCCTTCCACTTTTCCTTCCTCAGCTCTAGCATCTTCACAATGTCTTCAACAGTCCATCCATCCTCTGCACATCACAACGAAATGACCACCGAAACTTGGTGATGCTGGGCGCATGCATGCCAAAGCCCTCGCTGATTCTGCATGCTGACAGATAAGTGAGCTGTGCTTGAGAATTCCTTACCTTCCATTTCAAACTTCTCCGTCACCTTCCATGGCAGTTCATTGTTCCACATGTGCAGGAAACTGCGCAGAACAAGAGATCCAACTTAGCCACAGCAACATCTGTACATGATACAGCAAGGCATGTCAACCATTTTGAGCTGTACAGGGCGTGATGATAGGAATCTTGCAATGCAGTTTTGCAGGAATGCACACACCTGTAGCACAGGCTCTCAATGTCATCTGAAGGCCCTGGCATCATCTGCTGCAACATGGCTATTGAGCCCGAGTAGTCTGCCGTGCCAAAGTATACGTACTCATCATCAGTGTCTTCTGCCCAGGTAGCCCTCCTTGCTCCCCCAAAATCGATGATGTACACGCCCTCTGCAGGATCCCTTGACTTGTGGTGCATGCAGAAGTTGCCTGGCTTGATGTCTAGGTGGACCTGTGCCAATCTCAAAATAATTGACAGGAACTGACTGACTGCTAAATCCAGTAGGCCACAGCATCTTGAAAAAGAGAGGAGTGTCGTACCCATCCTGCTTCATGCACTGTCTTGACTGCCTCCAGCATTCCTAGAGCATACTGCATGCCATGAACACATGAATCTCACTTGTGAGGCTCAAGTTGCTGGTCATGTTGCAGCATGATCTCACAGCATCCTTCATGAGTTTGGGAGGCACACCTTGGCAAAGTTGCTCTTGCTGATGACATCCTGCCTGATGAGGGCATCAAGGTTGCTTCCCAAGCGCTGCATGATGATGTAATGGTGAGTGCAGTCCCCCACCTCCACAGAGCCACTGGAGTAGACTTGAGGTATCCCAGTGGCTCCATGGAAGTCGGTGATTGCACTTGCTCTGCGGCGTGCAAGCTGCAGTTCTTCTAGGACATCCTTCTCATCCTGTGGGATACCCAGACAATGATCAGCTCTGCTACAAGGCATTCTTTGCAGCCAGTATTCTAGCTTAAGAGGGGAAGAGACCGCTGTCTAAGTCGATCAATTAACAAGCTGTGTTGATGGTCCAGAAGGTCCAAGAATTGCCATTGAGTCAGGGACCTCTTCCTACCTGAGCGACACTGGCAATGAAGTCGTTGTTTGCAGTGCTGTGAGAAATCTTGACTGCCACTGCTTGTTCACAGTTCTGAGCTTCGAAACAGACGCTGATGCCTCCTATTCCCAGGACTGCTCCTACTTTCAAGCCCAGTGCGTGATTCAACGCGTCCCTGAGTGCATTCGCCTGTGCACAGTCCAGCCAGGGCGCCAGCGATTTGCATTCCAAGCAGGTGCACTCATTCTTGGCCGCTTTCAGGTCTCTTGAGGCTGGGGCCAGAGGTAAGGGTGGGGCTGTCGAGTCGTGGGAGCTGTTGCTTATCGTGTACAAAGAGTCCGACTGCGATGGAGGTGCCGCCATCCTGGCTTGAGGGAAACAAAGAAGAGCTCTACACTGCGCTTCATATCCGGTCTAGCTTGATTGTGCAAGCAGCTTGTCTTGTGCCGATGACCCGTCCTGCTGAAGACTGCATGCTAGATTATCCCCTCCCCGAGCACTGCATGGCATCGTTCAAATCGGGCAATTCTCTTCAGAATGGGAAAGCCGTTTTCGTTCAATCCGCAATCATAGGATGCATGAGATCTGCTTCATTGTGACATATCAAGTGGCATCTCATCGGCCTCACGTTTGATCACTGTCTGCGAAATTCTTTGTCGACTTCCCTCGAGACGTTCGCTCTCTTGACTTCAGGTCCTGCTATCCTCCTTGAGACCAGCCAGGCACGAGCGTATGCATGTCGAATTTCACTGTCTCGCCTTCGGGATGAATTCAAGCTTTTCCAAGTTCATGGTCAAGTGCTTTGTGTAAAGAAATCCTCGTTGAGAATGTCAGATCTGTGTACCCCTCCAGGTACAGAGGTTACACAGATCGCAGCAGCCCCTGGCCAGCAATGGCCTCAGCAAGCAGGATGCAGATGCTCCTGGCACAACACTCAGGAGTCACACAACAAGGTGCGTGCTTCACCACCATCATTTGCTGCCTGGTCATCCTGCTAAGAATCCTCCTTTCGTCATGATTGAATGATTGCAGATGCAGATGCCAAGGTCCAGGATCTACAGAAAGAGCAGGCAAGCATTGAAAGCGCCATTGCTGAGACTTTGCAAAGCCTGAGGACTCTGGAACAAGAGACTGCAGAGGAAGAGAAGACTGCAATGGCATTGTTTGCTGAGGTACTAAGGATACATGTCGGTGTCCGCGTGTCCATGCACAGCAATTTTCTCTATTGGCAATATTCCTCACTTCTGGTCCATCATGTTCAGCTTGCTTTGACACATATTACGGTGTGCACAGAGAGTGGAGCTCGATGCAGCTCTACAGGCGCGTGTGGCAGAGAATAAGACAACAAGCCAAGAAGTGCTGGATCTTCAGACAAAGCTGGCAGCTGTCAACAATGAGACTGCAGCAGAGAAACAGGTTTTCGTTGTCAAGTGCAGAGGCCTCAATGATGAGATCAGGTGCGACCTCAATTCAGATGCTTGATGAGCTCTTTACATGCTAACATGATGGCCTGCAATTGACAAAACGTCTCATTGTGCAGGCAGCTGAAACAGATGCACCCAGGCAGCTCATTTGTCGTGGGTAGCGCACAGTAAAACAGACTCAAATAACAACAAATACATGCAGAGGCATCATTGTCGGATTATGCAGTGAGACGCAGGACACTGCGCAGTTCTTTGGCTTTTCACTTGAAGCCATTACCAATGTCTGTGACTGCAAGTTTACATGTGTGCCACATGCACTGCAGAAATGAAAATAAAGTGCCTTCTTATTCATTTGAGATATCAAAAATTGGCGCAGCAGTTGAGACGGCAGCGGTATCGGCTGAGCCATTCAGCTGCTTGGCGGATCTTTTGTAGCAGCTGTAATGAGCCAGTGTACCTTGAGGATAGGCAACAAACGCCGATGTACCGATCCTCTTATGGCATAGGCTGCATGCTCGTTCATACGTGACGACAACATTCCTGCAGTCCAGACAAACTTGATATGCTCGTTCTTTTTTTCTCTGCGATTCATGACTCTACAATTGGGATACAATAGGATTGCAGGTGAAGGGAAAGAGACTGCACCTTTGCCGACATCGCATGACCTCCTCTCTGAGCTGCAGATTCTCAGACCGCCTCAGGCTCTTGACCACAGCTGAGTTGCGCCGCTTTTCGCCGCCTGCCCTCAGCGCTCCCTCAAGGAATGGCAGTGCTGCTTTCAAAGGCACCTACCATGCAGACACATGCATCACTTCATGACACATGCAGTGACTAAGCCAGGCACACTAGCAAGAATGCAGGCCCAGGGCTTCACACTGCATATGGCCGCACCTCTCCAGGAAGCAGGTCCAGAGCATGCAGGGAATCGATCCGATCGTGTTTCCTGCTGAGCAGCCGCGCCACTGCCTCCCAGTTGCTGCTGTCTGGAGCGCGTCCCTTTCGAGCGCTGTCAGGCACATTGTCCTGCCTCTCCAGATACACCTATCCAAGGCACTGCAACCTCAGCACTTGTCATACTGCCAGCCCATTATTTTGAGCATGATAGTACTTACATTGTAATCATTAACAGCATTTGAAGGATCTGTGTAGCTCTACCTGTATGAGGGCCAGGTACATGTCATAGTTGGGCTGAGATGCTAGACCGCTCCAGGCCGCCATCTGGGCTCCGCTCTGCTGGCCCTTCTGCTTCGCAGCCGCCTCATACATGCGGTCACAGTAGGCTTCTGCCAGCCGAGGATCCTTCATCTGATGCACATATATCCTGCACAGCACCCCATTTCAATTACATGCATGCCGTGCTTCAAATATGAAGCAAATATGACAGGACAGGAAATGGGCTTCGAGCATCTCAGAGAGACGAGGCGCGCACTCTAAGGCTTCTTGGTGGCGCCCCAGGTGCTCAAGCAGCAGCGCCCTGACCTCCAGGAACCGCTGGTCCTCCGATGGCACCACCAGCAAGATGCGCTTGGCATCAATGTGCTGAGACTTCACGATCTGCAAGGGCAACACAGCGAGATTTAGACATGCAAAGCTGCAGCATGTTCTGTTTCACATACAATCTTGTTCCTGTTGCTTTTTGAAGTACATATCCTAATGTGCCTGCATTCAGCTGCCAATGAGATGCCAGCATGCTTACCAGATCTTTCAGGCGCTGCAGTGGGTCCTGCCTAGCTGGCAAATGTGTTTTCTGAGGCTGCCCGTTCGAGGCTTTGCCTTCATCTCTCCCCTCTTCCATGCCTGGGACACAGCCAGAACCTCACATTCCTGCCTCAGCTCCGCACATGACAAATGAAGAACAGAAATATGACTGCCATGCTCACCTGAGGTGCTAGCACCGCCGTCGCTGTCCCTCCTTTCCTTGGCCATTCTGAGGTAGATCAGCGCCAGCTCATTATGGAACTTTGCAGGTGATGCCAGGCCCATCTCCAGTGCAGCCTCGAGGTACGGCGCACACAGCGTGGGCACCTCATTGGTCAGTATGGGCAGCACAGTCTCTGGGGGCAGCGCTGGCCGCATCTCTGTGAACATCTCCAGCCCCGCCTCTGGATCCGCACGCACTATCCACCTGACAGGGCACATTGCACAGGTGAGTATGCTTACTTTCAAAGCTAAGATCCGCTGAAGAGGACACCATCAGCATGAAGAGGGGAGCTGTGAGACACATGCATGTGCCCTGCTTGAATATAAAGTTTGGACCAGAGGATGGGGACTTTTGGGAGAGATAACGTATGTTACCTGGCATGTGCTTTGATGAGGTCAACGTGCTTGGAGCCGACAGACACGAGGCACTTCACCGCTGCCCATACGCCCGTCAGCCCCGCCAGCTCAGCAGATGCACCCTGCGGCGCCACGCTCAGCTCCCCCGGAGCCTGCACAAGCACACTTGACCAGTGATGGGCAGCCCCACTGGACATGCATGTCTTTTCGGCCACCCTGTACACAGTGGGATGGCACTGGTGGCCCACATGGGGCACCCGTGGTGTTGCAGAGCATGCGCAGTTAGAGGGTGAGGAAATTTAGCAGGGGCGGACCAGGGCAAGGGAGCGCAGGAGGTCCAGCGCAGCTTCGTAGCGGCCGCGGCTCTGGTACAGGGCGACCAGCTCCGAGTAGCGGCCCACGGCGCGCAGCGCCGTCTCGCCATCTGCCAGGGACACCTGGTTGGGCCTTTGCACAAAGCGCAGCAGCGCTCCTGTGTCGTCCATCTCCAGCATTGCCTGTCGCACACGGCAGAGCAGATGTCACCTGGGATGCATACAATGCCTCATGCTGGTCTCTGCAAAGCCACTGGAGGGTTGAGATATAGATGATCAGAGGTTTTTTGGGGCGATTTTGACACATCTCTGCAAGTTGAAGATTGGAGATGAAGAAGCTAGATTGCAATGAGATGTGCACACCTTCAAAATTGCTGTGTCCACAGCCTCCGCAAGTTGTGCGTGCTGCTCTGCAGTGAGCCCAGAGAGCTCTGCCGTAGTGTCATGCCGTCGCTCCTCCTCTGTGCTAGTGCTTTCGGCCGCCTCCTCCTCGTCATCATAGTCCTGCTCCACGGAAGCCAGCCGAGTGCGGTGGCTGAGGAGGTAGGGCAGCAGCACCGACACTGCTTTCTTATACTCCTTGCCCTTTGGCTCTGCCACATCTGTTAGCTTGTACCCTGCGCAAAGCCACAATCAGTCGACCAGGTCCGCTTGAGAATTCGACAGAGAACAATGGCAGACTTCTCAGGCTTGCAAGGGATGACATGTGCTTTGGACTTGCCTGCAACGGTATGCAGCAGAGGCTCGAGCATGGCGGGGGATGCCAGGGAGGGAAAGAGGCGCAGCAAGACCACTGGGCTGGCACTCGAGCACATGCCAAAGTGGGCCATGGCCTCGTCATACTCCTTACTGGCAAACAGATGATGGCCGTACTGTATGTGCAGGGTGTCATTCAGCGTTCTCCTTGCCTTCGCCTGCGCCACAGCAAATCTGTTTAGATCCCAGAGATTCTGCAGATCTACATGGATCCAAAGTCAAGGGCCAGAGCAGGTAAGTACCTGTGTGGATGGTATCAGTGCAGCCAGCTCCAGGGCGGCCCCAAACTCCCCTCTTTCGGCCAGCGCAGAGGCCTGGTCAGCAAAAGGGAAGGGGGCCAGCCTGCGAATGCCCAGATCCGATGAACTAGAAGCCACAAAGACATCCCCAGAACTGCTGGGATTCTGGCCCACCACGTCCATGCCCTTCACTGGGAGCACCTGCAGCAGCCATGAGCTCAGTCTGGAAGTTGCCTGCCTTTCCATTAGCACTTGAGCTTGAAGCAAGAACTGAGTGGCCAGTACTCACATGTGAGCTTCACCAAATTTCTGGTGAAAGAATGGTGCAAGAAGGGGAATGTGGCACCTGTGCCAAGCCCTGTTGGCTGATGTGCTGCGCTGACCGCACTTCAATGTGGTTGGGCAGCAGTGCGATGACGTAAGGATGAGAGTACACAGCTGCTAGAGGAGCATCGCTCCATGTCAGCCCCACCTGAGATACAAGAGGTTATGTGCGGTCAGTACTTGCACAGTCCCTGTTTGGGAGCAAGAGCGCTTGACTAACTAGCGCAACATTCACCTTGCGTGAAGGCTTTCCGTCTGTTCCTATGAATATGCCAATGTTGTCCTTTGCAAGGAGCAGCTCGCCGCTGGCAAGCTGTGTGATGACAGGCGTGCCAGCTTTGCCGGAGGAGAACAGCTCCGATAAGGCTCCAGTGTTTGCATGCACCGTCGCATACCTGCACAGCTTCACCCTTTCAATGCAGGGCAATCACGGACCGCCAAGTACTCCAACATGGGGTCATCGCAGCATCTGTCATGCATGCCCAGATGGCAAGATGTTACGCAGGCGATATATGCATGGTTGTGCACTTACTCTCTCTGGAAGCCCAGGCACACATTGTCGCCACACCAGCCCATGGCCATCACCCTATCGGGCAGGCCCAGTTCCTTCAGCTCCACAAACTCATTGCCGTTGTAATGCAGCAGGATTAGCCGCCGCTTGGCTGCCACGCACAGCATTGCGCGCGTCTCGTCAAATGCAAATCTGTTGGCCCCGCGGGTGCGGTTCGCTTGGCAGGCCAGCTTGAAGGCAGGCAAGTGATGCGCGTTGACTCCCTCGTCTGACAGGCTGAAGAGCAAATTCTTGGACTTCCACACCTAGAGACACACTGGAACGAGTCATGAAACTTTCACTGAGCTTAAGCTTGTCGAGCCAAAGAAAGAAGGGGCATGGCATTGGCTGATATGCTGGCAGATTCGACTCAAGGAGCATGCTATACCCGCAGCTGCAGGATGCGCCTCTGCCCGAAGTTTTTGTACGCCTTTGTGACTTGCCACTGCCCATCCGGGTTAGTCCCATCCTGCTGCAGAACTACCAAAGTCCCATCTCCGAGGCCAGCCAAAATCTTGTCATCGAGCGCTTCTAACACTTCGATCTTCTTGTGAAAGTTATCTAATATGACAGAACATGAAAATGCTCTGAATTCTTCTCCTGGCATGGCGATCAACTGTCATCAAGCATCCATCAACGTTTTAATATCAACACATCATCTTGGGCAGCAGTGTCAAGCATGCGTCATGATGAAGGGGAACGTAAGGCACATAGTCTATTGACAGATGCTTTTCTTCTGTGCTCTGAGGCCCAAAAAGGGAACATATTTCGCACGTGCGCGATCATTTGCTCACGTGCTTCAACACAATATATTGCCCAAAATTCCACCAAATCTGTGTCTTGGGTCAGTCGACATGCCGCTTGGGCAAAATAATGCGATCATACGAAGTGTATAAGTCTGCTCAGATGGATATCTCGCGCTCATGCGTGTAGCAATCAGCAGTGTTCAAGCGGGCCAAGAGCGCCAGTATGCTCTCGCTGCGGGTGAAGGGGTGCGTGATTGTAGACGGCAATCTGTGGAAGTCACTTTTCCTTACAATGAACCGGCGCTCAGAGGATACCCCCGGATTGTCCTCTCGTCGAATGCGCTTGTCGAAGCGGATGGCATGCATATTGTGTGTTGATCCTTGATCTGGTTTCCTTTTGTCATGTGCAGGCCTGCAAATAACTGTGGAAGGCTAGATAATCGGTTATCAGGTAGAGTTGTTTTAGATTGCTGCAGCTCTGTATTGCGGTCTATAGAGAAATGGTGTCCCAAAAGCGATTGAACCTATAATCGTGTGCTGCCTTTACGCATTCTGACGATGCCCTGCAAGGTTCTTTGTACTTTCCCAATTTAAAGTTGCCTTCTTTTGTGTGCAGACCCCCAGTGGCAGGCGAAATTCTGTCCTGCTCGCCATCTCAGCAATGCCCACCTATTTCAACAGCAGAAAAGATCACAGCAGGCCTCACAGCATGCAGCGAATCTAAGGACGAGGAGGCAGAATATCTCATGCACAGCTATAAATCGTCACTTGGTGGTGCACGAGGATGCCGGCGTGTCACTACCTTTGGAAGAAGGCCTTGCTGAGGCGCCTCAGAAGCTGGATGCTCTGTACCGCTTCTCGCGGCCCCACACCATGTTGGGCACCTTCATCAGCGTGTGTTCAGTGTCAGCGCTAGCTGTGGTGAGCCTTCATTCAGGATGGAATATCTGCATTATCGCACATACATCGCAATGCATGCAATACAAGTATACAATATTCCTCTTGCTGTCCCACTGCTGCGCTGATGCATTGTATCAGTGATAAGATTTTTCAATTCCTTTCTTAATGCTGGCAGTGTGGACTGCATGCAGGGGCCCACTGGATGGACAGGACAAGCGTTCATTGTCTTGCTCCAGGCGCTTGTTCCAGCGCTGCTGATGAATGTCTCCATAGTTGGGCTAAATCAGATCTTTGATGTGCCCATCGACAAAATCAATAAGCCCTACCTGCCCCTGGCCTCAGGGGAGTTTTCCATGAGGACCGGCATTGCACTGGTATGTTGTCCTTCCACTGCCTCCACTTGCAAAGCCGCTGATCATTTCTTTCTCTGCAAAGCAGCCTGATTCCTTATCTTGCCTGATCGCAGTATCATGTGCAACTGTCACAGGTTGTGGGGACTGGCAGCTTGGCGCTTGTGATGGGATTTCTGACAAATTCTCCACCATTGCTAGCCACCCTTGTAGGGAGTCTGCTGCTCGGCATTGCGTACTCCACAGACCTGCCCTTCCTGAGATGGAAACAATACCCTGTGATTGCAGCTGCCTGCATCCTGGCAGTCAGGTGCATTTCCAGATACATGCACGTTGTGCAATCGACAGGAAGACTGGCGGTTACATTTCTTAGGAGACTAAGCTCATGCCAAGACACAGAACTTAATAAGCCCCTATTGAGAAGCATGATTGGGTGGTTCACAGGGCAGTCATGGTGCAGCTGGGGTTCTTCTTTCACATGAAGACGGCACTGGGAGCACAGACAGTGGCACTGACTCGCCCCCTCATCTTTGCCATATCCTTCATGCTCTTCTTCTCGATCGTGATCGCCCTTTTCAAAGACATTCCAGACGTGAAGGGCGATGCACAGGTGTGAGTCTGCCTGCTCCCCGATGAAGCCTTTATCCTGAAGACCTCAGGTGTTTTGTTCGGGGGAGCGCAATGTCAAAGGGCAGGATTTTTGAACAGGTGCAATTTCTCTGCTCTTTGCAGGAGGGTGTGCGGACACTGAGTGTGCGAGCTGGCGTTGAGACAGTGTTCTGGACATGCATCGTCCTCATGGAGGTTGCATATGCTGGTGCCATTGGCGTGGGCCTGATGTCACCGGTACCATTCTCCTGTTCTGCAGATTGTCAGATTATCTCTTAATATTCCAGCTTGGCTTGTACAGGTTGATAAGACAATGTCTAGCTGACATACAATCTGTGCAGGTCATGTGGAGCAAGGCGGTCACTGTTGCAGCACACACGCTCATGGGACTGTTGCTATTATGGCGTGCCAAACGGACCGACCTCAACAGCAGCTCAGCCATATATAAGTGTTACATGTTCACGTGGAAATTGTTTTATGCCGAGTACCTCCTGATTCCTTTCTTGTGCTGACTATATTGCTGTATGGCTGGAGGCTCGCATTGCTATTGGGACAAGGACAGGGAAGTTGCTACTGGGTGCAGGAGAAGACAAGTGTCCAATATTTCAGCCAAAAGGATGAGTATAATGAGAGGGTGAAATACACTGGGCGTTGGGTCTGTGAATTCTTTGGAACGCCACTTGGTGCTAGGCAGTGGGCAGCAGGCAACTCATGAATTTGACAGCATAGCTGCCAGGCCTGCAAATCAACCTGCTTGGTGCTTATGTGAGAGTGCAGGGTGACTCAGAATTATTGAGAAGACTTTAAACCTCAAGGGAGTGGACGTGAAATAACCGCAATTACGGTACTGTATTCTTCAACCCTGCAGATGTGGGTGGGTGTATCTCTTGCGAAGGACCCTCATCCGCATGAGGTGCTCTGAAGTGCTGTTGTTTTCTTTTTTTGAGAGACTAGAATTGGACAGGATTCAATTTCTAAAAGCCAGCCTTTTGTTTTCATGAGTCCAATTGAGAATTTGCAGTACGGCATTTAGATCAAAGGGGGTGCAAACGAATCAGAGGGATCCAGAGACTGATGCAGTTCGGTCCACAGGTCGTTGTAAACCCTGATTGATTTGGAAGAACAATATTATGTCTGGTCTTCATTGAAGCATTCTACTGTGCATAGAACACAGCATAGAACAAATTGTGAATGTCACTGAGACTGTTGTCCGGGGGGTTCATTCCAACAATAGTACACACATTAGTCTTGAAAAAATTCACAATTGCGCATGCCCGAGCTATATCTCTGGCTCAATTGAAGTATGTTCTGAGAGTTTGACTTCAGCAGGTGTTTGACTACAGCGCACTTCCTTGCCATTAGATTATTGGGGACGTGTCTATGGATTTCTCTTCTCTCATCTGCTCATGTGCAGAATGTAACCTACATACTAGGCTGACTAAGGCTCTGAGCCCCAAAAATGTTACACGAATAGGCGTCAGTGGAGGGCTGTCCATTGAACTCACTTAGCAAAAATATCGACGACGGTGGCGGCAGCGAAAACCAGAAAGAGGGTGCCACCCAGATACTGCACGGCTTTCTCTGACACAAAACGGCTGAGGTAGGAACCACCGAGCACAGCAATGCCTGTTGCCACTCCATGGCCCCCCACGGCCCCCAACACCACTCCTGCCGGCGAGGAGGCAGCCGCCAGCGCAATTGTGGCCAGGAATGACTTGTCGCCCCATTCAGCAGCAAAGACCAGTGCAAATGTGGACAGCACGAATCCGAGGGCCTCGCCTGCTCACAAGCACGCATGATAAGCATCCATGATCATCTTCCGTGAGCAAAGAAGCATCAGCATAACCTAATGTATGCCCCATCCATGCCAGGAGAAGGACACACACCGTTTCCAAGGCTGCCAACTTCCTTTTCAGCTTCATCTCTCTCGCCGGCTGCACTTTCATCGGCATCCTGGGCATCCTGCAAAAGAAAGAAATGCTCATGATCGCAGATTGGTGAATCCATTTGGTGTGATGGCGCAGAGCAATGCCAGAATGAAACAAAGCAAGGTGCTTACCAGCAGCGTTTTCACCCCAAAGAATACAAGAAGTGCTGCTGCAAAGATGTCGTCCAAAGGGAGGCTGTTGGCTGGCAACAGCTCATCCAGTTGGTGCAAGACCTGGCCCAACGCTACCTGCAAGCACCATTCCAACATTGCTTCTGAAGTGTTCCTTATGCAGGATGACAAACCCTCAAGGATGACAAGTGTGGGAGAATCACTTACTGAGATGACTGTCATGACTGCAAGGGCCCCGAATGTTCCTGCAAAGACGAGCCCCTGGGACTTTCTGAGAGCGAGAAGCAGGGCAATGAAGAATGTCTTATCACCCAGCTCTGAAAATAGAATGAGAAGAAAACCGGAAACAACCCCTTCCCTGAATGTGTCATCTCCAACGACACCTGCATCTCAACACACACCAGTGACTTTCCTTGCAGTCCAAGTCTATGTAACCAGACTATTTCAACATGGAAGGCAGGATCTTCAAGTCAAGGAGAAGTGATGTTTATGTGTTGGGATTTGCCTGGAATGGTGGTTGCTATATTGGCAACTACATCTGTGGGGACGCCAGCATGGGCAGGTAGCGCCACAAGCAGACTACTAGCCAAACAGGCATGAGACAGAACCTGTGTCAAGAATTGTCCAGTTCGAGAGGTGTGTTCAAGATCCAAAACATCGCCGTTCATGCCATCACGCTCGATAAGCTTTCTAGGCTTGTTATATATTCTAGTAATAAGTCACTTCACATGTGTTCACAGCATATCGAGACTATGGTTGTGTGGGGTACAATTGTGTTCCAATGCCTCACCTTCAAACCATTTTCTGACATATATCGGTGCAATCCAGATGGTGTGTCTCTCTGACAGGCAGAATGCGTCCAGCATCTGCCTTCTGCAACTGATGCTGCTCTAACTGGAAGCTGCCCCCGGAGCCGATGATGCCTTGCCTTTCGCAGGTGTACAGATCTGCTAGGTACATATTTTGCAGTGTGACACTCCCTGGATGACCTCAAAAGCGTCCCCATCCCCATTAGGTGCCCATGTTGCCCATAAACGTGCACATTAGGCACCAGCATCGTGTCCTGTCCTCCTACGGTATCTGCAAAGCTGCTTCTTTACAAAAACATCATCTTCACGATGGGAAGTATGACTGTCCAAATCTGACCATAAGTCGTCAAGAAAAGAAGACAAATTTGATGGGAAACGAAGGACGTTCATCGATTATCCCTTTTTATACTTTATTAACGCTTGTTTACGGGGATATGGGAAACCCTCGTTTATCCACAAGCGGCGCCTGCCGAGAGATTGAATTGTCTTTATTCCAAGATATAAAGAAACAAGAACACTTGTCCGAGATGGCCTCCCGATGTGTGGCCTTGCAGGCATCAGTCAGGCCCATTCAGGTATCCTGCCAATTATTCTATACTGCGAAGCATCCTTGTGGTGCTGCTTCCTTTGTCCCTGTGGAGACAAGATCTGACCTTGTCGTATTACTTCATGATCTTGCTTTTTTTTTGCTTGAAATTTACTTGAATGCCCTCAAGGAAAAGTTGGTTTGTGCAGCTTGCGTCCCGTTCTCTCAATAAGACAGGCCGAGTTGCCTGGGCTGGAAGGAGTACCAAGCTTGCTGTGCCGGTGTCCTCCAGAAAGCAGCCTCTGTGTGTAGCCAGCGTGAGTCTCTCTGAGTCTACCGTGTCTTCTGTATTGTAAATTTTGTCAGAGGACACCAATGTTCAGGCAACGAAGCACTGTTAGTCATTATTTTTTGCCTGTGCATGCAGATTGATGAAGCAGCAGAGGCAACACAGCCACCAGCAGAGGAGGTTGTGTCCGCAGAGCCTACAGCTGAGTCAGCCAGTGAGGCATCACAGGTGCTGCTGCTGGTCCTGAAGAAACACACATTGTGACACTGATTCCTGCTGGCTTCACAATATCTCACAAGCCTGTGGTCCTGTGCGCAGGTTTCAGCCCCAGCGGAGAGCACTCTTCCAAACCCTGCTTCGTATGCGCTGAACTTCTTGTGGCTGGAGAAAAACATCGCGGTGTCAGCGGATCAGGTCTTTGGAGAGGTGGGCATTTTCCGATCCTGATCTGAGCATTAGTATACCCAGAGAGAGCCTGCATTTAAGGCGGTGCTGCCCATATTTATCTGACATGCGTCTCTGATGCCGCGTCACAGAATCAGAGAAGCCCCCTCACAGAGTACTTCTTCTGGCCGCGTAAAGACGCTTGGGAGGAGTTGAAGTCAGCCTTGGAGAGCAGGCCGTGGGTCTCAGAAAGGTAGAGGCCCTTATGAGATTCCTGTACAAGTGTGTCAACGTGTGATGCATGAGGTTAAGGCCCTTATAAGATTCTTGTTCAAGTTTGTCAACATCTGATGCCCGGTGGACGAGGTTCACAGAATTTTATTCTCGTTTTTTTTTCAAGGGCTTGCATTCCACAGGGACAAGGTGTTGCTGCTAAACAAGACCACAGAAGTGATCAACTACTGGCAAGACGAGGAGAAGAAGCACACCTTGCAAGAAGTCCAGGAGGCTTTCCCGGACTGCAAGTTCCAGGGGTCATAGACCGTGAGCAATCCAAGGATCTGCATGGCGGCAGTGGTTTCAAGAAGCTACATGGCGCAGAGCAGCAAGCTTGGGGCTGTGCAGTCTGCACCACTGAAAAATTGGCGCTGTGGAGATGCACGTGCATTGATTAGGCCAAGCACACCACTCGTCATGAGCAGCCTTTCGAGGTCATGGGAGTCCCTATCGATCTGTTGCTTTGCATGTCCATGTTGTGCAAAAGTATAAGCTACTAACATTGGGCAGATTAATCTATACACTGATGCTGCACACTTGTATGTTGCCTCCTGCTTGCTGTGTCTGTCAAAAAGCAATGTCATGGATGGTTGGCGCAGGGCCCCAGCTGAGCTGGGCCCCGACGTCATCATGATCTTGATTGCGGCAGCGTCTGGCAAACACCATGTTCTGACCCAGGATTGTAATGATGGAAGTCTCTACTGATGGAAGATAGTCTTGTTGCGTGGACAAAGATGATGTCCTATCAAGTTGTGCCACCTTGCTTGAAGCTAGCTAGCCCACTAGTTGAAATGAATGCGCACTCATAGCATGGTATTCTAGGCCGGAATGCATGCAAGCCGATGGAATCTCCAGTGTTGCTTTGTCTTGGGTCTTCTAGTTGATTCAGCAGGTAGCGTTGATATGGTGGCGCGGCGGACCACCGAGTGACTCACACCCGTGACACGGGTCACGTGTACTTGTGCCCGGCAGCTGTGCTCTGCCAGACTAGCTATCAGTGGTACCTTCTGCTCCTCCAGGCACTGCCTTTTTGGGACCTGGACGCGGCGAGGCATGATCGGATAGAACGAAGGAGGGTGCTGGACATGCAAGGCAGGTCGTATTACACCAAAGACTATGCAAAACGTCATAGGATCGCAAGTCTCAGGGGTGCATGTAGTGCATATGCATGCAGCCCAATCAGGCAATTGTCCTCGTCATCATCTTGATAAGAAACCTCTCAAAGAGAGCCCATTACTCAAAGCACTAGTCTTTATTCAATCTTGCAACCATGTGAGAGCATTGGTGATTCCTTCTCTGTTAGAAAGGGGCGCTGTGGGCGAAAAGTGTTAGCTTGCAGGGTGTCTGTCGATGACGCTTGGTGACACTCTCCTTGCTGAATTTCTTACAAGCGGAATCAGTGTAGGTGAGCTATTGCCGTACTTCATATATTATTTTCTGTGCACCTGCGCTTGCCCATGTAACCATGCATTCCGATTTTTTGTAAGGCATCCCTGGGGCCTACCTCTCATCTGACGTGAAATGGTTGATCGTAGGCTGCGCCAATTTCGTCACACTTCCTCTAGGTATTACTTTAAGAAACATCAGTTTCTTTTTTCCTGTTCTGCTGCAGCAGTGTGTCTCACAAGACCTTACCATAGTGATCAAATATATTAAAAGGTTTTTTCTGAGCGGCCTGAATATTGCTGAGTTGTGCAGATGTCTTAAAGGTCCGATTGCAGACGCAAGCAGCTAGCTTTTCTTCCAGAGCTGCAGCACCTGGTCTGGTACGTGATCAACTGAAAGCTTACAAGCCATCTTGATTATACATCTGCTGTGAAGGAGTTCATTACAATGTCTGAGCCGCAATAAGAAGAGAATGAAGGGTGGAACCAAGCAACTTGCATTATGAGGGTCCAACGAGCATGAGCTGATGCCAATGCCACGTCCTGGTCGCAGTTCGCTACAACTGTCAATATCGTGCGTCAAGAGGGATTCTTTGCGCTGTACAGTGGACTGACTCCCGCTATTTCGAGGGGTCTATTCTACGGAGGTAGCCCACTCCCACCGTCTGGATCCAGTGCTTTGAATTAGATGCCTGGTGCAGTTTACCGATGTGCTACCTAGCTCACCTATTCATGTCGTGCTTTGTTTGTCGCAGGTGCCCGATTGGGCACATACGGTCCCATTAAAACAGCACTAGGAGGCGACGAAACCAACAACAGTGTGTTGCGCAACATACTGGCAGGCTGCTTGAGCGGCTCCTTTGCAGCGGCGGCGACGAATCCCATCGATCTTATTAAGACCAGGCTGCAGGCCAGGGACTCCCCCTTCAAGAATGGGGCGGCGGTGGTGCGGCACGTGGTGAAGGAGCAGGGCGTATCAGGGCTGTGGACTGGGACTACGCCTTCAGTGGTGCGCCTTCTGGGATGCCTAGTACTACTGGCGGCATCCCATCAACTTGCAACCTTGTTCCAGTGATGAGGAAGGCGAGTCACTGGACATATGCTGAAGACAAGTTTGTGCTGGTGCAGATCCGCGCTGCTGCGCTCACTGCGACCCAGTGCGCTTCCTATGATCTGGCAAAGCAGTGGTGGATGCGCCAGACAGGGATGAGCGACAATGTCGGCACGCACTTTGGAGCTAGCATGCTCACTGGGCTGGCGACAACCACAATCACAGCTCCTGTAGATCTTGTCAAGACAAACATGTTTGTCGGTAAGCCACCCTATATCGTCAGTGCTGCAAAGCACAATCACACAAGCAACTTGTAAGTTTGGTGCTACTGCCCCTTTCATGTTGTGGTACTGGCTCACTGAAACAAATGATCGCAGGCGGCAAGAGGTATACATCGGTGCTGCACTGCGCGTCCACTATTGTGAAGGAGGACGGACCCATGGGCCTCTTGAAAGGGTGGACGGCACAGTACATCAGGCTGGGCCCCCAAACAATGGTGATGCGCATGCCCAGTCTGTCTTTTAAATCCTGTTTCCAATGCCTGTACCTTCCAATGTGACGCTGTTGCTCGACGTCTCAAAAGTGAACACCTGATGGCGCAGGTGATCTTTGTGGTCATGGAACAGCTCAGGAGAGCCTCAGGCTTGTCGTCTCTCTGAGGCAGCGCTGGGAATCTGTCCATCTCACCCGAGCACCGCTGCAAATTTTGTTCTGCCTGCTTGGGCAAAGCGCCACGCTAGGACATACGGTAGCTCATAGCGTAGGAGATTTTACTGAGAGCCACAGTTTTGGATGCCCGCTCTGGCGTCGCTTCATGGTTGACCATCTTTATAAGCGAAGGGCTTGAAATCTTAGTTTTAGTAAGGTTTATTTTGATTCTAATAAAATCACAGACTCCTGAGGTGGATTGAGGTGTCTGGCAGAGGAATGGCTGCACTGGGCTTTGCATTGGTCCGGGATGATCTGCCCTCATCATGAGAGTGGGCAGCACACAAGATCTGCGGTCTCTGCAGCTCGAATCACTATGATCCGTAAATTTGATTGAGTATGGCACGTTTCAGTGTGGCCACTTGTTGCAGCCTACCAGACTGCCAAGCACCAGCATGCAGAAATTGCCACATGCTGTGTGTACATCAATCATGGACTATACTACCTAGTAGGGATGCCAAAGTGACTTCAGTGATGATGTCAGCACATGTATGTAATGGCTGCGTTTGCTGGATTCCTCGACGTCAGTACCGTACTGACGTGTGACTGTGTGACTGTCCGTGCACTTGGGTCCATTTCCATCTCTAGTATAAGCCAGCTGGAGAGAATTACCACATGTGCTGGCAGCTGTACAGGCTGTACAGTACGGCTCATGACAGCTGTCAGCTGCAGCTACGAGTAGTAGCTGTAACATAAGTAACCACGGCAGCTGCCACTGGCAGTGACGGCACCCGCCCAGGAGCACTTCTAGTAATTAGTAATGTTCACGTTGACTAGCTATACATGCTATCAGGATAACTTGAGTCTCAATTCTTGAGAATAACGGCATGAAGAATGGGTAGCACTGCCTTGTGGTCAAACTTACACAATGGGCACATGCTGGCACCTGTCACGACTTGTGACTCACAAGGTGGCCTGAACAGGCAACCTTGCAGACATCCTTTGTTGATGCGAATGTCCAAAGATCAGCACTGATATGCGCCTTTCGCACTTGATGCTCACCCTGAATAGACTCGATCTGCATTATAATCAAAGATTGATGCAAGGGTCGATTCCAACGTATTGCTCGCCATCAATCCTGGAACCTGCATCAAGTACCGCGAATCCATAGTCTTTATGGTCATGGAAGTTTTATGGAAGTCAGAACCCTGAAAGTTTGTTTTTGACATCTGCGTCCTCAATTATGCCGCGGTGGGGGGACGAAGAGAGGACTGCCTCATGCCCTGGGTGCCTCACTATACTGGTGAAGCTTCTGCAATTCTGCGGTCTGCGAGATAATGCTGGGTAAGCCACTGTTAATCTGAAGTGTCACAAGGTATCCTTGGAACCGTTGTCATGCCAGTTGACAATATTTCCAAGGTCATCCTGCCTGTACTAGCGAAGTACACCTACGACAATAAGGTTCGTCTTTGGCGATTTTTAATTGGTGTGGCACTTATGGATGAATGAACTGACCATCACTGTGATGATATTGTCATGGCAAGACCATTGCTTGGTCTTCGGGTACAGGTCACCTTGCCTTGAGATTTTCTTGCCTCAGTGCACATAATCCAGGAAAATTGTCCTGTAACAGGTATTCAGCTACTGGATCACGCAGCGAAGATGCAGAAATCGTACAAGCAGGGGCAGCGGAGGGCACATCACCCACCCCTTTACTAGCCAGCCGCAGTCCTGATCAGAGGGGAGCTCTTCTGCCCAAGGCATGTGATTGCTCTTTCAATTCTGACCAGTTGAAGTTGGAAAGTATCAACACTCTCGGTGCTTTCTGCTATAACCCTGTCACGCACACCATATGTGACTCAGGATGACGAGGACCCCTGTCATGAGAATGCCATTTGTTTGCAGGGACGGCCAAGAGAGGGAGACTCACAGAGCACATCTCATGCCCTGAGAGGTAGCTTTGCTGTGCATGAATCAAAGGATACTCCTCTGAAAAGCCCGTGAACGGTCCATTTCATGTTTCTGCAATATTTCCAGCATGGATGAAGTTGGAATGAAATACTAAGTGTTTGCCAGAAGGAGCGAGGACTGATGGCAGCAAGGAGGGCTTGCATGGGCTACACAGCAATCTCCAAGACGCCAAAAAGGGAATCAAGGGCAGCAGGGCAGCTTCTGGTGAGCTGCTTTAGCCCCTTTGTGACTGATAATTCAGCCAAAATAATGCCAGACAGCCTGATCATGTGCAAGCCTCTTTGCAGGCATGTCTTGTGATGTAGATAGCAAATAGACCCATTCATTGCTGACATATTTTGGTTGCTTGATGCAGCTGCGTCCTTGGTATCTGAGGATGAGGATATCTGTTCAACCTGCTTAGAGGGCTACACTACAGGTGAGCTTGATTGAGTCCCACATCCCATACAATTTCATCATTTAGATCATCATTTAGACCTTCTTTCTTAGACATGATGGGAGCCATGTGTCTTGCAGAAAACCCGAAAATCTGGACGAGTTGCCAGCACCATTTCCATTTGGCCTGCATTTACGAATGGCTGGAAAGGTAAGCTGTGTGTGCCTACATGGACAGATTCTTGTCTAAAGCTTCGTTCGACAGTGGTAAACAAGGTGCATGTAAACTCAGGATTGTGTTGCTGTTCACAGGTCAGAAACCTGTCCCATTTGTGCCACAAAGCTATCCTTTGAGGAGCTCCTGTGAACGGCTTGTTGCTGACAAGGTTGAAAATGTACATGTACGTTAATAAGTCTCAGAATGGTAGCGACTGCCTGAAGTGATTGCTCAGCAGGCTGTGGCTGCAATCCCAACTGCCTGTCATCTGACTCTATTGCTGTATTTTGTATAATAAAGGGACCCAGTTTGTGCGGCTCATTTTAGGTGTAGAAATGTAGGGTCTCTCAGTTTTTTGGATCATTGCTTTGCCAATCGTCCCGGACTCCTAGTGGGGTCGAATGAATACTGGGAACAGGTACATATTTGGTGTGTACTTCTTATGGACTGCTCATCAGCCCTTTTAGAATTCCCAGGCTTTCTATTTTGCACGATCTACTTAACAATATTTATTGCAATAGCAGCATGCACTGCTGATCTGGCATTGAGAGGCATGTCGGTTTGATGCCGGTCATGAGCATTTGGCAGAGGGGTGAAGAACTCAGGGATGGGCCCGTGTGATGCCCACTGGGCTTGCAGTACAGCAAACAGTATCTTTCTCAGTGTATATTTGGGACTGCAAAAGTGACACAGCATATGCATAGGCTGCAGCAGCTTTTGAGGATGCTGCCACTTGTAATGATAGCTCCATGCAAAGGCCCGCTTTGTTGCCTGTGGACATGAGCCTGCATGTAAGCAACCCTATGCTCACCATCATCTGCTGCAGACCGGTCCTGGTACCACTTCTGGATTTTGTGTGTGTGCACGGAGCCACTGATTTCATGAGGGAAACTTTCCATGCGCAATGCATGACCACCAGTTACTGACTGTTGATTTTCCAAGGTCACTGGTAAGGTGTGCATGCCCTGACATGGCAACAGAGACAAGATCCAATTGAGACTTTGATCAATTCATCAATTAATTACAATCCTGTGCATACTTCTGTTATAAGATACTTGGTGGGGCAATAGCGCAGCAAAAGACAGCAGACATCTGTGCAACAATAATGCCACAATCCTAAGGTTGTTGCCTCTCACAAGAGTACGAATGCCTTCATGATCATGTAGAAGGTTAATCACTTCAGCAATAAGAAATAAACACACACTGTGTCCCTCTTCCTCGCCTACTTCAGCAATGCACCAGGAGCCAGCAGCCACGGGCAGCGGCCCTGCAAACTTCCATGGGTCTTCACTGCAGACAAGACTTCAAGATTCCGCCAGCAGAACCTGACAGACCACAGCACTTGACCATCCCACACACTTCCCAATACTGGTAGGTTGTTGACCTTGAGAGACACTGCGCCAGGCAGAATGCTGCCGCCCTGAGAGTCAGGCTTAATTCCCTCTCCCTGGGGCGGAAAAGACACACCCATGAGCATTTGATTAAGAGCAGGATGAAAAAACAAATTCCAAGGACTTTTCGCCAAAAGCTGCCACGTTTGGAAGACAAGCCCAGCAAACGCAGCACTATATTTGGATGACTTCTTGCCCGGTGAAGGACAGGGCAGCATTGTAAATTCTATAACGATCAATCAAGCATGCGTAATGGCTGCTGTGTCATGCAGCTACTTCTGCATCCTTCTGAGAATTGCCCTAAACAACCCGTCTGCCAAGCTCAGCCCCTGCCTCTTGCGCATCTCAGTTCTGCAATCAATAATGCTCCGGCAAGAGAGTGTCCCGAGCCAGCACCCAAGCATCAGCAGCCTCAGGCGGTCCAGCTGAGGATGGGGTAGGTGTCTGCTGTGGGCGAGGTGGGCTGCTTGGCCTCCGCCTGTGCGCGGCCGGCCCCGGTGCCGGCAGCGGAGGCGGGCTGCTTCGACATGGTGCGCGCCCAGTGGATGTGCTCGGTGTACATGCCGGAGGGGCCGCTGCTAACGCGCTTGCCGCCCTTGCTGGGCGCCGCCTTGAGCGTGCGGCTGCGCTCCAGGCTGTATTGCGAGGCCAGCCCCGTGCTGCCACGCCGCCCCGGCCGCCGGAACGTCACTCGCGGCAGGCCCGCCTCGTCCCTGCGCCAGAGGCAACCCCGCGAGTCAGGCGCCGTCTGATCAGGACCTCGGGGCCGGTGCGGTCGTGGAGACAGCAACCATGGGAATGAGAGGATGCGACTGTCATGCTATGCAATGCATGCATGCAGGCAGCCAGGCAGGAGTGCGCGCCAAGGCAGGGATGGGATGCTCCAGGCAGGGTGCATGGGCAGGGAAGGGATGGATGCTGGCCAGCGAGGTGCATGCAGCGGCAGGCAAGGGTGCAGCAGCAGCAGTGCTGTGGGGAGGGAGGGAATGCAGCGGGGAGGGCGCTGCGCGCAGCATACCACAGGGGGGAAGGGCCGTTCAGGCCGTGGTGGGGGCAGGTTTGATCTCCTCGTGGCTTGCCCTGTCAAGGCGGATCGGAGGGGGCTTCATGCAGGGGCACCACTTGGCGCCCTGCAGGTGTCTCCGGCGGCGACCGAGGCTGTGCTTTGCAGCGACCGCCGTGGGCCTCTGCATGAGCCACGAGCCCATCGGGGCAAATGCTCTGCAAGGGGACATCTGGGCGCTCAGTCTCAAAGTCTCTGCGCGCAAGGGACGGGAGCCACACTCTTTTCCCAACGGGATACATAAGCTGCAGGTTGTGCGTGGAGCCACGCTCCTGATTTGTGACTAAACCACATTCAGTCCCCGCATCTGCACAGCTTCTGCAAGGCACATTCAGACAGCAACATTACATAGTAGCTGTGCATGACAGGGGGTACTAAAGACTACAGTAGTCTTAGTAGTCTTTAGTACACCCTGTGCATGATGCATGAAGAGCAAATGTAAGATTGGTGTCACACCGTGTGAGCAGCTTGGTGAGGAGGGCGACAGGGAGTGCCCCTGCTCCAAGGGCGATGGCGAAGAGCCACTCCTGCCAGTTCTGGGTTGACACCCGGAAGAATCTGTTGATGGGCGTCACCATGATGATGACCTGCATGCCACACTCATTCAGCTTGGTGGCTCCTCAATGTCAAGGCTGTGCATCACCATGACAAATAGGCACTATACTGGGGCCAGCAAGCAACTCAAAAGCATATACAGATGTCAATGAAAGTAGGGCATATGTCATGAACCATGAACTCAATGGAAATCCACACTGAGACTTAGGGGTCTTTGCCATGACTCATAAACCAAGGGTCTCAATGGAGCTGCGCATGGAGGCTTGGACTGACCTGAAGGATGATTTCAATGGCGTAGATGTACAGGAACATGGGCGCGTGGAAGATGCCTTTGAACACGTTCAGCTCGTCGTTGATCTTCCTGGCATTGATTTGGTTGACAAGCTGCAGCGCAACCACAACCAGCGTCAGAACGAAATGACAAGTCACTGCCACAAAGGCGCAACAAGAGATGGTGCCTACTGTTAGATTGATCCAACCGCCTCAGATGGCAGAGAACGTACCTGCATGAAGATAAAGGCATTGAAGACGATGGAGTTGGTTTTCCTGAGGTCGTACGAATGGCGCTCCTTGTATTGGTGGTCAGCCTGCGCACATAGCCAGAATTTCACCGAAAGCCACCACTTAGGATCTATCAACCTCACTTATAGAACATTCCTTCAGACACCACTAGCGCAAAGCTAAGGACAAAGACAGAGACAGCATCTGCCAGCAAGCACACCTTATTGTCCAGGTCGTTGAACTGCCACAGGCGGTCGCAGCTGTTGGGGTCGGGCTGGTTCTGGCAGAAGTTGGACTTCATGTTTTTCACGCGCATGCGCGTGCACACCGGCTGCACGCCAGGGTCCACAGCAGACAGGCCGCACAGGGGCTTCTCATCTGCGATGCATGCCCCCACACTCAACCACCCCCCCTGACGACATACTTTCCCGCCGCTCCCAAGCGTTATTCATTGTGTTACAATAACTTCATTAGCAACATTACCCAGTTTCTGAATTACCATTCGGCGTATTCCCAAGTGGGCAGCCTCATGACCCAGTATCTGGGCCTTTTTTTGCAGCGCATGCATTGGGAATTGTGACTCCATCACTGTATTATGGAGTTGTCCTGTTGTACAGTATTCATGTGACAACGGGGCCATGGGGTAGTAGATGGGGGGGGCTCACAGGGGTAGTAGAGGCCGCCCTGGGAGATGAGGTTGTCGACGCAGAAGCCGGTGGCGGGGTTGGTGGTGCAGCAGGCGTTGACGCAGGGGCCCTTGGTGCAGCGCGCGGTGTCCGGCATGCCGTACGAGGGGCCGGGCGGGAAAGTCCAGGGCGCGGCCAGGGCCGGGTTGATCGCCGTCAGGTTCAGGCCGGACGTCTCCAGGCTCTGGTAGGTCACGCACTCCGACGACAGCTGCACAGCGGGAATACACCAAGATTCAGGCTCGCCCCTATGGTCCTCAGAAGCAGGAGGCCCCACACAGCATGACTTGCACTGCAGCGCTTGTGAGCATGCCAAGCTGGTCACAGAGTGTGCGATAACATCCCATGTGTACTCCTTGAAAGGAAATGGCCCATGCGACAGGACTTGCAGAAGAGAGTGGTCTGCTCAACAGCACTACCGTGCCAGGCACAACCTGGAGCATGGAGAAATGGTGCAAAAGGGGCACCTTGAAGGCGGGCAGGTGAACGGGGGCGCCGTAGAAGATGAGGAAGAGCCAGAAGAGCTGGTAGAAGCCCTGGGCCAGGATGTGCTTCCACATCTTGGGGCTGATCAGCTGCTCGTCGCGCCCGTGCGGCTTCTCCAGCAGCAGCCCCGGCGTCGGCGGCTCCGTCGCCAGCGCTGAACACGCACACCCGCATGCGCCCGGTCAGCCTCGTGCACTATTGTTTCAATGGACTTCAGCAGAGAGGTTTGAGGTTCATCAACCTTTCATGAAATAGCACATCAGTCTGGCATCCAACGAAGGGCTCACCGAGAGCGCCTAGGGCGTCCATGATGAGGTTGACCCACAGCAGCTGGAGCACGTTGAGGGGCGTTTCTCCGCTGGTGATGGCGGCGATGAAGGCCACGACAAGCGCCACAAAGTTGACAGTGAGCTGGAATTGCAGGAACTTGCGGATGTTGCCGAACACGGAGCGGCCCCACAGCACCGACTTAACGATGGACGAGAAATTGTCGTCCAAGATCACGATGTCTGCCGCCTCCTTCGCCACCTCCGTGCCTGATCAGGCACAACATCAACTCCACAATATCAGGCACCAGCTCTTGCTTTTTCTGATATCGTGGGATATCTCTGACATTGTTGCAGTGACCAAACATCCAACAAGCAGTGGAAGGACAATCATGTGGGGCATGCTGGGTCTCCCACGGAGTTCCCAGGTCGTGCGTTGTCTCTTTCTTTCTTTCTTTCTTTGGGGCTGAGACGGCCGGCTTTGCAGCCTATTGCACCTGCATTACCAGCTTTGCAGGCAACAAAATGCAGCCGCCTGGAGATGCATTAAGAGAGCCACTTCACTACTTCTCTGCTGGCATGGTGAATGAAGAAATTGCAGCGGAGTAGAGCTTTACCGGCAATGCCCATGGCAAGGCCCACATCGGACTCCTTGAGGGCGGGGGCGTCGTTGGTGCCGTCGCCCGTCACCGCCACGATCTCGCCCAGCTTCTTCAGCAGCTTCACCAGCACATATTTGTCCTGCGGCGAACTCCGCGCCAGCACCTGCACGATCTCCACCATCTCAGCCAACCCGCCCTCCCAACTTTTGACCATTACTGAAGCATGCACATCTCTACAAAAGGATGACAGAGCAAGAAGCTGCGCTCCTGAGCCTTAAGCACCTGTACTTATGCTTGCTATGGAGTGGCCTAAACAGCAGAGGCAGCAGAGATTCTCCAAGTCATAGTGACTCCATCATGCCCCATCATTATTCAGTGGGGCGCCTATCACTCCTCCAGACGCGCTAGAGCCTGCCACCGAAGGGCGGTAAGTGTAGGTACAAATACAGAACGACAGACAGCGTGCCTGGAGCTTGGGCAGGACGGGGATGAGGTCCTCTTCGGGCATGGAGCGGAAGACGGGCCCCTCCATCGCCGTGCCGCCGTCAGTAAGAATGCCGCACTCGCGCGCGATGTGCTTGGCGGTGTGGATGTTGTCCCCAGTCACCATGCGCACCATGATGCCTGCGCGCTGACACGTCGCCACCGCCCCCGGCACCTCCTTGCGCACCGGGTCCTGCACCCCAGAAATCCCAAAATCCTCAGATTAATCCCTCTCAGTGCTGGCTACGAGGCATTCCATGGGTGCCTCTGCAAATGCTCGTCACAGGCTGCTTCAATCCATGCCATGGCTCCAAAAGCACAAATTTACCCATCCTTTGCATGCATGTCCCGTCATACACTTCTGAGACAGTTCCGACGGAGGAGTCATACTGCTAAATGAGAGTTGCTACATGAGTCTGAAGTAAGAGCAGAGTCAGGAGCCAAGGAAGAGAGAGGCGGGGGCTCACCTTGATACCGACGATGCAGCAGAGGGTGAGGTTGTCATCAGGCGGGTTCTCCCAGAACTCAGGCTGGCCGTCAGCGAGTGACTCGTCGATGTCGCGCTTGGTGAGGCAGAGCGTGCGCAGCCCGGTTGATGCCATGGTCGTCACAGTCTCCTCCAGCACGGCGCGCATCGCGTCCTCCAGTGGGACCACGTTGCCGCTGGGATCCATCACGCTCACGCAACGCCGCAGCACTATCTCCGCCGCGCCCTGCCACCCGCCACGTCGATTTCACAAAAAGGGCCATCTTGGCAATCTCCATAGGCATCTTCAGGCTCAGAGAAGTCATATCATGATCCTCAAGTTTGTGTCTGTGATCCACTGGACCCTGAGGTGCGTGCTTGACTGGCAACACATGAAGGCAACTGATAGGACAGGCCAGGGATGTCTGCGATGTCTCACATGACGTGCCGGCAAACAACAGACTCCTTTGTCCTTCGTTAAGGAGGTCCCTGAACCATAAGGAGGCATGCCAGCTAGCTGTACATGAACATGAGCTGCTTGCTTGGCTTCAAGCAATTGCAGGTGCTCATGCAAGGCCAGGGAAGGGTAGGTCACCTTGTTGTAGAGGCGCAGGCCCTCGGGTGTGCGCACGATCATGGAGGCCATTTTGCGCTCTGAGGTGAAATTGTAGACGTGGAAGATGTTGCTCTTGTGCTCGGCGCGAATGGCGTCGTACTTGATGCCCCAGCCGCGCAGCAGCATCAGCAGCGCGCACTCCGTGCGGTTGCCGGCAAACTCCACCGCATTCTCATCATGCTCAATCAGAAATGCCTGCCCCACACACGCATACCCTTCAGAAATCAGGTGGCCATGAACCAGGTGCGCTGACTTCCATTTTGCCCTCTTCCTGAGCAGGAATGGCTCATCTAGCAAGCATGATCAAGGACTGAAATGCTGTGTGGCACTCTTTGGAGCTGCATACTGACCTTGGAGTTGAGGGCTGAATTCATCTTGATGTCTGCTTGGAGGGTCTCCGGGAGCTCCTCCAGGGGCGGAGGGGAAGGCCAGATCTTGCCAGCAAACCAGCCAGCTACCACGGTCATGCGGTTCTCCGTCAGCGTGCCTGTTGCATCCACAAGCGCCCCATCAAAATGGCTGGTGCATGACATGGTAGCAGAAATAAAAGCACAAAGCTCACTGATCGGCTGAGACGAGGAAAAGGAATTTCTTTCCGGTGCGGCAAGCAACAGGGCCACACCTGTCTTGTCAGAGCAGATGGCAGTCGCGCCGCCCATGGTCTCACAAGCAGCCAGCACCCTCACAAAGTTGTTGTCCTTCATCATCTTCTTCATGCTGCACCAGAGAACACCCTCCGTCAGACCCTTCAACACATTAACTTTTACATGGCACATCAAGCCACAATGCAGCTTACCTGAAGCATGAACCCCGCAAATGATACCTTCCAAATCTCCTGTCCTTTAAACGCATTCCTTCAAACATACCAAAATTTGCACACACCTGTATGCCAGGGAGATGGTGACAGCCAGCGGCAAGCCTTCAGGCACAGCCACGACCACGATGGTGACACCAAAGATGAAGAAGGCCAGGGGACCCTCGCTGATCTGGTCGACAGGGAAGCCCTTGTTCTGGACGAGCCACCTGCACGCCACACAACTTCTTACCAGACTGTCCTTCATCCATGATGCGCAGATGGCTGCAACCCAGAGATAGAGCATACAGGAAGGCTCAAATATGTGCGTGTTCCGAGGCTGCGGTGTGTCAACTTCATCAAACTGCTCTTTCTGCGTCATATGCAGATGGCTGTGACACACGGATGAAGCATGCAGGAAAGGTGATCTCAGTGCTTGAATCAGGCCTGCACACCTGACAAAGAGGACGACGAAGCAGACAACACCGACGGTGAGACCGATCTTTCCGATGGCAGTGGCCAGGACGCCCAGGGAATCCTGCAGGGGGGTGGGCGATGCCTCGGTGGCCACCAGCGCCATGGTGCGGCCCCACTCGCTCTCAGTGCCCACCGCCACCACCAGCATCTTCCCGCTGCCCTCAGTCACCTGCACCCATCCATCTCGATCACCTTCCAAGAGATTCCCGCAGCTATGAAACTTTGCAGCCCCAACAAATCATTGTCAGAGGGGAAGAGAATGTTGCACATATGTTGCATTACACCCAATTGCACTACTGTACTGATTTTGGAGAGAAGACATCTCCAGAAGCAGTGTACAGTGCAATCAGATGCAAGTCAAGCACGGACTGATCTATGAAAGGCAGCAGTTGCACTTTTAGTGGGGCACTATGTTTGCGTCTGCTCTGCACCTGATTGCATTGCACCTGATTGCCCTGTTGTAGGTGCAGACCTGGGTTAGTGGCAAGGTGCAAGATAGGGCAGTCACCTGTGTGCCGGAGCGGCACCAGCGGTCCTTGTCGCCTTTGTGCATGGGGTCGGACTCGCCAGTGAGGGAAGCTTCGTCGATGACGAGGCCGTGGGAGTCTGTGACTATGCCATCGGCGATGATCTTGTCGCCGGTGTTGAGCAGCATGATGTCTCCCACGACGATGTCTGTGTTCTTGGCCATGGTCTGCGTGCCCCCGCGCACCACGGCCACCTCGATGCTGTTCTTCTGCGAGTTGATCTTGCGGAACTGCAGGTCCTTCTGGTAATCATTCCCCGTGGCTGCACAGAGCATGCACAGAGGAATGAGCGCAGATCACAGATCTACCCGCTTGGGAAGCTGCTCTTAGCTCCATTTAGAAAGCGAAATATGCAAATGCATGAGATAACCTGATCCTTCACCCTTCAAGTGTCCAGAGGATGCGAACAAGAGGGAGTGTTGAGAGATCAGAAATAAGGAAAACGCACCAACAAGGCTCACAACTATGACGGCAACCCAAATAGCTACTCCCTCAGTCCAGCCGCTCTGCGCTCTCTCCTCAGGCAATGCAGCTCCTAGGACGGTCGATATCTGCGCAAGACAAGATGCAGCTCATTGCCAACTGTGCACACCAATGTTTTAAAGGACATAGAACGCTCGCAATGCACAGGTGAGGGCGAAAGAGACACAGCAACCATTTGAGAGTTTCTCCGCTAGAGGAGGGCCTCACAAAAGGTGGTCATGCTAGGAAATCTTGCAGAATTGATAGAGGGACGCACCGTGGCCGCAACCATCAACAGGATGAGGATTTTGTCGGAGAGGTTGCCCCATAGCAGCGCAAAGAAGGACTTCAGGGGGACCTGTGGAAACTTGTTGGCCCCAAACAGCTGCCTTCGCCGCTGGATGGCGGTGTCATCTGTTGCTTCAGGGTTGAGACCTTCATCCAGGTCTGTTCTCAGAGCCTTGGCCAGGCCCTCAGGGCCTCCAAGCTTCTCCAATCCCTCGGTGTCCTTGTGCTGCAGGAACCAGGAAGCCAGCTTGGAGCAGGCAGAAGCTGAGTATAAATCATGCATGAGAATGATCCCACAAAGGGCAAAGATTGTTTGTCTGTATTAGATCGACCATAATAGCATGATGAAAGACTAGAAATGAAGCTTCTCATCTATCGACTTAAAATATTCCTCCTGCAAAGATAGGGCTGCCTCTGGAGGCCACAGCAGCAAATCACACACCAGATGGAGTTGGAACTTCGCAAGCTGCGATTTTTTGTCAAGTTTAAGGATTCTGTAAAATAACTAACCTCACTGAGTTCGCTCAGGGCTTTTGGAAATATTCCATAGACGTTGCTGGGGAACTCGACAGCCTCAGCTGGACCATCTTTGGCCGCTTTGCCCATGCGAATTCTCCTCCTACACTAAATAAAAGCCCCCAACCAAGTTTCCTATCCGCCCGTCGTTCTTTCGGACGCCCTCAGCCGTCAGCCGAGCATGACAAAGGATGCCAGAAGGTCCTCAAAAGCGATCCTGAAGCCACCTCGCGCAGCGCACTGCTATGGATAGCACCAACTAAGATCAGATCTAGCGATTGAATGGCGCAATCGCCTCGTTGACTCGATGTATTCGAAGACCATTGCTATTCTGAGCCAGCTTTCCGCGGGCGTGGATTGGGCGGCGTCCCCTCCGAGAGTCGGAAGCCGAAGGGAAGGAAGGGGGAAAGCAGGGGAAGGAGCTGCTCTTTCTTGGCTGCACTGCACTGCACTGGAAAAATATTTTTCTGTTTAAGCTTCCTCACATGAAGCCGCACAGCCAGCGCCGCATATGCATGCATGCGCAGCTGGCCAGCGCCGGCGCTTGTCGCTAGCTAGCTATATAGCGGCTTCATCGACGTCGCGACCGCTACAGGCCTTTATGCATGTGGGGCCGACTAGGACGCTGCGGTGGTAATGCATGCACAGCATGCGCCGCAGGCCCGCAGGACGCTGCCGCAGAGCATGCGCCGAACACCCGATGCAGTATGTACCTAGATTTCTGGAACGAGTGATAATGATGGAAGCATGCAATAGCCTGCCTGTGGCTGAACGAGAACATCCAAGGTGGATACGGTACCGGTAAATTTCCGGGTTCAAGTCCTTCCATCAGTTGGTGGCTTGCTTACACTTACCTGAATTAGAGAAGCAGTTCAAGTGGAAAGAACACAGACAACATGCCATCGCATAAAAAGGCCCATCCTGTCAGCAAGAGAGGATGCATAGCGCATTCAATGAAGTTCATCGAGGCACTTCCCCGCACTTTCTATTGGTCATGTGAAGGTCCACATAGACTGCAGGCGCACTGCATGTCTGGCATGCTCAGGGATGCTCAGGGCGACCCCATCATGCATGGCAGACACAAAGATGGCACAGTCTTTGTAGATCCAAACAAGAGGGCAGCACATCCAGCAGCTGTCATAATGACTGCACGCTGTTCAACAGCAACAGCTCAGTTCTGGTCAGTAAAACATTGGGTACAAATTGGGGCAACTTGCCTGGCGCTCTGGCTCCAACACTAAGGCAGCTGATATTCTGCAAGCATTTGGCTTGCAAAACATAGCCCTCATACTTGTCACTCCCCCATATGGTGACACTAGCCAACACCCACGCAATGAATGATACAAGACAGCGCATACAGCTACGCATCCGTGCAATCAAATCTGCGCTGCACCACTTTGCAGGAAGGGCAGATTGCAAACGGATGCCATAAGTTTCTGGTAGCAGTACAAGGTATACACTCACTTGTCAAGGTTTGGCAGGTCCACCCAAGCGTAGGTGAACTGGTAGAGGAAGGCAATCAGGGATACAGCAGCAAAGACCAAGAACTGGTGCCCAGGGAAGCCGACATGAATAGATAAGCTCCAGGCAAGCCCGCCCAGAAATGGTCCAAAGGCCCTCATGAGCGCCGACACGGCCTGCCCTGCACCATTCACCGCTCCTGCCACGCCCGGAGGCGCGGCCGCGTTTATCTGCACATGGCAAAGTATGTCAGAGTAGGGGAAGCTCGCAGCAGCATGTGAAGGGGCCATGATGCATGCATCTACACCATGCCAATTGAAGCACTGGTTGTAATGCAGGCTTGTGGTTCTGGTAAGGACTTCAAGGAGACAGCATGCAAGCTGAACCCCTTGACCTCAAGATTTGCTGAACACAAGTTGGCAGCATTTGAGTGTGCCAGGCTACTGAATCAAACACATAAACGGTGCTGCTGGCACCTTGCGGCACATGAATGCACATGACACAGGTAAATTGCCTTTCTGCATGGCTTGAATACACGCTGAGTCAAAGACGACCCAAGACCCTGCAGAGAAAAGGGGGCGCACAATGACATTGGAGCCGCTGTAGGCGGAGGTATCGGCAATGGAGTTGACAGCCATGGCCAGGAAGAGCTGCGCCATGACCGCGACTTTATTGTGCGCGAACAGCGTGGCCAGCGGCACAAACAGGGCGGTCGGAATGATCAGCACCATCCCCCACCGCGTGCACCACACTCCCCCCACCGCCTTGTAGAACCTGTCGTAGCCTGCCCAGCAGCAACATAAGAACGTCACCACTAAGCCACACATGCAATAACAATCATGTGCTTTGAACTTACTGCCAAGGGCACACACTGTGCACAGTATGTGCCCTTGGACATTGGCTTCATGCTGGTCTGCAGGGAACTGCAAGATAATGTCCTGTCAGCCTGAGGACTTCATGTCAAGGGACCTGTGCAAACTCCAGCACAGGCGGACATCCTGCTAAGACTTGCATCCTGCAAAGACTTGCAAATGTGATGCTCAGAGAAGACCATTTGCAGAGGCGGTCAAGTTGTGAAATTGGCTGAGACACTGACGTTTCAGAGGCAGGAGCACACAGGGAGAGACCTGCTTCCAGAGGCGTCAAGTCAAAAAGATAGGCTGAGACATGTCCGGTCAGGAACAGCAAGGGGAGGGACGGGAGCACACCCAGGCAGACGAAGAGGATGAACGAGAGCCCGCCAAAGGAGAGCGGCCAGGAGAGCAGGTGGGTGGACATGCCCAGACCGCCGTCCCTGATGGGCGCCGACGCAAAGATGGGCCGCACCTCGTCCAGCAGGTTGAACAGGAACGCCACCACGCCATAACTCGCCAGTGCCAGCAAGACCTGTAGCACAACCCTTACCACCTCGGCACTAAAAAATCACGATAGTTTGCATGCTTTAGCTGCGGAAGGATTGTACATCCCAGTGTCCTCCACTCTCAGGACAAGGATGCACAGGCCTGATTGCTGCTTGGAAGGACCCAGTGATTTGGGACTACGTCTGCACTGAGGGTGCGATTCAAAGCAACTCAGGCAGCAATTTGGATGCTGAGCAGTGGCGGCAGCCGCACCTGGCGGTCATGGTACCAGGGCCGCTCAGCAGGGGCCGCGCTGGCTTGGCTGCTGGACAACAGCCCTTGGTCCTCCCCCCATCTCCGCTCATCGGCGCTCAGCCTGCTAGCCGCATCCTGCTGCCACTCCCCATGCCCCTCCCGCGAGCCGTCCTTGCTCGACGCATCTGCACAAGAAGCTGGCTTCTCATATCTGTACCACTCTGAACAAGCAGATCCAGGCACTGATGCCGTCTCTGGCTCCTTACAAACGGGCATGTGCTCCCAATCCTTTCAATACTGACCTCTGCTGCTTTCATAGTTGCGAGGAGAGAGAGGCAGCCAAGTGGTGCACAGAGAATACATGCAGGCAGAGAATACATGCATCCTTCTCAGGCAGAAGGAGATGTCACACCTGCACTACTACGTTTGTTCGTGATGTCAGCAAGAGCCTGTGCGCTGCCCAGTTCAGGGTCTTCCTCCCTCCTCACAGCAGTGTAGCGGGGAGTTGATGCGGTAGAACCTCCAGGGAGTGGCGATGGCACAATGATTGGACGGGGCGATGGCGGCACGGCCGTTAGCGTCAACACTGCCCCGTCCTCTTCGGCCCCTTCCAGAACTGCGCAGCACTTCAGACCTCAGCCCCAGAACCAATACAACCGGTATATACTTGTTCAAACTGCAGAAAATAGGCGTGCCACCCCACCCTGACAGCAAGCCCTCTGACAAATCTCTCAACCTTTCTACATCTTGCACCACTATACAGGACATGAGCACATAGCACATGGGCGTTGCGCCTGCTGCACCCAACGGTCTCATCTAGTATGTCAATTTCCATCACCTAGAATGCACAGAAATGTCACAATTTAACAGATGCAGGCTATGCCAAAGATGCCCGGCCAAGTCAGGAGGTGGAAGCTGGCGGAAGCTGACCGAGGCTGGCATCGCTGTCGGAGCCCTCTTCGTCCTGATAGTCCAGGAAGGAGCGCGCGGACGGCCGCCGCATGCGCTCGGCGCCCTTGCTCAGCAGCTTCCTGGCCTCCTCCACATCGCCCCCTATCTGCGCCATCTCCACATCCCCCCCTGCCAGCAGTAAACGCCGCGCCTCACAAACACAGGACAACCGCGCACACGCATGATGCCAGAATCGACCTGTGCGCGAATTACTCCATGAAGCTAGGCAACCGCTTACCCGTCCCCCCACCCATGAGATGGCAGGAGGCTCAAAAGGCCCAGGCGAGATGCACAAACTGGCTCTGGGACCGTGAAAATTTAAAAGAGCTCTGCAACCAGCGACGAGATGCTCACTCTGCTTGGGCTTCCGGCGCAGCGTTGGCAGAGTCTCTTCCAGGATGCAGCTGCTGAGCATGGCAGTGATGAGGCCCATGGTCGCAGCAAACAGGCAGGGAAGCAGGAAGGGCCTGCACCCAAGAAGGCCATTTTGCCAGCAGCCACAACGAACGACAGCCTTGCAGAGTTGTCAATGGAGGGCATCCTGGGACATGGCAGGCACAAAATGAAAGGTGCGCACCTGCGCTGGAACAGGGCATCGTTCCCTTGGCACAGGGCAGAGCTTGGGAAGATGCTGCAGGGGTAGGACAAGGCTCCTCCAATCATCGGGCCAAGCATGCTCCCCTGGGCACAACACTACAAACCTCACAGACCTGTTTGCACTGTTTTGGTTTGACATGTGTATATCAGGTATTTTGCATAATGCGGAGTGCAGATAACCAACAGAGCCAAAAGTTTGATTGCGACTTTACCAATCCCCACGCAAGACCCAAGTATCCCAGCGCCCTTGGCAGCGTTCTATTCGTGCAGCTGTCAGCCAGCATGGCCTTCACAGTCCTGCAGGGCAAGTCCACATGAGTTTCTGTCCCAATTCAAACCTCTGTCATATTCATGCGATGACCTTGCTCCATATAATACATGGGCGCAATTCTCAATGAATATGCTGCTTAGACTCGTTGGCTTGCTGCAGTCTCAATGGCTGGGCACAAGCTTCTCACCCTCCAGTTGCGTTGAAGATCCCCCCAAAGAGCCTTGCTGAGCAGGCCATAGCATAATTGCCAGACAAGCCAAAGATGATGGCGGAAATACACCCCGAAATGATCGACATGAGTAGCACACACTTGCGCCCATACTTGTCCGAGAAGACACCCCAACTGTACGAGGTCAGAAACTGAGCGCCACAGAAAACAGAGGCCTGCAGGCAGCAGACTCCTTGAGTACAATATCACCGCCGTGATACATTCTGCCTTAGTGAGTGTCAAAACTATTGCAGAAAAGTGAGCTAAAGTAGCCTTCACAGTTCCCCTTACCAAGATCCCGGTGAGCCTGCCGACCGTCTCTTCATCTACCTGGGCATCGGTATTGCCCCCTCGCAGGAAGTCTCTAACCATATATGCGGCTGCAAGCATCCAGAAATTTTTTGTTGTGCCAATCGAATCAGGTGTAGAGCGCTGCATGGATATTACACGTTGCAGGAAGGTCAGGGCAATTAGTAGGCATAAAGGGGTGATCAATGCGAAATATACCCATCGTGTAAGGCATTGTGATGTGGATCCCCTCCAAGACCTCTCCCAGGCTTTGTCACACACAGAAAGGTTTTCTCAGATGATTCTTTCAGATGGGTCTTTGACTTAAAAAGATAACATTTTAGACATCTCGACAACAATCGTAAGATTTTTAAAGACTGCAATGTCCACACAGTCTGAGAGTGCTGCCACACAGACATGCATTCCATAAGATGACGTATACTGTGGTCGGCGATCAATATGCCCCCAAACAGCCGAGCTCACCATATGATGGTGATACGTAGGCTGTTAAACTCATCCTGCTTATCCAATGTTCTCTTGGCGTGAGATTCAGTCGTGAGCTCATCCCGGCCATCTTGGAGCATTGATCTAGACAAGGGAATCGTTTTACGACCAAGACTGGGGCCTTAGGACGATTCCCAAAGACCTTTCAAGCGCCCCACACAAAAAAGCGTCCTCACTGGTACAATGCAGGACATCGCGTTACGCGCAGCTGGACGAAGCAGTCGAGACCTTACTTCCTATCTTGGCTGTCTCACCATTGCGTCATGCAGTCAGGAGACCTGCTTATTATGTTACACCTTGCATGGTCGGCATACTGATCTCGTTCAAAATGGGATTAATATAAGAATCAGAATTGCAAATCACGGATATCGTGTTCAGAACTAGGCCTTAGTGAGGCCTTCTTTATGTTGAAAACTTTTTCTTCCACTGTCAGCTGCAGTCTGAGATCTTCAGATCTGCCGCAGTGCATGCATGCAGCCGCACATACTGGCATCATTTGCACCCTTGATGATATTACATGCACAAATAACCCACATTGGGCTCAGGTGCTGATGGTATATTAATATTGCGCCTGTTGTCTAGGTATTGCCGAGATACTACCTAGTAGGTGCACGCTGACAAACCGTCTGTTAAAGCTTCCAGCTGCCAGACAGTCAGTGACGGGTCCAGACAAATGTCCTCCGTCTGCATTCTTGATCAAGAGTGCAGACACTAGGTCTTCCTGAGTGTTAGCAGGGTTCCGGCTAGAGCACCGCGCTCCTGTGGTCCAGAGCGCACCACCACTTGAAGTTGATTGCCTGTCCAAGTATCAGAAAATTACGATGGCGGGGAAATTGAACCCTCAATTCCGCAATTTTGTCAACACACGACTTTGCATCCACTTATACAGAGTGTCTTGCACAGCGCTCACTGCGCTCAACAGGCATGCAGCACCTCGACCAACCCAACTGTCTGACATCTGTACTTCCTCTCCACTGGCCACATGCGACGGCATGCTGCACATTGTGCGCCAGTAGGGATAAATATATATTTCACAGTTGTTTTATGCCCTGTACAACACAGTTCTGCTCACCCGATGCAGCCTTCAGATTCAAGGGATCAGGCGTCACTGCCAGCTGCCACCAGCCCAAAGCAGGAGGGGCTCACAGCAGAGCATGTGGCGTCAGGCCTTGCGGCGTTTGGCGCGCCAGGTGTCGATGCGCATGCGCAGGGCCAGGTCGTCCTGCAGCTCCTCAAGGCACAGCGGTGCGCGTGTGAAGGGGTCCGTCGCTGATGTCAGCAGGTGCCGCACCGCTGTGGACCTGCCGCAGCAGCCTCTTTCTTAGTGAAAAATTGCTACTTATTGATGGAAAGCCGTGGAACACCTACCGTGCAATAAGCCCCGAGCAATAAGCCCCGAGGAATCTCTCTCTTTCTTTCAGTCCTCACCTCTCTTGCCCACAGTCAGCAACAAGGTAGGTTGATGGCAGGCGGTGCACATAACAGTTACAAATTTGGGCAGTGTGGATCGGTATGCATCAGGTTTGTAGGCAAGGGGAAATGAGAAGAGAGATGAAAAAAGAGACGAGGTTGCAAGGCAGGTGGGCACCTGTCTACGGCGGTGCGCGAGTCGGGCAGCAAGACGGGGTCGGACATGGTGATCATCATGATGGGGTCGATGAAGTCCTCCGGCACGTCCTCGTCGCTCGACTCCTCGCCCTGAAGCGCCCGCTGCTGCTTTGCAAACCCCTGCACATGCCACCATGTTTCCGCTGAGCTAAATTCCACTGATGCGGCAGTGTGCGGGGGCACCTAACCCCAACTGAAGGACTGCTTCAGATCTGTTAGATACGTAAAAGCCCCTGCCATGTGCAGGACGGCCAGGGCACTGCTCTTGGATATCCACTGGGCAACCTCTGCTGGCTGCAGGTATAGCGGGACCATCCCAGCCTAGCATGGCCGCCCTGGAATTGAGAGCCTCCTCCATTGCATGCACTGGCAACAACTGCTTGTGCATTGAAAGTGGAGTATTCAGGGAGCGTCGGCTGCGCGCCTGCAAGGCAGCAGCGAGGGCGTCGAGCTGCGAGCAGCGGTCGAGCCAGAGGGCGTCACTAGGGAACTCCTCGGCGGCCAGCGCCCGGACGGTGCGCGCGGCAATGCAGCCCGTGTAGCCGCCAAAGCCCACAGCGTGCAGCGCCGCCACCAGCAACTGCCGCTCCGTGCCGTCGCCCGCCGCAGCCGAGAAGGCCGAGCGCCGGCCGCGCGCCTCGCGCTCGCTCTGCCACACGTTCAGCAGCATGCCTGGCACCCAGCAACACTCAAAGTCAACAAATTCCTCCCTGGACCATGATGTCTTCTGAGCAACAAACATGCAACTGCCTCCGGTGCAGAGTCTGGCACCCTCCACATGCCACGCACCAGCCCATGTGATTCTAGTGTTGCTGCCTGTCGCAAGTTTGCGACTGAAACCCAAGACTGGACAAGCAGACGGTCAAGAGTCTTGCACTCTTAGCTCCAAGCAAGGTATGAAGGTTCAACGCAGGGGCGCACCGAGCACGGGGGCGAGCAGGACGGCGCGCTTGGCGTTCTGGGCGGCGGGGAAGCGCTGCGACAACACGGCGGAGATGGCGGACGCGGCGGCCGTTGGGGCGGCAAGGTGGGCGACCACGAAGCAGGCTGTCTCGGCCAGGCGCGCCATGTTGAGGGGCGGCCCCGCCAGGAACGCGCGCGGCAGCCGCGCCGTCACAAACTCCAGCACGCGCGCCAGCGTGGCCGCCAGCTCCAGCATCACCACGCACCTCCGCTTCAGCGCCTCCTCGCTGCTGTGCGCACCCTCCGGCCCCTCGCCCAGCTCCTGCGCGCAAAAACGTACCCTTAGGTGCTTTTCTCCTGGAGACTCTGCGTTGAGGCCGCCTGCTCCAACTCCAACTTTACGACAACTCCTCCTTCAAAAGCCGCATAAATATAAGTGGGTATGTCGCTGTGGCAGCCTGCCGGGATGGCTTTGATGATGTAAGAAGCTGCTGGTGCCAAAATTAGGTCTCCAATTATAGGCTTTGACAGTACCCAAAAAAGAAGCTGGGGCAATCGTAGGGCAAGGTGGAGGAGCTGGCCTCGCACCTGAGCGGCGACGGTGAACTCGGTGAGGGTCCAGTTGAGCATGGCAAAGAGCCGGTTGAGGAAGCTCTCGCACAGCTCTGGCCGTGCTTCTGTAATCTGCACCAGGGACGCCTGCAGCACCACACATGCACAAATTCAACAGGTCCCTTAATGTAATAAGGGGAGTATAATGAGGTTCCTCTTTATACTCCTGGTGACCTTATCCTTCATCAAGACTCTGCCATGCGCCTTTTTTGCCTTCAACTGACCAGACATGATCGGCTGAGAAATTGCTGTAACAGGTTGCTTTTTATGTGACTTAAGGGAGAAGGGTGTGGCCTCCGCGCACCTGAAATATGATGGAGCTGCTGGCGGCGGCACGCGCGAGGGAGGCGCCAAAAGCATTGGAGCTGGTGAGGCGGGAGAGGATGCTAGAGACGGGCACCCAGTCGCGCCCATTGAAGGCCTCCAACAAGCCCTCCACCTGCAGGCACACCCACCCGCCGCTTACACACCATCCGCTCACTCGCACATGCAATTCTCTCGATAGTTCAAAAACTTTTGCCTCTCCCCGATGATAGCCAAAAGAAATGCAACATCCATGCGACTTGACTGAAAAGCAGGGCTGCAAATTGAGCAACAGAGGCCCAAATCCAAGCGCTGGTGGGCTACCCTTGAGCCTAGTCATCTGTGGGTGCAGGTCGGAAGCTCCCCTGACCAATCACTTGCATATATTATAGCATTTATTACAGCCCTCTAGGGCTGCTCTAGGGCTGCAGGTGAGCTGTCACAGACAGGGGGTGAGGGGCATTTGGAGCAGAAGGCAGCACCAGGTGGGCGCGTGCGTCGTGGCTCTCCTCGAACTTGGCCACGAAGGCCTTGGTCTGCAGCAGCAGCGACACTGTCTGCAGCATCATCTCGCGCAAGTCCGGCCCCACGATCGCCTCGTCGCGGAAACGCCGCGCCAGAAACGGCACCAGCGCGTCCGCGCACGCAGCAAACAGTGGCGACTTGGACACGTGCGGCCGCGATCGCACTGCATGGAAACCGTCCAACAGCGCCTCCAGATACAGCTGCAGCAACGATGCTCTCATCTTGTCAGTACTGGCCCCAGATGACTCCAAAGCTTTTGCACATATGACAGTGTTGGCTTTGTTGTGGTGGGCTAATGGGGGCAATTGTCAGCGCATACATGCCTCAAGGATGCATGCCTCTCGTGCAGGTTCACTTGAGCCTGACAGGTTGGTCCAAGCACAACACGATGACATGTAAATTGTCCTCGGATATGCGGCTTGGGGGTGCAGGTACCTCGGGCACGTATGCAAAGAGGACGCGGTGCTCGGACAGGGCGGAGAGCAGGCGCGCAGTGTAGGTGCCCAGCACCAGCAAGCCCTCCATGCCCCTCGCCCCAAACAAGCACGCCTGCATCCCCACACAGAACACCAGCCACCTCTCAGGCAATGCAGGGTGGACTGAGGCAGTGCAAAATTGAGCAAGGCAAGATAATGAAGCTATGGTGGAAGTGAGCGGCAACGGGCCAGGAATGTAGGGGGTTGCGCACGTTGTGCCAGGCTGCGAAGCGTGCGCTGTCCACCAGCACCCGCTGCCAGTTCTTCATCGACTTGGCCCACTTCAGCAGCTCCTCATCGTTGTTCTGCATGCTCTGCGGCACATCAACAGCCAGTTTAATGCCATCATCTCCAATGCGACAGGACCGCTTCATCCAGACATCAGGCTCACACGCATGACTAAAATTTGTCTCAGTAGGAAGCAAGTGACACCTTTGCAAGCGCACCTGCAGCTGGTGTTTGAGCTCCTCCACGTGCTGCTGCGCCTGCGTGGCGTTCTGCTGCTGGAAGCTGGCGCAGCGGAACGCGCCCACCATGCCCAGGTGGTACAGCCGCAGCATCGCGTCCAGCAGGCACGCCGCCTCACGGCCGGTCAGCGGCGGCGGCTGCCGGCCCTGGCTGCTGCCGGGCACCTCCATGGCGGCCTGGCCGCAGTAGGACGGCCCCTCCACTTGGCCGCACATCCCGGGCGGTCCATAGGAGCGGCCGGCGGCTGGCGTCTGCGGCGCGTGGGCGCCGCCGGCCACCGCCGGCCAGTGCTCCGGGCTGCGCTGCTGCAGGGCTGGCCCCTCCGCGAACGAGCAAGGGGCCGGGACGCTATCGCATCGCATCGGCGCGACGGGCGCGTGCGCGGCAGATGCCAAGTAGGGACAACGCTGGCTGGGTGCCGCGTGGCCTACAGGCTGGTCGCGCTGCCAGGGGTGCATGTGCCTGCCTAATGCCACGCTGCTGCTGCTGCCGGAGCCTGTAGACAAGCTCGGGTGGGCGGCCGAAGGCCGGGTTTCGCTGTGGGGCGACCGGGGGACGCCGTGGTCCAGCCAAGAGGCCAGGGCAGGCCCCTGGAAGAGCGCCCGGGGCGGCAAAGTGCCCTGCCTGTGCGTCGTCTGCTGGAAGGGACTGCTCAGGGGCTCAGCGGCCGGGAGCCTTGCGTGCGTAACGGGGTCGCCAGCTGCGTGGAAGCTGCCGGGAAGGGCGCCGGGCGCGCTCCAGGCGTGCTCCAGCGGGGTGCGAGCCGAAGCTTCGGCGGTCCAGGGGAGCCCGGAGGGTGGGGGCATTGCCCCCCGGTCGATGAGGGGGGCCCTCGGCGCATCCCCCGCAGCGAAGAAGCTGTGCGCGTGCAAGCGCTTGCGCGTGGCGGCCTGGTGCTGCCCGTCGTGCGCGCAGGCATCCATGCGGCCGCACTCGCTGCTCTCACTGCTGTCGCGGGAGGACACCGTGCCACTGGAGGAGCAGCTTGCGCTGGAGGCAGAGGCCTGGCTGCCGCAGCGCTCCAGGCCCCGCTGCTGGCGGGGAGTCAGCTGGCCGGGCGTGGGCGGTCCCGGCTGCGGAGAAGCAGCCGCCGCGGACCCTTCCGGCAGCGGCTGCACGGGGCCGACCGACAGCATGGCGATCAGCGCGACAGCGTCCGGCTTTGCCGTCTTCTCCAGGTGGCTCAGCGCGCCCCCCAGCCTCCCCGCCCCGCTGTATGGGTCCAGATGACGGCTTCCGACGCCCTGCATGCACACAACAATTACGGTAACCAGTGGTCCAGGCCCTCATCATACTCTGCAAATACCCTTGTTGCTTTTATTATGGGGTCTGCTTTGTGCACCATGCTCTGCAAATCACCTTGCCACTGTGGTTGAAGAATATGCTTTGAGCTTTTTCATCCGCAAATTGCAGTGTTCCCTGGGTTAAAACATCTTAACAATTGTGCAGGCAACAGGGTATGATTTCCTCCATGATGCCAGACCTGCAGGAACATGGCGCCGGCTGGGAAAGTGGAGAGGCCGCCGTCGCCGTTGGAGCGGCCCTCGAGATAGGGGCGCAGGACGCGCAGCAGCATGAAGAAGGCGGAGACCAGCACGCTGCTGTCAGACAGGCCCGGCGGCGGCACGTTGCGGTTCGTGCCCCGGTTCTTGCGCACCAGGTGCTGCACCAGCTCCGTCAGCCGGTTGGGCACGTCCTGCTGGCCCCCTGCAATATCATACCCACTAAGCCTCAACCAATTTGTTTGCTGGCCACAACTAGGGTACTCGCATGCCTCGTGCTGACACTAAATACGGATGCCATACTAGGAAAAAATGATTTCTTGGGAGTCGCTCTATTCTGCACAGAGTTGCTATTGCGCACAGATTGATGTGTCCTAGCAGAATCGTCAATCTAGCTAAGAAGGCATTTTGGCAGAGAGGGGCCCCGCACAGGTGTCGGCGCCCGGGGTGGCGAGCAGGAGGGCGCAGAGCTCGGAGTGGCGGTCGTAGACGGCGGCCAGTGCGGCCTGCAGGTCGCGGCTGGCGCGCTTGTAGTGCTCCTTGCTGACCACGTCCATGCCCAGCTTCTCCGCATCGGGCCAGTGCACGAAGGGCAGACAGCCGGCCAGATCGCGCGCGCTCGGGGGCTTTACTGCCAGGAAGCCCTCGAAGGATGCTTTCCACGTGGGCGCGGCCAGCCACACATCGCGCACGGCGGGGATGCGCATCAGCGCGGTCGCAAAGTCCAGCCAGCTCTGCAGGCTGCCCTTGCCCGCCCACATGCAGCCGGCTGTCCGGCACCTCCAAGAGAGGCAATCCAGCACATGCAGCATCCCCGCCCGCATCTGCACGCGCCACGACAAACGTGATAAGATCTTTGAATCAGCTTCCAGATTCCAAGTCGTCTCATTTGCCCACGCCCTTGACTGGGCAGAACAGCAGAAGAGCAAAAGGCATGCATTTGCAGGGTGTCTGCCATGGATTTGATGGACATGTCTCAATGAGGCCATACGCATGGTTTTGTGTGGCACAATCATCCTGACATGAAGCCGCCCACCTCGCCGCTGGTGATGTGGCCTCTCATGAGGTTGACCGCGAGGAACAGGGCGCCGTCGCCGGCCACGGCAGGCTCCTCCACCAGAGACAGCAAGAATGGCAGGAACGCCTCCATGACCACATATTCATCTGCAAGCATGGGACCTAGCAGGCCTCCGAGATCCAGCAGAAGCTGCTTCAAGACGCCACCCTCGTTCAGCACAGCCTGCAATGCAAAGCAGGAGGTGAGTGATGAGTGTTTGAGACTGTGGGTAAACAGTACTTGCAGCCTGGAAGTTTTTGACTTGTATGCGGTGTTGCAAATGGCCTCTCAGTGGTTGTGCTGATGAAACATTCTTGAGCTGTGCTGCGCACCCAGGTCCCCCTCTTGCAGCTTCTCTTGTAGGCGAGCTGTGCGGCAGTGAGCGTCCGGAAGCAGCCCAGAAGGTAGGCAGCACCCGCACAGTGAGCTGGAGGTCTCACTAGCGGCTGATAGTCCTCTGTGGGGTGAGCAAAGGGCCGTGATCCAAAATTGAACTCGCACCGCTCCCCTGTCACACAAACGGCATGATGATGACTTAATAATCAGTGCTGAGTGGGCATTGCAATTACATGATGTGCTGATGTACTGCTTCAAACGCACCATACGATAACGAGGCTGCAGGGAAGTAAGCCAATCGGCGGATGCTCTGGAAGGCTGCGCCCAGATGCACCCCATTGCGCCAGAATGAAACCGTCAACGTGTCGAGATCGAGCCCGCAGCCAATCACGTCTCCTTGAGCCCAGTCCTGACCGTACGGTAGACCTGCAGGATCCCAGAAGCACATCAACAGGTCTAGTGATGTTTGTACTAAACAGCTCTTTGTTCAAGATCCGCTGCAACCTGCAATTCACAGCTTGACACTAGCAGCAGTCTTGCACTTCTGCAGCTTAAAAGCGCTTGGGTGCAAGCTTACAGCTGATATTCCACTTGCGCACGCGCTTCCCATCGAAAGAATAACTGTCCATTGAGTCGCCAACGCCCTCCTCGTTGCTGAACTGACAGCTGCTAGTGGCCCAACCGAGCTGCATGATCCCTGAAGTGCCCAGGGTGACCTCATACATCCACTTTCCCTGCAGGACAACACAGCCTTCTCATCTGGAACCCATCGGTATTTAGACAGATGCTCATGATTAGATAACACATAGGTATACAAGACATTCAATGGCACCAGAAAGAGCTAAGGTTCTATTGGCATTCTGGGTTCAGGAAGGCACGCACCTGATGGACCACAGATGTGGAAGCCCTGAGGCTGGAGAAGTTAGAGCAGGATTCAACGCTTCGACCTTCTATGCGCAAATCGCCTGACACGAATCCCTGACGGATGTCCACCTCACAGGTGTGGCAACAGCCACCATGGTGCGGGTTTCCTCGGAATGACAACGAGCCAAGCTTTCTCTGGAGCGTTCCCGCAAGGTCGTATTCATCCCCACCCGATCTGATGGCATCGCAACCCAGGACATCTCGAAGAGCGTGTTTTAGGTCGCGAGAGGCGCTTACTCTGCTGGCAAACCCAGCCATCGGGTCCAGACCAGCTTCTTGCGCTAGTTCATCGCCTTGTCGCCTTGGATTCCCTCTGGTTCCGACATCTGAAGCCGTGCTTTGCTTCCCTGAGGTTCTCTGCAAATCTATATGGATGCATCCGGAGCTCAGTCCGGGTTTGGGAGGTCCATTCTGGTTCGGCCATTCTGCTCAAAGCCAGCATCGATGGTGACTGGCACTGATGATGTCATCAGCCAGCAAGGACCTGGAAGACGACCAAATTTCCCTGGCTTCGAACAGTCTTTGACACAGTTGTAATTGATGTATGTATGTATTGCAAGCTGGAACTGGAGCTGGATCTTCTGCTGCAGTTGGCGCCAAGAGAAGGAGAGACTCTGCTTCAGTGATCGTTAGATGAGCTCTGTGAAAGCATCATGCAGTCCCTTTCATCATCTCGAGCTGCAGACTGGATCCAGATCCGGGAGCCTGCTTCTGATGAGGAGGTAAGGATGCATTGCCTGTACTGTGGGCATCCCATGCAAGGCAAGGTAGATCGTCTACTCACTAGTACACGTCACAGTGCTCTAGCAGCGTGCCTTTACTCTATTTGCTTGCATCACAGGCGCTTTCTGCCCTTCAGCGTCTGGTGGCCGGCAGGCGAGTCGGTTCACATCATGGTATTGGCTTCACTGTGACTCTCTGAACAGGTTGTGAAGGAGACTGACGCCTGAGGTGTGCAGGCAATCCATTGGTAAAATACAGCTTGAGGATGCGGAGGCTTTGCTGAGACTGTTGAAGCATCCTGCACCGCAGCTGCATGCTTCAGAAGTGCAAGCATGCAGCCTCGTGTTATTGGCCCGTTTTGGTACCATGCAGCTCAGGGCTCCCTTGCGTAAGCACCGGTCCTTCCTGGCACACCACCTCACAGTGTCTATCGTGCTTGTCAGATGCACTTCCCGGTCCAGCCTTTTCTTCAGCACCAAGTGGTATGGCGTGTGCAGGCGCCTGCGCACAGGACAAATGGCCAGATGACGGCCCTCACAGTGAGTTAATTGCGTCTGCAATCACCACTGCTGAGAAGCTGTGCCTAGCCCCTGGCTGCCCACCCAGGCTGGCTGCAGCAGCTGTCTCCTTCCTCGGCTGCGCTAGTAGAGGCAAGTTTCCCTTTACAGCTCCAAAATGTGTCTATGCACCGGTAAGATAGGTGGAACGCTGGAGTTATGTCTGCATGTTTATGAATTTGTTGTGTAATGATCTACAGGTGCTGATGAGGTTGGCAGGGAGCGCTGCTGCAGAGCAGTTGTTGACACGCTGCACAGGAAGGGGCACGAGCTACTGGGCAGTGGTCTTGTGCCTGGACTCATCGCTGCCATTGGCCACCTGCTCTCAGCTATTCAGGTTGATTACTGAACTCAATTGAACACCCTCTGCTTGACAGCATGGTTCCATTGTGCTTGCAAATAAGACAGACTCAACTGAAATGACAGTGAGTTGTTTGCACAGGATGACTTGCAGACGTCTCTCTGGGTGCTGGCCTGCTTCCTCTCCATATGGACACCGCTGCGCTCAGATCAGCAAGACCAGGCAGATACAGCTTCGCCTGCTTTGGCCGGCATTGACAGCATGGCACCCATCTATACTGCCATGCGTCTTGTCGGCACGCGCACGGCGGCCCTCCAGCCCGCAGAGGCATCCTTACATGTTAGTGGCTTGGCAGAGCTCTTGAGCAGCGGAGCGCTCAGCAACAGCAGGTGCCCTTGCTGCAATCTCAAAGCGGATTTTTCAGCTTGGTCGAATTTACTGTCTTCCTTTGCACGGGCATTATTCTGCGTGACTGAAGAGTGCACTGGATGCCAGGGAGTGTCAGAGCGGGTGTGTGCTGGCAGCTGGCGGCTTGCTAGAGGGCTGCTCGCGAGCTTCCCCACCGCTTCCCGCGCACGATTCAGGCCTCATGCTTCTGGAGCACATTGTGTCCACATCATGCAGGCATGCCCCTGCGCATGCACACCTTTCGTTCAGTCCCTGCGCTCGTGCACCCGTCATTCAGCCCCTTGTTCACCTGCTTGATCTGCCAGTAAATGCCCTTGATCCAGGGCTGACTGCCTCACATCAGGGGCATTCATCCCTGCTATGTATATGCAGGCAAGCAGCTGCAGCTTGTGCGGTTCAACACAGCAGAGAAAATGCGGGAGGCGCGCACAGCGTCATGCACGGAGATGCATTGCCGCAGCAGAGCATGCAGCAGGCGGGTGACACTCTCTGGCGGGATGCATCCTCCCTGGCATGCATGGAAGCCTATCAGGTGCGCCATTTGAAGCAAGTACGCAACTACACCTCAATTCCCCTTACAAATTTGGGAAGATTATTTAGAATGGTGCTCGGCCTTGAGTTTCCCTCCATTTTGCTGGCAGGCTTGCCGGCGGCCGCCTGTGTCCCCTGGAGCACTGCATTGTCTGCTGGGAACCCTGGTGCAGAGCGCACTGAGCTTGGATGGCCTCTTTGCGGCTGCTCTTGAGGGCCTCCCGCCCGCCGCTGCATCGGCGTGGCTGCAGCAGCACTTAAACGGCGCCCTTGTGAGCGGCGCAGCCAACTGCGCTCGCGTTGCCGCAGACATGTATGTTGCTGCAGAGCCACACGAGCAGCAGGTGCCTTATCTTTCTCCAAATAATTACATGACTCTGTTTTGGATTTGGATTTGGATTTGGAACAGTCCAAATAAGTGTGTAATTGGGGTGGAGAGTTGAGTTGAGCCTGGGGTCTGTGCAGGCAGCCCAACTGGCTGTGCATCGCTTTGCCGTCTCCTTTCACGAGAGGTATCGGGAGTACGCGCTTCGCACGCCGCACTCCTGGCTGGAAGCGGTCGACAGCGGAGCAGTCAGACAGGTGACATCATCCTCATTCTTGCTTCAGCATGCCTGAGTCCCAGGAATATCTCTCTTGCCTGACGGAAATTGGTGCTTGTCAACGTTGTGCACTTGTACATTGAGGAGTGCTGTGATGGACAGCATTGAGAGGACATTATCTTAAGTGCCTGGGGCCAGTGGTTGTGTGTCACGCTTTGCAGCTATTTGCAGGACTGAATGGCGACTGCAATGCAAATGCAGGTGCTGGACAAGGTGTTCATGTGCGCTGTGCTGCTGATGTCCACGTTCTGGGACGCCGCTGCCAAGCCAGTGAGGGGGCTGGCGGAGGGGCAGTCGCGCATGGCGCCCGAGGAGGTCGCGGTGCGGCTGCTGGACATTCTGGGCCACCTGCAGTTCTGCCGCATGCGCCTCTCCGTCTATTCGCTGCTCCTGCAGGCGCTGCTGACCGCTACCGCCAACACCTCCGAGGTGCGCTATCAATTTTGATGCCTCTGCAGTCTTAAGGAGGAGCAGACATCCTCAGATCATACAGTAAGGGCGTGGATGATCCTTTTGAAGTGCCCTTTGCAACATCTGTTGACACCGCTGTCCCAAACCCCTGCTCTTTCTTGATTGAATGCACGTTTTGTAGAGTCCTCCGTGTTGTTGTTCATGCTTGTGTCAAGCAGAAATGTAGAGCGTATGTATGCGGTGCAGGCATGCCAGGGGCTGCTGCTGTTACTGCCGGCCTACGCGGAGCTCGTGCGGCCCAGCGCGAGCGGGCGGCCACTGTGGGAGGCGGACTTGGTGCTGGCCTCGCGCATGCAGTTCCTCATGAGCATGCTGGGGCCGTGCATACCCCAGCTCACCCAGGCGCGCGCCTTCTCTGTGGCTCTTTCATTCCTACATGTTTCTTTATCTTCAAAAATGTAGTGTGAGATTCTACGAGGTTGCATCGCACTGACCTGCAGCTGTGTGCTGCAGTGCAAGGTGCGGGACGTGGTGTGCCCCGTAGCGCTGCTGTACCTGCTGCACCCCCACCCGCCCGTGGCCTCCGCCGCGCACCAGCTCTTCTGCGCTGTGCTGGGCCGCATGGATATGGTGATTTTACCGCCATGCTACACACTCTCCAATTGATGCATCCTCATCCCAACAACATTCTCTTGATCATGACAGCATCACCCAACTGTCAGTGCTATTCATGAAGATCATAGATTATCTTTTACATAAATTATCTTTTACTTCCTTGCAGAAGGAGGAGGTGGTGCCGTACTATGTGAGCCGCTCGCTGGAGGGCTATCCCGGGCGCACCCCCCTGGCCGGCCTGGCGGCCGGCTGCGATGCGATTGCGCGGCAGCTGCCGGTGGGCAGCCCTGCTTTGCTGCTCGCGCTGCGCCGCGTGGCACAGCGTGCACAGCAGCTGCTGCAGGGGCCGGCCTCCGCCAGTGCAACACAGCAGGGCCTGGACCTCATTAACCTGCTCGCCCACCTCATGCTCATCATTGAGTTTGGGGTGCGGACTCTCCTGCCAGCCCTGTGACTCTTGCTCTAGCAAGCGCTGGTGCAAGCAATAGTTGTTATCTTTATTATTACACACTTTTCATGCCAGAGACAAGGTGCGTCTGCAGACAAGCTGCAAGCAATAGTATGGGGAAATGATTACTGCTGGTTATCAGAATGCACATGGCAACCTTCCGACATGGAGCAGAAACTTGGGGATCATGGCAGCTGTTGCTGATCAGGATGCGTTTGCGCAAAGGTGCGGTTCTGAGCAAGGTGTGGGGGCTTCTGCACAGGTGCTCCCGGATGCACTCCAGGCACTGGAGGAGGCTGTGCTCAGCTGCGATGCGGATGTGGCCGTGGAAGCATGCTCCAGCATCCAGCAGGTCCTGGGCGGCAGTGATGACTACACCAGGAAGATCCTGCTCGTGCGCTGGTACATGCAGCTTGCGGCTGCCTGCAGCCTGCAACACTCGTCGCCGCCACGCACTGGAACTACTTGAGCACCTTGACAGCCTCATAGAGTGCGCCAGAACTGCATCTCTGCGTATTGCCGAGCTCGAGGTGCACACTATTAATGCAAGTATGATTGGCGCTGCCGTGTACCTTTTGAGTAGCTGTACATTGTTTCTTAGAACTGTCAGTTTATAGAATTGAAGCTTTCATACTATATTGCAGCTTGAACTTGCACGGTGTGTGGTACTTCTGGCTTCATCCAGGTACTAACCAGTCATCATGACTGAGTCATGATGAAATTTGGCTGCTATACGAAGCCACTGAGTGTGCCATCTCATTGATGATCAATATCGAGATGATTTCAATCCTGCATGCCGTTCATACGATCGGGACAGGAAAATTCATCAAACTCAATTAACTTGTAAACATGGCCCAAACACATGCTTCATGCTACCTGGTGTGCTGACGGCCAGCGCCAGCGCGCCGCAGCGGCGGGGGACCCGCGCCGACTGCTTTTTATTGCGCAGCTGTCACGCTGCAGCGGCCGCGGCGCGCGTCAAGACGGGGAACACATACCTGATAGGAAACTGATATGGGAGCTGGGTAGTCTTAGTGTACCTGACCTCAGCATCGTTTCCCCTTCAACGGAGCTGAATCTTCATGATTACGTGTTTGCCAGGTCACCTGAGGTGGCACAGTTGCCAATCTAGGCGACAGTCTGGCTCGCGTTTCTTTTTGGTGCAGTGCCTGTCCAGTGCATGGTGCAAGTTGAGAGTGCATTGACCATTACAAGACTATCTAGCACGTTTCAAAGGTGCCATCTGATCACACAAATCACGCAAGCGTACGAGGGGCTCACTAGGGGAATCTGGAAATTGGCCGTTTCAACATAGCTATGCTGTTGGTGGGGCATGGAGGAAAATTGCGTTCTCAAAACCTTGATAATCGGTGGCACATGCAGCGGCGTCGGAAAGACTTCTCTTGCGACTGCAATAATGACTGTCCTGAGGTGCTGGAGCCCTTCCCCTCGACGCTTGGATGTTAGGCAGTGCTTTAGTATTCACCCTCCAGAGCCCGATTCAACGTGTCTATTACAAATGCAGGAGACGAGGGATGACGGTCCAGGGATACAAAATTGGGCCAGGTGCGCTATCCTCGCATACGCTTAACATCCAGCATAGTTACTCCTGTTGAGTGCTCTTGCTTTCCGGGGTCTATGGATGACTGTGAGGCGTTGGGTTCATTTTTGATTTGTTGGTGTTGCAGACCTTTGTGACCCCATTCAGCACGAAGCTGCGACGGGAAGGCCGTCAGGAACCCTGGATGGCTGGATGCTCAGCCGTGAGCAAAACCTGGCGACTTTTCACCGCCACGCAGAGGGGTCAGACCTCTGCATTGTCGAAGGAGCGGCTGGATTGTTCGATGGTCGGGACGGCAAATCGGAGGAGGGCAGCACTGCAGAGATGGCAAAGTGGCTAGGGGCACCAGTCGTGCTGGTGTTGGACACCTTTGAGATTGGGCGCAGCGCTGCAGCCATGCTGAAGGGCTACCAAGCCTTCGACAGCAGCGTCAAATTGAAAGGGCTGCTGCTCAACAGAGTCGCAGACAGCGAGCAGATCCAGCGCTTGGAAGAGGCAGTGGAGGCAGCAGGAATCGATGTTCCCGTTCTGGGGGGCGTCTTCAAGGTGCCCCTTTCTCCAGCTCTCCCCCTTTGAGTTCCTTGCAGTCATTGTCACACTCTGGATGATGCTGTCCCCATCAGAGCTGTATTCACGGTGACTCACCTGTGCGGCCTGTGTGAATCTTGCAAAAGAATACAGTACATTGAGTTTCTTATTCATTTGTATCATTGTTATTCAGCACAGCACTTTCAGCACAGTACTGAGGTCCTCTTTGCCACGTTACTGTGCTGCATCTGTGGGACATGTACATGCGTGGTGAGTACAGCTGATTTGGCCAGCAGGGGGACAGGGGAGGCATGAGGGAGCTGCGCAGGATCAGCGAAGACGGCAACTCCACAAAGGACAGACGGCCGGGCCTGGTGAGGCTGGTGGAGGACCACGTGGACATCGATGCGCTGCTGGCCATCGCAGGAACTGCCGCGGTGCCGCCGCCGCCCGCGCACCTCGCCCCACAGCCCGCGCCGCCGCAGCCCCGGGTCCGCCTGGGGGTGGCCAAAGACGTCGCCTTTGGGCACTGCTACACCGAGTGAGGCTCTCGCCTGAGCTCGCCTTGCATATCAGAGGCTGCTTGCTGTTTTTATGATGTGCGCATGAGGTCCTCTGGGCTGCACATGGGGGCCTCTCCTGAGAAGGCAAATTATGTGTACAATGCCCACACAGCTGGGGCTATTGGCCATGCCGATGACTTGTGGAGAAAGTGCAAGGACCGAGACCAGTGGGAAGGATAAAGCAGGTGTTGTTTGATGCACCTAGTCCTTAATACCTAAAAACATGAAAGCAATAAGTCAATTATGGGCTGCAGGAACCTGGCGCTGCTGAGGGAGGCGGGGGCGGAGCTGGTGTTCTTCTCGCCGCTGGTGGACTCGCTGCCGGAGGGCGTGGCGGGGCTGTACTTTGGCGGGGGCTGCCCCGAGCGCTACGCAGAGGAGCTGGCCAGCAACCGGCAGCTCATGGCAGCCGTGCACGCCTTTGCGGAGGCCGGCGGCGTCATCTATGCTGAGTATGCCGGCCTCATCTACCTCAGCCAGAGCGTGCAGCCCATCGGCAGCCTCCCCTGTGCCATGGGTGTGCCTCATCCCTTTCCTCTCACCCGTTTCATTTTGCTATGAACTTCATGATGGCCGCAGCCTCATCCAGCGCATATTCTTGTCTACCCAGCTGCTCACCTGCCAGGCATCCTGGCAAAGTGTGGCAGAAGGATAATTTTAATCATGTCAATAGGATATGCTTTCATTTTCTGTGAGGTTGCCAGAGGTCACCTGAGAATGGTGGGGTGTGTGCAGCCGGGGTGTTCCCCTTCCGGACGCATCTGACGTCGGCACGGCTGAAGCGCGGCTACGTGGAGGTGACTGTGGAGGAGGCCTGCCCGCTGTTTGCGCCCGGCGCACCCGCGCGCGGCCACGTCTGCCACACCGCCGAGATCCTGCAGGTGTGGCGCAAGTTTCCACCCACACTGACAACGAGTCACCACGCCAGGACATCTTGTTGAGGGCCTCGGGAGCTTTGCAGCCCTTCACTCTTGGCCTGGTGGCTGCCTCGTTCGTGTTGTGAGCCACCTACCGCAGAGTACATTGTAGTGGCAACAGCAGAGCGCAGTACAGTGGCTGACAGGGGTTGATGTGTCGCTCCAGGAACGAGTCGTTGGTGGGCTGGCCCCGGGGCCGTCCAGCGGCGGCAATGCGCTGCGCAGCTCCATGAGCGGGCGTTGGGAGAGCGGGGAGGGCTGGCAGCCCGGCTACTCCGCCCTGCTGCACTCGGCCGCATCCAAGCCCGTCCAGGAGGCATGTCCCCCTGCATCCCCACATTCATTGGCATATATATGGAGGCCTTGGGATCCTGAGAGAACTCGAGATGTTGGGCTTTCCTTAAGATGAAGGATAGTGATCTTGTCTTTGCTATCAAAGTCAGGCCTAACTGGTCAGCACCTCCACGTAATACCGGTACCAAGTGCTTGGCTAAGTTTTGCCTGTGCCAAATGCGCAACAGGGCTACAGCTGGAAGAACGTGCTGGCGAGCTTTGTGCACCTGCACTTTGGCAGCCGGCCGGGCCTGGCAGCTGAGCTGGTGGAGCGCTGCGCGGTGGTCGACCTGTTCGCCGTCAGGGCGGCTGCCGCCGCGGCCGCGGAGGCTGCCGGGCCGCGCAGCTTCCCTGCAGACGCCAATCGCGGCGGCCGTGGGTACAACAGCGCGCACGTGTCCCCCGAGTCCACCACGAACTTCCCCTCAGGCGCCCGCCCCATCTTCCCGGTGCGGCTGCCTGCTCGACTGCCCTACGCCTTGCAGATTGTCTTCAGGAAAACTGTTCTTGGGCTGCCTAATGATTTAGATCCTCTGGATCCTCAGGCCTGAGATGAAGATGAGGTGGAGCACCCTGTTGCATGGCATGCAGAGCAGATTTTCTCTTAAGACAGTTACGCCTTGGTCTATAGAGAAGTCAGTTAGTGTGACTTCAACGGCCTATGTGATTGCTGCTGCTGGGATTTTTGCTGGGGCTCGGGCTGAGGTGAGGGGCTGCGGCGTAGGTGTGGTCGTCGCCTAACCTGGCGGCGCACATGAACCGGTCGTTCAGCGAGGGTGTGCGTGACGCATTTGACCGCGCCTCCGACATGGACCGCGCCATGAGCGTCGACACCGTGGCCCACCACGGCAAACAGTACCCCTTCGGTGTGCCACAACCTGCCCTTCCTATCGTGGCTTTTCTGCGTGTGCTCTGGCGGGATTGCCCAGCCGCTAATTAACTCTCAGTCCTGATAACACTAAGTGCTCCTATGACTGCGCCAGGCCTGCCTTTGCCATCCCTGCCTTTCTTCCCAGGTGCTTTCATGTTTAACAGGTCCAGCTGGCACCTTTAGGGTCTATTGGATTGCACATGCGGGGTTGTCATCTAATAATCGTTAATATGTAGTTGTGACAGATGGGCTTTGTGCAGGGGGCCGGCCGCGGTCGCCAAGCACGACGCTGTCGCGCGCGTTCTCGTCGGATCTGCTGTACCGCTCGCCCGCTACCTCTCCGTTGCCGGGGTCCCCCACGCAGCGCTCGCCCTACTGCACGCCCCCCGACGAGGACCCCTACCTGCCCGCCACCGCCTGCCACCAGCTTCCCCCGCCGCACCCCCCCACCTCCTCCTGCGCCGCCCTCCAGCAGCACCATGCATCCTCGCTCGGCGCGCACACCGCCTCTGCACCTTCCCTGCATCAGAACGGCCACCCAGACTACCTGCCACCTCCCCACAGCACCAGCCTGGCGGCCTCTCGAGACAGGTATCACAGTAGTGTTATAGTACAGCTTTTTCTGTCTGCAGCACTCATAAGGTTATGCTGCTGTATGGCCATCTGGCCCCACATTGTTGCCGACTTGGCAGTTTTCAAACAGCCTACAGGAAGACACTGCATGCATGGCGTGAGCTTTGTCCAGACCAAATGTGGTGGCGTGCACGGGAAAGCTCACCTGCGCGCCGGTGGGTGCAGGGATCGCACGCTGTACGCGAGCACATCGGGCCGCTCGTCGCTGGAGGGCGGCAATGGCGCATGGATGCGGCCGGCATGGCACGCGCCCAGTGACAGCATCGTCAGCCTGGTGCCCAGCGCCACAGAGATCCTCTTCGCCCTCGGCCTCGGCCACAGGTGCGCCTGCCCTCTTGCTTCTCAAACCCACATTTAAACCTTTGCCTGCCAAACAGCCCTTTCAAAGTCTTCACATTGGATCAAACAGATACCCCCTGCTCCTCCTGGCGTGGCGCCGGGTCCTGTCGAGATCCTCCGCACAAAGTAGCGACTGGCATCCCAACTGGGTGAGGCATCATGCGAAGAACAGCTGAAGGGACTGTGTGTGTCATGCAGGGTGGCGGGCGTGACGGATCTGTGCGACCACCCGAAGGAGGCGGCCAGCCGGCACAAGGTGGTGCGCTGCAGCGCCGACTGCACCGCCGCCGACCGGCCCCCCGGCAGGGACCCTTGCAGCGGGGGGCCCGCCTGGACGGTGGACGCGGAGATGCTGGCGAGAGAGGGGCCCGGCCTCGTGCTGGCCAGCGACTCCGGCGCCGCCTGCGCCACAGACGCCCACACCGTCGCAGAGGTGCGCGACTCCTTTTCCCACCCCAGCCTTTGGGTGGATCAACTTCCCGCTGATGTCCAGCGGGCATGCAGGCAAATGGAGCGTGAAAAGAATATCCTCGAGGGGGCAATGGTGTAGAGAAGGTGCAATTTGATGTCTGGGGGACTGTTGGGGGACCTAGGTCTCATGTCACTGGTTGCGATCATGGGGAGAGTGCAGCTACTCTTGTTGACGGTGTGGCTGGTTTGTGGCCGCAGGCACTCCAGAAGGCGGGCCTCTGCGGCCCGCACTCGTCCACGCGCCTGCTAGTGCTCGGACCCCGAACTCTGGGCGACGTCATGGACTCTGTCCTGGAGGTGCGCTCAACCTTAGTAATCTTCTTGTTGGTTTAGGCTTCTGCGTGTCCAACAAGACTCGGTGTAACATCTGCTGCATGGTGGGAGACGGGCTGTGATGGGCATGCGCAGGTTGGTGCGGCGGCCAACACGGCGGCCGAGGCGATGCGGCTGGTGGACAAGCTGCGGGCGCGACTGAGGGCCGCGGCTGCGGAAGTCGCCGCGGCGCAGTCGCGGCCGCGAGTCATGGTCCTTGAAAGCCTGCAGCCTCTCAAGATAGGTGATGCGCTCGCCTGCTTTGCACACTGCCAATTTTGTGTTCTTGGCAGGGTGTTGGTTTGCAGGCTGTGCTGAAGCAACGGCAATTACTTCTGAGACAGTGAGGAGAGCACGTGCTGCAGAACTTTCTCATGGGAATCATTGTTGGCACAGGAGGGCTGTGGCTGCCGGAGATGGTGGACCTGTCAGGAGGCGACCAGGAACTGCTGGAGCCGGGCGCTACTGGCCGGAGCATTGCCTGGGACGAGGTGGGAACGCCATCTCAGACCATCTTGCTTGTTTGTACAACTCCGTGCTACATGTCCAGCGTGCCCTTTCACCCCACATGCAGCTTGCCCTCTGAACCACCCTGCTGGTACACAAGGGATCTTCACATTGCGGCCCCTGCTGTCATTTTACAGGTTCTGCCGGCTCCTGCATCAGTTGATGATGCTGGAGACAATATAAAAACAAGCGTATGGTGACATGAGAGGGGGGAATGCTGCGCAGGTGAGGACGTTTGCGCCGGAGGTGCTGGTAGTGGCGGGGGGTGCTGGTGGCCCTGCGGGGGCGCTGGGGCCGGTGTCTGAGCTGGCAGCGCTGCCCGGCTGGTGGGGCCTGCCCGCAGTCAAGACCGGCCGCGTCTACATCCTCGACGCCCCCCTGCTGCTGCGCGCCGGACCCCGCATCGTGCGCACCTTGTCTCCCTCTGTCGCCTTCTGCTGCCTGAGTTTGCACTTATGCGCCTTCCTCGCTACATTCGGTTTGAGGATGTTTGCAGAGCCGTCTCTGCAATCCTGACCGCTCTGTCTGTCTCCTCTGTCTTGCCATCGCCACATCGCGCATTCCGCATTCCTTCTCCTTTGTTTCAAAACTGCCTCTCTTCAGTGGAGGTCCCAAGGATGCAATGGGCCGCAACGTTTCAATGGCTGGGCTGTGGTTGCTGGCAGGTTGATGGGGTGGAGGTGCTGGCTCGGATCCTGCACCCAGACTTGGTGCTGCGGCGCTGCCCCGAAAAGGCCGTCCTCAAACTGGCGCTGCACGGCGGACAGCGCTGCCGGCAGCGCCTGGTCCCCAATTATTTTCTGCCCTACCGATGAAAGAATAAGTGAATCGGAGCAGCTCTGCAGTTGCCATTGAAGAGGGCAGTGTGGATGCCTACCAGGCTTCCACGCAGGTGTTCTTTTGTGGGCTCTTCTTTCTGAAGGCTGCCGCTGTCTCTGAAGTTTGGGGCTATCGACTTTGTTGACATGCCTGTCGAGATAAAATTCGTCCTTTTTGGGGGGCGTGGCAGCTTTCCTTAGCGCTGGAGAGTTCTGGAAAAGAGGAACCAACTTGAACTCATTGAGAATAGCCCCGTACCCATGTCCGCTTGTTAGATAGGTAGCCGCTGCGTTTGCTGAATAACATCCATCATGACCCTTTTGTACCATATGTCTTGCTTTCACGCTCACTAGGTGCATGCAAGGCTGCCTGCACTTCTTGAGGGATACACTCAAAGATCGCTATTGTATTCCAAATATTCGCGCTTCTTTTACCAGGGTTGATCTAAGACCCTGCAATTTTAGTGTCCCGGCCCGCAGCGCCATTTTTTCCATCTGCCAAGTCTCAGCTTCTTAGGGGCTCTTAGCCCAGCATCAGCATGTGGTGCAACTTTGCATGTACATGTATAGTTGACATCCATGTGGTTGATTCATCAGCATGTCTATGAGATGATTGTTGAAAGGGAAGGTTATCATCCATCAAGAACTCTTCTAGAAGACTTCGAATTGAAATGCTTACAGAAATTGCCACAATATCAGACTGCAGCATTTTGACAATAGGCATATGGGCCAGAGGCACGAACGCATCCAGATCCTTACTATACATGCCATGCAGTGCATCTTCCACGCACATGTGTTATTTATTATTACACGCTTTTCCTGCCAGAAGCAAGGTGCGTCTGCAGACAAGCTGCAGTAAAGGCTGCCAAAATCCTACCCCTTTATGGACTCGCAAGATCCAACCAGATCCAAGACCCAATCAACTGTGGGCACCGTGCTCAGTATTTATACCGCCAGCCGGGGCCGAGGGACATACGCATATATGTCGTGGATACGCATTACACGGGGATACGCACATGTGTACAGAACATTATTTCTTCCCTACATGTGCAGATCCGGCATTCGCCATCGTTTCACGCAAGACATACTGTGTATGTACTTAGCAAGGCCCCCATGCATATCAAACAGCACAATTAATTGACAAACAAGATGGCTCCATTATGCTTGTCGCACGCACTCACGCAGCCATTGCATGCTAGATCTCTCAGCTAACAACCGCCATGCACTTGCAGCATGCACCATCATGTTGATGGCCCAGCCAGCTGCAGCTGAGGTGCTGGCAGTCCCAGCTGTACAGTGCTTCCGGGAGCAGCCTGCAGCGAACAACACACAGCACCTCAGGAACTGCAAGTCTCAAACCGCTGAACCTTTCAGGGATCCAAGCTCGACGATGCACCCCCTTCAGGAAAGCATGAGAATGCCAGAAAGCTGTCAAGGCGAATTGACATGTAAACATTTACATTGCTGCATGCAGAGCTGAGGGCGGTTTTCAACAGGATGCAAGGGAGTGTGTCGCACAGGTAGGGCTCGGGCAGGGGCCGTGGAGGGCAGGGCCGGTGCGCTTGGCACCGCTTCCCCCTTCCTGAACTCCTGCAGCACTGGATAGATGGACTCGAATGCCTCATAGATGTCCTCCCGCTTCTTGCCACCTGCACAAGCAGCGGAGTTCAAATCCTTTCCCTCCTGTTTTGTGACAGCAAATGGGAGCGGGCTTTTGCAGATGAAGTGCATTGAAGACTGGGTGAGAACAACTAAATGTGGGTTTCTGTGCTCTCCGCACCTGTCAGCACAACCTTGCCCGACACAAAGATGAGCAGCACCACCTTGGGCTCCTTCATTCTGTAGATCAGACCTGTGGCATATGCACACAATGATTGCACACCGCAGATGACAACATACTGGCTCGCAGCAATAAGACAGGAGTCACAAGCAGCAGTGGAGATTGATGGGCTCGACAGATTGGCAGAACCTGACATACCTGGAAACAGCTCTGGCTCGTACTGCACCCCAGCACAGAAGAGTCAACACCAGACCAGTGATATACCAGTAGATGAGAAAAGGTTGAGCTCATGCTGCAGAGCAATATGGCATTGTGGCATTGTGGCAAAGGATGACAGCTCCGTGCAAGTGTTCAGGATTTGAGAGCGGAAGGGAGTCCATACGCTGGAGAACATTCCATGGCTGTAATTCAGGCCCTCCAGTCGAATGGGGAACTTCACATCGCAGGATCCCACGATGTTCTGGATCTTGAAGTCCTTGAACGTGGCAGGGAAGTCCAGCTTCTGGATGATTTTAGCATACTGCACCAGGCAACAGTCACAGCACATATCGCTTCAACGTGCCTTGCACAGGCTTTCGAGCATTTGAAGCTTGTCCATTCAATTGAGAACAGCTGGATGACTGGCAGCTATATCAGCACCTTCCTTGCAGCAGTCCTTGCGTGCTCCTCACTCTTTGCACCAGTGCAGACCTGGTGACGGAGAAGTTTGTTTTCATTCTGAGCAAGAGTCTTCATTTGGGGTAGCATCAAAAGAGCGTGATGCCAGATCGTTGTACAGGAGCACAGCTTGCAGGCTAAACAGGTCATCAGGGCTTACCATTTTGCCAGAAGCAAACACTAAGGCAGTGGTCTTTGGATCTCGTATTCGCATGATCACCGCTGCAAACCTCTGCCATAACAAGCCTTTCAGTGAGGAGAAGGACGGAGAGTGCACAAGTTGCAACTGTCCTTTGCATGACAGAGTATAGTATTGTCATTCCAATGATTGAATACGATCCTTTCTCATCAGGTCTCATCATTATCAACGAGAAGTATGCTGCAAAAGATGCAGGGATGGGCAGTCTACCTTTGGATTGTACTCAGCATTTCGTGCCTTCTGTGCAATGGTTTTCAAGTCCAGCTTGCAATCCAGGTTGACTGTTGCTACGATATTCTGCAGCGTTGGCACAATGCCCGAGCGGTGCACAGAGCGGTCTATTGCCAGCTCTTGTGTAGGCACTGGCCCCGAGCTAGGACCCGCAGCCATCCTGGGGCCAGCGACCCTTGGATTGACTAGGGTCAATTGTTCGTCTCCAGTTGAAAAATGGAAGGAAGGTGGCGTACGGTGAGATATCAAGGCACAGAACCTCAGCTACGAAGGCTAAGCTCGTCTCAACGACCTCCTTGTGAAAATCAGTGGCAAGCACGATTCACAATGTTCCTCTAGATCCTTGAGTAAAGCGGGAGCGCCTCAATTACACTGTAAAGGGTGTCTGCACTGCCAGAAGGTGTTCATCAAGCAGGTGGGCACTTAGTGCTCATCAGAGAGCAAGTTCATAGATGTTCCAGAATCTACCACTGTTTTGTATTTGAGGCATGGGCTGTTCCTAGTCTTGTAAATTTGCTCAGCAAGAATTTGTGAAAGGAACCTTCTTGTCGAGAAGGAAGGGTTTTATAGATCCCTCTGCGATAAGGGCGTGATGTGTTTTCCGGAAACCCTACAGCACGGGCTGGGAGATTCACAACACAAATTGTCGCACAGAAAATTCATCCCAGTGCAATATATCAAATTTTGTATATGAGCGATGATCAACAGTGCAAGCCGAGCCATTGTGCGCCCTGTTGTAGGTCCGACAAAGGCCCAGATCAAGAACGTCCCATCACTCGTCAAGTCTAGTCCAACCACAAGAAGAGGTGCTCTGCGTCTGTGCGTTGCAATGGCGACGAGTCCCATCATTGAAGCCTACGTGAAAGGTGCGATGATGCATCTATAAGAATAAGATCTATGCTTTTCCGTGTCGGAGAGTGTGAGATATCAGATCCTGCATGGAGCGCACCTCATAAAGAATATTGATCTTGGATCTGACACATCAATTTGGGATTGCAGGAAATCCTGAGGCGCACGAGCGAGGCGATTGTGAGTGCTCCCTTCTTCCTTTCTGCCCCAAGCATCGGCAGACATGTGCTCCCGTGGTTTTTGTCAATGGCTTTTGGCCTACAGCTAAAATGATATAACAGTCCAGGAGCAGTTGTTGGAAAGTAAAGAGTACAACGAGCCAAACAATACTGCAATAATGGGCATCCAAATTGCTTTACTAGCCATCCCAACTGTGCCACCACAGGCCCCTTTTCGCACCGCGCGCTGCTGACACTTGCAGAGAAGCACGTCCCGTACAAGGAAGAGTACATTGACTTCAGCAACAAGCCAAAGTGGTGAGGCTCTGTCGCGCTTTAATCCAACAATGTCCTGATTCCGGAAACCGATATTTTATGTGTGATGCATGCATGTGGCTGTGCAGGCTCTTTGACATCAATCCCAAGGGGAGCGTCCCCATCATCCATGACCTGGAGGAAGACAGCTGGATCCCAGGTGCATCTCTGCCATCTTCTCATGCACTCAAGGCGAAAGTACCACTTGCACAGGTTCAATGGTTTTGACATGATCATATCCAGGCCTGCAGTGTCAAGCAGCTTCTGACAAAATAGACGATTGTCTGACACAGACAGTGCAGCCATTGTGGACTACCTGGAGGAGCGCTTCCCTGAGCCGCCTCTTGGCAAGCATGATGCACCTCCTCATGTGTAAGCATCCTCTCTGCATCGGCCACTAGTGTGCCTTCCTACTCTTGCATGTTGGGGCCTGGAGATATTGAGCCTGCCATTGCAAGCGCAGGGGAGAGACCTTGTTCCCCAGCTTTGTGGCGGCGCTGAAGGCCAAGAAGGGCACAGATGAAGAGTCCAAGAAGATCGGCACCTTGGTCCAGGTGCGCTTCACAGCTACTACCCTTTCTTAATTTCCAGACTCATAAATGACACCATACATAGAATGTCACTGGCTTCCTGGGGTTTGAGGATGAGATTGTTGATGGGCAGTCGCTGGAGGAGATCAACAACTATTTGAAGGACAACAAAAAGGAGTACCTTGGTGGCGCGAGGCCCAACCAGGCGGACCTGGGCCTTGCACCAAAGCTCTACCACGTCGAGCATGCTATGAGGGAATACAAGGTGCGCTGCACCTGCTTTTCCAACATTACAGACCTAATGCACACAATTGAACTTTCTGATGCTAGATGCAGGGTCCTCGTGACCTGTGTGTGTTGATGCTGCAGGGCTGGGAGATCCCAGATGAGCTCACTGCTCTCAAGGAATACAACCAGAGGATCAGGAGCCGCGAGAGTTGGAAGCAGACTTACTACCCGCCAGAGAAGGTCGTTCAGGGATGGAAAGCTCACCTGGAGGCTTGACTGGCGGACGAAAGCAAAGAACAGGCGACATCTCACATGAGCTGCGGACCTGTTGCAAGGATTGAATAAGATGTAAAGCCGTGGCAGTGATCGTCTACACCATTCTTATTGCAAGCTGCATGCTGTGCAGCAATGGCGCAAGATGTGCAAGTGCATGCGCCCTCATTGAGTGACAATCATATACAGGAGCGTGAGAAGAGTTGTTAATTGCTAGCACAACCTGCCAATTGACGATTGTCATGACTGATCAGTTTTTCATAATCGGCCCAGGCATCCTGAGTGACAAGGATGACCGTTGTGGTAGTGCATGTTGCTATGTGTGGTGTGCATATCGCTGTGGTCGGCCCAACATTGTATGTGTGGTTGAGGAAAATAATATGGTATTTTATGTGCTGGGCAAACGGAAGATGGTTGGTCTCGTCTCATGAAGATTTATCCTTATCTGCGAGGTCCAGGATTTTCTGAAGAATCATGATGAAAGGACGATGCAGTTGCTGCAACTCGGGAGCTGATGAACATCTCCAATTGTAGATGCTAAAAATTTTAATGCATTGTGCTGCTGTGTTACGAGTCCTCTCCATTTCCTGTTTTACAGGCACTGCAGCACATTGCACAATATGATGAAATTGACCGGATTCTAGTCCAGGCTGACTTCAAGATGCAGCAAAAAGCAGAGGTAGTGCATCAGGACTGTATGAACACCATGAAACAAGATCACCCACAGAACACTCATCCTGTTGCACCCCTCGGGGCTGGCACAGCCACTGGCAATGAGTTTGCAAATGACATGGACGCCTCAGCCAGCATCTGGACTCCCACGGATCCTAGGCAAGCACTGCTGGCAGCCAGCTGGCTCACAGACATTCTGACGCAAACGCTGCTGCAGGCTTGCAAGTGTATGCACAATGTAAGCAGCAGCCGACCAGTGTGCTGTTTACCTCTCGTTAGCCAGGCATCAAAAGATAAGGAGGATCATTCCTTACGACTGCACTCACATGTACAACCTGGTCGTTCCAGGAAGCTGACATCTTGAAAACACCATCTTGAGAGAACAAAGCCCAGAGAAGAGTTCAGCTCGCAACTAACTGCTTGCGCACCCTGCCTGGTTTGAACTTTGGTGTGGGCTTTTGCACCCCCAGCAATTTTGTGCCCCTGGACGCCTGCAGAAGTCAGCACAAAAAACGTCATGTCTGCAGTGCACGCATAACACTGCCGGGTTCAGTGAATAGCACATGTCCTGATTTCTGGGCAGCAAGAAGCCGAACTGCCCTGCAGTTTGACACGAGCTGTTGGACTGCACCTGCAGGTGGCGCACTGGAGAGGGTGCCAGGTCTGACGTTGGCCCGACAATTTTTCGGCCGCCGCCGCCGACCAGACGCACCGAACGCGGCCGCCGGGGGACCTCCCTGAGCACCTTGGGCGAGCCTGGCACCTGGCACGGCTTGGATGCGGCTGGGCTGCACAGGGAGCCCTTGGGCACCAACCGCACCGAGCAGGCGGGCATCACCAGCGATTGCGCCGAGCCGGGCGGGCCCGCGGCAAGGCCCGTGCTGGTGGCTGTGCTGCCCCCGCCGCCCAGGAAGCCCTTGGCGGCCTCCGCGGCCCTGGCCGTCAGCGTCAGCATGCGTCCTAGCATGGAGCCCTGGGCGGCGGCGGCTGCGCGCGGCGAAGGCTGCCTGGCGCGCTGCACGACCCGTTTGGCGGCCGCCGCCTTGGCCGCGTCCGGGCGCACCTCCCGCCGCTGCTGCGCGCCGTCATCGGCGTGCCGCCGCGCCGGGGTCGGCAGCGTGCCGCTCTCCGTCCGCTGCCGCTTGGCACTGCCAGCTGACGCCGCAGCCCGTGTGTTGGCCGACACAGGTGACCGTTTCCGGCCTGTGGCGCGCCCCGAGGCCTTGCCGGGCGGCCTCCCACGCGCGGTGGATGCGGCCTTGCTGGGAAGTTTGCTCTGCCCTCGGCTGGCGGAGGCCAAGCGAGCGGCGGCCTGCTTGGCAGAAATTTTCCTCTTGAGGCCGCCGCCCTTCATCGGCAGTAGCCTGGCTGGCAGGGACGCCGCCCGCTTGCCGACTGCACGGGACACTGTGCCTACGGGCTTGCGGCTGGCTGACCTTCGTGCAGGCTGCTTGGCTGGAGTGTCCTCAGCCCTGGGCTGCTGCTTCCGCTGGGCCTTTTTTGGTGCGGGGTTGGATACCCCTCGCTTGCCCGCCGGCTTTGCTGCAGCCTTTGCAGCTGGTTTGGCTGGCGCCTTGCCACAAGGCCTTCCCCTGCTGGCAGGCGCAGCCACTGCCGCCATGGACCGCCCGCCAGAGACTAGCTGCTTCTTTGATCCCTTTCCACCCCCTCTGCCCTTGCTGGCAGGTCCCACAACTGCTGTCATTCCCCGACCGCCAGACACCAGCGGCTTCTTGGCTCCTGCCTTGCCCTTGCGCTTGACGGGCTTAGCCGGCGCCTCATCCTCCGATCCCTCGGCTTCTGAATCCGAATCGTCTGAGTCTCCGCTGCTACTGCCTGACTCGCTGTCTGACTCGGACTCATCGGAGCTGGAGGCTTCCGCCTCACGAATCATGCGGCGCACGCGCGGAGCTGCCTCGCTCATGAACAGGCTCATCTGGATGGCTACGCTGTCCTTCTGGCACTCACAGAAGCCCGCGCTGACACCCACAGCGATCCAGGTCTTCGTTGCAAAGTTGGTGGACTCTGCGCAGTTGAAGCCGTGGTTGAAGCCGGAGTGGTATGCCCCTGCGCATCAAAACACAAACAACTTGAGACTCACAGCAGCAGCTGTATCATGCATGGAGATGCGCAAGATGATGTGGATACTTGCCAGGCAGGTATCATATCATGCAGGTCAACAAGGGTGAGCTGTTGCTCACCAGGATAGTTGATGATGAACTCTCCAGGTCGCTGGACACAGCGCACAACTGGAATGTTGTTTTGTAGCAGCATGTAGGGAGACACAAGTAGCTCCTGCACCATGCATTCCTCAGCTCAGTATTCCTGAGGCTGTACCAGCACGCATGTCCTCCACAAGGCGCACGACACATGCATGTCATGACTTCATGGAGTCAGGGACATTTCCGAGACGATCATGGTCCCATTATCCACACTGACGGGCTCCTGCACCTTGTGGCGGAGGAACTCTGGGCAGGCGCGGAACATGTCTGGCAGCAGGCCCTGCAAGAAGCGCTCGAAACGCTCCCTGTGCGCTGGCGGGATGCAGTACCATGACTTGGGTGCCCCGCAGTGCAGGTAGTTCACACTGGCCAGGTCCATGTCCTCGGTGTGCCTGCATGACAGGGCATGCATGCATCACTTTGCATGCAATGATGTCACATTGAAGAGCGTCTCATGCAACCTCTAATACAGGCCAGACGCAGTGCAGTTCATGTCCTGGACTCCACATCGTCTTTATCGGCTGATGAAGGTCCAAACCCACCATGCAAAGATGCTCCGCCACATCCCAAAGTACAGGTAAGGCGTGCTGACTCCAGGGATGGCCAGGTTCTTCTTCTCCAGGGTTCTGCTGAGCAGGCTGTCCAGGTGCCGCAGGTTCCAGCCCTACAAAGTAGGCAGGTGAGCTAGATAAGGTCACCTTCTGTGACACAACAACCACACGTCTTTTCCTCCATGCAACCTTGACACCTGCCCTCACATACCTAGGAATTCAGACATGACATGTTGCACGGATATTTGCACGCTAGGCACACGCTCTGGATGACAAGGCAGTTATGTAGCAACCACTACTTACTGCATGCTTTGGACAATAGCACGCATCCCGTCACATGTATATCCAGGAATGATCACAAATAAGTACTACGAGGACTAGAATAATGGACATGATGCCCTATTTACCTTCAGATCAGCATCGAAAAGGCTCCCTGGCACATCTGCTCCATAGAGGGGCGGTCGCAGCGTGATGTTGCGCCAGAAGCGGCGCTCGACCTCTTCCGGAGTCTCTTTGGCTGGCGGCAGGCTGGGATCCCCCACGGCTATAGGTCTGAAGTCCTTCGCCAAGGACATGGGTTTCTGCTCCACCAGCAGCGTGCGGTACAACCCACGCTTGCCCGTGGCATGCTGCTTGATGGGACGCGGGATCTCGAAATCGAAGTCATCAGAGTAGCCCTCCTTCCTTGGAGTCCATCCCTTTGGTGGTATTATTTTTGCAAGACCCACATTAGCAAAGCGCCTCTCGATGGACTCTATGTATGCCTCGAAAGACCCGCTGATGTCCTTCAAGGTCGGATGGAACACCGGCACTTCCTGGCACTTCAGAACCATCAACTCCGGAACCGCGAACAGGCAGACTGCGGCATTAAGGACACATCCAGTGCCACACTAAAAACGGTGGCGAAATGTTTTCTGCTTCCACAAATACCTCAAGCTCGACGGCAGCACTTGCTATGGCCTCTGCAGGAGTAGGATCGGGCTCGAAAAGCAGCTGGATCTTACGTGAAATACTAAGGGTTGGGCTTGGTGCGTCTCAGCCCATGAGGTAGCGACGAACACATGTTGATCACGTCACTGCGAGTGGCCAAACTTGGCGCCAGCCCGACGCCTAGCCCTTCGGCTCCTTGCGCAAGCCATCGAGAGACTTCCAAGATAAATATTGAAAGGTGCTCGATTATGATTGAAAAGAGACAATAATTTAGCTTTTCAACGGACAACGATCGAATGATTGCGCAATGATTGCGTTAAATACGAAATAGTACAAATGGATTACAAGTTTGCAAACCTGCTCGGAGCCCCATATCGCGGTGGAAACCTGATCCTTCATGGCACGGACCTTCTTTCAGCTGTTGGGAACCGCATCTCATCGGTACGATGAGATTTTTAGCTATCCGTATTTTCTCTGCTGAATAGAAGTTGGTAAAAAGTAAATAACTTGATGGACTTCGATGCTAAAAATGTATTTGGGCGTCTCACAGGTGGACCTTACTGCGAGCACGAGCTCCACGCTCCCTTTCGAGGCCCTGAAGCAGGTGTGCTCCATGAGAAGTGCCTTCCTAGCAAGTTTGCTGCTGTTGGAACTCCCTTTATCATCTTTGCCAATTTGACTAATGAACATGGATTGCTCACAACAGATCAGGACGCTGTGCCTGAGCCCAGACGGAGGCCTGCTGCTGGCCATTGATGAGGACGGGCGGTCCCTTCTCATCAACAGGCGCCGCCGCGTTCTCCTACACCACTTCTCATTCAAGGGCCCGGTGGCAGCAGCCTGCTTCAGCCCTGACGGGCAGTACGTTGCCTGTGCCGTCGGACGGCTTCTCCAGGCAATTCCCCATCCACTGTTAGCGGATGCACGCAGTGGGCAAATCATTTTCACTCCTGCGCTCTCATGCCAAATGGCATTTGAATGGCGGTATCATGCCCTGTCACGCAGATCTGGCGCACACCAGGCTACACAAAGACGACAGCGCCCATGCAGCTTCACCGGACGTACGGCGGCTGCGCAGCAGACATCACTTCGCTGGACTGGAGCGAGGACAGCGAGTGGATTGCAGTGGCCTCCAAAGACCTCTCCGCGAGGTGCGCCCCTCTGATATTGACATCTGAGATGCCACTTTTTGGACCTTATATCACTTTTTGGACCTTATGTCCACGAAGTACACAGCGGCACAAGGCAAACAGTGCCTGCAGAATGTCCACATCAGGCCATTACATGAATGTCGTGACAAAATCGTAAATGCAAGGGCACTGTGTACAGGGTTTTCTCACTGCATCCCATCGAGGGGTACAGGCCGCCAATGCTGAGCGGGCACAAGGACATGCTGGTGGGGGTCTTCTTTGTGGGAGCCGCCGCCGCCTCAGCAGCCGAGCTGGAGGGCACAGTTGCCCCCCACCTGCTCACGGTGTCCAGGGACGGCGCCCTGTTTGCCTGGCAATTCCACAGCGACCAGCCCTCGGCCCCTCCGCAGCCCAGCGAAGCAGGCGCCAATGGGCAGAGCGACTGGCCCTCCCAGGGGGATGACAGGCCGCCCAAGCGGCAGAGGGCGGCAACGGCCGGCAGCACAAACTATGCAGGTGCGCTGAGCCGATAAATGTCAATCGAAGCGCAGCATGCACATGGGGTGTAATTTTGGATAATTAGGCCTCTACCATGATTAAGTAGGCCTATAATTTGTAAGAGAAATGGGCTTGTTTCTGCAGAGGGAAGGTGGCAGCTTGCGGAGAAGCATTTCTTCAACCAGCGCGGAGCCCGGCTGACGGCGTTGGACTACCACAAGCCAAGCAGGATCATGGTCGTCGCCTTCAGCAGCGGAATCTTTGACATATATCAGGTGCACCACAAACAATGATTTAGCATTGGAACAGCACTGTCTGCATCTGAGAACCAACACAGAGCCTCTCACTCCGTGCATCTTGGCATCTTGGAGACACTATCCGATCCTGCGGGGGCAGCCCATCATTGAGTCGCATTGACGGGCTGGCTGATGTGGTGTTCTGCAGCTGCCGGCGTTTGAGAACGTGCACATGCTGAGCGTGTCCCGGGAGGCAATCACTGCGGTGACAATCAGTCCTCGGGGGGACTGGGTGGCTCTGGGCTGCGCTGCGTTGGGACAGCTGCTGGTGTGGGAGTGGCGCAGCGAGTCATACGTGCTCAAGCAGCAGGGGCATCACTACGATGTCTCTGCGCTCGCGTTCTCGCCCGACGGCGCCTACATTGCCACAGGCGCCGATGACAACAAGGTGCCGCATATCTCTTATGCACGCTCCCCCAAGCTATTCTTCTGCAGGGTTCTCTTCTGGCATCGGGTGTTATCCCCCGCCACTTGAGGTTGGAATGTTTATGGCACCTGTAAGTGTCCATGCCATGACCGCTGTTGTCGCTGTGGTGCTAATGGCTGTGTGTCAGAGCCATGCATATTTGCAAGCAAGGGGAATCTATGCACACAGCGAAGAGATAAAATGTGCGTGCTTCTTGCAATGCAGGTGAAGCTGTGGACGGTGTCGAGCGGCTTCTGTTTTGTGACATTTGCGGAGCATACAGCGCCAGTGACGGCGGTGGCGTTTCTGCCGACGTCGTCCGCAGCGGTGAGCGCGAGCATGGACGGCACGGTGCGCGCGTGGGACCTGCTGCGCTACCGCAACTTCCGCACCATGACCTCGCCCACCCCCGTCCAATTCGCCTCCCTCGCCGTCGACCCCGCCGGAGAGGTGCGGCGTTCCCTTCTATCTTTCCACCACGGTCAGAGGCCTGTAGTAGGGCGTGAGCTTTGCAGCGCTCATGGCTCATGGGGCCAACACTTGGATGTGGCCGCTCAAGCTGATGTCAGACAGCAGGAGGCTGAAGGACACCGTCTGCAGCGGCTTCCCTCCTGTCTTTCCACCCTTGACAGGCCGTTTGTATTGAAGCGTGAGCCTTGCAGTGCTCATGGCATGTGGGCATCATCGCTTGAGACAGGACTCTACACAGCTAAGTCAGCTGTAACACAGTGAAGTTTACAGGTAATGCCTGCTTTGTAGCTCGTAGCCCGCTGTTGCTGGGCCCGTGCAGTGTTCAGAACCTTCCTTATTCAGTTGCCTGAGCTACCTTCCTGGAGGGTGTTGTGGATTACAATAAATATTGTATACTCTGTGACATGGCACTCCTGCACCAAGCTTCCCTTCTGGACAGGCTCAGGCAACGGTGTAGAGGTGAGCAAAATTTAAAAGACTGTGTTGGCCTTGAGACAGCGGTTCTGGGAATTGCAACACAGATATTGTCATGGCATTTTTCTGTGTGACCACCAAATTTGGCGCTTAGCCTCTTCTTGCTATGCAGTTCGAGAGGATGACCCCTTCTCGTAGTCGATTTGAGTGTTCACAAAGCAAGCATGCAGCTTCCAATTGTGCAAAGGTCATTCGCAACCGGCTCTAGCTGTGTGCATGACCCAAGTTGAGGGGCTGTGGTTGCGGCTGTGTGCAGGTGGTGTGCGCAGGGTCGCTGGACACGTTCCAGATATTTGTGTGGTCGGTGAAGACGGCGCGGCTGCTGGATGTGCTGGCAGCGCACGAGGGCCCCGTCGTGGCGCTGGCCTTCTCCCCCACGCAACCCCTGCTGGCATCCGCCTCCTGGGACAAGACTGTGCGCACCTGGGACGTCTTCAGGTGCAACCCTCCTTGTCTCTCTCTGTGTTTGCACCAGTGAGCAGTGCAGGCTCTTCTCTATAAAACAAAGCAGCACACAATCCCATCGTGATAGGATGCCTCACTATGCAGCTCACACTAAGCAAGCACAGAATCACATTGGAATTCAGGCACAACCAATTTTAGTTGTCATGTTGACCTGTCCTGGGCATTGCAATTGCCGGTGCCCTGTGTGTCTGTGGAGGCTTGGGCAGGGACTGATCAAGAGAATGGTGCATGCATGCAGTGGGAAAGGGGGTGTGGAGGTGCTGCAGCACACGCATGATGTCCTGGCGGTGGCCTGGGCCCCCAGCGGCAAGCTGCTGGCCTCCGCCACGCTCGATGGCCAGATCTACTTCTGGGACCCCCTCGAAGCCCAGCTGCTGGTACAGTACCCCCCATCGTGTTCTTTCCCCTCTTCTCTGTTCAATTCTCATCCCTGACCTTACCCATCTCCTTTGGGATGCGTGGCCTCCTCAACTGAGCTCCCTTAGCACCCACACAATCAGATGAATATAGCCCTGTCAGATTGGTCTTTAGATTGTACCCTCACCGTTGAGCCCAACATTGCATTCAGGTAAGCACTGTTAAATTATGTGATTATGTTGCGTCAGGGCACCATTGAGGGTCGGCGCGACATAGCAGGAGGGCGGCTGCAGTCGGATCGGCGAGCGGCCGGCAACCGCAGCTCAGGCCAGTGCTTCACCTCCCTCGCCTTCTCCGCGGACGGCTCCATGCTGCTCGCTGCAGGCGCCTCAAAGTGTGCCACGCTGCTGACACCGTTCATACAACACCAGTCGCTATCATGCCCGTTGACTTGATCAAATCTCAGACTCTGCCAACATTGTGCCCATCCTGACCCGGACCTGCTCTGCAAAGTTGCAAAGTGTCCTGCTCAAGAAGGGTGAATCTGGATTGCTTTGCTAATTACGCAAAATTCATTTGTGGAATTCAATAGTTTGCCACGGAAACGCAGCGCATCACGCTGGTACACTACGACCGGGCGTTGCTTGCGGCAACCAAATGTAAACCATGCGGTGCCTTTCCGGTGGGGTTACTTGGAAATCAGCGCCCATGCCAGAGGTTGAGCATGTGCATGGCGGCGCAGGTTTGTGTGCCTGTATGACGTGGAGGAGAAGGTGCTGCTGCGGCGGGTGCAGATAAGCGCAAACCGCAGCCTGGACGGCGTCCTGGACCAGCTCAACTCGCGCCACCTCACCGACGCCGGCCCCGCCCAGCTCCTCGACGACGCCCCTGACGACGAGGACCTCCTCCTGCCGCCCACCACCGCAGGTGTACCCCGGTCCTTGGGGTGATCAATGTACAACATGTTAATGACCCACACCGGTCCCTGGTCCCCTTGGTCACATGCCCCCTCCAGCTGCTTGGAGCCGGCGAAGCTGATGTCCTGGCTTGCGCAGAGCCTGTAAGCACTCAGCAGCTTCTGCCATTGCAGCTTGGCAGTCTGTATGAATCTGGTAGTGTCACATGCCGTGCTTTGTGTCAACAAGTGCATGTGCCCAAGCGCTGTCCAGAGCGAGCTTTATCTGCCCTTGCAGCCTGCTCGCACGCTCGACGAAGGCCATGCGCTTATGTCGCAGCAAGAACTACGCATGCTGCCCACATACTAGCAGGCATTGGAACAGAGGGGTAGTAACGTGTGCTGTGGTGTGACAGGGGGCCCGGCAGGGGAAGAGGATCTGCCCGGGACGGGCGGCAAGCGGCGGCCGGCGGTGCGGTCGCGCGCGGTAGCTCTGTCGCCCACGGGGCGCTGCTGGGCGGCAGCCACCACGGACGGCCTGCTGCTGTACTCGCTCGATCCGGCCGCCATGTTTGACCCCACCGACCTCGCGGATGACGTCACCCCGCAGGCGCGCTGACTCACCCACCCTTTCTGAGTGTTGCATTATGGGGGAGGAGGGAACACCATTTTCCTCCTCACCTTTGATTATCCTTTCCTTCCCCACGTGGTCCACCCTCATGGATACCTGTCTATCTTGCGGCCAGCCAAACTGACAATCACAGCTCCGCCTTCTTGGTCTCCTGATTACTGCGGGCTGGAGATGAGGTACATTGCCTTTTGAAATTGCCTTTTCATGCGCAGGCCAACCTTCACTACTTGAGCCGTTACTGACGCTGCTGCAACACCTGATCAAATATCACTGGACACAGGGCGATGTTTGCATAGGAACTCTCAATACGAATTCATGGAAAGACATGCGTGTTATTGAGGGTGTGTGTGCGGCGCAGGCGGCGCGGCGGGCGATGAGGGAGGGCGCCTGGCTGCGGGCACTGCTGGTGACGCTGCGGCTGAAGGATGCTCAGCTCCTGCGCCAGGTCATCCTCGGCACACCGCCCGAAGAGGTGTGTCCATCCCGCTTAATATGATCTCGTACTGGTTGCTCCGTCTATCAGAGAGTCCTTACAGAAGGGAATGTACACATGGCATCGGGCACCCCAACATATCAAGTCAGCCTTTTGGGCTGGCAGTTTCAAACTTTATATCTTCATGTCTCTGACACCTTGCACTGGCGCGGGCATGCTCATGCATGCACTTCGTGGAGTTGCTGCAAGATGACGACCTTTGGCAAACAGCAGCTGCTGAATGGGTGTTCAAGAGTATATTTATCCTTGCTGCAGGTTGACATGATTGCCGGGTCTGTGCCGGCGGCTGCATTGACGGACGTGCTGGCGGCTTTGGCTGACTACATGACAGATTCCCCCCACCTGGAGTTCCTCCTTAAGTGGGTCCGCTCGCTGTGTCTCCGGCATGGCACAACACTTCAGGTGCGACGCCCGCCCCATAAAAAGAACAGCCCTTTGGCTCGTAGAGCCATATGATCTGTGACATCCGTCAGAAGGCATGATTCTGGTCCACTGATTGTAAATGTTGACTCTTGCGAGGAGAACTTCTGGCTGAGGGTTTTTGTGGATTTCTTTCTGTCTAGGCCATGCCAGCCTCCAGGACGATGCCAGTCTTCCGAGCGCTGCAGCAGGCTGTGACCAAGTCCCATGAGGACCTAGCCAGTGCCTGTGACACAAACTTGTACACCTTGCGCTACCTGTGTGCGGCTAGCAAACCCGCACTCCAGGCGCCGCAAAGACAGCTTGAGAAGGCAGGTTGAGGGAGTGATGCAATATTGCAAAGCGCTGCAGGGCATGCTGCATGCTGCTCGGTTTACTGATTGAGCACATGCATTAATTGATGTGAGGATGGTGTGCCATGCATGGCAAAATCTGGGATCACAGAAGATATGTATATGCAAATGTTGAAAAGAATTTAGTTCCTGATTGTCACCCGTTGACCTTTGAAAATAATGTCGCCTACTGTTCACAATTTCCACGTTGTAAAAGACAATCATTAACTCACGCAGTTGTCAGTGCATTTTCACCAAATGATCTATGACTTTGACTGGCCAGGAGTCCATCGAGACACTTGCATGAGATGTCAGATGCCTCAGTAGGTGGTAGTGCAGAGCTTTCAACACAGATAATCTGTGACAGATTCGTGAAAGAAACCCACTGATCAGCCAAAAATAGGAATCTTTTGCAATCTGGCAGAGGATCTGCGCACAGGATGACTTATTGCCGACAGCTGTACCGACAGCTGCAGGACACCCTGTGCCCCTGCAAGGCAATCCGCGACGCAAGGCACTGCTCTGGTGTCTCCCTTCCACGCTGCAAACTTCCACTTCAAAAGTATGTTTTGCAATCTACCTAATTGAAATCCAAAATCAATGCGCCCCTTCACTTGGCGTCATGTGGCGGTGAACTTTCACGGTGTGGCTTGGAGCCAGGGGGCGTGTGACAGTTTTGATTAGATGCTGTTCATTCGTCGAGTGCTTGGTCTGCAACAACCATGTCAAGCTGTAACGCTTGCCCTCATCATTCTGTTTAGCCTGCTGCCGCTGCTGCTGAATGAAAGCCCAAAGCGAATCTCTGATCGCCCTTCACCCAAGGAGTCCATCAAATGCCCGCCTGCCTTATTTCTCGCCTCCCTTTCCACACCCTACAATACCATCAAGGCCACTGGACTGCAGCCTGAGCAGCCGCGCTCATCTCCAATTATTGCAATCTCCACCACGAGAGAAGTGTGGTGTTTGCCCACTCCAAGGCCCTAGCCGCAACAGCCACAAGGGGGGAACACCATGTATGTGGTGTCACCAGCTTAGGTGAGCCCCGCGCGAGAAGCTTAGTATGTGCCCTAGATCGCTTCCTGCCGCAGCAGCCGGGATGGGCTGGTGACTGGGGGCTTCCCCAGCTGGGGTCTTCCCAGCACCGTGCAGCGTGGTTTTCACGCTGATCAGCACCCCTGCCGTAGCAGCCGGGAGAGGCAACGCTGTTTCTGAGTGAGCCAGGGGCACGCCCCCATCAGCCGGGCCCGTAGACGCTGCGGCGCTGCAGCTGGTTGTGGGCGAGCTGCTGCACGAGGGTGCCCAGAGTCACGCGCACGTCGTCGACCTTCTCCACGGCCTTGAGCACTGGGAGGATGTCCAGCAGCTCGCGGTCGTTGGGGTCGTCGATGAACGTGCCGATGGGGAGCGCGTTGTCGGGCTGGAACACGTAGCTGTGCGGCGAGTTGTCCACAATTATCGAGTCCGGCAGCGGCCGCCCCAGGCATGTCAGGTCCTGCGCCCACAGACATCTCTGCTTTGACATTGTGTTGCTCTGCCTATGTTGCAGGCAATTCCCTAGCCAAAGAGAGGTCCGGCAGCGCCATTGTGGTGTTGGGGAGGTACTTTTATGTCATCTTCGTTACAGAGCAACATGCACCTGACTGCATAGTGCAGTGAAAAGAACAGAACTGCTTTCTGATTGGCATTGCAGACCGAGTTTGTTGGAGAGCGGGTGTGATATGGTGTTGTACCTTCACGTAGTTGCCCTCGTAGGGGCAGCAGGCTTCCCGGAACAGCCGCCATCTCACCACCTTGGCCTTGTCCATCAAGTCCAGCAGGGGGTCTGCACAAGGACAACGCTACTTCTCAGATCCCTACTTGTGTCATCTCACATGCATGTTCAACATTCTCTGCAAGGAAATGCCATTCCTGCTTTCCATTCCATGCTACAGCCACCTTTTGCCAAATACGATTGCCACATCCCTTCCGGCCATTGCAGGAACCATGCATCTGAGGACATACAATGGGTCCCTCCTGGGGCTTGGAGTACCACTGCCAAGCTCTTCTCACCTGCGTACTTTGACAGGCTGGCTGTGAACACGACGACCTCAAAGCAGCCGGCGATGGCATTCATGAAGTGGTCCAGCCAGGGCCGCTTGAGCACGTACACGTCCACTATCTTGCCCTCGATCTCCACGGGGATGATGTAGTCCGGGTTGGGGATGGGCTTGAACGAGCTGTGCACCAGCGTCTCGTCCAGATCCAGCACCAGTGTCTTCTTGCCCCTGTCCTGGTCCTGTTTTGAGGCCACAAATTTGTTTCACACCAAAAGAATGCATCCATAAGAAGGGTTTGATGCTCATTCTCCACACGAGCAAAGGGTTACAGTGCATTGTGCCTGTTGTCCTGGTGACAAAGGCCATGAACATGTCCCACGGCCATGCACTGGTTGCATGGGGCCCATGCCATGGGCACATGGTCCTAAAAGCAATGGACTCTCTGCAGAGTAAGTGTAGTCATGACGTGGTGAGCACCTGCAGTGGTCCAATGACCGGATCTCCCCTGTATGCGGGTGGGGTGGGGGGTTGAGGCGGGCGGATGATCGCTGTTTCCGCCTCATTGCTGCGGTAATACTGCTCGTTGGCATCTGGGGCGAAGCAACAGAAGAGAGCTCGCAAACGCTCCTTCCATGATGAGGGGCGCTCTGAGGCATCAGTGCCGCTGTACTGCAATGCTGCTGGAGACTTGTCATCCCTTGTCGTGACCTGCAGGCAAGCCAGTGTAGGGTCAGCCTTCTGAAAGGCAAAACACCCATTTCATGGAGTCCTCTTGCAACATCCAACCACATCTGCACATACGCCGACAGCAAAAGGAATAAAGGTCCCAAAAAGATCTCCGATCAGCACAGAAGCCTGTGATTAAGGGGGTGATGGTACCTGGGTGATGACAGACTCTTCTGGCACATGGCGGTGGTCTTCTGGTGCTGCGCTGTCGTCACCAGTATCTATAGCTTCTCGATCGTTGTTTGATATCTGCACCCTCTTTGTCAACTGTAGCAGGCTGTTTCGGTTCTCTGTGCTGCGAACCATGCCCTTTCTTTGGACGCCCTCTACATGAAGACCCTGATCTGTTTCGACCTAATCCTCTTACCCCTTTCAAGAGCCTATTGGACCCCCGATGTACAGATATGCAGCGGGACAGCAGAGCCTCTGGCAATGCTACAAAATAATGTACTGACGGAAAGCTACACCTGTATGGTTAAAAGGTGGCGGGTTTGACGATCAGGGAGATACCTGCAATGAATGCAATCCAAACGAACATGCTGTAATTTAATGTCTCGAAAGAAATGGTTTTGGCTTCAGGGATCTCCCGCTCTTGCACTTACGCGGTTTGACCGGGGGGCCCATATCATTGCTCGCATGCATGCAAGACATTTTGTCATCATGAGAAGTCAATATTAGTCCAGAGGATTCCTGAAAGTCCGAGCTTACAGTATGAAGTGCACTCACGTGAAGGCCCCTATGTAGCCATGACTTACTAGTGCGGTCACCCTCATGAGGGCGGCTCACTGAGCCGCCCTCATGACTCTCTGTGACCGCCAGCCTGGCAGGCTGACGGTCACAGTACTGGAGTACTGGTCATATGATGCGGCATCATGATGACCGTAATCAATGATTGTGCAAATTGCAGAGTGGTGCAATTGCTCGCGATTGCAAGACCATCATCTCTTGCATTCACCCTGCTGAATAATCGATGCAATTTGCAGGACTGCAGGCTTATAAATTTTAGTAAGTTTGCAGCAATAACCAGCACGTGCTGGGCGTTTCTGCAACCTGTAAATGCCGGCGCTGACTAGCTATACCCTGACTTCAGCATTCAGCTGAACTCCGCGGTCTTGAATCAAGAACGGTGGCCCTTCATCTTCTTCTCCTTCCAACTCGGTCTTTCCCGTTGAGACCTGTCGCATTGGCCGCACATCAGTCACTGGCAAAAGCATGTTGCTGTGACCAACCACAATTATGTGGACACAACACAGGGAACTTCTACTTGCGAGGCCAGGAGAGGTAACGCACCCTATCACCAACTCCACGCGTCTCTCCACATCCTTTGCATTTTGGCGGCCGAAATCGCGAGGGAACACTGCACGATGGACGCTCGGGGCACCCTGATTGGGCCTCTCCTCATCTTCCTCCTCATCCACCGGGACCCTGGCAAACAAAAACAAAGCCATACAACTCCGAAACAACATGTCAGCAACTTCTTTTAGGCAGACCTACATTTTGACCCTCAAACCATGAGAAAGAAGCCATCAGGCTCATGGCCATGCAAAGCCCCAGCATTGCCTGAAAGAGAGACAGCATCAAATGTGAAAGGGTTGGGTAGGGTAAATTTGTTACCTGGCTGTGGGTGCTCCAGCGGCAGACAGAAGCCGTTTCTTGGCGGCTTCTGTCTCCTCAATATTCCTCAGTTTGAAATCCATGGGGAGCGCGACCTCCTGGATGCCTGTCATCCAAGAAGATACATCCTGCTGCTTGGAATTCTGTGCCTGCATACCATTACCGGAACATATAAGTTGCCACACAGTGCAAATTGGCTGCAACATGTTTCAATGCCGTAGGGTCCAGAGAAGTACACATTTTATGATCCAATACAAGGGGGAAAGTGCTGCACCCTCAAATTCTCTGGTATGCTGTACAGGTCGTCCTCATCTGTCCTTGCAGCGTCGCCAGCATCGGCAGTTTCGGACGGTTTCTGCCGGCCTAAGCGTTTTGCCAGCTGAGCTTCAATGTACTTCTCCCTGGCAACAATACGCAGGATTGCAGGTCAAATAAAAAGTGGGGCTTGGACTGTGCTGGTGCTCAGATCAGCAGCTCAAAGTTTGGGGGAACAAGGAATGACCCTCACATCTCTGGGTCCATTTCGAGGTCACCCTTGCTCTCTTCCTTCACGTACGATTCCATCAACTCGCTCTGTCCATCTCGCAAGGCAGGCACCTGCCCACATTGCAGGTTGCCATGAGATCCAGCAGGGGAGGCCAGGTTATGGCATGTCATCCTTGATCAAAGTCAAGACAAAAGAGGCTTCGTGAGCACCGCACCACTCCGGCCTCCTGAACTTGCGCAGTAAGTGCAGCAGCTGCGTCCAGCCCCTGCAGCAGCATCCACACCCCATTTTGATTGGATACTAGCAAGATTGACTCCTTGTGCTGAGTGGCAGAGCCGTGCTTGCTATGTACTCACTGCTCTGCGCTCCCTCTGCTTCTGCAGCAGTCTGGTGTCATCCAGCACTTTCCTGCAGAACATGAATGATAACAGATGTCATGAGTATGCCACAATATGCATTGACTTTGTGAAAGAAGGCGTCAACTCATACTATGGGCATCACCTGAGGCTATCGTCCTCATCCCCATCGGAGACTTCTTCCTGATCATCAAGTGCCTTTCGTTTTCTGATATTTCTGACTTTCTTTTGCGCCATTAATGCACTCTATAGCTGTATTTTGTTGAAGACTCAGATGCTCATGTGAAATAAAAAGCCCAACTACCTCTAATCGCATCACTCTTTGCGATGTCTTACTTCAGATATGTACGATTTATGGATTGAGGGACGGATGCAACGTACTGCAGCCAGCAAGCCAAGAACTTCGACAAAGTATTGATGACTGATAGTGACTGAGGCTTTACTGATCTTGGCCAGAGCCAGAAGAACGCAGACACGCACAGCAAACCACTACGATCACATCGATCGCATCTTATCTTATCTCAATGTGCGTTGTAATCATGTAGCTGGTGGCGAGCGGGAATCGGATGGGTGACCAACACCGGAGGGTGAAAGAACCTCGGAAAGATCCCCTTCCCGCAACGCACGCAAAATACGAGAAGATAAAAGATCTCAGTACTGGCGCATTTGGAGTTGTTCAGCTGTGCCGCAACAAGAAGAGTGGTCAGCTCGTGGCGATCAAGTTTCTTGAGAGGGTGAGCAATGTCTAACGTTGTTGACTACACCTCCAGCTTCCTTCTGCTGCTGGTTTCAGATAATCATGAAAGAGTTGCCAGCATTGTGCAGCTGATGTTCAGACGGCTGGTAGCTGCTCAATTGCAGAGTTCAGCATTATGAGAGCATCATTTAGTCTGAACTAGTGCTAGCTGAAGCTAGCCTAACCTTGACAGTAGTGGTATATTGGTTGTGGAAAGACAGAAGCCGCCCTATTTCCATATTGGGGCATTTCTATTATAAAATGTGGCCGAATATAGCTAGGTGAGCACGCCGTTCCATTGCACCTCTGCTCTGGCAGAGATCATCCAATTCACTTCTGACGCTGTGCCCCGACTGCCAGGGGCCCAACAAGATCACAAAGCATGTGGAGCGGGAGGTCATATGCCACAGCAACTTCTGCCACCCTCACGTCATCCAGTTTAAGGAGATCTTCTTGACTCCCACCCACCTGGCCATCGCCATGGAATACGCCCCCGGCGGAGACATGTTCCAGTTTGTGAAGAAGAACAGCGGCTTGAAGGTGCACCTGTGTCCCATGCATGCTGATGCAGACATCCCTCAGTGGCTATGCTCATTCTTTGCAAGTCTCCTCCTCCTCGACTGCTCCTTGACAAAATGGTTGTTCTGCCTGGTGGGGGTCGCATTGCCATGGGACAGATCTGGAAGAAGGGCCCCTTACGCAGGCAATTGTGGGAGGCAGTGAACTCGCTGCTCAGATGCTTTTAATGGGGTGTGCAGGAGGAGGATGCTCGATGGTTCTTCCAGCAGCTGATTGTGGGGCTTGACTACTGCCACCGAATGGGCGTGGTCAACCGCGACATAAAACTGGAGAACACGCTGCTGGACGCCTCGCCCAAGCCGCTCGTCAAGATCACAGACTTTGGATACTGCAAGGCCAGCAACGACAGCCTGCCCAAGTCCAAAGTCGGCACCCCAGGCTACACAGGTGCATACACGCTGTCTCCTCTTCTGTCTCCTTTTCTGCTGCGTGCTGCCTTTAGATGTTGCCATGCACACCAAAGAGCGCGCATGCCGGTCTGGCAGCTGTGCAATGCGTTTCAGCAGAGACATCTCAGGCTTGTGCGCTGAGCTAGCCAACAAGCATGGAAAGAAGTGCCAACAAGCACGTAAACAATTGCATGCAGAATATTTCTATTGTAGAATATTACATGCTGTCAGCTGGCACTTAGCATGGGTGGTGGGTGCTGTGCAGCGCCGGAGGTGATTTCGGCGAAGACGCACTACGATGGCACCAAGGCGGACATATGGAGCTGCGGGGTGATGCTGTACGTGATGCTGTTCTGCGAGTACCCCTTTGAGCGGCCGGAGGACGACGCGGACAAGTACGGCTTCCAGAAGGTGCTGGACCGCATCATGCGCGTGGACTACCGCTTCCCCAAGTACCCCAGGATCTCCGCCGAGTGCCGCGACCTGCTGCAGCTCATCCTGGTCGCCGACCCCGACGAGCGCCTCACCATCGAGCAGATCCAAAGCCACCCCTGGTGCGGGCTCGATGATTATTTCAACGCAATGCGTCCTCTGTTAGAGCGCGAAAGAGATTTCACACCCGTGAACCATCTGTTCCCTCTGCTCTTCAGCCTGGTATGATTGGTGATCTAGGTAGACGAGGGATTGCAAGACATGAAGCAATGCGAGCGCCAGAAAAGGAGAAAAGGCCGCCCTGCTTTGTTGATAGAGTGCATCACATGATTCAACGGTCTGAGTTTCTTCACTATTCCTGTGTATGACTCAGCCTCAAATTTACGGCGCAGCAAGCACTCCCAGTGTTGGGGCGGCGGTAGTCCACTGGCAGAACTTGCTTCTCAAGAGTTCACAGCTTGCAAAATCGTAAGACAAGCACATGCAGGGGTGGTTGAATGCTGAAGCGGCGGGCATGGGTGCTGCAGGTACAGGAAGGGGCTTCCGCCCACTGTGATGAAGATGAATGAGGAGTGCCTGCGGCTGCGGCCGCATGATCACCCAGGGTACCAGACCGTGGCAGACATCAAGAGGATCGTGGGGCAAGCCATTGGCCCACAGCCCGAGCACCAGCAGCACGGGGTGGAGACACTGGTGGACAACCTCGTTATCGACGATGCCTCATATTTCTGATTCCTCAAGATCTGAACATGGAATCTAAAACCTGTGGGAACTGTTCTGGCAGCCTGGGTCGTGTGCCATTCATGCAAACTATTATTTTGAACTTGTATCTTATTGGGCGCGTTGTAGCAAGCCTGCTGGGTCGCTTATTTGAACGGCCGAAACTCTTGTCCTCATTGTCGATGTGTGCGATATTTCCAAAAGAAGCTGCCACAGTGTGAGCCCTGTCCCTCAGGCTAATGGAGTGATACCAACCGGGGCCTCGATATAATTAAGGAATCACAGTGTGAGTTTGTTGAATGTTTGTCTTCAGTACCGCACGTATTTGGCGCACCATAAGACGTATCAAATCCAGGGGCACCATCTTGAGTTTGCCTTCCTGCCAGTGCCTTCCAAGGCACCTTCAGGATAGCTTCTCTAGTGACGAATCACATTCTTCCTTTTCTTCGAGGATGAAAGAAAAGGTGACATGGATTTGATGATAAAAAAATAACTGCTGAAATCCCTGGAAAGTAAACGCACATATCAATAGGTGAGCCGTTGGCACGACGTTTGACAAAGTGCTCAGGTTCATGATCTCTTAGCATAGAAGCACGGGATGCACTGAACGCCATTGCAGCGTCCAGATCGGCGCTTTAAATTATGGTGACTCTGGCTAATGTATCAGATCCTCAAACGGACCGGGTTTACACCCTCTCTGTCTCAGATGCCCTGCTACTGGTCCTCATCGCCGTTTGTTTGCTCTACCTACTCCCTCGCAAGCTACTCCGGTACTGTAAAGATGTTAGCAGTGGCACAGAAGTGGGGGGTGCAAGGCTTGGGCCCAAGCGTCAATAGCTGTGAAGGTAGGCCCTCAGGTTTTTCGTTTGTGTCATACCCATTCTGCAGCCTTGTGGCAGCATTGGCACTTACATTAATGATGTGGATGTGATTTTGTTCAGATCTGCAGCACGCGCAGTTGTTGAGGATATTAGAGGAACTGTGGAAGGGGAGGAAGTACGTTCTGCCACGAGATAGAACTCATTCATCAGAGGATATAATTCTCTATATAGAGAATTATGGAGCAGATCAAAGATGTCACCATGGTATGAATAATACGTGTTAGTAGAGTGATTCATAGCCTCCGTCATGCTAGTGGAGACAGTGTGCCCTGTGATCACGTGCTCCTGACAGGACGGTCACCAGTGGGATTGTCTGCTGCAGGCAGAGTCTGCAGAACAGTGTCGACGTCGGTCTGTAATTCTAAAAAAAGACCAAGCTATGGACCCTGCTCCGTGACAATCTTTACAGTGCTGCAACCATGTTGATTACTTTGTTTTGAGCGCTAGCCAAGCATGTCTTGGCAAGAGTCAGTCCTGAACTATGTGATAGGTAGCCTGAGTGGCACTTAACACCCTCAATTGATTGCTGTTCTGAACATGAAAGCTTAGTCTTCAGATGGTGCAAATTGGTGGCATCCGTTCTGTCTGACCGAAACCACACCGTCACTTTATGCTCGCATTCGGCAAGCACCGCTTTACTTTGATGAGGTCACCGTGGTCCACCTGTTTAAGCTTGCCCAGCTGCGACAGCTTCTTCGAGCTCTTCTTTTCGTTGATGTGCTGCTTTCCTGGTCTGCGAGTGAGCACTTTGCCTGTGCCAGTGATCTTGTAGCGCTTGGCAGCAGCCTGAGTTTGACACAGGAACGAGTGAGTCTACAACTTCAGCCACACGCACACGCTGGCTTGGTCACTTCCCGTCCTTCTGCAGGCACAATATGGACGCCGTGTATGAGGGTCACCTTTCTTGTTTTGAGCTTGCCGCACACAGCCCCAATCGCTTCAATCCTCTGCACCTGCAAGCAGCAAGCCTCCCTTGAGCTCCATATATGCTGGACCAGGGCACTGCACCTGCTGTCATTCCACAATCGCTACTAATTGGCGACAAAGAGACATAGCCCAATGTTCATGGAGTGAAGTGCTGGCTGTGCCTTGTGGGTTCTTGAAGGAAGCAGCTGTGCTCCACAAAGTCCATTGCGTCGTGCACTCAAGGCTGTGTGCGAAGGAGCACTGCAGCTGGTACTAGTCCTGCTCAATGAGCTGACCTGCAATCGTAGCAACCACAAGACTAACGAGTAAATTATCAAAGACAGCAAGAAAAGGTCTGAATCTGCAGGGCACCTCTGGGGCCGATCCAAGGCACTTGACAGACACCCATCGCCCCACATGATAATCTTTGAGATCTTTTGCTTTGTATTAATTAGCCAAGAGGAACCCATGAGCCCTAGGCAAGTGCACAATGCAACGTCCGAAGATGGGAGCAAACCACTATCAGACGTGCATATCGAGAAACCGTACCTTGGCGGACATCTGAGGCCTGATGGAGAGGCCATGCAGGCTACAAGTGACAGATGCGAGAGACATCGTGAACCACACTTTCTGATTAATGCAGGCAAATAGAAGATAATCGATAGGCTGCTCTTGCTCGGATCCCCCCCTCCCAACGGGGGGCACCGAAACATGCATGAGCCAGTTTTGGATATCGTATTCGAAAGCATTTTTATGCTCCATGCCCTGCTCCCACCCGTTTGGGCTGGGGTCGTAATGCGCGAAGAGAGTTCTTGAAATTTTTGGGCTTTGCCAGAGCAGCAAACCGGCGGCAGTGTCTGTATTGCATGCAGTCGCTATAATTAGAAGATTCTTGGACTTAACCTGCTGCTTTCGTGACGGCTTGATTTGACTTCTTCTTGAAGCAATCGGTAACTTCTGTTGAGAAATCTTGGGTTGAACACATATGGTATCGACCAAGTCTCTCTGAGATAGTGAATCAATCGTCTAAGAGGTGCCAATGGCAGCATCGGCTGTTATCCCGAGGTACGCGAGCTCCAAAAGATAATAAAGCAATACAGTATATCCTCTAGAAAAAGTTTGCTTATTCTATTTTTCTGCAGGCACATCTTTGGTCTCCGTGGGGACGTGAAAGACAACGTGCACTATGTCGATGAAGCAGCCCTGGTTTATCCAGCTGGGCACAACATCATCATTCATAATCTTGAAACCAAGCAACAGCAGTTCATTCCGCTTCCTGCGGAGTCAGAGGGTCTTCTGGGCCTTGCTCTGACGCCCAACAGGAGATTCTTAGCAGTGACCGAGCGGGCAGAGAAGAGCACTGTCACCATTTATGATCTGCAAACACTGAAGAGGAGGAAAGTGCTGGCATCGGTTGATATTGGTGGGAAGGTGAGCTGGTATTCAGCCCCTTGCAGGACGTGCAGCATTGTTTCTTGCTGCACCATCCAATATGCTCCTCCCCAGGTGTAACACAGATCGGGAGATGACTCCATGGAGAGTTCATTTTGAAGATCGTTCTTTACTTGTATGCAGGAAATTGCCAGCATTGCATTCAGCTCAGACAGCAAAATTCTTGCAGCTCAGGGTGGTGCTCCCGAATGGAATCTGGTGATCTGGTCCTGGGAAAAGTCAAAAGTGCTGGCCTCAGTAAAAACCGGCAATGCCTTGGGGTCACCAGTGAACCAGGTGTGCAAATCAGATCCACTTGATATTCCTGATTGTCTTAGGCCAAGCATCTATCGACGGCTGGATGCATCTGCGCAGATCTTGTTTGCACCTGGCAGCGCTCTGGACGGCAACATCATCGTCAGTGCTGTGGGCAACGGCATCTTCAAAACATACCGCTACCAAGAGAATGCCTTGAGGCCCATGCCGACCTCCATGGCCAAGCGGGAGCCGCAGAATTACACCTGCCATGCCTGGCTCGTGGAGGGTGAGGCGCATGCCACTGTACTTCTGTTCTGTCACTGCGCAGCCATAAATTCTGTCAAATCAAGCAAGGCAGCTCTCCCCATGCATACTGTTCATGGGAGAGATTGACACCCGGCCCCATTGAAACATCTTAGTAGCCGAGCGAACAGAAAGCAAAGCGATTCCCTGAGTAGCGGCGAACGAAATGGGATCAGCCTATTTATGGCTGCGGATAATTTCTCAGTTCCTTGAGGTACTCTTTGGCACTGCAGGGGACCAGGACCGCATTGTGGTGGGTACGGACCGAGGAGAGGTTTTGGTGGTAGTCAATGGCGATGTACGGGGCACGCTCGTCATAAGCCCCTCGACTGTCATAGGAGCCATTGTCGCTTCGCCCAAGGTACAATTTCCACAACTCCCTGGATATATCTCTGCTGCTGCAGCAGCTATCACATTTCTCATGCACTGCTGCCTTCCCCGCAGCATGGTCAGCAGACGCACCTTGCCTCTGGCAGGAACGTCTTCATTTCTTAAGTCTTAGAGTTGCTGCCGTGCTGGCCAGGGCTTTGCTGTGGGGTCAACCGGCGGGGTGGTGATCCTGTGTGAGAGGGAAGCAGATGACCGGCTCTTCAAAATAGTGAAGCAGCTCGCCATCGAGGGGTCAGCGCAGAATGTGTGCAGCCTGGCCCTGTCGCCAGCAGAGGACACCCTCATAGCCTCGATGGACAACAACCAGATGTACAGCCTCAAGCTCGCCAGCAACGCACAGGTGAGAGCAGATCTACCTCACAACAGGTAGATCTACCTCATCAACACTTGCATCTGCTGGACTGCACATGAAGTGCTTGTCTTGCGGCATGCAGGTGGAGGACATGGCGCTGAAATTGGTGGAACAGCAGTACCACTGCGCAGAGGTGACAGGTGCAGATGCATGCGTGCGCAGGGCAGTTGTGGCCACATGCTCCCTTGACCGCACCCTGCGCGTGTGGCACGTGCATGACAGGTGCACCCCAGACTTCCTTGCAATGTTCTGTGAGAGAGGTCATCTATGCTACTGTGCCTTTACTATCAGACAACCCCCAGGTGTGCACACGTGTCAGGTGGCATGTGACGTGATAAGGCAGGATCAGTGCTAGGTGGGGGCTTAGTGCTGTTTGCGTGGCTGCCAGGACCTCGGAGCTGGTGAAGCAGTTCATGGAAGACCCTTTTAGTGTGGCGCTGCACCCCGGCGGCTTTTCTGTGCTAGTGGGCTTCCCGGACAAGCTGCGCCTTTTCACAATCCTAATGGACAACCTCAAGTGAGCCACCGCAGATGTTCTCCTCATTGTACTAGCCCTTTACTGGATTGTGCCATTCTGGCCATGAGCAGCTCTGTACAGGGTTTATATCATGTGTCAGGCAGTTTGCTGCTGAATTCAGGTTGGTGAAGGAACTCCCTGTAAAGGGCTGCACAGAGTGTCGTTTCAGCAATGGAGGCCACCTGTTTGCTGCCTCCAGTGGCAACAACATCTTTATCTATACCACCTACACCTGCGATCTCATAGGCACACTCAGGTGAGCACAAAATTCTGAGTTTTCCAATGCAACCTGATGGTGAACATGTTCATGAAAATTCGTGACATTTTCCACAACAGGGGCCATAATGGCAAAGTCAAGAGCCTATCCTGGTCAACGAATGATGCTCTGCTGACAACTGCGGGCTCTGATGGGGCGGTTTACCAGTGGAAGCTCAAGAACTTCAAGAGAGCTAAGGAGAATGTCTTGAAGGTAGACCTAAGCCGCTTACATTCACCCATGCTGTTTGATATCTGTGCACTTTAAGCTGTTCAGATCTCTCCAGGTCGGGTGCATTGCCATTTTTCGCCGTTGATGGTTGCAGGGATGCCTGTACAATTGCGCTGTTGCCACAGCAGACAGCCAGCGTATGTATGCTACCAGCTCTGATCGGAAGATCAAGGAGCTGGAGGAGATTGCCGGCACCGGCATGCAGATCACCAGGGAGTTTGACACCGGCTGCATGCTTGTGCAGCTCGTGCTGCCCCCTGGTGAGTCACCGAACGCCTCATTGCCGCATGCATCTTGCAACAAAGTGGACATGCAGGAGCTGAATTCTCATCGGTTCTCATTAGAGACACTGACAGCAACGGATGCGCAAAGGACCCAATTACTTGTCTGGACAGTACGAGTGTGCATTGCAAACTTTACAAAACTTATGACAGGGAGTGTGTGTCATGTAGGTGGCAAGACACTGTATGCCGGGACAGACACGGGGTGCATACGCGCGTACAAGCTGCCGCTCAGCGGTGAAAATCAGGAGGTCAGATGCTTCAGCAGTGCAGTGACTCGGCTGCGTCTGTCACATGATGACAGCCTGCTGTATGCCACCTCAGCAGCTGGTGACCTATTTGTGTTTGAGGTTAAAGATCGTGATCCAGTGCGGTCCCTGGTCAAGAGGTGCAGCTCTCCGCCACCGGACAGTTTGTGCCGTTGTGTCAATGTGCTCTGGCTCTGCCTGAAGAGAACAATGGTATTGAATTTTGGAGCGATCTTTCAGGGACCAAGGTGAGAAGATTGCCTTTGCTGATGAGGTGCTTCTGCCCAAATTGGACCTGGATGAGAAGAAGCTGCGCATTATAGAGCTTGAAGGACAGGTGTGTCCTCCAAAATCTTTTTTGCTTGGCAAGAGAAAGGCTCAGGAGTCCAAGAAAGGCTTGCACAATGAATTCTTCATTAGTTGTGGATCTGCACAACCTCTGAGGAGCACAGAGGAGTGCATGCATGCGTGCATAGGTGCGGGACGTGACACTGCAGAACGAGTACAACATGCGCCTGAAAGATGTTGCGATGGCGGAGCGGATCAAGGAGCTCTCAGACACGCTTGCAGCGGCATCCCAAGAGCAGCAGGCACAGTATGATCTGCTACAAAAGGCAAAGTCTGAGCAGGAAGCCAAATATGAAGCTGCAGCCCAAGAGGCATCTGAGCGACACCAGGCAACTACTAAAGCCCAACATGGATATCAACACCACACTCAAATTAGAAAACTGAGCAATATGTGAAGCACCCTTCAGCAGCAGCAGCATGCTTGCACGCTGTCCCATGTCAACATGGCGCCTGAGCTTGTTTATTGTTGAGACTGCAGTGCATGCCTTCATAGAGGAAAAGTGGCTGGTGAACAGGCTATGCTGGCGGCACTCGATGACCAGTACCAGTCAAAGGTGCTGCTCGAGATTCAGCGATATGAGGAGCTTGTTCGTGAGAAGGACGCACTCAACACTCGGTGGGACGAGCAGACGCAGGAGCTCATTGCTAGCCATGAGCGCCTTCTGCAGGAGGTCTCTGACGACTTCACAGCCAAGCTGCAGGTGTTCCATTCTGCTTCACTGCGCACACCTCTGGGCAGCAACAATCTTATCAGAAAGTGTCTGCCTTGAACAAAGAATTCACAGCATCCCTGACCCTGTGATGACGACACCTACATATCATTTTCCTAGGGATGCGGTACTTGGGGGGTATGATGATCCGGAGTTCTCTTTTTTTGCAGGAAGATGCAGAGTTGCTGGATCAAATGCAAGTGGAGAAGGAAGACATGGAGAAGAGCCATGAAGAGATAAGGCAACAGATGGAGGAGGACACAGATCAAGAAATAGAGGAGCTCAAACAAATGTGATGGCTTTACCACAAAGCCTACATACATTTAACCACAAATTTGATCACATACCTGTTTCGCATGCTTGTAAGATTTAATTTGATTTTGATCACATGGGATGCAGGTATGATAACAAGATTGCTGCGGAGATTGAGGTGTGCATGCGGCTGAGAGGAGAAAATGGAATCATGAAGAAGAGATTTGATGGCTTGCAAAGCCAGATTGACAAAGAATTGCAGAATTGTGAGAAGCTGAGTAGCCATGAGCAGGAGTTGCAAAAGGTGAGTTTGGCATTTTTGGAGGATCCTGGTCTGCCCTGTCACTCTGACCAAGACAAGCATGTCTTCGCCGCATGCAGTATGACTTGATGCCATCTGTAGACTACTGTACGCATGTCTTGGTGCAGGTCATTACAAATCTAGAGCACAATATTCTGGAACTAAAGCAGGAGAGAACAGAGCGCGACGAGACCATTGATGAAAAGGAGAAGCGCATCCTTGATCTTAAACGGAAGAATCAAGAACTGGACAAGTTCAAATTTGTCCTTGAGCACAATATAGAAGACCTCAAAAAGCATGTCGTGGCACGGGAGGCGGAGGTCACATCCAGCAAAGATGTTGTGAAGGTTGTCAGCCTGACCTTCCCACGATAATGACAATTTCCTCATGCTGGCATGCATTGCAGTCTGCATGGCAGGTCATGAAAGTGCTTTGCACTCCTTCGCAGGGTACAGAAGGAAAATTGAGGGAGATGGAAAGGAAGAAGTCTGCACTGGAATTGGCCCTAGGAGATCTCCGTCAGAAGCTTGATAGCACTCGTGGCGAGGTACTTCAGAAGCACAGGACTTTGCGAGCTGCCAACCGCAGTATCATGTGCGCCCGAGCAAATTGCTGACAAGACAAAGCTGAGTTCGCTTGCCCACAACAATTGTGTCGAACAAGTCACAAGAATCTGCTTGGCCATTGACCAGCACGTAGTACCTTCAACATTGACTTTAATGGACACAGGCGCTTTCAGCATGATCTGGAGGCTGTCATGCCATCTATACAGAATCCTAAAGTGCTGAAAGAGCAAGTGAAGCAACTACATCAAGCACATGGGGCGGCCCTTGCGGATGGTCCGGTGTTGGAGGACAGCAACATAGAAGATTTGAACAGGTGACCCACAAATATTTGCAGAGGCATCCGCACCTGCATGACTGCACATGAAACAAAGAGCAAATCATCTGAATGCCGTGCTGGTTTTAGTATCTCTTCATGTGATACCGTCCATGAATAGGGATGCCATGCTGTAGGCAGCAGATGCCCTTGGAGAAGACAGTGGAAAGTGTCCGGGCAAAAGCTGCAAGCGAGAGCGTGGCCCACAAAGCAGAGAAGGCCAGACTATTGCAGGTCTGCGCTCTTGACAGTCAATTAAATTGACACTTCCCAAGGTTTTGATTCTGCAAACAAATATGATAGGAATTGAGTAGCTTTGTGAGGTGGTCATGCGTTTCTTGATAAAGTGTCTTTGTGCAGGAGAACGCAAAGCTGATTCAAGAGATCAATGACCTGAGGGAGCAGCTGCTGCATTATCAGCATCCAAAGCATTGACAGAGGACCACTGGAACAAAACCTTTCACAAATCATTTACTTATACTGCCCGGTTGTTGATCTCAAGAGATGCACAAAATTTAATTGCTCGGAAGTTAAGCATGGCATTATCATGATGCTGAGCAATCGCTGATTATGATAATGGCTCAACTTGAGCTTCACTTGCAGCCTGTCCAATGGGGGCGTTGCATGACATCATTGATCATCAAGTTGCTGACACAATTGCAACCTAAAACACATCTTGTTGAATTATCTCTTCAGAAATCAAACGTGCCCTCTGTACCATATTAGGACTACCTCGCTCTTGCTCTCAATTAAATATTCCCATGCACATCTGCACAACGGCACGGTGAGGCCTGTCACAGCTTGCCCATGCGGTCAGCTAGAGAATCAGAGCTGGCAAAGTGCTATCGGCCTGCAATGGCCGCTTCTTCAGCTGCCTCCATGGGATCCTTCACAAGCTGCCCTGCTTTCAGCTTTTCTGCCTGTGCCTTCTTCCCCTGCTCCTCAGCCAATTTCTCCAGCTCCTGCTCAGTCACACTCAAGAGTCACAACTTGAAAAGAACGAAGAAACCCCCCAAAAGAGCAAATAGTGAGTGGAGACAGCAGCAACAGGAAAACCCAGGAAAATCAACAAGTATCACATTTGCTAGTTGTACACTCTGTAATACTTCGAAATGAGATCTCTGCTTGAGTAATCATCCAGAAGCACATTTTCGGTAGCAAATACTGGTCATGGGATTTGCTTGCATGCAAGGCTGCAGCCCTGTAAGTGCACACGTCTGGACAAATGAACTGCAGACCCTGCAGAATTGCAGGAGAAATGCCTAGGTCTGGCGTTAGAAGTTACCTGTTCGGCCTCTGCGCGTTCGTACCAATCATCTGCATCTGCCCATACTGGTTGATGCGAGAAGCCCTTGTCACCTCCCTTGATCTTCATGGGTTGCGCATAGTTGCAACGCAGCACCCTGCCATACAGCTCTGCATTGTGCATGTTGTCGATGGCATCGGCCGAATCCTGTCCCAAAGGCACAAGGTAGGTGTCTGATCAAGGTTGATGTGCCCTCTAAGATGGGGCACTTCAGGCTCGCAGAGACACAGAGCAAAGCAACCCTCACCTCTGCATTCTCGTATTCCACGAAGCCAAAGCCCCGATGCTTTCCGGTTGTGTTGTCCAGAGGGATGTTCACATCCTTAATGTCGCCAAAGGGAATGAATGCTGAGTGCAGGATGGCCTCATTCACGTTCTCTTCCAAGCCACCAACATATAGAGTAGTCTTCTTGTTTGTTCCTTTCCCACCAACGACAACTGCGCGCGGAAAAATTTCTAAGATGAAATAATGTTTGATGCACATTTATAAATCAATACAAGCAAGGGGGGTGAAAGCCACAACATCAACAATATTGCTTGGATTTCATGAGATCTACCTGTTGTGCTCTGCATCAAAGAGAGGCAGAGAACAAGTCTGATGCTACAGTTCTCCTCAACGCTGTCTCGACCTCAACAAAGAATTAATAACTCAACTAGTACACCAATCGTTGGTTACCACGGGTGCCTTTTCCGATCCTACTATTCTCAGAGTAGATGAAGCGCTCCACAGGTTTCTATATATAACGTATTCAACCAATTTTCAAGGCTGCTTCCAGCCTGGTGAGTGGAGAACTCTGAAGGTGCGCAGAGGCATGTCTACCAATAATTTTCGACCCCTGCCTCCTTCACTTTTCTTGGAGTTGGGAAACAGACCCCATACACCATATTTGAATCGTTTTATAGTCTCCAAAGCTGATGAGAAGCATACTGGCATCGAAAACGAAAGATAAGCTGTTGTACTGTGTGAGAAGTGCTTGTTTCTGGTCTTCAACATTCGATTCTTTCCTGATAACTCGTTTGTCAGCAAACGCAGAAAACATAAAAATACATGGTCAGAGAGGCACAGACGACTGCAGGTGAGGATTAGACAGCAGAGGTATTGCTGGCTCCTGATCTCATGCCCTCAAGCTGAGTGAAGCTCTTGGCATACTTCTGCTCCTCTCTTGCTCTACTCACAGTCCGATGTGCTGGCGTAGATATCTAGAAGCGGGTGGGAAGCCATTGCAGCAGCATCTGGAACGGGAGCAGAAGTACTGCCATGACAACCTCCATGCCGTTCGTGCCCTGCAAGGGCAACTCCATCAGGAAATACTTGATCAGTATCCAGATCAAGTGGTGAGCTCCCTCATTCAGCTCATGTAGATGATTGTGATCCTCTCCAATGGAAGTTCTTAAGTTCCAGTGTTGTGAGGCAATGGCAATCTTCATGCAGGACTCCCTCCCTGAGACACTCGGTATTTACCAGTACTTGACACGTGCAACTCCTGCTCGACCCCTGCCATGCTACCTGCGCCGGCAGTCCTCAGGCTTCGAGGAGATCCTGCTCGACATGAATGACATCAGCTCTGAGGGCACGCTGGGACAGGTATTGGATCCCTGCCGTGCACTTGACTGGACTGGGATAAGGCAGCGACACGGCAATGGTGGCCGCATGTGGCAGGGCCGGCCTGCTGTTTGGTGAGAATCAGAGGTTGTGCAAGCACTCATGCATGCATGACAAGGCGAATGGTTGTGTGCTTCTCCAGATGAAGGTCTCCAAATCGCAAAAACTCTTGGCTTATACCCTGGAGACACAGCAGGGATCCGAAATATACACCGTCCATGTGGACGACTTGGAAACAGGTATGCTGAATGCCACTCTTGCATTGGCCTTCATTCCGAGCTTTATTCCTGATGCGGTCATAAGGTTCAGCATGTTAAGCATGAAATTGTACTGGCAACAGGAAGAACCCTTGATATCATCCCTGACGTGCATAGCATAGAACTGGCTGGGGACAAGTCACTCCTTTACACCGTCGGTGATTCGTCCAAAAGGCCCTCAATGGTGTGCATATGGCTGGTTCATGCAATGAAGGGTGCAATTCCGGCGGCATTGGAATTTCATAACACGCACAGAGACCTACAATTTCATTAGGCATGTTTTGGATGAAGGCAGGCTGATAAAGCTGGATAAGTGTATTGAAGGTCATGCTTCACAAGCTGGGAGAGCACATAGATAATGATATCTGCATCATGGAGGAGCTTGACGAGCGGTTCTATCTCCATGTTGGCCGCACAAAAGATTACAGATTCCTTACTCTCAATGCTAATTCTAAGACATCGTCTGAGGTGCGCATCTCCTCACCTGATTCCTTCGTACAGAGATCAACAGCCTTGGCTTGCCATATGATTGGGTTGTGAATGACACTGGTGTGCAGGTCCACATTCTGGACGCAGCCAATCCATGGCACCAAAGCAAGATTTGCATACAGTCCCGCGCAGAAGGGTGTGAGTACTTCATTGAGCACCATGAAGGCCTTTTGTACATCTTGACAAATGATGGCGGGGGAGAGTATGTGGTCAAAGTTGCGGAGCTAAAAGGGACACGGAAAGGGTAAGGATATGCTCTCAAGAGCTGTGACAGGGCTATGCAGAGCAATGCGGAGGACAAATTCTCACTGTGGAGGAGCAGCACTGATCATGTGTTGCTGCTGTGCAGGCAATGGGAGACGGTGGTGCCAGTGAGGCAAGGATGCTGTATAGAAGACATGGACATCTTTGAGAGTGCGCTTGTCCTGTATGAGAGGCGCAACGGGTGGCCAGCAATTTCAATTCTGTCCCTGCAGAGTGGTGAGCTTCAGAGAACTGAATTCCTGCTTAGATCTTCGACACAATGCCTGTCATAAGAGGATAAGTATTTTATTGTCACATGCAGGCACAGACCCTCGGCATCAGCTTAGAGAGATTTGTCTACCGGAAGACATGGCAGAAGTGGTCCCCGGTGCCAACCCTGACTTTAAGGCAAGAGACATCATAGTGCGCCTATCTTCACCTGTCAACCCAGAAGGTAGATGGCAATTGCAACTACACGAGCCATTCAATTTCTTGCCAGTCTGCAGTACAGGTGTGACCAACTTGAAAATTATTTGCAAAGCACGAAAATGTTGGCTATCTGAAGAGCTGCCCTGGAACTGCGAGTCTGCACTAAAATTTACTTGTGACAGGTGCCAGTGATGAATCAAAGCAAAGTGATACGACCAATCTAGAAAACGGCGCCCCCGGGAGCATCACTTTTGAATCAGACCCAGAGTTCATCTGCACAAGGGTGGAGGCACAGTCGCCAGATGGAACCATGATTCCCATCACGCTGTCCCACCAGCGCGGCTTGAGAATGGACGGATCCCATCCGGTATTGCTGCATGCCTATGGCGCCTATGGCATGTGCCTGGATGCAGGCTTCAAGCCTGAGAGACTCAGCCTGCTCAAAAGAGGGTACACCTTTCCCAACGCTGTGCATCCAAGTGCATCCCCAACATTCTTGTAATCTGCATGTATGCGCATGCTCATTTATTCTTGAGTGATTGGGTGTCTTTGATGGCTCAGGTGGGTTGTGGCCCTGGCACACGTCAGAGGGGGCGGGGAGCTGGGGCGCCAATGGCACAAGTCCGCAACTGGTAGCGCCAAATCCAAGTCATTGGATGACCTGGAGGCATGCATGGACTTCCTGATCAGGCGCAGGTACACCAGCAAGGGACTTGTTGCGCTGGAGGCCGCGAGCGCCGGCGGCCTGCCGGCCGCAGCGCTTATCAATCGGCGCCCTGACTGTATCGGCGCAGCCGTGCTGCGCGTTCCCTTTGTGGATGTGCTGACCGCCATGCAGGATCCCTCCCTGCCGCTCACAGTGCATGAGTATGACGAGTTTGGCAACCCGGCGGCGGACGAGGAGACCCTGCAAAGCCTGCGGGCGCTGTGTCCATACCAAAACATCCGGCCCAACACGTTTCCGCCGGTGCTTGTGACTTGCGCGCTGAATGACCAGCGGGTGCCCGCCTGGGGCCCGGCGAAGTATGTGGCCCGCCTGCGTGCAAACCAGCTGGGAAGCGCCGAGATCTTCCTGGAGCACAGTGCCAAGGGCGGGCACTTTGGGGATGACGCGAATGCAGTGCAGGATGCTGCCAGGAACTATGCGTTCTTGCTGCATGCCATGGACGGGGGTTGGCGCTGAGCTTGTCACTGGGATTTACTGAAAATGTGATTGGCTCTCTTTGGTGCAATCTGTGTGAATTCTCGATTGAACACAATTGGCCTGAGCTAGAGTCAACGGATAGGAGTCTCAATGAATTGGTGGATTGAGTGAATTGACCCAGAAATCTATACTGGGCACCTGCATTTGGGCTCATGTCAAATTTGCAAGGAGCCAATTACATTGTAACTGAATCGTGATCATGAATGTAGAACTTGGCATCTGTTCCCGCAATCCAATCCGAGTAAGGACGCAGCCACCAGCACACTCGGGCAAAAGGGTTCCGAATACTCAGAAGATCCCTCCAAACGCGTTTGTAAAATTGCATCAATGGCCTGATGCCTGTAATAACACACGCAAGCTGAATGCAGTTACTTCAGCGAATGGAAATTCACCGGCGACAGGTATAGCTCACTTCTTCTGTGCTTAAGCTGCATCTACAACGAAGTTGATCTGACCAACATGGGAACTTGATGAAGGCGACAGGAGAGTGCAGGAATTGAGATTGGATCAAATAAACCGACCTTTGCAGCGCACGAGGACGAATGGTAGGCTGCATGACCTCCAGTGCTCTGCTGCTTGCACCTATCTTGTGCACCTCTGACAGCAAGCTTGACCGCTGAGAGGTCTCTGGTGTGGCAGATCCCAAGAAGGTCAAAGATTTGGCGGAGTCGATTGCAGAGATTGGGCTGCAAGAACCGGTGAGTGTCGCAAGTAGGCATTCTGTGCAATTTCCTCCAGTTGACTCACTGGAGATCCTGATGGTGTGGAAAACGCGCAGATCGATGTCTTGGAGGTGGAAGGACAGTATTATGGATTCTCTGGCTGTCACAGATATGAGGTAGGCTACTGGGAACGCTGTTGTATCATGAAGCAGCCCAGATCTTGTCTGCGGCATTCCATCTCTTGCGCATGCATGCATGCATGCATGTGTGGCACAGCCGCGCCATGCCGCCAAAGCGACATTATGATACGGTTGGAAACTTGAAAATATATTGTGCATGCAGGCACATCAACAGCTTGGCAGGGAGACAATACTATGCAAGGTAAGACGAGGCAGCAGGACTACCCTGAAGATGCACATGATGTAGATTATGACCCCCATCAAATACTGGACGTCCAGCTGGCAGTCCAACAAGACAGAGGATTGTAGTACATAATGTAGTACAATCATTGTACAGAGTGTGGAGAGCTAGTTGAAGTATTACAAGAAAAGAAATTTAAGTAGATGGCTAGAGCTACAAGTCAAAAAATAGCATGAGACCCCTCAAAGTGGGTGTCAGTTGCTGTCTTGTACATGTGAGTGAACAGATGCGTGCAGAAATTTAACCAGATACTGCGAAGGCCCAGCTTGTCACTCCACACGCTTTCAAAGTGCTTAATAATGTTTTGTGACCTTTTGGAGCTGCTGCATGCAACTTCAGTCCTTCTGCCAGGGGAACTTGAACCCCATCCCAAACGAGTCTCCTTCCCCTCCTCTGTTGACATCCCCTGTCCCCAACAGAGTGACATGATTTCAGCACAGGAAAAGACAGTCACGTGCACCAAAAGCGCAAGTCTGAGAGGGGCAAAGTTCAAGAACTGATACTGGACCCTTCCAGCCCATACAACCAAGTCTGTCTCTCACCGAGATTGACAACCGCAGACGTCTGCTTCATGTTGGAAGCTCCTGTTCCGCCGGCCCCAGTTGCATCATCCAGGCCGCCCTCTCCTTTTGGACCTGTAGCTCCAGAACAATTCTGGTCACTACATTTCGGAATGGACAAGATTCTGGCAGCCGCAGCAGACGCAAAGCCACACGCGGTGGGGTGTCACAGCAGCTCACCTCCTTGGACGCAGACATTGCCGATCTTGCCATCCTTCCACTCATACAGCGCCATGCCGATAGGCCCTTCCAGATGCTCTTGGATCTGCACAAAAGGAGGCATCACAGCGATTCAGTACCACGTTACTCACTGATACAAGCCCCCCTCAAATGACTGTAGCACTCTGTGTAGGGGCGCACATTTTCCATGAAGGCTTTGTACTCTGCGCTGGAGTTGTGCCGGCCCAGGTCAGCATTGCTGCTGTACCGTTCCCATACGTAAAACACGTTTGGCTCGAACTGATCTCTGCTCACTACAAACTCCTGGATTCCGTTGTTCCTCTGTGATTTCTTCCCATCTGAAAAGTCCAGCATGTCTTTGCACATCTCTGCCACCTTGTCCACCTGGGAGAAACGAAGATGAAGTCTAAGCACCTGCCCTAACAAAGCCCGGCAATGAATATGAGCAAGACCGTGTCATCTTGAGAGTAGAGAGCCTGCCTGATCTTCTTTTGCAACCAGAGTCTTGTGACATACTACGTTCTTCACAGTGCTTTTCTTTACTGCTGCTGTTACTACCAGCCTGCCCCTTTGTCGAAGATGAGCTGCGCTGCCATAAGGTCTCAATATATTACATTTGCTGGTCAACTGCACCCCCGACATGGAAGACGTCGAAGCTGCCGACCCTCGCATTTGGTTGCTCCCAAAATGTCACTTACAATGGTCTGTTCGATTTGCGACGAATCCAAACCTATTCTGCAGATATACTGCAACCCAATTTGCACTTAGATGTCAAAATGGGAATTTTGCACTTTGCAAAAGCAAGAAAAAGATCACTGTGCACGTGATGCAGATATGGATATGAGAGGGGGGACCCATCCCAATGGCGTGGGGGGACCTCTATTTTTAGCGCAGGGAGTAGTCGAGCAGATGCTGCTGTAACGGAACCGATCGAGGTAAAAACATCGTGAAAGTTTTGAGAAGTGCATAATCTCATCAATACGTCCCCGCCCAAGAAACACCACGACCAATGGACAGGGAAAGGGAAGGCGATGCCGAACCTGCGTACTCTGTTCTTGAGCAGTGCGCTCACCTCCAATTTCTGACATACATCATATGGTGCAAGCAGGCAACATCGTGCGATATTTCTGATCTGATACTGCTTGCGGCGTATGCATGCAAGCTTGTTCTCTTGCAAGCAGGAGTCAGCTGGCTAGAGGAATGCACCAGCAGAGCTACACTATTGGGGCCGAGAACAGAGACATTCTTGCACAGCTAGAGGCTGTCGAGCACGAAAATTACGAGATCACAGAGTATCTCCGGCAAGAGCTAGAAGGCAGAGATGAACAGATTGCAGAGCTTCGCGCCAGGGTAGAGCAGGTAGGTTTTTAGCTGAGGATTGCAAGTGTTGCAGCTCCTGAGCGCTGCATGTCACAAATGGCTGAGTGGAGTATTCATTGCAGATGGTAGCAGAGTCGAGTGCTGCACGGCAGCGCTTTGCTCTGAAAGAAGAGCAGCTGAGGCAAGCAAACGCCGCATCGACAGCAGGGCTGCATGAGGAAGTCGCAGGCTTGAGGGGCCAACTAGCAGTCTTGACGGATGCGATGGCAAAGCGCATTGCTGCAGACGACGAGCTGGTGAAGCTGCGGACGCAGGTCAGGAAGCTGGAGAATGATCTGACCACGCAGGCAAGCTCTCTCCGCCGTGCATCTCAGTCAAACCCAACTGCGTGTTCACCTGGCTCTACTACTGAATTGGCAGACTCTGGGTGGCGCAAACCCTGTTTCAGACTGAAGAGCAGTTGTGATGGCTATGGGGCAGGCTGCGGAGGCGGACATGCGCGCTCTGGAAGCGGCAAAGCGGGCTCGCGCAGAGGCGGAGCAGCGGGCCGAGGAGGCGCGCGGATGGGATACCGACGGCGCCGGGCTTGACGCGCGCGGCCGGCGGCTACTGCAGGAGAATCACAGCATGGTTGCAGAGCTGCAGCTGCACATCTCGGTGCGCGCCTGTCTGCTGGCCTGTGCTCGATGTTGCAATGATTTTTAGACAAGCAACAAAGCCTTCGCTTCTGTACTGCACCACATTGATTCAATTTGGGCTGTGGCAGGAAGCGGAGGCCCTGCAGAAGGATGTGAACCTGCTGCAAGCGGAGACGGGGCAGCTGAGGAGGGATCTGGAGCTGAAATGCGAGATGGAAGTCCAGTACGCCCAGCGCGGCGTCCTACAGGTGTCTCCTTGGTCTCTTCACTATCTTTGAGGCTGTGCTTCATTGACTCTCACCTGACAGCATGTTGCTGCAGCTCAGCCTAGCTTAAGATACACTCTGTTCTGGGTACACCAAGCATATAACTTGGGGTGCAGGCGAAGCGGCTTGGGGACGAGAGGGCGAGGGCGGCTTCGCTTGAGGCAAGCCTGGCGCGTGTGCTGCAGGATTTTCAGCGCGAGCGCGACATGCAGCAGGCGGCGCATGCGGGCGAGCGCTCGGCGGCGCAGGCCGACATCGTGGCCCTGCGGCGGCTGTCCAAGGCGCGCGGCCGAGCCCTGCACAAAGTGCGCTCGCTCGCGCAGGACGTGCTCCGCGGCCGCAGCGATATCGAAGTCTTCCTCGTCACCTCCCTGCGCATGGTGCGAGCCTTCACACTGTTCTAGCCACATGCGGGCCCACAATGCGCATCGCTCATGACTTTTGAATTTGAGGCAGAGCTTTTGCTGTTCTGTGCAGGTGAGGGAGCAGTTGAAGTGCGGCAGGCAGCCTCTCGGGTTGACAAATGGAGGAGACGCAGGCTTGGATTCTCAGCTCGGTGAAAACTTCCTGACAGGGAAACAACCTGACATCAAGGTGAGTCTTCCTGGTTCTGAGTGGAACGGCGTGTGTACTTTTGTTACACTGTTCATGCCGCTGCATGCAAGATCAAAGTATGCATCCTCACATCTTTGTGCAAACAGGACTGGTCATGGGAGGACCGGGAGAAGGTGCTGCGGATGTTGTTTGCCAAGATCAATGAGCGGCAGGCAAAGGAGAAAAAGCAGGCCGAGCTGCCACCACCGTCCTTTGACAGCGATGATGACGAAGTGGATAATGCTGCACCTCTCAGAGGGGTCGCCAATCATGCAGGGCCAGCCAGTCTTGTGTGAACAGTGTACTATTGTGGACTCTTTCACACAGGGATAAACAAGTGACATACAGAGATACCATCGGATCCCCGGTGTCCTTGTGTTGCCACAGCAACGGACCGCCTGTTTGCTGAGAGAGAATGTGGCGCCCAAACGAAGTTACTGATGAAGTCATTTTAGCCAAAACATTGCGCTGCACGCTCAGCAAAAACAAACAGGTATTGAAGTGATGCGGATGAAGGTATGTCAGAATGCCAAAGGCACAATTACAACCCTGCCGAGGGGGTGGCAAGAAACTGGTCTAGTATGCCTATGTGATAATGAGTATGAGACCGCAGATTAGGTGTTTTCCAAGGGAGCCCTGGCCAGCAGCACAACACTGCCTGCAAGCTGCACCGACAATTGCACACCTGAGGTCAATGTGCAGCAGAGCAGTAGCTTTGGACATTCAATAAATGTGTTCCAAATGACGACCCACATTGAAGTGCAAATCTGCCAAGTGACTGTCCACGGATCAAGATCTCCTGTGGTGCTGATAGGATCTTCAATAAATGTATGCTTGAGTGAATTCCTGAGCCCTCCGATGCTACTTTAACCGTCCCGATCTGGTTCAGCTTCAAATGTAAAGCTGTACAGCATCAGCTGTACAGCATCATCAACCCATGCTACGTGTTTCAAACTTGGCATGCCACAAAAAATTCTCTGCTCACACCTTGAGCTGCTGCACCAAAGTCAATCACTGTCTTTCAAAGGTGTACACGTTGCATCCCGAAGCACTAGCACCCGATCAGACCTCCAATGAGGGAGCTTTGGCAAAGGACATGGCCACATGCATGGAAAAAGAGTCTCGCGTGCCTAGCATGCGATGCAAAGTACACTAGTGCAGCCCAATCCACGCTTTTGGCAATCTCATAAGTTGTAGATCCAAGGACTGCATCAAGTTTTCGAACAAGAGTGGAGACGATTGAGGAAGAGCGGAGACGATCGAGGAACGACGTTTACAAATGTCGATTAGGTGTTTATAAATGCAAAGCAAAAGAGCCCACGTGCCTTCACAATGCCAACCCTAAGGCCGCTTAGCTCAGTTGGTTAGAGCATCGTGCTAATAACGCGGGAGTCACCGGTTCGATCCCGGTAGTGGCCATCCTTTTTCTTTTTCAATCTGGTTGGACGAAGTGCACATGTCATTGCCGCACCCCTTTGACCTTGTCCTCTCGGGGGCTCCTTCTGTTTCCCAGTGATGATCCCCGGGTAGTCATTGCATTCAAGCCATCATAGGGCCGGCTCATCCGGATCCGGATCCCAACTTGGATCCAATTTGAAATCCTTGCAATAATGCAATGACTACCCGGTGATCATCACTGGAAATAGTAGGGCAGGGCAATGTTAAAGAGGTTCGGCAATGAACATGTGCATTTCGTCCAACTAGATTGAGAAAGAAAAAGAAAAGAGAAAAATAGCGGAAAGGAAGTGTTGGGCTTGAATCGGTCAACCCGCGGAATCCAAGTGATTGTAACATCTAGGGCTATGCTCACAGGGAAATGTAATGCCTTACCCAATTTGGCATTCGGTCCAACACAGTACTGATATGAATATTAACAGAGGATTTCTGAGGATACCGGTGGCTTGGAACACTAGCAACAATCATGCTAGCTTAAGCGCTTAAGCTTCAAGCATCTTTTAACAGTAGTCGAGGATTTTTTATGAATATGTGATGTCATTTGTCAATATGATGTCAAATTCACCGTCACCTGTGACAATACTATGATAATGAAAATTAGGACTTCTGCCAATGGGAATTTCATCCGTCACGGCGCCTCTGCCATGCACATGACTTGCTGAATCGAATTTGACATACTTCTTGCCAAAACCGTTCCATACTCCCAATACATGAATGAGGACTTCCTGACCGACCATCACTGTCTGTTCCTTGCATCCTGCTCTGCTCTAGGCCTTGGCTGTTTGCTGGCGCCCTTCTCGAGGATCTTGCTTAGCGGCATCCCAGGCAGCAGCGGCGAGCTGGCCTGCGGGTCCTGATGAGCTGCCTGGCTTGGCGGGTGCTGCTGCCAAGGCTTCTCATCGCCATTGTACCTGCTGCCGACTCTGGGGTTTTCTGTACTAATGGACGGCCCGGGTGCATCCTGCACATGCGAAGGCGCATGTGCTTTAAGCTGCGTTGCCTGCGACGGTGCGTCTGCCCTCCAAACTGACGACCCCGGCATGTCTCCTAGCATCGCTGCCGAGCCTCCAGCAAATGAACTGCTGCTGCCTGCATGCTGCAGCGTCATAGCCTCTGCATCCTCTGAAGCCTGCGCCCCCACACCCATCCCTCAATCCTCTTCCATTTAGATGCCTCCAATGCAATCTTTGAATGCCCACGCCTGTGCCTTACATTGGCACACCAATTAGAAGCTTGAACACTAGTCGGTTGCACTGATAAGGAAGCCTTCTATTGAGCAGGAGGCTGCATGGGGTGGGTGGTTGGATTGATTGGAGGGAAGGCTGCTACCTTGGATGGGCTACCGATGGGGCTGGCGCTGGGAGCGAAGGAGGTACGCCGCGCGACGGAGGTGCCCACAGAGCCACTGCCGGTGGAGCTGCCGAGGCTGCTGGTGCGGTGGCGCTGCGGGTCGCGAGTCAGCGCCTGGTCTAGGGCGGCGATCACCGGGTGCCGCCCGCTGCCCACCCCCGCCCTGGCCTCAGGTGGGGTGTAGTAACCCAATGACCCCGGCTTGTCTCCTGGCACGTACCCTGCCCAGCAATGTGCTTGCAAACTTCATGTACAGCTAGTGAAGCTTCCACCCTTCAGCCGATGCTGTTTGCAGAAACAAGCGGTGGGAAAACAAGGTACAAGTCAAGCGAGTATGGGAGCTTGCGCATGCAAAGCAATGTGACACCAGTGAAGTGGGACGGGTGAATGAGATGTTGAGGGCGAGAAAGGCCCGGCTGGTGCCAGGCAGACGCACCGCAGTTGACGGAGACTGTGCGGCTGCGAGCAAGGCCCGGCGACAGTGCCGACTTGCCGCTCTTCAGCACGGCGGTGGACTTGATGCGCTGCATCTTCCCAGCCTTCACCAGCGCCTGGATCTCCATCACTATGCTGCGGTCGTCAGGATATAGCCGCCTGCACACACCACGCCAGCACATTCATGACCTGTGATTCGTGCATGTAGTCTGACTCCCTGTACTGACATATTGGTGAACTTATTCTTTTTGAGCCGGACTCTCAATTTATATTTGAGATAGGCCATGCTATAAGGCACAAGAGAGAGATGGGACAATTCAAGAGAGGCCACACCTGCATGCCTGGCGGATGAAGAAGCCGGGAAGGACGCAGGCAAAGGGCGTGACAAGGACGATCAGCCAGAAGACTGGAGCTGGAGCCAGGACCTCCACAAACAAGTGGTAGACGGCTTGAGACAGGGACAGCGGAAACAGACCATACAACAAAAGATACAAAAACCACACACCTGCCGCCACACATTGCACACAGAGATCAGATTCAAACTTCTGCATGCATCTTGATCATGAGCTGTGCCAGGCAAGGACAATGAAACGGCAGTGGATTTTTAGGAGATGTGAGAGGGCACTTACAGACACTGAACCAAATGGACAGATGATGGAGAGGCGTCCAGTGATCCAAGATGGAAGCAATCTCCAGATGGACAGTGACCACCACAACAGTGAACAGAATGCTGCCAACCTGCACATCAGCGTTACGCCATCAGTAAGTGGACATGAAAACACATGATGCTTAGATGCTCTCCTAAGGGGAATGAATCGATGCCATAAAAAGCTAGACTCACCTCCCAGTGGGTGAAGGTTGTTCCGGAGCTGCGATCGGCATAGATGGACTGCGTGGCAAACATGACCATGACAAACATGACTGCCGCCTGGAAAATGGCATTGATGACCCAGCCCGCCAGCGCCATCGGCCTGAAATACAGGTTCCTCGGGCCTGCCTGGTACAGCCCTGTCATGTCACAGCAATAGTCAGCATGCAGCTTTTCTAGAGTAGTAAATCTTAAGCCACCGTGTCTCCAAAGCCCACAGCAAGAGAGCAGCCTTTGGTGGCTGCTCATGAAAAGAAAGATGAGCAGGATTGCACCTGGGTAGAGCCGGCTCATCTCGCGGTCCACGTCTTGGTCAAACATGCCAATGATGAGCGGTGGCAAGACCGTGAAGATGACGTTGTACAGAGACATGTAGAAATCTGCGGCCGCCAAGCAATTGTCAGCACCCATCCATCACAGGCTGCTTCGTAATTTTCATAGGCGTGATAGACCAAGCCTGTCTTCAAGCATGCCTGCCTTGAATGTTGTGTGATAGGATGTCCACATAGAGGTCATCTGCTTCCTTGATAGCCAGAAAACCTTGATAGTTTTCATGGCTATCTGGCCTGTGTCTTGGTGTAAGTAAGGTGGTTTTAGATGAGGATTGGCGCACCGTTGTAGATGATTTGACCGGAGAAGAAGCAGAGGGCGTTGTAGAAGAAGATGGTGAGGCCGAAGAGCAGGTTCTTGTAGAAGAAGTAGGACACCATTCGCGCGATGCGCAGGTAGGACCAGCGCCCGTGCACCAGCAGCAGCGGCTCCAGGAAACGGAACTGTGCTATCGCAAAATCGCTGCTCATCACCGCCTGCATCCCCTCTTGCCCGCTGATGCCCATGCCTGCAGCAGTGTCATCCAGAAATTTCAATGTTTTCTGTCAGCTCTGCTTGGATTTATTCAGCTGCGCCATGTGACATCATGGATGGAAAATCCCAACAGGGTCATCTAGGGATTTAAGCTTCTTTGTTACATATTGCAATTCTTGAAGTGCGCCTCATGTGACCTTATGCATGCAGGATCCCACAGCTGAGCACCGGAGCTTGTTTAGCATTTGGTCTGGTAAGACATATTCTCCGAGTAAAGAGACCGAGGTGGGTACGTCCTGTGAGCGATCATCGGACACTTGGAACACAGCTGGGTATCTGGTGACTGCAAGGGAAAATGCTCACCTATGTGTGCCTCCTGGATCATGCCCACATCGTTGGCCCCGTCGCCGATGCCGAGGGTGGTGTCGCCGGTGCTCTTGACGAGCGCGGTCACCTGCGCCTTCTGCTTCGGCGACACGCGGCAGCACACCACCGCTGCACACGCCTGGCCCACCTGCGCATGCCAGCTCTGCCTCTTGGTTGCCCGAAAGGCTTCAATGTAAGGCATGCATGCTTGACTTGTCTGGGCTTGAAGGCCTGACCTTTTCCGTTAAAGTAATCATCCAAGAGGCGAGAGGCATCTTCAGGGAAAAGCGATTGATTCTCACGGCATTGCTCACTGCTCCTGCCGAAAGAGGCAAGGTGCGTCTGCAAACAAGCTGCAGGTAAAGGATGCTAACTTTGCTGGACTCGCCAGATCAAAGAAAGATTTAATCAAGAGCAATATTGAGAGTTGACTCTTGGCTCTGGCTTGTTGGGTACAGTTCACAACTAGGCAGGATGAGTCACTGTTGCTAAGAGGGGCAGTGCATTAGTCACCGCGAGGAGGGCGTCCCGAGTGTCGCCGGCCAGCGCATGCACGAGGGCCTTGCCGTCGATAATGAGGGCGTTGCCTCCGTCGCTGCCGCCGCTGCTGTTCCGCGCCATGTGCCGCAGCGCGTCGTTCAGCTGCTCGCGCACCGCTATCGCCGCCAGCGCATCAGCCTCCTCAAAACGCCCCTCATCCTCCAGTGCGTTCCCCTGTGCAGATGTTCAGTTCAGCTCACACAGCAAACTTATAGCCTTTTCCCTGACAGGAGACTGAAGGCTCCTTCAGGTCGTCCTGCCCATTTATATTAAGTCACGCATGCATGCATGTCCTCAAGCGCCAGAAACCAAAGTAATATAGGAAATTTGAAAGCCGGCGGACCTCCTTTGTGGAGGCTGTCACAATGTACTGCGCCATCTCTGTGCGCAGCAGGCTGCAGGCGAACCCAATGTTGATCGCCGTCTCCTGCGCTCCCCCAACACATATTGCTCAGCAGGCACAAGCCAACACATATTGCTCAGCAGGCACAAGGACCTCTGCACTATTCTCACCCAACACAACTCTGTGCACTGGTCACAAATGGTCCAAAGCAGCACACCAGAAAAATGTTTCCATGCAATCTGCTTCTCACACCAGAATGTTGATTTTCGCGGAGTCTTCTTTGCACGTCGGAATATTCATATTCGCGATCTTGTCAGGACATGAGGAAGTCTTCTGAGCACCTGCTTGTCGCCAGTGAGGACCCAGATGCGGATGCTGGCGGCTGCCAGGCGCTCAATGCATTCTGGGACGCCCTCCTGCAGCTTGTCCTCGATCGCGGTGCAGCCCAGCAGCTGCAGCCGCTTCTCTATGTCCTCCGCCACCGCCGCCAGCTTCTCCTCGCGCCCGTGCAGCGCCGTCTTTGCCGCATAGTACTTCACCTGCCACCTGCAATTGTAATTCCCCCTCTTTAGCATGACATGTATATTCATCTCAACTCAACTCCCCAAGCTTGATCATTATATTACGCACTATCCTGATAGGAGGACAGGTGCGTCCGCAGGCAAGCTGCAGGTAAAGGCTGTGCATGTCCTGTCCCTTGTAGCACTTGCCAGACCCAAGCAAGACACAATGGCTAATGGGCATGGTGCTCAAATTTTATGCAGCCTCCCGCCAGCTAGGGCCAAATTTTTGCCAACATGGCATCTTTGTCTCCAGGCACTTCATGCATGCCTAAAACCAAGGGCAATGTGCCGCTTTGCAGCTGGGGGCCGCTTGCTCTTTGTGGAGCATTTCACTACTGTACACAATGCACAAGCAAGCAGCAGCAGAGTGGCTCACGCGTCATAGGCGACAGGGTCGAGCTCGACGCAGGAGAGGCAGAGTGTGCGCAGGCCGGCCTCGCCATACATCTCCATGTGCTCGCGCGTTATCTGCTTCAGCGCCGTGTTCAGCTTGTTGTTCTGGTCCAGCCGCTCATAAATCACCGTGTCAGCACCCTGCATGCATTCACCGACTACAATTATTATCGCAGCCTGTTCCTGCCACGAGGCAAGGTGCGTCTGCAGACAATAACAACTGTAAAGGCCATCACAGACCTACTAGATGGGCCCTGGCGAAAGCCATGTTCAGGAGACTTGCATAAAAAGGTCGTGCTGATCAACAGCCATGTCCCCTCTCAACAGAGAGAACATCAGAGGTACATATGCTGCAAGTTTGAGGCAGGTGCAGGAGGTGACTGGGCACCTAGCAACAGGGGTTCAGGATGAACTGTAACAGTGATCTACCCTGGAGCCCACTGTTTATTGGGTACGAGGTGTGAGTCACCCTGATCAATCACTTATGAATCTTGCAATAGAAACGGCTGCAGGTGACCTGTGTCACACCTTGCAGTAGAGCATGATGTTGCCGGTGGGCGTGCGGCAGATGACGCTCATGCGCTTGCGGGTGGAGTCAAACTCCAGGATGTTCAGGATCTCATACTCCACTTCTACGGTGGCGTCCCCGTCCGGCTCTCGCACCAGGACAGAGGTGTGGTTGCGTCGGTGGAAGAAGAAGCCAAACGCCTTGCCCGCCGCCACAAGCGCCGCCTCGTCCGGCGACTCCGCCTGGTACTTTATGCCCTCCGGGTCCTCCGGGCCTGTCATTCAGCGGCAGTACAGCAGGAAATCACCAGAAGTCAAACTTTAAAATTTAGTTGATTGCTTATAAAACCGTTGCTGAACTGTCAAAATCTTTAAAATGGACCTGCGTGCTCTCTCCTCTCCAGCTGTGGTCACCCTGGTCTAACAATGTGTCCTCGGATTCACAGTCACGAAGTGGTGGACAAGCACCTATTTCAGCAGCGCCAGATCCATAAAAAGGGTTTGTAGATGAGACAGAGAGCAGGGCTGAGAAGACGCAGGCACCAGTGCCCCATGGCTCCAGCATGAAGAAGAGGGTGTGCATGAGGCAAATGGTAGCGCTGAAGGGAAGAGCGCACACCATCGGGGATGACGGTGTGACAGACGGCGAGCACGCGGAAGAACTCGCGGATGACGTCCGGCCGCGCCTCGTCGCGCCAGGCCCCTCCCAGCAGCCGCTTGTCATAAAAATTGAAGGAGGGTGCGCGCCAGTGCTGCGCGGCCGTCGCGTCCGCCGCCACTGGGACGGCCAGCCCGTTACGGCGCGCGGCCGCCCGCTCAATCTCCGTAACACCCGTTCCGTAGCTCACCCCCGCGATGGAGCACTTAAAGAACTCCATCTCGTTGCGCGTCAGCGTGCCTGCATGCAAGCGGTGGCTGATTGCTGCAAGATGAGAAGCACAGGCACGGCACCAGTGTGCAATCCATTTCACAATTGCCAAGGGCAGCCAAACAATGCATTTATGAGCAGGTTCCTCGCATGTGAGCGCAGCTGGGTGCTACCATTCTGCTAGCGCCAGGATCTAGCGCTGGGCAACAGCTTCACAGCTTCTGATTGCGTTCCGCTGATCTGTAAGGACATGTTAATGAATGCATGATGATGCTTGTGCAGCAAGCAGAAGTGTGGGTCTGGATTAGAAATTGAGTTGGGGTGCACCTGTCTTGTCGGACAGGATGGTGTTGACCATGCCCAGCTCCTCGTTGAGATTTGAGGTGCGCGCCAGAGCGGGCGTGTCCGTCTCCTCATGGTACATCGACTGATCTCTGTTTATGAACACCAGCGCCTGCGCCCGGCACACGATGATTCTTCTTCATCTTCCAATTCCAAAGTCACAAACAATCCATGTGCAAAGCTCTGCATGATCTGCATGGCACATAGCACATAGAGGCATCATTTGCGCATCATGTTGAGAGGATGCAGCACAGGCGCCGTATGCCGGCAGTGGTTTTAAAATGGATATTGGATCGTGGTTGAATTAGAGGCCCCTATGGGTTGCATGAAAGGGGTCAGCGGCCCACCTGGACAACTTTGACCATCTCCAGGGAGACGTACAGGGAGATGGGGATGAGGTAGCCGTACAGCACAAAGGAGGTGACAAAGGCATACACCCCGCTCAGCACCGCCTTATTGGGGTTGAACGCAATGGGGGCAGCCTCGGGGGCGATGTACCACATCTGCGGTGAAATATTCTTCGTCCACAGTGCAAAGAGCGTAGCGCCCACCAGGCACATGGCGAACAGCAGGGCGAACATGAGCAGGATCATTTTGTCCATCTGGTGCTCTATGCGGCTGCGCTTCGAGGGCGGCAGCGTTGCATTCTTCATCACCTGCTCAATCGACACATGACAGATCCTTTAATTAAGAGTTTAGGTAAAAGAGGAATGCAGACATCAAAGGAGAGCGAGTGCCGTGGAGTATAGATTCCTAAAGTTATCCTTGCTTGCTTAGTGTTGCTTCCAAATGAGTCCAGTGGCAACAACACCACATTGCATGCAGCATTTGGCATAGTGCCGATCACTGAACAACATGACTTTGTGCAAATCCATGGTCAGCATCGGTTCATTGCTTCAAGTATGAGGGGTCCCACAGGAATTGGGAAATAGCAGCAGGGGGTGTGCATGCCTTGGTTTCATGGCCTGCAAAAATGACAACGCCCAGGATGCTCTTGGTGTTGCGCAGGCTGGATCCGCGCAGCAGCAGGCATGCGGGGGACAGCGCCAGCGGGCCAGATTTGGCGATGTGGTCCCTCTGGAGCACCAGGTTGCCTGTAAAGGTGTACAGCGAGGCATTGGGCTGCTCGCAGTGGATCTCCCCCTGCGACATATGCACACCTGCTGTCTCAGCCCTCCACGCACCCCTCACAAAGCCGTGCATGCATGCAAAAGTATCTTGGAATCCTTGGCTTCTGCACTTCTGCTTGCATGTCTGCCTGACAGGTTTTCTGGCAGTGACGGTAGCTTTTCTACTGATCCTGCTGCATGTGCCGTAAGCGGGTTATCACTCGTTTGTGCTCCTGCCAAGTGTGAAATTGTGCGGCTGCAGCACCTTGAAGGCGGCAATGTTGTTGGAAGTGAGGCCTTTGGTCTGATCCAGCGCCTTTTTGATCTTCAGGTTGCTCTCCCCGTCCAGGTTGACAGTCTCCACATAGGCAATGCCGTCATCATTGGTGGACGACAACAGGAGCAGGTCAGCAGGAAAGAAGCTGTCCTTCTCCACCTTGATCACATCCCCAACCTGCAAATGAGGTATTGAATGCAACCGTCAATTCTGCAGCTCATTCTGCTGGATCATACACTGAGCACAAGCAGTCTTGAACAGGACTCCATGTTCTCTTCTTGATCAAATTGTCAAGATGATCTGCAGTACACGGGTGCCAGCAGCGCACCAAAATGTCTCGCCATTGTCTTCGTTCCCATGCACCGGTGACTGGGTTGAAGACCACAATGCCTCTCTTGTTCACTTCTCTGTCCGCCTGAAAGCGGTGGAAGTCCTCCAGAGCCTCCTTTGCCATGGACACACCCAGCACCAAAGCCAGGGGCAAGAAGGTGGTGATGGGCCTGCATGGCAGAGCAGATAAGACAACTAGGCGTGCATGCTAGTGGATGCTAGATGAGTAAGCATAGATTCCATCAGGCTGATCTGCATACCTGACAGGACTGAGGGATGTGCATGAGATCGCTGCAACGAGGGTGAAATAGACGTTTGCAATTCGTCTGCAGGAGACACCACATTGCTTCAGAACAATCTGCCGTGCTGCTATTGGAAGGAGCTTAAATAATCACATCAGATTGCTAAACAAGGAAAAGTCAAGTTACTAATAGAGGTGGCTCCCACCTGAACTGCTCAAAAAGTGCCTTTGGGAAATAAGTGAATACATTGTACTTCGTGGTGGACACATAATTTCCTTTATACTCATTGAATTTTTGCCCCGTATTGACATTCAGAACTCGTGGCTGATTGGGTGGTGGTTTCATATGCGGCTTGACGGGAATCATCGGGAGAGATCGTACTGCTCGCCTCCGGATAGAACATAACCCGCGGGATAAACTCACATGCCAAGTACTCAGGAGTGTTAGCACGTGTGATACTGGTAGTCAAATAGTGATCGGACACTTCGAAGCATGCTACAGCTACCAGTGTTATCTGGAGGGATGCCGGGTCAAGATATAATTCTGCGAATATTACTCGGACAAGACCCAAGCACTGCTAATCATGATCCGTTCAGAACACACTGAGGACCTACATAGTGATCAAAGGATGAAGGAGAAGAATACGAACAGGCAGCTCCAGGTTACAATTCGGAGTGTAACCGCCAAGGGAGGGAACACCGCATGGCAGACCAGTTTGGATTTTTTTTTAAAGAAAGGATGAGGAGAACGTGATGATGACTTCTCTTTCGTTTCTTAAAAGATGGAGGCTGGGTAACAGGAAGCGACACCTAACATGCAGCAGTTTTTGTTTGCATGCTGCAATCTGCTTTCTAAACGTTTGCAGCCGCTGGCCGCCAGCGGCGGCCCGCGGGTGCGCAGGCAGCGTGCATTCTACAGCGGTACGAAATGTCTGAATTTGTTTTTCAGACACCTGATTTGTTCATCCTAGGAGAGTGCTGAGAGTCACAAAAGCACTAGACAGGCCAGGAGAGCGCCGAATGAGCCCTAGAAACACCCAATAAACTTGAAAGCACGCCAGACACACTGCCAGAGTGCACCTCCACTAAAGCAGTGGGTACGGCAATCAGGTGTGCGCTGATCAAATGAAACAAGAGTACAAGCACACATCAGGTCCCCATGGGGAGTGGTGCCACGACATTGATTCTGCCATGGCATGCCAGCAATGTACAAGTAGCCAAGACCGCGCAGCAAGCACCAGCGCTAGCCAACACCAGGGAGGCCGAGACTGATATCCAAGTTGACTAATCCATGAGCTGACCATTTCCCATGTCAAGACCATTCTGGTTAGATTCAACTGCCTGCACAACACAGCCGTCACTGGTGCTGTGCCAGTTTCCAAGAAATGCAAGATTCTGCAGCTAAAACAAGCAAAGATCTCTGTCTAAAAGAAACTGACGTTTTCTTGCTCGCCACTCACTGGGAGCATTGTAGCTGTCAAGGGCCAACTGCTGGGAGACTGCACATCCAAATGGAACACACGACTGTCTTGTAAGCATATGAGGCTCTGCTGCAAAAGAGCTTGCTGTGCTGAGCTGCACAAGGTCACTGTATGGGTGCTGCAGGAATTTGAGGTGACTGACCTGATGCTTGTCGTATTCTCCTTGGAAGTATGATTCTGCTGAAAAGTTGAGCTTTGTCTTAGGGCACCTCATCTTCATGACAGCCACATCACGAGCCCTGGCTGCCTCCAGGTCGTCATTGAAATAGCCAACATGTTTTGGCCCCTTGCTTACTGCAGCACACCAGCACGATCAAGCTCAGGTATCACACTCGTGGGTGGAAAGGCAGCCTGAGGAAGGATTACTAGGCTAAGCGTGCTTCTTATGTGGGCATTGATGATCTTGCCATTATCTCGATGCATTCAACGAAGGTAGTGTGGATCCTTACCGATGTTCATGGTCGCTCGCCACCGCTTGTTTCCTTTGTGCCAGCACACTCCCATATACTTGGAAACTTTGCGACCCTTGACCTTGGTACCTGTGCAGACATGTTGTCTGTTTCAGAATCCTATTGCTGCGTGAATGCATCCGATAGATGCAATGCAAGAGCAGCATTGCTGACTGTGGCTTTAAGGCTTCTACACAGTTCACCATGTCGATGCCAAAAGATGGCTAAGATTCAGCTGGTACCTGAGCGCTTGCCGCCCTTCGATTTCTTTTTTGTCATCGCGATCAGAGTCCTTCGTGCTGCCTCTCAGCGATCTGTGCTTGGTAATGCAGATCGCTGGCTGTCCGCTGGGGATTCATGGACCATCTTGGGAGATCAGGAACGCCATGGTATGGGCTCTGCAGCAGGTGCAGACTCATGTCCAAGACAAGCGTAATGTACACCCATAAGCATCTAGCATATATCATTGTTTTCCTTATGAGTCCTCAGGAATTGTTCGCCTAGACCGCTTCCCTGAAAGCACAATATATGCGCGATTGCAGAAGTCAATGTGAAGCGAGCTACGTCGGAAGCTTTTGTCGCTTTGTTGAAAGCACGATTTGCCATGAAAAGGTGAATAGATTCGGGAGCATCCGATGGTGAAAAGTTGAAGCGCTACAGAAGCGGGTGTAGAGTTGACTGATGTACATCTTCCTCCACCTGCGCTGCTCAATGCAGTGATACCAATTGGTAAAATGGGTTCAGATCGCAATGGAAATAGCAGTTTTTGGGATGATCCTGAAGGAGGGTCGAATGCAAGCTCAAAAGACGTTGCTCTGCACCCCAATGGAAGTGCTCAAACACTGAGGAACAGAGCTGATGGAATTAGGACGGATTTGACTGCAGAAGCAAGTCAAAGTGCTGATGTGACGCGATTTGGAAGTAACGACGGAGCTTCTTCATCTCAGCATGTGAGAAGTCCCATGAACTGTTAAATGGCTTATTGAACGCTTATACAAGTGCTCTATTAAGTGATATGCTTGTTGAAATGAAGCAAGACTGACCACCTTGCCATACACATGCAGGAGCCAAGCTCAACAGATAATCCCAGCCGAAATGAGGAGTCAGTGCCCCTCAGGCAGGGCGAAATGAGCACGGAAGATGACCATGCATCGCACAATTTTCATGCCATGGAGATGGAGTTGCCTGCAGCAGCAAGGGGTACAAGCGAATTCAGGTGGCAATTAGATTCATGGCACCCTTGCAGATCTGTGTCAAATTACTCAGGGGACGCATATTTCCAACATTCCACCCCATGCTCTGCAGGAGTGTTTTCATGGAGCAAAGAAAGCGAGCCCGGCGGGCAACCAGCATATGCCTGAATTTTGCAATGGTCTTCGAGCGAGCAGACGAAGTCATCCTACCAGCAATGTACAATTTTGTGGCCCAGTCGTTTCAGGCCACCCCGACTCAGCTTGCGACAATCACCCTCAGCAGAGCGCTCGTGCAAGCTCTTGCCTCCCCTCTTGGTGGTCTGTTGGGTGAGTGCTTTCCCATTGCAAAGACGTGCCTTCAATTTCATTGTCACACTGGGCTCACAAAAACAGGCGCCACAGATGATGTCCTGATTGTCTGGTAATGCAGGGCACTGGTACAACAGGGTGTGGGTGATCACTGTTGGATGCATGATATGGGGCTTGATGACCCTCGGCTTCAGCCTGTCATCCAATCTGATCACGGCCATCTGCTTCTGGGCAGTCAATGGGCTTGGTCTGGCCTTGGTTATCCCAAATGTTCAGGTGAAGATCATGTTGCACCATTCCTGCCATGATGCATACCGTATGCAGAAAATTGCTTTCCGAGGATCACCTGGAGTGATGTCAACAAGGATGCCGCATAGAAATTGGAGGTTTGCTGCTGCTTGATGCAGAGTGTGACAGCTGATTTCTACGAGGAGGAGCACAGGGGCAGAGCATTTGGGACTCTGCATTTGACCTCAGCAGCAGGCGCAGCCCTGGGTGGGCTGTATGCTACAAACATGGGTGAGTGTGCGTGTAAACACAGGGTCCCTTGCACTGTAATTTGTCAGCATATTGCTGGGATGATCCAGTGTGCAAGCATAGCAGCAATATGGCTGATGACAGCAACACCTGCAGGGGCGACCCACCTCAGTCAATTTGAGGGTTGGCGGCTGGCATTCTCAATACTGGGCTTCATAAGCCTGGCGATTGGGCTTGCAAACTTTGCATTCTCCAAGGATCCGCGAGTCTTCGATGGTCATCCGCCCTCTGCCACGCAGCCTGGAAGGCAAAGCGGCCCGAAAATGTTAATGGCAGCTCTGAAAGACATCAAGTCTGTCATCACAGTTCCCACCTTTGCGATCATCATTACACAGGTCAGTATCTACATGACCATGACAAACCTGACAGATTTCTTGACCAAATATCTCTGCAGCGGGATAACGACAACATGGTGCCATGGAACAAGGAATGTAGCTGCTGTGTGCAATGTTGCAGGGAATCATCGGAAATGTGCCTGGCATGTCGCTTGCCTTTCTCACGCTGTACCTTCAGCTGCTGGAGGTTTCAAATTTCAAGGCCAGCCTGCTGGTGTCGCTGATGATGCTGGCACATGCTGGAGGAGGGCAGTTTGGAGGCTGGCTAGGCGATGTGGCTTCTCGGTGGCTGCCAAATGCTGGTCGCATCATCGTTTGCCAAGTCAGCGTAGTAGCAGGTGCGAGACTTTTTGCCTGCCGTTTGGGCATCACAATGCAGTAATATTTTAGATTGAAAGATTCCCTGTCCAGCACCGTTCTGTTGTCCTCAGGTGCTATCATGACGGCCACCATATTGAAAGGTCTCCCACACGAGAATGCTTCTGCGTTCTTTGCCGCCTATGTTGCAGTGTTCATGGCAAACGGCGCGCTGAATGCTTGGCCAGCTCCGGCCTGCAACAACCCCATTTTTGCAGGTTATTACTCATCATGCATGCCATGCACGCCTTCCTTCTTGGCACTGAATTCTGAACACCATTGACATCTTCATGTTTGGACAAAAAGCTTTCAAGAGGCATGGCTTTGCTATTCTGACCAGACTTCTTTCCACATGTACCAATGTGTTCCTGCAGAGATTGTGCCAGCACGGCTGCGGACCTTCATCTATGCATTTGACCGCTCTTTCGAGATGGCTGTTGCGGCCTGTGCAGCCCCAGTCGTCGGAAAGCTGGCCGAGTCAGTGTTTGGGTTTGAGGTGCATTCCTGTTCTCTCTCCTTCGCCTGGCTTATTGTCATGCGAAGGCGCCTCGGCCACTGCATTCAGCTCTGCAAAATGCATGGGCTCGATTTAATTGGAGCGCCACCAAAGCAGTGCAGAGAGCGTCGATATTATGGGCGACACCATGTGATATAACAGCATCACGAGGCAAGCAGGAGGCAAAAGGGAACAACGAAAGCTTTGTCTTGCATTCTGGGAACTCCTGCTTGCAGGCATGCACTTCATGATGGGGGAGGATATGCTGCGCTTCCACAGCTGAGCCTGGTAGCCCCGTCATGCAGGTTACCCCATTGCTGATGACACAATGATGATGTCCTTTATAGTGCTTTGGCACACAGGGAACGGCGGCCAGCACAGGGGACGTTGCACATGACCTGCGCAAGGCGGAGTCTCTGAGCAATGCTATGCTGGTCATGACTACTGTGCCATGGGCGCTCTGCTGCGTCGCCTACTCTGGGCTGTACTGGACCTACCCCAGGCATGCCTCGGCACATGTCCAGTCTACTCCTGAATTGATGCCACCCCCTTGCAAATCCAGTGTCTGTACTGAATCTGTCAGCCTTGCGTATAACCTCAATACACCGAACATTCTCCAACACCCATGCCGATAAGAAGACCTGAAGACCTTGCTTATTGCCTTAGCTAGTCGAAAGCTACTCAAGATCTTGCACTGTGTTGATGGGCAAGAACTGCTGTGCAGGGACAAGGGGAAGGTCATTATTTCTGAGGGCCTACCAGATACGCGGAGAGGCCGTCTTGTGGAGAGGAATGGATTCCTGAGATTTGAGGAGAGTGGAGAGGGCCCGTCAAATGAGGGCTATGACAGCAAGTGGCAGCTGCTGCGCACCAGACCATCAGGAAGATGAAGTATGTTTTCGTCTGTAGTCTTCAGCAGTCGTTCTTCTCAGTTGCACTTGCTTGTAAACTTCTCTGAAGCATGGGCATGAGCATTGTGGGAACAGTCCTAGGAACCCCAAAATGAAGACTAGCCCCCCGGCTTGTCTCACAGAAGTATTCAAGGTGTACATTTCTACATGATTGCTGTACATTTCTACAGAATGACAGCGTGCTTACTTGGGTGTCCTTCAAGGAAGAATAAGCTCAATGACAGAGTGCTGGTCGCCAGGTTGCTGGCTGACGGGGAAATGGCGTTGGCATGCATGCAGTGTTGTGATTGCTAATCAGGTTAGGCTGAGCTTGCCCTTGAAGGTATTCAAAGATTTCATTCAGGCTTGTTGAGGGCACTCGGTGTAGCTGAAGTCAGAAAAAGTACCATGTGAGTACCCTCCGCCCCAGGGCTTCATTCATGGTCTTGAGCCTGAGTGGACATTCTCTCCATGCAAATGAACCTTCGGGCATGCATATGCATGCATGACTCACCGACATAGGATTAGACAATGATTAGGTCCACCTGCTTGTTTCAAACGACTCCTATTCTCACGTCTTTGCTGCCCTGCTTCTTCACATTCGCCGTTTGACTTATGGCTCATGCACGAACACAGATGAGATCCATATGGCACCTCCTGTCTACCTTTGCGTTCAGTTTCGCAGCTGCAGGTGGGGTTCGAAGCGTAACACTCGACTGGGGTTGATTTAAGCCGTATCAAACTCTGGTGTGAACACGAATACTTTCGCATATGTCTCGACGTCTGGCTCCTCCTGTTACAGGTGTATGTGCAGGTCGGGTAGACACTGCAATTGAAAGCGTGCGTAAGGACGAGCCCTTTGCGTACTTTTACTCCATTGCCGATGCCAGCACAGGCAACTCCACTGTGCTGTTCTTCTCTGACAGGAACGCTCACTGCATTCGGAAGTGGACTGAACAAGGTGGAAAGCTTCGATTTCAGCCATACCCATCTGCAAGAAATCCATATTGAATTCAAAAGTGAATTTGGCAAGTTGGTAGAAAGAGTTCAAGAGCACAGGAAGGACTTGCTGTTGCGGGACAGGTGGCCTGCAAGAATTTGCAGGAGCATGTGGCCATGAGGGTTTCAGGGACGCGAAAGGCTCAGCTGCACACTTTTTAACTCCAAAAGGGCTATGCATGAGTCCCAACGGGTTCCTCGCTGTGGCTGATAGCACCAATGCATGCATCAGGAAAGTCACGCTGGAAGGTATGCAAGAGCGTCAACCCACCGTTGCTTCTGTTCCATATATTATATTGACAGCGGAGATCAGGGATGGATTGTGCTTGTGATCAGGGGAGGTGACAACTCTGGCGGGGGAGTGTGGATTTCCTGGAGATGAGGACGGGGAAATGCACAGCGCGCTGTTTTCCAACGGCATTGAGGACGTCGCATGCCTCCCCAACTGCACAATACTTGTCACGGACCCCAGCTCCCGTGAAGTCAGGTCTATATCACTTGATGAGCCATGCGCTCCTCCGCCTGATTCCCCAACCCCAAGTAAGCTGCTATCTGGAGCTGCTCTGTGAGCAATGCTTCATTCAGGCAAAGGAAGGCGTGCCATTTTGTGCGCTCCACTGAGATGCCGTTCAGATAAATTGTGCTGACTGCAGGAGAGAGGTCTGGTGGAATGGGAGTGGGTCAAGCTGCTGCAATTGGTGGGGGTGCTGGGATTGCTGCATGCCTGCTGGTCTGGCTCCTGGGTATTGCCGGTGGGAACTGGATCAAGAAGCGAGTGGCTGTCAGGCGGGCGGCTGTGTGCAGTGGCCTGGTGAGATTTCATGGCTGCATCTTCACTGGATTGATTTCTTTACCTCCGCAAACCTCTCCTATGACGGTGCTATACCTGACTGAACAGTGCTGACAGAGTCCACAAGTTCCCTAGAATGATTCATGTTTGCTTGGGAGTTGTGGCGTGGACCAACGCATTGACATCGGTGCATCTTGCTGTCGCACAGGTGGGTGATTCAGAAAACTGTGAACAATTCACCGGCACAGATGACATGACAGCGACAATCAGACAGAGACTTCTGGGGCACAAGACGAAAGCCGTTGGATCCAAGATGTTCCCTCTGCGCACGCATGGCGAGGATGACTCAGCGTACGGCTTCAACCTGCGCCGCAATCCGCCTGGCCCCTTGCTGCCTGACCTGCTCGACATCCCAGGAGAGCCAGAGGCGCCCTCTGATGCACTCCAGGGGACACATGCTGCTCATGCTGCGGCAGCCGGCACGCTGCACAGTAAAGACAGAGTGGAGGCTGCAGAGAGGGGCGCGGCGGACGGCAGCGCGCAGAGGCATTCGCATGATCCCTTTGAGGATCTGGGGGTGTGATGAGCGCAAGCTTCTATGGGCGCGCACTCGTGCACTTGACGCTGGGCTGCATGGTGTTGATTGACAGGCCCGCACATGCGTGAGACGAGGATAGAGATTGTGGGTTGATGAATGTTGACGGTGTATTGTGTAACATATGGCATGAAGTAATAGAGCATGCTTTCTGTACCATGGCTATAATACTGAGCAGCTGGTGCCCTACGGTGGTGTCTTGTCGGTCTATAATCACCAATTTCGGTTAACAATTTTTGAAGCTTGAACATGACAACTGTTTACGGACGCCTGAATACATTGTACAACATGTTGCGCGTGTGCAACTGCATGCATTTGACCACAAGCTTGCTGCCACAATTATTGTCTCTTCCTCGATAAGATCTATTATGGATGACATCAATTTGTAAAAGAGACATCACAGTAGATGTTGCATGAGGAAATCAGCAACCCAGCGGGCCATGGCAATGATGGGGGGAACAGTTGCCTATTCAGGTTACCCTGCTGAGCTGACTTTGACCGCCCAAGGCTCACTCGAAGAAGCGCCCTCAGCAGTTATGTGATCGTACATAAATTATCAATATGATCAGATATCCAATCTGAAGTATCACAATCTTTCTTTTGTGCTGTTTGCTGACGGTAGGCCTGGCTTAATTGTTGTTCAGAACACAACAGAACAAGATGGGTACCCCAACTTTGCAAGAGAACGCTGTGATGGCCTTCAAAGAATCATTGTTCCAACATTTAAAGGAGATCGGGGTCATCGGAGCCATGAAAGTAGGTGTATCCAGCAAATTTTGAGTAATGAAGAGTGTACGTAAAATGGGAAAAAAGTGCTGATGAGGACAATGAATACTCAAGATCCTAGAAAACAAAGAAGGATCCTAGTCGCATGAATGAACGTTTTTGTGCAGACACAGCTGCACAGGCGCGTTTTGGAGAAGCTGCCTCAAAATGCAGAACTCCCCAGCTCTAAGCTGCAGCAGAAGGCACCAAGCGCATTCGGCTTTATCACTGACAATCTCATTGCAGAGTACCTGGCAGCCTCAAGGATGGAGGTCACTCTCAATGCCTTCCAGTCTGAGAGCGGCCTGAGAAGCACAAGACTTGGCAGCGCTCAGATTTTGCAGCTGCTGAACATCAAGCATGGCACATCCATTTGGGAAGCGTTAAGCGCTCAGGGAGTCCATCTGCAGGATGCAAAAGGTAAGCAGAGTCATCCATGCAGTGCATCATAGGAGGCCAGTGTCAAAATGTAATCTCTAGATTGCAAAAATCCTGCTGTGAATTGTGCAGGGACTCCCAACGGGTTGGCAGTTGCTCTTCTTGAGGCCATTGCGGTAGTGTCACTGCATGAGCAGACATGCATGGGAGCCTCACAAAAGATGACCAAGTATCAGGCATGTGACCGTAAATAAAATGACATAGTGCTTTGCATCATAGTGGGCACACACCTGGGCGTCATCGAGGTCATGCACGGTGTCAAGTAAGATACTGAGAGAGCAGCGAACATGTGCAGGATCCCATCCACTACAAATCAAATGGCATGCAGGATGCGGCTCTGGCAGGTTTGGCTTAAGCATTACATACTTCAGATTCTGAGCATTTTGCAGGAAGTACTTGTTGCTGCTCAAGGCATTGTTTGACAAGTATTTCTTTTGCCTCAGGACGTGATGCTGTTGACAAGTATGGAGAAGCACATCAAGGCTTAGTCGCAGACCTGCAAAAGCGGGCCAGGGTGAAGGAAGCGGCGGCCTGCAGATCTGAGGCTGCTCAGAGACGGTCTGCTGACGATGCAAACCTCGCCCTCGATGAGGTGCAGCACCTATCAACGATCCAGGAGCTACAGTAGCAATCTCTACCTTGAAACTCCTTCATCCAGAGACAAGAATGGGCCCTGGATGCAAGTGTTGGTTGTAAGTGCAGGCAGTAGACATTCTGGAGGCGTCCATGCGCGCATTGGAGGATCTGCGCTCGAGGTTTGCAGCCTCCCAGCGCACAGTGGGGCACCTGTCCAGGCAGCTGATCGCCGCGCAGCTGCATCAGCAGGCCAGCCCTGAGAGCGCCTTCTGCACTGCTGTTGCCCTGGAAGCCCAGGAAGCCCAGCTGAGCCGGCACCAGACGTGCGCACCTGCCTTCCCACCCATGCATATATCCATATATAGATTGAGCACTGTTTCTTACAATCTTGATGCAGACACCATCAGAACCTCGTCAGCACTAGCAAAAAAAATTCCATGGCACACCGATACAGAAAGTAAGAATGTCCTAGCAGCATACGAGTACCAGCAGAAGCCTGACGGAGGTTGAGGTTGGAGCAGGGCTGCACGGGTGGAGCGGAGGGAGGAGGCGTTGCAGCAGAGGATCCTGGCGCTGAAGAGGAGTGTCTGCAGGCAGCGCGCAGCTGCGGTGCGACGCCTGGCATCAGCATCCGTTGCACCCGGGCGTCCCTCTTTGGCAGCTGTGTCCACGCTGTCAGCTTCATGTTTGTCAGGTGAGATGCTGTAGCATCTTCTGGTGATCTGCATGCTTGCCAGCAGTGCGGCACATCTTTGTGGAGTTTTGCCATGCTTAGGTCATATTGAAATGGCAAGTTTAACATTGCGTTTGATCCTGTGCATTGCCACCAGGGGCTTGGAGGAGAGAGGATGGAAGTGAGACGTATCCTGACACTCGTGCTGAGAGCGCCTCCTCATCTCTGCGTGAAAGCTCATGCACAGATACTTCCTTGCTGCATTCTCTATGGCGTCACCCGTCATCTCCAGAGACATCTGAGCAGAGAATCTTCAAAGGTGGCACTTTCATTGGGACTCAGTGTGTTTCTGCTACATGCAAAGTTTTGGATCGCATGTGCTCAATTTCCGGATTCTTGCCTGCAATTATGCACTTCCAGGCTACTCAGCAGTGCTAATGACTACAAAGTGCCTTTGCAGGCCACAAGACGGTCCAGCAACAGACATCAGCAGAGACAGGAGATGCATCTGTACAGATGCCTCACATGCAAGCCCAGGCGGCGGCCCCGTCATGTCCATCAGCACCATCAGCAATCGCTGAACAGGAGGACACCCGCTGCAGCGCTAGCCATGACAGCTGTGACACACAGGAATCAGCTGACGATGTCGCAGCATCCCTCAACAAAGCTCGGAAAACCAGTGACCAGGATATATCTGGGACGGCTGCTGAAGCGCTTGATTGTGCAACGCCCGATCGTCTGCCAGGTGGCCTTGACAGAGCAGGGAGTGCAGCAGAGCGCTTCTCTGCCAAAGGCCTCCAGAATGAAACCCCCCCAGTCGGCAGTGAAGCTTTGAGCTTGGACAGAACTGTGGCCTCCATATGTGACTTGCTGACTAACACGTCTCCTGACCCAACAAAGCCAGAGGAGCGGGCAGCAGTGAGGGAAGATAGCGCAGGCGAGGCAGCTTCTGACAGCCATTCTGACCATGCCCAGCATCTCAGGAACACAACAGCATTTGGCGGAGCTACGGAGCCTGTTAGCTGCCCTCAGAACGATGCAAATTCTGAGAGCGGCGACAGCAGGGCTGAGTCTGAGCACTTCACAAGCGATAGGGAGCATGAGATAGAGCAAGCAGTAACCAGCAGTCTGGAGGACCTTGAGAGTGAGAATGCTGGCTTTGACACAGAGCAAGAGGAAGCCCTCATGGCTGCGCTTGGACTTGATAGTTTTTCTGATGCAAGCATTGAAGAGGAAGACTTTGGCAATAATGAGGAGAATGGCGATGGTGCATGACAACACAAGACTAGTCTTGTATATATGTAAGTTCTGATCAGCCTTCTAAAAATAGGGCAACATTAACATCTTCATAATTGCAAGATCAGATGGTGTTGCATCTGAGCACGAGATAGGCAATTGCAAATAAAATGAGTTGAGAAGGTTGCTAGCACTATTCAGTAGGAGGCTCCTAGTACTCAAAAACAGGCCAAGACATATCAAGATTAATTGTTCCTCCTCCATGCATAAGGCTCTACTTGAAAATGGAATATCAAGCAATCTTAGGGGGAAAATGTGCAGTACGCTTCATTCAAGAAATCTCATCTTTTGTCCCATATATGTACTGTAGACCCCCAGGAAATTTTTCACTCATCCTAATGGTCCAGAGCAGCGCAAGAAGATGGTGCTTTTGGGTAGTGTACACTTTCTAGAGTAGGACAGGAGAGTCCCCTCACTACACATGACAAAAGTCTATGAGCAAAATTGGCACAAGCCTCAGCAACCTCTTCATTTTAGAAGAGCTTGCATGGTCTAGAAATGTACATTGGCCTTGCATCGAGAATACATACATTGCTGCTTATCAGCATTATTCAAGCCCCGCGTCAAAACTGCTTTGTCCCAGCTCTGAGGCCAGAACAAGAAATGTAGCAGCAGGTATTTACGGCTTGGAGGGCAGAGCTTCTTGGGCCTCCTCATCCTCCACCAGGGTCCAGTCATCAGAGCCATTGAGGGTGTGGTCCAGAGCAGTTGCTGGAGAGTGATCCTCTGCATGCTCCTCGCTCGTCACATAGCCTGCAGACCAGAAATCAAATGTCGCTCCTGTGAAGTTGACTCAGGCATGCTTCATCTCCTCAGCTCAATAGCATGAAGCGCACAACCTTCAAAACACTGGAAAAGGGATGCAGTGAGGCATACTTGCAGGCAGGACAGCCGCCTCATCAGCAGTCTCTGCCTCGTTGACGGACAGGGCTTCGCTGCCAGCCTGCACCCACTCCTCAAATGCCTTGTTCAGATCAAGCTGCCCAGAAGACAGCGTCTCGCCCACCGCCTTGCCATCACCCTGCAATTATGCAGCATACCATCTTCAGTGCCACGTTCTTGGTACGCTTGTACATTATATGGTAATGAACAGTAGCAGGAGCAATAAAGGCATGCGAGCGTCGGACAGTGACATTCATACCTCGACGGTGGCAGGGGTGTTGAAGTGACCAGCGTCCTGCCCAGAGTCATCCTCGGTGTTGCAGCGGCGGATGAGGCTGTCCAGCAGATCTGGCTCCGGCCCCTCAGAAGGCACCTCCCTGCACACCCAAGGCACACCTCATCATCAGATTGCGATTAAAGGAATGCCTGCAACCAAATGAGGCAACTTCATTGGTCCTGTGGTGTTTGCACAGGCATAAAAAAGTACAGTACACAGCCAGTGATTGGTGCAGAGCCTCACGCAGTGGTCAGGATGCTGTCAGTCTTCACGGCATCAGCCTGTGAGGGCATTCCATCCTCAGCAGGAGCCACAGGTGCTTCTTTGTCAGCCGCACGGCGATACTCCTGGTGGAAGGTTGGCGGGTGCACCTGCAAGTGCAACCAGCATTGTCAAAATGCAGAGGCAGAGCAATCTGGCTGTACAATTGCATGCAGCCGGGAAGCATGCATGGCATGTTCATGCGCAAATTACCTTGCCACAGGAGCACAGGAAGTCATCCTCATCAGAGTCGGTGAAGTCATTCCCATCCATGCCCCACTTGGCAAAGTCCACATAGCCCGACAGGGATGCCGCAGCAGTCTGGGCTGCCATAGCAGCAGACTGCGGTCCATTGATGACCCTGTACACAAAATGTCCACTCAGTTGCTGAACCCCAAACAAGAGCTGCAGAGAAAATTGCCTTTCTTAGCTCTCTTCCTTACAGATGTCATACGGACATACTTTCGCATCACAATGGTGTAGACAGAAGAATGGGCTTACTTGTCGAGGTTTGCAGCAGCAGCCTCTTTGGCACTGACGCCCTTCTGCTTATCAGAAGCATTGCCATAGATGGCGCTCAGGATGTCTTGGTGAGCTCCGTCCGCTTTCTTCTCTGAGGAGACCTGCTCTGGCGCCGGAGGGGCAATGTCCTCTGTGGCAGCAGCGACCAGGAAGTCACCGTCCGCTTGGCTTGGGAAGTTTGAGCGCTTGCGTGCTGGCGCCTTTACCTGCATACGAATCGGTTTAACAAATGTCAAAACTGCCGCCTGCATTTTCTCTGCCACAAGTGTATTAAATGAGACGTTGCATGCACGGTGGCTATGCTCTCACAATCTGCAACAAAAGTATCACGAGATATTCTTGATAATCCCAGGATGAGGCGGGGTGTCACCTGGGCTGCATTCAGCTGCAGCTGGCGCCATGCAGCATACTCGACTTGGGGCCGGCCCTCGGAAGCCTCGCTCTTGGGCGGCGTGGGACCAACCTGCAGCTGCGCAATGGGCGCGCCCTTGACCGGCTCGGCTGCTGTCACGTCCTCAAAAGCCGTTTCGGTGTTCTTGGATGGAGAGCGGTCCGCCAGATCCAGCACAGGGCCGTCCATGGGCAGAGACGACTCTGCAACAACCCACTACTTAATTTGGGCTTCAGGACTTGAAATCGAAGCAGGTCATCCAGAGACATCACAAGTCTCTCCGTTTGTAATTGAACAGAAGTGAAGCGAACCCAGGCTCGAGGTAAGCGTGACCTCAATAACAAGAGGGCCACAATACACACGAGGAGCATTGAGCTGGCGAGTACCGGGTGAGTGAGAGAACTCCTCGGCGGCATCCTCGTAGTGCACATCCTCCACCATGCCGTCGACGGACTCGGCGATGATTGACTGGGCGTCCCAGGCGTGGGCCTCAGACTCGGGGGCGGCGCCGGGCAGCAGCATGGAGGTGCGGTGCTGCATGGCAGCGCAGGTGTCCAGCAGCGCATTCAGCGTGGCCAGGTGCCGCTGCACTGTGGCCAGCCCTGCCTGCCGCGCCTCCTCACCTGCCATCCCACCACTCATCTCAATCACTGTTTGCAACCTCAGGACATGCCAAAGCATTGCGATCTAAATCACGCAAATGCAGCAAATGACGCCCATCGCATGTCAAGGGAAATGCGGAACATCCACAACTGATCCGGGACACGAAACATTGCTGTGAAAAATTAACTCAATGCACAAATGTCAAAGTGGCACCATGAACACACTCCTGCCACTCCTGACATAGATTAGCATGCGCACCCTTCTTGGAGGTGTCCAGGGCGTTGAGCATGGCATCCGTGTAGCGCTGGCCGTACTCCACAATCTGGCTGCGCGCCTCCACCAGGCGGGCGGCCAGGTACTGGTGCACGAATGCGCGCACGTGCTTCACAGACGTCTCAACCGTGTCGTCCACCAGCTTCATGAAGTAGTCCTGGAGCCGTGCACACGACCAGTCACAACATGCAATCTCATTCTCATCATCTCATGGGTCCCCCACTTGGCTGAATTCAGAGATCGTTTATGAGCCATTGCTCACAGTCAGACAAGGGGTAAAGGCCAAAGTGCATTGCAGTGTGACGCACCATGATCTGATCCGGTTTCAGTTCGAAGACGGTCTCCTTGTACGACTCGGTGGTGGTGCGGGAGGTTGGGCGGCCCACGTAGTACTCGCTGAAGCGGCACAGCCCAATTCGGCGGCGGCGCTTCTCCCACACCACAAACTCCTCCTGCCCCTCCCTCGTGCGCTCTACCTCGCGCGGCTCAATCGCTGCGCCATGCACCCAAATCAATCAAGCTCTTGACCCAGCAAAAAGTACCATTGCTCCAGTGCCTTCCAGAATAATTGACGACATCCGCTAAAGCATCTTCTTCAGCAGATTGAGAGGATAGTTACCTGTGTCGAAGAGGTCCTGCAGGTCGGAGTGGAACTGCTGGGCCGTGGGGGGGTCCAGGTGGAGGGCGGCAGGCTCCAACTGCACCTCCAGGGCCTCCCCCACGGCAACCTCCACGCGCTGCGTCAGGCGCTTCAGGTGGCGGTTCAGCAGCCGGAACATCGCCTGCTGCCGCTCATTCGTGGCCGCCTCCAGCGCATGCCAGAAGTCGCGCACCTGCAGCCCCGCAACTATTGTTTAAAATCTGTTCATGCATGGCTGCTCCCTACACTCACCAAGTTTACATGCAGCCCTGCTGCAGCTGCTCAATGCACAGATCATCTCCCGTACGCAGCCAGATGCAAGCGGAAGCAAGATACTGGAAGGGACAGAGACTGAGAAGGAGGCATTTATGGGACGGTGCACACCTCGGCATCGATGGTGGCATGGATGTCATTGTGCAGGTCGTGCAGGGGCAGGGTGAGCTCGTCCCGGGCGGCAGAGCCCTGAGCAGCGGCGCGCGCCCAGAAACGGGCAGCCTTGTCAAAGGCGGCGTGCCAGCGGCCGGCCAGGGCGTCCCTCAGAGCAGGCCGCGCACCAGAGGAGGGGGTGGAGTCCAGCACTATCTTGACTTTCTCAAATAAATCCTCCTTTAACGCCTGCATCTTTCCCCGCACCTGAACAACAGCATATCGTGTTAATGGAACTTCCTGCATATTAGTCTCCTCTGGTGCATGTAAGGACATGGCCAGACATTTGTACCCTCTCCATGTCAGGCATGTTGCGTAGAACATGAGAGTCTTTGCATGAACCTCACCTCGTCCACAACTTCCTGCTCGATGTGGTCAGCCTCCTGCTGGACGCTGTCAAATTGCGTCAGGACATCCTCAAGCTCATTCTGCAGCTTCTCGGCCTCCTCCTGCAGCGTCTGCACGTCCTGCTGCAGCGCTGCATTCGTGGCCGTGGCCACATTGCGCACCTGCGGCATGCATGCTTGTGAGCTGTGAACGATGCATCAGACACAGGAGCTTATGACCAATGCCCATATAACTTGGGAGAAGGGAGATAAACATGAGAAGATGTGCAGTACCTGGTGCAGGAGGCGGGAGGTGTCATCCAGGACAGAGAGGAGCTTGAGGCTGCCGCTGTGGCTGTACAGGAAGCCGAGCACCTTGCTCTCCAGCTGCTCCAGGCCAGACTCTGCCAGCATTTCCTTGGCAGCTGCCACGTACTCCTCAGCAGGGGTGCTCTGTGCCCTGCGGCTCCCGAATGCCAGCTTGCCAAAGCGCATCCGCTCCTCGCTGCCCGCCTTGTTGCGCAGTATCAGACGCGACAGCATGGCATCTTGCGCAGACAGCAGCAGAACCTGCGGGCAGGTCACTCCACTTAGATGTCCATCCATCACCGCCTAAATGTGCGCTCAAGGACATTGCGGACGACTTCGGTGTACAACAACAGTGGCAAGCTGGGATGAGAGGTCACCTGGTCCGAGGAAAGTCGGAAGCCCTCAGAGGCCAGCTGCTTTGTGACCAGGTCAGCCACATACTCCTTGATCTCCTCCGGTTCCAGGCCCTCACTGGTGTGCATGAGGTCCACCTTGTTGACCACAAAGAAAAGGCGCTGCGAAAGCCTCGCCACCAGCTGAGGATTGATGTCCTGCGCAACGGAGGACACTTCTACATGGGAGGCATGCATTGGTGAATGTATCCTGTGTCCCAACCTTGAGCATGATCGAGGTATGCATGCACCCACATTGGCCGAAGATTGTGCATAAGAAATATCAAAGGCAACACACGCACCTTGAGTTTCGTCAGAAGGTCTGCTTCCTCTTGCGTCTTCAGCTTGGTGTAGTCAAGGATGTAGATGACAGCATCAACGCTGTCCAGCAGGCGCTCCACCTGGAGCATGCGATCCAGCACTTTGAAGAGGGGCATCACCAACAAACCGCTCTGCATCTCATGCAGGGAGCAGTGATGATGGCCCACAGTGATATGCATGCATGTGATTGTCATGCGCATGTACCTGGAACTTGAGGGACTCCTCCCCGGCCTCGTTGGGTCCCGGGGTGTCCAGTAGTTGCAGCGAGACCGCATCTGGATCCACCTCAGAATCCTCCAGGGCAGCGATGGGCACATGCACGTCCAAAAAGGCCTCGTCGCTAGACGTGTGATTGCGGGTGCGCACTTCCCTATTCAGGTAGCGCAGGTGCTCACCTGTAAACAAGGACAAACAGTCAATTTCTGAGCACATTCCAACTCGCGGGCATGGCAAGAGACAACGCAGATTTGAATACATGCAATATGTGCGTGGAGCCTTTGCATGAGTGGCTGCTGGGTGGGCAGAGGGACTTACGAATGGCATATTCGCCCACAATTGTGCGCAGCTCTCCCTGAGCAGTGGTGTAGCTCAGCTGGGGGGGCTTTCCTTCTTCCAGGATGGTGTGGGTGATGCGTGTGATGCGAGCAGTCTCTGGTACATTGGAGCTCGGCAGAACCACTGCTCCAAGAAGAGCGTTCAAGAGTGTGGACTTCCCTGCACGCAATGGACCAGCAATTCATTATAATACACGTCAGATGACTTTTGCTCCTAATCAAATATCTGTCTGGGACGGGCTGATGGAAAGCACAAGTGCCTTGATGATCCACCAGGTAGGATAACGGTGCTGCTCCCTAAACTCTTACGAAAAGCCCTGCAGGCAACCTCAGGAGCATGTTTGCAAGGCAGGTTTGGCACAACATAGATTCTTCAAAGAGTCCTGACAATGCACAAGGCACCTTGTACAAGACGTCCCAAAGATTTTGGCCATTGTTGAGAACGAAACTGATACTGTCAATCGGACGTTCACTGTTGAGCAAGGTGACAAGCAAAGCGGTCATGGATCGACGATAAAATCCAATTTTAGTGATTTCATCCTAGGTGTTGAGAGCCACCAGAAGCTACGCTAACATCTGCACTCTCGCTGCAAGCTGATCTAACACCGGGGTGATATTAGAATTCTCATACCTGACTTTGTGAGAGCAAGTACGGCGCAGCTCAGGCCTCCCTCTTTTCGCCTCTTCAAATCAGTGTACTTTGCAAAGAAATCACTGAGCTTCGTATCCAGGAGGAGCTGGTGACCGCCATCCGTCTTTGGTGCCTCAACAAGACGTCCCAAAAATCTCCCTGTGTCTTCCAGGAGGGTTGTCACGTCTCCTTTCAGGTCTGCATACTTCCTCGGAGCTTCCATCTCTGCCTTGTTCTTGTACAAATGAATACTTTCCCTTAGTTCCCATCCGCCAGACAGCGTGTTGCCGTCTGCATCTTTTTTGTCAAAGGTTATCGCACAAATGTGATGTGCAGTGTGCTCAGATCCCAGATCCACGAGGCACATACGCACAGCAAAGCTGGACATTTTACGGGCCTAAATCCACCGGATCCTCCAGGCTACGGATTTAGAATGTGGCCATGTGAAACATTTGAAGGGGGCGAGAAAGCGCCCATAAATGAGCAGTCTCAGCAGGGTGTGACTGGAATACATTGTAGCCACTAATCTACATGCATTGTACACCCGATCAGCCCAGGCCTCATCGGGCCATGGCCAACGTTGGCGCCAGCGCTAGCTGGTTAACCCCGGGGCCCCGCAGCCGCTGAAGAGGCCGGCCCGCGTGCTCGGCACGTCACGTGTGTCACTGTGTCGGTCACAGTGATCATCATGAAAGCCGGTGAACATGCATGCCATGTGACCCACACGTTGGGCCCCCTCGCTTCCACTATCAACAGCTGTTAACGTTTTGGTTGCGCGCGGCGCCGCTGCTTCTTCAAGAAGCGGCAAGTAGCATGGGCAATACCGTACTCAGGCCGCAGTATTGCTGCCAGCTACAGCTTGTGACAGGGCAAATACAAGGCCGTACTGCGGCCAATGCTGCAGCCCTTGCCAGCACAGCTAACTGCGTCCCTGAGCTAACTGATTCGATGGTTCCATCACTAACGATTTCTTCCTGGTGTAGGGTCCATGCATGATTCGGGCTTCAAGCTGTACTTTAAAATAGTGCGAGCAGGTTGGAGGATCCTTTGCAGCGCCAATTCTTGAAATTTGAAGCATGATGCATCACATGCAAATGATGCAGGAATTTGAGTGCAAAGTTCCCTTTATGGAGGTTGCAACAATCCCCAAGTCCGACTTTCGGAAAGTAATTACAGTGCATACTAGATGCCAGCAATCAAAAGCATTGCTGGCGCCATCATCATGTGCCTTCGTCAGTTCATGCAGCCCACAATAGCGTCAAATTCAGTGTTTATTCAAGTTGGCGCATACATATGTCAAACAATGTGACCTGACTGATCTTCCTATACTGCACAGCGCTCCACCATGTTCCTAAGAGCTTTCAAGGAAGAAAACTTATTCAAGTTTTGGACACGTTCCTCTGTGAAACCCCAAACAATTGTCTCTCTGCAGGTGAGAATATGTCTCCGCCATTCTCGATGCATCTCAATAGAAGATCCACCTTCACGGCTGCTCCTTCAACCTGTGACCATGCAGAATATTCAGAGTAAACGATAATGCCTCATGCATGCAGATTTGGAGTCATGATTGTGCTGCACAACAGTGCTCCAGCTCGAGACATGCCTCACCTCTTGCAACTTAAACAGATCTGTGGAGAAGGCTGCTGTGAAGGATTGCACATAGAGGTCCCTGAATGTTTTCTGTCCAGCCACTGGTGCGCACGACCCAGATGTCTGCTTCTCAGCCAGAGGAGTTGCAGCCAGTGTGTCACTCTGCTGCCTGTCCTGTTGCAGGCTGTCTGGCTGCCTTGTCATAGCCCCTGCACTGGACATACAGCTCCACATGGTGCCATCTAACAACTCCATTTGTCAAGCTGAAAGGCACTGAAAGTCCCTGGTACAGCCTCATGAAGGATTCTGTGAGCGGCACCTGTGGAAGGTGATTTCCTCTTCTGTCTTGTCTTGGACTTCTGATCAGGTTGGGTCTGATGGTCTGCACCGTTAAGCTCCCTGCAATGACACATTTGTCAGAAGTTGAGTCCTTCCCGTCATCTAGGCCAAAGGCCAAAGCCAAATTTTCACCAGTTCTGGCTTCTCACTGTGCAGAATCCTTAGACGGGGTGGAAATGTTGGGCTTATCAGGCGCCTGAGCATACCTGGGGGATGGATGATCATGCTCAGCTCCATACGAGCCTTTTGGTAGGCCATCGCTGAGCCTTCTCTTTTTCCTCCTGTTCGTATTTTCTGTTTGCTCTTTTTCTTGGACATATCCCTGCTCCCCTCCGTGTGTGATCTGCTGAAAAACTTTCAAGCATGAGCAGACCATTTTAAAATCAATCGATTTGCCATTCACAATACTACACAACTGTCATGCTTCCCTAGTAACTTACCGATGCCTTTTGGGCGGCCAGGGCACGCGCGATGCTGGCCAGGCCTTGCTGATCTCGAAATTTCTCAAAAGACATGAAGGTCGATTCTTGGTGCGTGCTTTCTAGTAGAATTTGTTTGAACTCCAACTCGCATCGAAGTGGTAGGGCTTCAGTTTACATCCCTTGCTATATAGGGTTACAGCCCCTAGGGGCCTGTCCAGGCCCGTCCAAAATAGGCTACTCCTTGGCTTGCCTGCCACAGCCGCCCTTGCAATTTGCTTCATTGCGAGATCAGCTTTCGTCCACCCACTTGTTCTTTGGTGTGGACAAAATGGCGGACGCTGATGCGGGTGGCAAGAGGCGGACGTTCCGCAAGTTTACATACCGTGGAGTTGACCTGGACCAGCTCCTTGATATGAGCACAGATGAGCTGGTGGACTTGTTCCCAGCCCGGGCCAGACGCAAGTGAGTGCATGTTCTTCTCAAGCCAAGTTTTGGATGTTCGAAACTCGAATTAAAGATCCACGAGCATTCTTGGTGATGCCAAAGGTCGTGACATCTGGGCTTCAAGGACAAGAGTTATAATGATGGTTTGTAGCTGTCTTGCAGCAACCCTTCATGGCATTTCATTTTACCATTTTGCTGTCACATATGTATCGATTAAATTGCATTGTCTAGTATTGAAGACCAAACGCTCTGCCAGAGTATGTCTGATAGAAAGCTGAGTCTCACAATTTCAGATTGCTTCTCATCTGGCATTTCTTGGTATACCAGAGCTTTAAGGGCTGTGCTGTGCAGTACTGAAGCAAGTTGTCATGCTGGTCAGGTTCCAGAGGGGACTCAAGCGCAAGCCGTTGGCACTGATCAAGAAGCTGCGGAAGGCGAAGAGGGAGGCAGCAACCGGGGAGAAGCCAGAGCCAGTGAGGACGCACTTGCGAGACATGATCATCGTGCCTGAGATGATTGGATCCATCATCGGCGTCTACAATGGCAAGACCTTCAACCAGGTGCGAGGGCCGCCTGTGCTGAATATGCTCCACTGCGACATGTCATCAATTTTGGGCAGTGAACAAGCCTGTTATATAGCTGTCCTCGCAAGCCTGCCGAGGCTGTTGACAGAGCATAATCGGTGCTCGCTCTCAGTGTATGTCAGCCCTCCTGGAATAGGGCCTTGGAAAGCAAAAATGCTGACTATCATCAACAGGCCTGTTCAAGTGAGTAAGCTGCTGTGCAGGTTGAGATCAAGCCGGACATGGTGGGCCACTACTTGGCAGAGTTCTCAATCAGCTACAAGCCCGTCAAGCACGGCAAGCCCGGAATCGGTGCCACTCACTCCTCCCGCTTCATCCCTCTGAAGTGAAGGGGTCACTTCTGCTGTCAATACACTGCGATGGATCGCTGGAGATCTTCCATCGATGCTCGGAGCAGCTATTACAGTGAAGATGTGACAAAAAGCATTGTCTTCCTTGACATGCTTCTGGAGTGTACATTAGATTGTCAGAGATTGATCAAGAAGATCCCGACGGCTCGCTGAAGAGCTCCTAGCAGTGTGCGGGGTGCATGTGTGAGCACACGACAACCAAATGTAATAAATTTTTCTTACGACTATCAAGGGATTCTTGAAGGAGAGCCGATTCACCTGGAATATCTGTCAAGTCCATCAGATTGGCTTGCTGGAGGGGTGATGCTCGCCAATCCAATGGGACTGGCCACAGGGGGGCAAGGTCACAACAATGCAGCACTTAAGGGCTGGCACATCATGACAGCAAGCTTAAGCTGCCAGCCAGAGCCTCTGGCTTATGAGTGGGGCCGTCAGCAGGTCTACTCGTAAAACTCTCCAGCGCTGTCACTGGCAGCTGCAGTGGTTTGTCAAAAGTCCAGTCACTAACCATGTCAGTATAAACGGCATACGCGGCGCAGGCCTGATCATTAACTTAAGTAAACTCATGTGCTCCCAGTTACTTGTACCGTGATCATCAACATCATGTTCACGGTGATGGTACCGGTACGTACCATTTGTGCTACACAGGCGCCCAGTGGCGCCAGTGGTCCGACCTGCGCATGCGCTGGCTGTGACATTATGCAAGTGGCCACCACCCTGATGGAGATGGTGGTCCACTGCAGTCACTGAGGCACCTATCAAAGTACTTCCATACTTTGCATACTCAGATTGTTGTTGCCTATCATGTGTTGGGACCTTTTTTCTTTTTAGACCGTACCACGGCGTTCCTGTTCGAAGAGTTGTCCAGGTCAATTCGTCTGGACTTTTCTTTTTGGTATACACGCAAGAGTGTGAACCTTGTTGTAAAGCATTCCTTGATTAATTGTCCAGCAGCTGCTAAGAGGAGGACACCATCGAGGGAAAACTTGTCTTTGTGGATGTTAGGGCAAAGGATCACAGGACGTGCATAAGCGCGCTCCACTGGCGCGAAGACCCGTAAGATCGCTATGAAAGTCCGATTTCTTCTAGCCTTACTCGCCATTGCGCTCACTCCTCAGGTTTTCGGGCACGCCCAAGTATACTTCACAGGACAGAAGTTCATCAGCAGGGTCAATGACCCAACGGAATTGTCACAGGACGGTTTGACAGGGATATTTTCAACTTGGTTGAACATTTATCAAAATGAGTATGTGGGGTCTTCAGTTTCGCAGCAGGTGAGATCTGTTTCCACAGTGCCCATCAACCTGTCTTTCACCTTCTGCAAGGCTAGGATCTAAATCAACTTATGCGCAGATGGAGCGGGTGATGCTCCCGACTATCTTCTCGCGCCCAGAGGCACTGTTTTCTCTGCAAGCACTGGTAGCTCCAGGTAAGTACATTTGCCCTACAAAAGGTGTGCAGGCATACTGTGATGCGTGTGCTTGCTGGCATGCTTCCTGAAAAAACACCCAACAGATAAGACGGTGCTGACTAGGGAGGATGTCCCTGCAACAGGTGATGAATCCGGTCAGTACTTTCTGCCCGAGGAGGGAGCACATTCGGCTTATCTCAAAGCAGACAACACTGCAGCATCTGCAAAGGTTCTACAGGCGCTGAGCTCAGTTGCATACGGGGGCGTCAGCACTGGAGCTGTCGAGCATCATGAGTTTGGCAAAGCGTCAGGCTGCACTGACGCCTGTATGGAGGATCTCTTTAAGGTGAGCAGATGCTTGTCATAGCCATTGTGAACATGGCTTGCTAGTTGCCACAACACCGATGCAGAACTTCCAAACACGAATAACCCATGGTGCTGTTGAGCTTGTGATGGCTGAAGTCCATGTGTGGCTGTGGATTGTAGGAAGCTCTTTCAAGGATGGGAGGAAATTACACAGCTGGTTCCGCTGCTTTGAGGGGTGTTGCTTACATCCCGGAAGCCTCACACCAGGGCACGGTAGAGCTTGGCCTCAATGAGAATGCTGGCCGGGTATGGGCAGTGGAGATGGCGATTCTTCACCAGGCCGCACAAAACCTGGCCCAGACGAGGTACATGGTAATCTGATTGTCTGCCATTGTTTTAAATGAAGTGGACTCCTTGTGAGCAAAACTTGCAGACACTGCTCATTGCCCCAGGTTGCTCAATTTGAGACACTCCATTGCGTGCAGGCAGCAACAAGCAGGCTCGGCGCGTTCTGTGCCTGTGCTCTATGAAGCTACTGTTCTCAGCCCAAAGCTGCTCAGCGAGAACTTCGGGGCTGCAAGTCCAAAGACCCAGGCCGCGATGAGTGCCCTCAAATCTGTTGTTGACAGTGTCCGCACAGCGTTGGGAGATATTCACGGAGACAGGTGAGACTGTTAGAACCTTGAAACTCAAGAGACAGGGCAATAGTATGCCAGCTTTTCCCGTGTGTGATGTTGAGAAATCCCTTTTGTAGAGTAGCATATTCTCATATGTGAGATCCCCGGTTTGCGGATTTGTGACTTGCAGGATGGTGTCCCATTTGGCTGTTCTGGACGATGCTCCAATCCGCAAGAATGACGCACGAGCCACTCTGCAGTGGCATGAACAGCAACAACGAAGGCACCTCCTGATGTCTGAGTCAGGTATAAATGTCTCCTCCATGTGAAGAAGATGCACTCTCATTAGGCAGTCTCTCTGTGCTGCCCATGATTGCGGTCACCTGATTGTGCATTCTTCAAATCTTTGTCGCAATTATGAGGCTCTGTTCCTCTTGAGTCGTGCCTGGCACTGAAGGCTCTCTGATTGACTGCAGCTGAGAAGACGGACTCTGCCACCAGCTGGTTTGTCCAGGCAGCTGCCTACATTTCTGCAATTCTTTTCTTGGTATTTGCGATTGCCAGCTGCCAAGTCTTGGCGAAGATGAAATTCAAGCAGGACTCGCTTCTGTATGGCCGCACCAAAGCTGAGTGATGGTCACAGTGCAAAGAGTCTGTGATTGCTGTGATCTTACAGCTTCAGCAACAGAACAAGAATGCAGTCGTCTGACATGAAGCATACTTCTGATCAGCAGCTTGGACATTTCTGCTTGGCTCAAGCATACCTGATGAACATATTCTATTGGGCACGGGCTAATAACCTTTCGAGCACGGGTCGGCTATAGCATGCAATGATCCTCTAATTTTGAATGTAAAGTGTACTTTTGTGAGTCTCTTGTATAAAAATAGACATTCCGAGGCTGCCGATCGAAGATGGATGCCTGCACAATACTCTGCGCATGCACAAGACTGTGCAATGCTCATACTTTGCTGCCACCTGTCTGCGGCAGCATGCATGATGTTGGCAAGCTGGTCATAAAAGCTCCCAGTCAGGTTTGCCCTTGCTTAACTGCGCGGCAGCGTTTTCATCACCTCTGCAATTTGCATAGCCAATGCATCATGCAGTCTGCATGCATGTCTTCCCCTCTATTCCTCTATAATAGTCACTGCACTTCACGTGAGAATTCACAAGGAAGTTTCCGTGTACGGCGGGGTTGAGTCTGCGCAGTCTGCTCCAAAGCAATGATATATTGCCTAGACTCACGTCCAAGCCCCCAAAAGCATGCCGGACTTGATACAGGTAGTTTCTAAGCATTACCAACGTCTTTCCCAAGGAGCTCGCTCAGCTCACTTGTGAGGCGGTCCATGAGCTCGTGTTCATCTCGCCGATAGATCCACTTCCCATCCACGAAATCATATCGCACAGGGCCACTGCACGTCCAACCCACGGACTATGAATATTGTAGTTTGAAAAGCTTGGTGGGCAGGGTTTCAAGCAATGCCAGCAGCAAAGGAGATTGCTCACTCACCTGACTGGCGAGGACATCCAGATCTGGCGATTGGGTGTCTGTTTATTGTACACGTAGGTTCCGTAGGGCCCCAATCTTAGAGTGAGGACTCCTTGCTGCATGCACAAGCCCACAAGGTATGGGTGTAAGGCAATTAATCCATCATACTTTCAGGCAATGATTCCATCACAGAAGTAATGAGCATGCAATGTAGATTGCAAGGGAGACACACCCCAAACTCAACATCCGAGTCAGGAATGTCCTCTTCTTCAACAATCATATCCATCATCTCGTGCAAAGTTTCCAGTAGTGTGTCTGCTTTGCCATGAAACTCATCTTCTGGCATTTCCGGCATCCTGCATTTGGCAAAGCATGCATGATCAAACCTTAGTGCTGTGGGACAGATCAAGAACAGTCATAGCGGCGTGTTCAATCATACTCTTCTGTCGGTGATGCTGATGAGAAGTGACGCTGTTGACTCAAATCAGCAGGCCCTCTTCTGCCCTCTGCGACGTGCCAGTCTGTTCCCTGTGGCAGACAGGTTCAGGTATTAGTGATGTCTTCGTGTCATCAAGATGGGAGTGAAAGGCGAAGGCTTGGTCAGTGCAGAGATTTTCACCACTTGTTCGCTGCAAACACTCCTAGACCTCCACGGTGAGCTGTGGTGATAATATATTTGCGGACATGCGGCATGGAGCACACGTGTCTGCTGGACAACCGCGAGATCTGCGGCGTTCTGCTCCAAGGATGGAAGAAGGACCCTAAGACGAGATAATTTTCTCATACTACGTGCCATGTCACATCTACGAAGCGCTCAAAGCTGCCAAAAACACCACCGTTGATCGAGATCGTGCTGGCACCAACTCAAGTGAGAAAATCGCTGGCTCGTGTGGATTACACTCTTGGACTTTAAATAGCTGTATTTCAATCTGATTCGATATTCCAGAAGAAGCTTGGCTTCTCCTGCAAAATTGCTTCCACCCATGCATGCAAGCTTAGTAACCCCGTTCCGGAGATGTGTCGGAGCCGGCTGTCGGGGCAGAGAAAGCATGCCTTCTTCAATTAATCTGCGTGGTTGCTCACTGGAGAATGATTATAACAATGACATCAGTGTTGAGCATTTTGTGCTCACCAAAATAGAGATTGTAAGCGTGACCGTCGCCTAGCTCAGCAATCTCACGATGGGCAAGAGGGGCCACGACTCAGATGCAGCAGCAAAGAAAGTGGAAAAAGTAGAGAAAGTTTCAGACCCCCAATTTGAAGTTGAGGATCTGGACGTTAGCAGCAGTGAGTCGGACGATGAACCGGCTGCTGTTGAGGAGGGAGGTGACTATGATAGCGAGGAGTCTGCAGGGAAGCTCAAGGAGGAGGAGGAGGAGGAGGAGGATGAGGATGGCGATGACGATGGTGCTGCAGGGCTCGAGTCATCTGATGATGAGATAGACAGGGCAGTGCTGGACCTAGTGCAACGCCAAGAGGGCGAGGAGGCACAGCCTCCTGAACAGTGGCAAGACAGGAGTGACAGAACAGCGGATGCAGGAACATCAGAGGCAGCCGGCAATGACAGTGATTCGTCAGATGACGAGCGGCCAAACCGCAACACAGGCACGCGTTGCACTCTGGGGTCACTCTGCACTTCATCATGGAACTGAGCATGTGAAGAAGCCAGCCAAACACATGTCTTATTTTCTTGCAGTGGGGAGAGTACCCCTGGAGTGGTACCGCAATGAGGACCACATCGGCTATGATCTGGACGCCAATAAGATTATGACCAAGAAGAAAGAGGACAGGCTGGAGGCTCTGTTGGCCAGGAACGATTCTGGCAAGGCACTTCGCACCATCTACGACGAGTACAATGATGAAGACATCGTGCTCACCAGGCAGGAATTGGAGCTGGTGCAGCGCATCCGGGAGGGAAAGTTTCCACATGTGGAGGTGATCTTGCGTGTGAAATTGTTCCGTTGCAATGAAGAAGTGCATCCTCATGATGGAGGATCCGTGTGATCTTTCAGTGTAGTGCTTGAGATCTTGAGGCATGCGCCTGATGGCCTTTTTGGCTGTGCCAGGTGAACCCCTTCGAGCCAGAGGTGGACTGGTTCACTCGCGACAAGGAGATCCATTCCTTGTCACAGGCACCAGAGCCCAAGCGCCGCTTCATGCCCTCAAAATGGGAGGAGAAGAAGTGCGCCCTAATATTTGTGACATTTGTACAACGGTTGTCATATGTGGCAACTCACATGTGCTGCCCCTTTGCTAGGCATCTAAGCAAGGTGCTGGTGGTAAGAGCTCACATCAGAACGGCTATGCAGAATCGTCAAGCTTATGAGGGCGCTGAGGAAGGGCTGGATCAAGACGACGGCTGAGCGGGCGGCTGTCCAGCAAGAAGTGGAAGCTTACCTGCTCTGGGAGGATGACGGCCTCATATCATCCAAGACCCCTCACGGTGGGGAACTTTTGCTTCTCACCGCGGCTTACTTGGAAAGGGTCAATTTGAGGATGCAGGCAAGCCTAATTCCATTGTGAGAACTCACACGGCTGTTTCTGGCTGACTGCAGGATTGTCCTACCTCCCGGCAACCAAGACACCTCTGCCTGGCCATGCAGAATCCTACAACCCTCCCAAAGAGTACCTGCCCACAGAGGTGAGCACAAGCACCTGATGCCAGCATCAACATGTGCGCGTGTCTGTCAGACCTTGGCTGTGGAATCTTGCGTACGCTCCTGCCGTCCTCCCAGAGCAGACCTCAAAACATTGCCCTTTGACCAAGTGATAGAAAGTATTTCCTCCTTCTGGGCCAAGCGTGCGCATGTTTTTACTTGCCTTATGGGATACTTTCTAGGGTAAATCAAACGGTGGTGTCAATCACTAATAACCGCCTGGCGGTGGCACAGGAGGAGCGTAAGGGATGGGAGATGGCAGACGAGGAGGACAGGGCTGGGCCGTTGGCGCGCGCATTCCAATCGCTGCGGCAGGTGCCGGCGTACGACCGCTTCATCAACGAGCGCTTCGAGCGCTGCCTGGACCTGTACCTGTGCCCGCGCACGCGCAAGAAGCGCGCCTTCGTCAGCGACGCCAAGAGCCTGGTGCCCCAGCTGCCCAAGCCCCGCGACCTGCAGCCCTTCCCCACCAGCCTCGCCATGCGCTACCTGGGCCACACTGCCCCGGTATAATCTCCACCAAGAACACGCTTTACCAGGAAACCATAAGCCTCCTTTCACGGTGTCGTTTCCATGATGCTGGGAATGGCTCAAGTCCGGACCATTACAATAAAGTTGGTGGAGCAAAGATTTGCATCCGCAGTCTGTTGGCACTTGTGCAGACTTTGTCCTACCTGTGTGCAGGTGCGGAGCGTGGCAGTGGACGCGAGCGGGCAGTGGCTGGTGTCGGGCTCGGACGACGGCAGCGTGCGGCTGTGGGAGGTGGCCACAGCGCGCTGCATGCGCACCTGGGATCTGGGCGCGCGCGTGCACTGCGTCGCCTGGTGCCCCGCCTCCGGCCTGCGCATCATCTCCGCCACAGTCGGCAACTCCGTCGTCCTCCTGCCCGCAGGTGATTCGCCTCGAACAGCAGCGCCTTGGTAAGTGCAGGAGAGTCACACTTGACAGCTGTCACACTCACTCTATCACCTGCCAGACGCTGATGCTGTTGGGCGCGGTGCGCAGGTGCGGGAGCGGAGCAGGAAGCGGCCTCGCTGCAGGCGCTGCAGTCGCCACAGGGTGCCAAGGCAGCGAGCGGCAAAGCGGCGCTGTGCAAGTGGCAGCCGCGGGCGGACGGCGATGGCCTGGAGCTCGTGCACCAACACCCCGTCAAGCACATCACCTGGCACGCCCGCGGCGAGTACTTTGCCTCCGTTGCGCCCACCGGCAACACGCAGGCGCGCACTTATGCGACCTCCCCTCGTTCTGCTGCCTGGAATGCTCATCATGACCAGTCTATCAGTGTGGCAAAACGCTTACTTCGATTGGGAAGGTTAAGATGCAGCGCTGAGGGCTATGGTGGTGCACAGGCGGTGCTGGTGCACCAGCTATCCAAGCAATCGTCGCAAAACCCGTTCCGCAAGAACCGCGGCCGTGTGGTGCGCACGGCGTTCCACCCCTCCAAGCCCTTCTTCTTCGTGGCCACGCAGAACCATGTGCGCATCTACAACCTTGCCAAGCAGGCCCTCGCCAAGAAGCTGCTGGCCGGCTCCGGCGTTGCCTGTCTCGCCGTCCACCCCTCCGGCGACCACGTTATCATCGGCAGCGAGGTCAGCCCACACTGCCCTCGGTCGTTGAACAGCCGCTCACAGGCCAGCTGCATCTTATTGCTCATATGCTAATGCACATGTTCTCAGGCGCCAAAAGGACAGCAGCCATTAGGAGATACAGCCAGCAGAAAGCTTTGACAAGCATTGCCCATGTGCAACAACACGCTCAGGGGGTTTTGTAGGTGAGACATGAGTAGAATGTGTACTAAGTGATGACCCATGTATGGCTGTGCAGGACAAGCGGCTGGCATGGTTTGACCTGGACCTGTCCACAAAGCCATACCGGTCACTGCGGTACCACTCCCAGGCTCTGCGCGGGGTCGCCTTCCATGCGAGGCACCCCCTCTTTGCCTCCGCCTCCGACGACGGAGCTGTGAATGTGTTCCATGGAATGGTGTACCAGGTGATGTTCACTGCCTGCTTCTTGGCATTGGACGTGTTTTGAAATCATTGCGCATGCACGCATGGCCTTTGACGGAGGGATATAAAGAGGTTGCATGATATGGGTCTGACATTGCTGATGTGGGTGTTGTTCTGCAGGACCTCTTCACCAATCCGTTGATTGTGCCGGTCAAGATATTGCGCGGCCATGAGATTGTGCAGCACGAGGGCGTCCTGGACTGTGCGTTCCACCCAAGCCAGCCATGGCTGTTCACTGCGGGCGCTGATGCCACGCTCTGCCTCTTTACAAATCAGTAATAAATTAATAAGTTCGTCATGTTGTGCTGCACATTCTGCCTAAAAGTCTGAACGCACTAGTGTCAGGTGTCACTTGAGTTCACTTGAAGAGTTAATATCTATAAATCAGTGTTAGGCAATCTGTGCCTCTGCTGATGCATTTACGGTGATTGTAAGCTATCTATAAGCAATATTAGCAGGTACTCGGTTGTTGCAAGCGTTGAATTTTGTCGATATAAAACTGTAAATCTGCAAGTGAACGTGAAGCATAACAACCAGAATGTCTGCAACCTCGGGTGTCCACTGACGTGGCTACTGCAGAGCTGTAATAAGTGACTCAATATTGTAGATGTACCAATCTGCCTTTCCTGCTATGGTGGGCCGCTCGACCACACCTCCATAGCCTATGAATATCTCAGCACCGCCTGGTTGCCTTGCTTCAAGGTCTGTGGCTCCATCTCCCACCATGACAAGGGTTCTATAGCCATATTTCTCCTGCACATGCACGAGCAGCAGGGCACTTAATGCACAGTGATTCCACAGAGCACAATAACAATCCAATAGCTTGTCAACCAAAGAAGGCACCTTTATAAGACGCGCTGCAGCTGCCTTGCCACCACTGCGAGAAGTAAGCTCGGTCTCATCAAATCCCGCATATGATCCATCTTCCTGTTTCCAATGTGTACACGGTGTCAGTAGGGTTGTCAGCAACAAGAAGGCAGCGTGCGCAGCATTGCAGAGTAGAAGGGTGGCGCGCACATTGAAGAGGATCCTGTTGGCATATACATGATCACGCGGAATCTTCAAGATGTCAGCGATGGGATCAATGATCACGCGAAAGCCACCAGACACCAGGAATACGCCAGTTCCTCGGCTTTGCAAGAGGCTCACAAGCTCAGGTATGCCTGCAGGAGAGCAATTGAAATTGCGGGCCCAAGAAAAGCAAAGATTTGCAATGCAGAGACGGCAGCCAGCATAGTCATAAGCTGTCTTGCCTTTGCTGATGCGCGGTGGATGTGCTGCCAAGAACTCCTGAACCTTCTGTTGCGAAGTCTGCATGATGTTCAGGCGCTGCCTGAGTGCGTCTTGGAAGAGCACTGTTCCCCCCATGGCACTGCAACACACGGCGCCATTACATTGATGTGCTGGCCTGTCTGCATTTTGCGCTGCCCAGATGTCACTTTGATCAATGACCCACACGCATTTACCTTGCAGTCATGGCAGCTACCTCATTTCCCACTCCTAGAAATGCAGCCAGCTCATCGATGGACTCATCCTCACACCTGCACCCGAGCAAGACATGTCATGGCCTGCTATGGGATAAATAGTGGTTCTTGCGTTGTGGCGGACCACTGAAGGAGCAGGGACTCACAATGTGCTATCGACGTCAAAGCACACCGCCTGCAGAAAGCACAGGGAGTGTCAGGTCAATGCAGAAGGTACATAGCAAGCATCTGTGGACTTGGTGATGTGGGATTGAGGGGCGCAACCTACTTCAGCTGACTTCCAGATATGCCGCACGTGCTCTGGAGGTTGTTCAGTGCCTGCAGCAGCACAAGGATGAGCATGATGGAACCAGGCAATGTGTAGCACGTCAGGCAAATTGTATTTGAATCTTTGTACCTACAGATACCATCATTTGGACCTCTCTGGCTGATCTGCACGCTGTCACAAGGCCCAGTTGTAGCTTTAACAGCTGGAAGCCCAGGGGAGACGAGCGTGTCTGGCCCTTGACTGTCGAATAAAAGCCTACTGAAACATTTGATCTAAAGCTGTCGGATGTTGCTCTGCAAGATATGAAACATGGCTTTACTTGATAAAAAGGAGAAGCATGTGCCCTGTGCATTGGCCAACCTTCACTACAGATCCGCGTCTCGGATGAGAGATGGCATCACCGTCAGGTATTACGGACTTTTATTTGATTTCTGGGCTCTATCAATTTGCACTCGACGAAATTGAAAGAAACGCCTCAGGGCAATCCAAGACGGTGAGTCATTGCAATTGCCCAGCTGGGCAGCAGCGCTCTGTGCTCTCACTTCGTTCTTCTGGATTGACAGGCTCTTTCTGGTCTGCCTATTGATTGCTATATGCAACAATCATATGTCCAATTCATAGAAGTATCAGAGCGGCCATATTTCGCGTTCTCCGAGTCTGTGAAGCTCAGAGCGCGCGCTACATCTCCGGTACAATATTGCTCAGATATGCTATATGCCGGCATGAATTGACATCACTCATTTCCATATTATTAAATATCGTAGATATTATCTCGTCTCAGGAGCTATGGTTAGAGCTGGCGCTGTTGGTCAACTCCATGCGCCAAATCCATGCCGTCAGAGATCTGCAACATTCTCTGCCTCACACCCGACCTTCGGCGCTTCCATACTGATCAAAGGGCATAAATTGAATCTTGAGAGCTTCTCCAAGCTGCGCAACAGCGGAAGACGGCATTCAGTAAGCAGCCATACCATCTCAGTGCCCCCACATACTTTGTTCTCAAGACAAATGTACTGTTGTGGGAAGCTCTTAAAAACGTGAATCAACCTTAAATCCAAGGTACACGGAAATTTGTGCACCAGTGTCCTCCAGAACACCGATGCCTTTCACGAAATCCATTTCTCTGACCTATGTTCTATTGTGCAGGGACAGATGCGCCAGCTGATCAGGCATGGAGCCAATGCACTGTTGAGGACTGTCTCCACCAAACAAGCGGAAGCAACCCATGCGAAGCCAGGGCCTTTCAAGAGGATTTCAGTGAACCCTGGTATGAATGCTTGCACTGCCACCAACACACAATCAATTCGCAAGTAGACTTGCATCTTCCATTGTGCATGCGCATGTTCAGACAATGAAACGATCTCTTTGCTTGATTGTGTAGGGACGCCAGAGCCTCTTGGGCCATCAAAGATATCTGAAAGCGCCAAGTCTGGGGTCAACTTTGCACTATTTTCCGAGCATGCCACTGCGATCACGCTGCTCCTGTCGGACAAAGATGACAAGAACACAGTGGAGATTGAGCTGGACCCAGCAACCCACCGGACTGGTAACGTCTGGCATGCAGCTGTGGAGGGCTGCCCTCTGTCTGGAGTCCTCTATGGATACAAGGTGGAGGGTCAGACAGGCTGGGACAGCGGAGACAGGCAAGCAGCAGACCTGCAAAACACATGAGTGTTTCATCATTTATAGAAGTGCTGGGCATGCAGATGCAGCGACATGAGCATTCTTAAATGCTGCTGTCTGGTGCCACAGGTGGGACAGCTCAAGGGTCCTTCTGGACCCATATGCGCCATTGGTGAAGGGCCGCGCGGAATTTGCAAAGCGGGACGACTTTGAGCGCTTTGAGGAGAAGGTGCGTGCCCCTTGCACTTGTTCTGCTGGATGGTTCCTGAGTGCTGTTGACATTAGCCTTCATGTCTGATCTTGATAAGACGAAACTCCTTGTTTACCAACAGACGGGCAGCCAGTTCAGAGGCACCTTCGAGTTGGACGCCGCTCCATTTGACTGGGGCAAGGACTACAAAAGGCCAAACCTGGCACCAGAGGACGTCATCGTGTACGAGATGGGAGTGCGCTCCTTCACTGCTGATGAGTCCAGCGGCGTGGGACCTGGAAAGGAGGGCACCTATGCAGGCCTCATTGCAAAGGTGCTCATTCCCAGTCTCCTGTCACCTGGAGCGGTCATGCTTGCCTGGCATGCCTCATAGCACGATGGAAAAGTTTGATCATACATGCATCCTGCACGGCACGTCTTGCAAGGGGAAGGGCAACCAGCTGGCGGGCTGTAAGAAGACTGGATGTTGACTTGTGAAGCCCTGAGCCATAATGGGGCTGCTGCTGCGCAGATTCCACACCTGGTGGAGCTGGGCATCACTGCAGTGGAGGTGCTGCCGGTGTTTGAGTATGACGAGCTGGAGTTCCAGCGCTCGCCCAACCCGCGCGACCACATGGTCAACATCTGGGGCTACTCCCACCTCTCCTTCTTCGCCCCCATGAGCCGCTTCGGCTCGGGCGGCAAGGGCCCCGCCGCTGCCGCGCGCGAGCTCAAGCAGCTCGTCAAAGCGCTGCACGCTGCCGGCATTGAGGTTCTCCTGGACGTCGTCTACAACCACACCGTCGAAGGTAACCCAATAGAGCACGCATGCATACCACACTTGAACACGTGAAGAGCTTCAAGCAGTATTTGGATGGTGCTTGGATGGATGGTTGTGCTGAGTCTTGGGATGCCGCTCCCTTGGCGTGGTTTAACAGAAATGTAGCTTGCTAGTGAATGGGGTGCTATTACAAAAATAACTTGGCTGGGCTGAGCCTTTTGTCATTGCCATGACAGGTGGCGATGACGACCCTTACACAATGTCATGGCGGGGCATCGACAACAAGGTGTACTACATGGTGGACACCAACCAGTACGTGCAGCTGCTCAACTACTCCGGCTGCGGCAACACTGTCTCCGGCAATCACCCAGTCACCAAGCAGCTCATCATCGACTCCCTCCGACAGTGCGCTGCCCTTTTCCTGCATGCTTGCAATTGTCCCCCTCACTTGGAGTTTTCTGACTTCTACACCCTGCGTTCCCCATGCTCACTGAGGTTGCTTTGCCTTGCAACCCACGACGCCCACTCTGGAGCATCGCACAACGACACCCAGATCGTGGCATTCCTTAGCTTGTGCCAGCTGTAAGCCACACGAGCTGGGAAGCCCCAACAGATCTAGGCGCTCAAGGTTTGATAATAATTACAGTGTCTGAGTCCAATGTTTGCTGCTGTGCAGGTGGGTGGAGGAGTATCACGTGGATGGGTTCCGCTTTGACCTGGCGTCGGCGTTGTGCCGGGATGAGAAGGGCAACCCGATGGAGGTGCCGCCGCTCATCCACGACATTGCCAAGGACCCAGTCCTCAGCAAGGTGCTCCCCTCCCAGCGGCCCCTCCTCTGACCTGCCTCACCTCACCCACATCCTAAATATTCCTAATACTCTGTCTGTCAACGGCCCCACAGGACACCTGTGCATTAAGGGGATCTACCCTGGGGCTGGGTGTGACAGATGCGCACGAGGAATGCCCTATGTGGCCCCTGTGTATTGGCATGTTGACCCTATATGGCCCCTTATGGTTGGGTTTGAGAAATGCATGGGGTGCCCTGCTGCACAGGTGAAGCTGATTGCGGAGCCGTGGGACTGCGGCGGCCTGTACCAGGTGGGCGGTTTCCCCAACTGGGATGTATGGGGTGAGTGGAACGGCAAATACAGGGACGACGTGCGCCGCTTCATCAAGGGCGACGACGGCACGAAGGCTGCCTTCGCCACCCGCCTCTCCGGCTCGGCAGACCTCTACCACGTCAATCAGCGGTAATTCACCCTCGCTGACTGTACTACCACCGCATGACTGTCTTTAACCCTGCCAAACCTTGGCCATGCATCACAACATACACGGCAGGCAGCACATCTAAAGCACGCGGACTGCTGAGCCTTGGTGTGCCTGGCAGGAAGCCGACGCATGGAGTGAATTTCATCATTGCGCACGACGGCTTCACGCTGTACGACCTGGTGGCCTACAACGAGAAGCACAACGATGCCAACGGGGAGGGCAACCGCGACGGCTCCAACGACAACTTCTCATGGAACTGCGGCGCGGAGGGCGAGACAGGGGACGAGGGCATCAATGCGCTGCGGCAGCGCCAGATGCGCAACCTGCACCTCGCGCTCGCTGTGTCCCAGGGCATGCCCATGGTCCTCATGGGTGCGCGCCATGGCTCCCAACACCATTTTATTAAAAAGTCTGAGAAGCCTTGGACAGACCCCAATGCAAGCACCAGCTCGTTAGAAGATGCTCTCATGGATGGAAAGCCAATTGGCTGCATGTCTTTCCTGGACATTCCAACAGGGATATATCTGTGCAGGTGATGAGTACGCGCAGACGCGCGGAGGCAACAACAACTGGTACGGACAAGACACCAAGATGACACGCTTTGATTGGAACGCATTGGAGGCCCAGCGCGACACATTCTTCCGGTACTACAGGTGAGCTCCTCTCAGCCGTGGTTGGTGACAGCTGTACAATTCCAGGCATGCTTGCTTGAGATTCATCAATGCCATGGCACATTGGGCATGCCTGATTTGTGCTCTTGTGTGTGCAGCGGCCTGCTCAAGTTCAGGAGAGGGCACCCTCTACTGGGCCGGCCAGAATTTCTGACGCCTGAGGACGTCACATGGCACGAGGACAACTGGGACAACCCAGAGAGCAAATTCCTGGCCTTCAGCCTCCATGACAGGTACAGCACACCCTCCAAGATTCTCACATTAAAGTCAAGGGAGCTATGCAAGCGTGCCAGTAAGGTTCAAACTGCTGCCGGGAGTTGACGTGATGCATGTGCTGCAAACAGGGGCCAGGGCTGTGGGGACCTGTACATTGCATTCAATGCGCACGCATACGCCATCACTGTTGGCCTGCCGGGGGGCCTCAGCTGGGTGCGTGTGGTGGACACCAATCTGCCCTCGCCGCGTGACTTCACCCCAGACAATGACAAGGTGCTGGCCGGCGACTACACTGTGAACCCCTTCTCCTCCATCATGCTCAAGGCTGTGGCTGCTTGAGGCGACTGCAGATCATGCCTTGGGAGGAGCGTTCACGGCAAACACATCGTGTTGTTTTGAAGGCCAATTTTGCCAACCTTGGGCCCAGATGAGTGTGTGTGAATTTAAAAGGAGGCCGTTCGGTTTGCTTTCCACAAGTTTGCTGAATGGACACATTGTTGTTTTGTCATTAAGACAATACTTGAGAGTATGAGCCAGACGCCACTGGATTCATCACTTGAATGATGCATCTCAAATAAAACCTCTTCGCTGAAAGAATTGTAGAAGGAAAACTTCTTAGAGCAAGACTTCCCGTACACATGAAGGCTTGTCAATAAGGAATCTGCGTGCCTTCCATAAAGAAAATTGCAACGTGCTTGTGACTTACGGGTTTTCATTCACAATCCAGTAGATGACGCAGGAGAATTGTTCAATTAAACAAGCATATAACAAGTTTGTTAATTCACATGTGTGTCTTGTACAAGACACCCATTTTGACCTTTCCAGTGACCCCCTAAATGGCCGCTACCAACCTGCCAAACATTGGAAGGTCTTCATACATACATATATTTGATGATAGTTACACTCACGCATTGCCCAGCTGATGGGCACCAATCTTGTATGCAGTCGCATGCACAGCAACGTGGTCCCGCACTTGAAACTTTATCGCCTTCAGGGGAACACCCAACTCATTGCCGGCTGCATCGGCCAGATTGCACTCGATGGAGACAATTACAGGTCCCACGTATGAGGGCTGCACACATGCACACAGACATGTCAGATCACAACGCTTGTCAGAAAAGCACTGCTGGCTCATCTGCGTTGACTGGTATGCATGAAATCATGTATGATTTTAACAAGAAGCTTAGAAGGGGCTCTTCTCATGAGAATCGGTGGCACTCACCTCCCAGGAAATCTGAATGTGGTAAAATACATTTGCAGACACAGCGACTTCCGACACATACTGCACAGTGGCATTGGCAGGCCCATCAACAAACGTGCATGCCTTCATGTCGGGATAGCAGAGCCCTGTGACGGCCTCAGAGCATCCTATCACCAACATTGCGTCCCCCCTGCATATCCAGCTCATGTCTGCTTCACATTCTCCAAGAAAGTTTCTGTCATGCATACAACACCTGCAGATTTTGAAGGACGTCTACCTTCTGTCTTTGTTTCTAAGCAAATTCACAATGACAAAATAATGCACCTGTCTGTCAGGAGGCCCTCAGACCCGCAGTAGGACATGTCCACGGGATAGATGCTGCATTGTGGTGCTACCTCTGTACTCAGTGAGGCAGTGCAGCTTGGCTGCAAAGCACATGCTGTGGAGGAGACCTGGACAAGTGTGCTATTGGCCTCATAGGGATCACTAGAGGGCACGTAACCTCTAATTGTGATAGTGTCATTGCTGCCCTCCTTGTTGTATCGGATGATGTCCACGATCTGCCCACCTGCCCCCAAGTACTTGAGCCTCAATACATTATGGAAATACGTAGGGCTACATCTTACGTCCTGTTCGTAGAGGTTCGTACCAGGGTTGGTCAGAAAGCTATCGAATGCCACAGAAGCTTCCAGGGGCAACTTTTGTTCTGCTGCAAACCAAGTGATAGCCTGATCTGGGGGCGTTATGTAATCCCATGCAGCCGGTTTTGAGTTGCTGACGAATTTAATTGTTGGGCGCGCATCTGTTGCGGCAGCTAACGCCTGGATACAGGAAGATGCCTCAGAAGCCTAGGCGTTACACCAGCATACGAGTGCATGCAATCGCTCTGTAGGTAGTCAAAAGTTGCACGCGTTAGAAAGATTAATGAAAAAAAATTCTCAGATACACTTCGCACCGTAAAAAATAGCAGGAGGGCAAATGCCAGGCCTGTGAAGAACGAACCCATGGACGATTGTCGGTCGAGTTTCCCGTGAAGTCCGCTTGTTCAAAATTGACAGAAAAGAATCCAGCGAATATCAAGATCATTCAATTTATGATCGTAACAGTTTTGGGAACAGGAGAATAAGGATCGAAAGGAGACGAAGCCCATCATCTTCGTAGCTTCCAATGCACGAGAAGCTGGGATTAATTATTTTTAGGATGCCCATCATAAAAGGGTGAACCCTGATGAACCTCCCATGTCGCCATTTCTCAGAAATGATTTCTGCACATCCACCTCCTCAAATGGAATGAACATGTTGACTCTCGTATTTCAATTGCAGGAAATGTTCAGAATGCGATGGCCTGGTATGATATTGTGACAAAGTTATCCATATGACTTGAACTTCAGTACAGGGCCCATCACAGCAAGAAAAAATGTCGTTTGGCTTTGGAGGTGGGAGCCTGCAACATGAAGATTGGGATTCTTTTGGTGCAAGACTGAAGTGGCCCAGAAGTCATTGAAGACACTTTGCCAAGCAAGAGTGTTGGTGCTTTCAGGGGGCGGTTTTGGATTTGGAGCTTCACAGCCCGCGCAGTCTCCGTTTGGTGGGACTGCTGCTCCATTTGGGCAAGCACCATTTGGGCAGCAGCAACAGGTATGCTTGTCCAGCAAGTAACGGAAGCGATACATTCAGGTGGACAACTTTGTTGGTTATCCTCCTTTCATCCTTCAGGCTTACTCTTTCATCAAATGTAATATTCTCTTGCAGGCTTCATCGCCTTTTGGAGCGACAACCAGCACTGGGATTTTCGGCGCTTCTCAACCAGTACGCTCTTGCGAAGATCTCGTCTGATATATCCTGAAATCAGGGAGGTGTATAAAGCTGAATTGTCTGACTCGTGTGTGGGTGCCTAGGCGTTTGGTGCTTCTAGTGTGCCAGCATTTGGAGCATCAAGCACACCAGCATTTGGATCTGCAGGATTCGGGGTGCGCCTCTATTGTCATGGTTGAGCACATGGAATCAAATTTTAACGAAATAGACACAAATGACCTGATCAAGGAAGACTAATTGGAACATCAGCCATCTAAAGTACAATTTCATTGACCAGGCATCTCCCACGTCTTCTTTTGGGAGCCCCAACCCTTTCGGGGCTGCATCCCAGGTATGAGGGCAACCTTCACCATAAATAGTCAACATACACTGCAGCAAAGAAACGTTGTGGCCTATTCTAGTGGCAATCCGATCCAACTGTCTGGTGGTGCAGCCTCTCTTTGGGGCAGCATCCACTCCCGCCTTTGGAGCGCAGCCCAGCACGCCGACTTTTGGGGCAACCAGCACAGCATTTGGATCAGGGCAGCCAAATGCATTTGGGGGCGGTTTTGGAGCTGCCAGCACGCCAGCATTTGGGGCAGCAAGCACGCCAGGGCCCTTTGGTGCCAGTGCGCCAGCCTTTGGGTCGAGCACACCAGCTTTTGGGTCTGGTGAGTAACTCATCATGTCTCCCGGCAGGTGTAATTTTAACGCCTGCAGTTTTGGTCTATTGTGCCCCTCACTCTTACGACGAAGGCTTGAAAAGGGTTACCTTTTGCTGTGCAGGCTTTGGTAGCCCATCTTTCGGCGGTCAGGGAACCCGCGGAGTGCCACATCAGAAGACGCAGGAGGTTGACAGCAGCACATCGGGTAGTGCCAAGACCACAGTCTACTTCAACTCCATCAGCGCCATGCCCCAGTACCAGGACAAATCCCATGAGGAGCTCCGATGGGAAGACTACAAGGTGCTCTTCCTTTTCCTCAACAGGCTTGCGGTCATTCAATATTGCCTGTTTGGCATCTTTACTTGTATATGTCTGTTGGGGTCTTCACCATGCAGTGTTGCGCAGGCGGGCTGCAAGGGGAACACAGGTTCCGCGCAGCCAGCGCAGAGCGGGGTGTTTGGGCAGGCAGCCACGCCCTCCATCTTTGGCCAGAACCCCCAGGCCAGCTCGCCATTTGGGCAGTCCACGCCGACTTTCGGGGGCGGCGCCTCCGCGCCGGCCTTTGGCGTGTCCTCCCCTTCCATTTTCGGCTCACAGTCCTCGCCCGCTTTCGGCGGCGGAGGTGAGTCATCGTCGTGCCTGGGCACACTGAGTTGATGGCACTGTGTGTTCGCCAGGCACACCAAACAGATGAGCGGAAAGCAAGCGCCTGTGGTCCGGTGATGCAGGGGGCTTTGGGACGACATCCTTTGGGGCCACTGCCAGCGCACCCTTTGGGGGAGCTTCCACGCCAGCCTTTGGAGGGACCTCATCGTTTGGCACCTTTGGCTCTGCGCCAGCGTTTGGGCAGAGCTCAGGGGGCTCGTTTGGCTCGACCACCACATCCATCTTTGGGCAGCAGTCTACACCCGCCTTTGGCGGTGGCAGCGCTCCCGCCTTTGGCACAACGGGTGCCTTTGGCCAGCAGCCGGCGGCGCCATTCGGGTCCTCGCCGGCGCCGTTTGGGGCCAGCACTCCCGCTTTCAACCAGTCCTCATCGCCCTTCAATTTTGCCACATCTGCAGCCGCGTTTGGCCAGCCTGGCACATCGCCATCCCTCTTTGGATCCAGCCCAGCTTTTGGACAGACCTCCACAAATTTTGGAGGAGGCAGCCTCTTTGGGCAGACTGCGGCCAAGCCCTTCGGGGGCAACATGTTTGGAGCGACCTCGTCCCCGTACGGTCAGCAGCCGTCCCCTGGATTCGGCACGACGGGCGGCATCTTTGGGCAGGCCAGCACGCCTGCCATGAGTGGCAGCCTCTTCGGCAACATCCAGCAGTCGCCGGGCATGAACCTCTTTGGCCAGCAGACTCAGCAGCCGCAGCAACAGCAAATGATGGTGCCTGCTCAGCCACTCGGTGAGTTTTCTTTATCAGCCTTCTCTCCCTTGTAGTCTTGCCAAGCGCTTTTCATTCTGAGGTCTATGACTGCATGCATGCTGGGGCTCAATCATTGCTTCTGTGGCTGCAGGTGTGGCTGTGAGTCCATATGGAGTCCTGCCACAGGCACCGAATGTGGGCACGCCCATTCCTGAGTACAAGGGCGGCATTTCAGCACGGCCCCTGTCCGGGCTGGGGCCACCCAGGCCCACAGCCGTCATGGCTTCCCGCTCGCTCACGCCACGCTCTGGCATCCGCCTGCGCCCCAGCCGAGCCCGCAGTGTCTCGAGGTGCAGATCCACACCGCACCCAGGCCTTCAAAGATGTTCTGCATTTGCTGGGCTGGCCATCCGAGCTTACTCTAAATTGAAGAGCATTAGACCTGCTGGCAGGCTTTTATGTTGAACGAACTGTGTGCAGGGGCTCTTCCAGCCCTTCAGACTTCCTGTCGGAGGCGGACTCAGTCGCCAACGGCAGCGCCCACCCCAGCATCTTCCTGGCGCGCGACAACCCGCGCCAGTTCTTTGTGCGCGAGCCTCTGCCCTCCACCATCGCCTCCGCCACCTCCTCCCCGGCGGTTGCCGTGCCGCCGCCTTCCCCCGCCGCCAGAGCCTCGTCCTCCCGAAAGTCTCCAGCCGAGCGCAGCACGGGCACAGGTAACTCCTGCAACGCCAATGTCAGCATCGATCACGGATGTTCTGCCTGAACGGTGAGCCAGAAGCTAGAGATGTCGGGTGAGATGGTGTCAGGGATTGCATGGTGGCGGCAGGTGCAAATCGAAGGGGTGACGACCAGCAGCACGCCCGGACACAGGACGATGATGACGATCAATCTGGCCCGCCACAGAATGGGCGCCCATATGGAGATCAGCAGCTCACTGATGAAGAGGTGGGAGGAGTTTCCTGATACTGAATTGTTTGGATGGTGGTGGACTTTCTCTTCTCTTGCAGGCTGATGGAAGACTGTCTCTGACTGACAGGTGGCGCAGCTGTTGCCATCGGTGCAAGCAGAGGATTATTATGTGGAGCCATCGCTGACTCAGCTGGCGGCCATGGCGCGAGAGGACCCTGATGCCCTGGCCAGCGTCGCAAATTTCAAGATCGGCCGCCGCGGCATCGGCGCAGTGCGGTGGCTCACGCCCACTGATGTCAGGAGCCTAAATGTGGAAGGGACTGTGGCCCTCTCCCGTGGCAGTGTCGAGGTGCGACCTTGGGGCCTCTTCACATACTCACCGTGGCCTTTTGTTTTGCCAACTATGTTTCTCGCTGCATGCATATTGCAGCTGAGCTCCAGGCTTGACAAGAAATGTGCTGCAGGTGTACCTGGATGAGAATGAGAAGCCTGAGATTGGGGAGGGTCTGAACAAAGGAGCAGAGGTGACGCTGCAGAAGGTGTACCGCATCGACAAGGCCACCAACAGGCCCACCACGGACAAGGACGCCATTGCGCGCTTCGAGCGGAAGCTCAAGAAGCTGGCCGCCGATCAGAGCGCTCGGTTTGTCAGCTACGATGCAGACACCGGCACCTGGGTCTTCGAAGTGGAGCACTTCAGCAAGTGAGTCTTGCAATTGGTGGACACTGGAGACCATACCGAGACACCTGGAAAATTGCATCTGTCTGCTTAGACTTAAGAAAATCTCAGGGTTTCAGCTCACTTGCACCTACTAAGCCATTGCGGCTATTGATGTGCAGGTACGGGCTGGTGGACTCTGACGACGAGGACGCGCCTGCAGAAGGAGCTGCGCCGCCCGATGACCAGAGGCCGGCCAGCATTGACAACGAGGTCGGCGAGCCTGAAGGGGAGGGCATGCTGCTCAGTGCGTCACTCACCTGCGCCTATTTGCTGATAGCAACTGCATGCGCAATGGAAGATTCATCTAAAAAGAATTGGCAGCATCACGGTCCAGCTGGTGGTTCTGAGTAGGCGATGAGGAGGATGAGGAGATGGACGGTTACAGCCAGCACGGCACGGCGTTGCGTGGCGCAGATCGGGCGCTGGACATGATGGACGCTGATGTGCGCGGCGCCGCTGCATCGCCCGTGCTGCCGCTGGCGCTCAGCGCGCAGCTGGGCCTGGACCCTGCCGACCTCGTGGCCCTGCGCTCCGACTTCTTCCCACACACAAGTGCGCAGACAGCCCCCCAATGGTTCCTCCCCCTGCCTTGTGAAATTCAGGCACTGTGTACAATCCCTGTGATGCTCCCAAATGGCGGTGGGTGTCCCTGAAATGTTAAAAACAATCTGCAAGGGTCTTTGGTCATAAAGTGAAGTGGCCAACTTGTGCGCGCAGCTCCAGACCAGGGTAAGAATCTGATAAGGAGGAAGCGGGCACCATCGGGCGCGCCGGGCGTCAGCCCTGTTGGTGCAGCTCCTCATGCGGCAGCCAGGGCACCTGCGCCTGCCTTGGAGGCTCCCAAGGACCTGCCTGCACCGCAGTCGGCAACTCTGCCGAGCGCTGCCGTCCCTGCGGCGAGATCTTGGCGACGTCCTGCGCCTGCATTGCAGCCTCCAACCGCCACAGGTATGCAAATCGTCCATTGGGCACCCTTTACAGCAGAATTTTACAACAACAGGTGGCTATTGTAAAGGGGCTGGCCTATTAAGGTACAAGTGTTCACAGACTTGACGCTCCACAAGTGTGTTGCTTTGGGTGTATGTGGCCTGGTTTGTTGAGGGATGTCGCCCAATATTGCATTTGCAGGCGGAGCGACGGACAAGCGCCCTGGAGCTGACTTGGCAATGTCTGAGGGCGCAATAACGGCGGTGCACGACTCTGGGCAGCCGTTTGAAGGGGCGCAGCGGTGCATGGTGGATGCAGGCATCCTCCTGGGGCGCTCCTTCCGCGTGGGCTGGGGCCCCAATGGGCGCCTTGTGCACCCAGGTGAATGGCGCCGCTGCACCATGCATGCATCTGTATGGCTGCTACAACATTGCAATCCAACTCTCATGCGTGCGCGCTCGTGTTAAAAAGGTAACATGTCTAGCATTCACTAGAGTGTTGCCCTTCTTGGTGACATGGGAAAGTGGTGCGCAGGCAAGATGAGCGGTGCAACAGAAGGAGCGGCAGTGGTGATGCGCAGCCTGCCAGTCAACGAGGAGGTGCTGACCAAGGCCGCATCAGAGGCGTCCGTTGCATCGTTGAGGACGCGCACACGCGAGCGCTGGCGGCAGCTGCTGGACATCCATGCACGCCACAGCTCCCCTGTCTCAACAGTGCAGCCAGCGGGGCGCGAAGGCTTCGTTCCACACACGCGCCAGCATGCCCTGAAGTGCGACCGCGAGACGGAGCTGCATGCCCTCTGCTGCGAGTACCTCGTCACCACCAAGGACTTCCTGCAAAAGGTGTGCGGAGTTTGAACCGTAGCGCATGCATAGTGGAACAGGATCAAGGCCACCTCAGGCCTGTTGTGACCGTCACAAAGTCTCCTCAATGGACTCACCATATCTGACATTTGGAGATCGTTTAACGTGTGCGCAACAGACTCTGCAATTTTCGTGTGTGGCCCCGGCTCAGTGATCTCTGTGGTTGTGCTCACAGAACCGCGTGGACACTGATGGCTCAATGGAGGGCCTGGTGACAAAGCATGAGGTCTGGACATGGGAGCTCCTACATGTCCTATTCTCCCGCATTCAGGTTGCTGAAAAAAGCAAGGATGCCAATGCGCAGCCTGAACCAATGGTATGATGATTTGTGTAATCGTGCATGGCTTGCATTGTAGCAATTATCCAAGGGCGGCACCACCGCTTGAGCAGTGTTTGATTTTATATGCCTGGATGAATCAGAATTTTCTATAATGTGCTCCAAGGTATTCCGAATCTAATTTCTTTTCTGTGCTTGCAGGAGGAGGAAGGGGACAAGGATGAGGGACCTGGAGGGAAGAAGCGACGTCGTCTGCTCAGCTGCTGGCTGAGGGTGAGTTTTTCCCCCCTTTCTCCCAGACAAGACTTTGCAGCATATTATACGAGCTTTAATGGTATGGTGAAGCATGGGGCTGACATTGATAGCTTCATGTGGCAGGATCGTGCAAGGGGAGAAGTGGAGGGTGCACTGCAGCAGCGTGCAAGCTTGCCTGAGAGACTGTGCCAGCTGCTGAGCGGACAGCAGCTCTCTGCGGCGGTGGCGCTGGCCTCTGCCACTGGCGACGTGCGGCTGGCATCTCTGATCTGCCAGGTAATTCCTCAAGTGCTCTTGCGACACACAATATTGGCTATTTGCTGGCCTGAGCCAACATGACGATCAGTGGAAACGTTGAGGAGAAGAGAGGTGGTCAGTGTGAAGTTTTCTTGCTTGCGCAGGCTGCTGCGAAAGGGGAGGCGAGGGAGGCAGTCAGGAGGCAGTTGCAGACATGGCAGGAGGCGGACTTTGTGGCGCACATTGACAGGGAGCGGCTGCATGTGTACCAGCTGCTGGCCGGCCAGATTGATGCTGTGGCCCCGCACATGAACCTGGAGTGGCGCCGCGCCCTCGGCTTGCACCTCTGGTGCGGCTCCGCCATTGCGCCCATGCCTGGCAATGCTATGATTCACCGCTGCGGTAAGTAGAGACTTGTATCAGCATGTGACGTTAAGTCAAACGTGTGGTCACAGGTATGGGCAGAGTCCTGGGGTACCAGTGGGCCATGCGCTCCAGGCCTTCACTGCCTCGTTCCAGGCTGGTGTAGCGCCCCCACCACTCCCGCTCTACCTCGAAAGAGCGCCAGGGAAGCCGCAGCCTGCAAGGTAGGCTGTGTTTACTATCATTTGAAGAAGCATTAAACTGCCCCAGCCTTGGTGAGCCCCATATGAAGAGCAAAAATGAATGGCAACATGCCCCTCAGCATTCGTGTAAGAAGGGGGTGGAGACCTGTAGGCTCCAAGGGTGCATTTGCCAGTTGACAAGGCTGCAAGCCTGTGCATATTGGCCCCGGGTTCCGGCTGCAGACGGACCTGTGTATGCCCTATCGGCATACACAGGTCCGTCTGCCACTCGTAAAGATTATTATTATTATTATTTTGCCAGGAACCAGCCAAATGTGTGCCTATACTGCGGTGCAGTGATGCGGTGGACATCAACTTCCTGCTCCTGGAGCTCTTCTGTGGCGGTGCTACCGTGGCTGACGGCGCCTTCCTGGCGCAACTGCTGTCGCCCGCGGCAATCACGCCCGACCGCCTCAACCACATGCTGCCCTGGCTGCTCCTGCAAACGCTGCAGGCCATCGATGCTTTGCCCACTTCAGACCTGGCGCCCCAGGCACGTCCATCACTGCTTCTTCCTGAGTGTCTTCGCTGCAGCTCTGAAAACAGGAACATGCACGTGGAATTGTGACATGGACTTTTTGTAAAATGTGTGGAGAGGTTCTGAGAGTGGTGACTGCACCAGGTGTACGCGGTGTACGCGGGCCTGATCAGTCAGCTGGAAGCGATTGGGGGCATGGAGGAGTGGGTGCTGTACGTGGCGCAGCACCTGCCTGATGGCCCCGCGCCTGACTGGCAAGGCCTGCGAGACCAGCTGGTACGCCCCTCTTCGCATCTTTGTGCTGAGCGTGTCATGATACATGGGTCTACATGGTGTATGATGCGTGTGTCAGATGCACCCCGCCTGAAGTAATCATGGAGGAAAAAAAGGAGTGGAGGACTGAGAAAGCATGGATGCCTCAGGTGCAGCAGCTGCTGCTTCGACACGCACCTGCGCTGGCAACCTCACCGGACAAGCAGGCCTTTCTGCGCGACAGGCTGGGCCTGCCACCTGCCTCGATTGCTCATGCACTCATGCTCTGGGCCAGGTACCGGCGGGACACTGAAGGTAAAACATCCACCTCAATTGCAGGGAATTTATTTACATTCTGCTCTGCCCTTTTGAGCGTTTCGCAACAGCTGTACACCAATGTCCCCTGGGAGGGTTTGGATTTGTTCCAGCGTGAGGGCATCGATGCTGACATAACTGTCATATGGTGGCTTGCAGAGGAGTTCCAGCAGGCGGTTGGAGCAGAGGACTGGACCACGGCACATTCTGTGCTTGTCACACAGCTGGCTCCAGGATGGTGGTGCAGCAATCAGAATGGGCGGCTGCAGTCCTACTTGACGCAGCTAGAGGCCACTGCAGGCCCCGTGCAGGCTGCTGTTGGGCCTGCGGCATGGAAGGCTGGAGCCCACCTTTACTCCACCTACTTCAAATTGCAGGCAGGCACTTTTAAACATGCTCCCTTTCTGGTCGCAATCTATCAGTGCCTCTGTGCAAGCCATTTCAATTGCTGTAAATACTTATTTCATTTCCTGGGCTCAATGGCAGGACCTTCTTGATCAAGCAGAGGAGGGGAGAGGACCCTCACGCTTGCAGCTTGCAGGGGAGCTTGCTGCGCTGTTGGAAGCTGCCAGCTCCAAGCTATCCAAGGATACTCCTTCTGACAGCAAACTTTTCCAACAGGTCTGCGCATCATTCACTCACCACCTCTGCCGCTTAGGACGTTTGTACAGAGATGGTGTGTGTGCTATCACACGGGAGACCAACGGTTTGCATTTTGTCTGTTCAGGTGGTGCTTGGGAGCATGGCACAGAAGCTGGCATCGTTGCTGCTTGGGGATGGCGGCCTGTCTGCCACGGATGCATTGCAGCGCCAGCTGCTCAGCACCTCGGTCAAGGCCCTGCCGTCCGCCAGTCTCTCCCATCACTTGCATGTGGGGAGTTGCGCTCTGGGGGAGGTGCTGGTGTGACCACACTTACGTGGGCTTTGTGATCAGACTGGCAGGGAATGCTATGGTGCCACACAGTAGTGTATTACAAGCCATGATCCGGTGGAATATGTATGTCCTGTTACTCACTCGGCAAGAGGCCACTACATGGTGTCTTGCTCCCAGCCTCGCCATGCATTGAAATGACATCACGTCTCTATATAGACCATTAGTGAATGCAGAGAACACTTGTGTCTTTGACCTGTGAGCCAATGCATTTGCGCAGAATTTGCCTGTTCGTATGTGGCCCTTTTATTGGGTTGGCTGCTGTAAGTTCTGTAAATATCCAAATTACTTGACTTCTTTCATCTAGTACAACTGATGCAACTTGCATCGCCTGCTCTTCAAGACACTTTTAGCAAGAGTAATAATCATTAATGGAACTCAATATCCTAAAGAACACTGGCTCAAGCTTGCAATCCAAATTGCAAGTTGAGCAGATCCAAGATTATTGTTGAGCATCAAAAGTAGTTGTCATACATTGGTCAAAGTTTCGTGTCAATTTGCTTTTATACCGGTACAGGGACCTGTAGGGCAACAATTCTCTCTCGCGAAGATCTTCCCCCAACGCTTTTGCACTGATTCAGCAGCTACCGAGCGCTGGCATCCTGTTCTGCTCTGATGACTAGAGCCAACTGCTATATTTTGGATACACTTTGCAACGTGGGATCTGCTACTACTACACAGCTGTCACCACATGTCTTGCAACTTGTCTAATAGGCGCATAAGGACGAGGCATTTGGCCTTCAAGAGGTGCTTTCCTTAACTTGCTGTACTATCTCAGATCCGTGAAGCTCCTCCTGCAAAGCACAGTGGTGTTCAGAAGATTGCTGAGGCCTGATATGTGGGCAGGGCTGGGCAATTCCTTGTAAGACTTGTCACCTTTTTCACAGGTGCAGATGCACTTGTGTAAGCTCCGACCATAGAAGCCGTCAAATACACCCCCGTCATGACAGTTGCGAGCCCCAGAAATCCTGCAGCAGTGCAGAAGACAACCTTTAGAATACTATGGGAAGAGCCCATAGCTTAAACACCGAGAGAACCAGTGATGATAAACTGTTTCAGACCTGTTGTGAGTTTGAATGCAGCATCTCCTGCACCCATGGTGCTGTAAAAAGGCGAAAGCTGTCAACAGATCTAAGTTGATCAATTTTGATCTGCGGAAAATTTGGCATGAACTTTCAGACGTGGATGCAGAACATCAATGCAGCATATTCCCCATCAGATTCTTGACGCAGAAATGAACGTTTCTGAGGAGAGAACAATTGTCGAGCAAGAAACGGAGACATTTGAGTGCGCACGTCATCATGTGACTGCCATTCACGGCGTTCCTTCCTGTCTCCCAATCATGGCTTTTTCTCGACATTTTTGATCAGACGAACGGGCAGTAAGAGGCAGGATTTGATTGTTATTTGGCGCTGTTGAACGGAGAATCCTTCCGGCCATGCAGAACTTGCGCAACGTCAAGTTGCCTGCTGGGAACGGTGCTGGCAGGCTGGTCCAGGCTGTGCTGTTTGGTGGCGCTGCGATATACGGGGCTTCACAGAGTTTGTTCAATGTGGAGGGAGGTCATCGCGCGATCGTCTTCAATAGGATCTCTGGCATCAAGGACAAGGTGGGCCGATGGCTCCACAGCTGTTGGAAGCTGCCACTAGCATGTTGAGATGCATCAGCAATATTGTGTATGAATAACCTTGAAAACTTCTCTGAATCTATATATATATACTTAAACTCAATTTTCTAGGCGTCCTGGAGGCTGACGGTGGCTAGTTGCAGGTCTATGAAGAAGGCACCCACCTTATGATTCCTTGGTTCGAGTGGCCGTACATCTACGATGTTCGCGCTCGTCCAAACGTAATCCAGAGCACTTCAGGATCTCGGGATTTGCAGATGGTGAGTCCTACAACCTAAGTATTCAACAAGCACTGCCTCCTTGCTTTGGCTGTCATCACACTGCAGGACCAGCAGTAACTTGGAGCTGATTTACACAGGTCAACATTGGCCTTCGAGTGCTGACGCGGCCAATGCCTGCGAAGCTGCCAGAGATCTACCGCACACTGGGCACAGATTACGCAGAACGTGTGCTGCCATCCATCATCCAGGTCAGTCTTCTGAGAAGCATGATGAACACGTGGCTGTCATATCTGTAAGCAAAATATGCTGCCTGAAGTGCCAAGGTATGCTGAAGTATCTGCACTGTGTTGTTCCAGGAAACTCTGAAGAGTGTCATTGCTCAGTACAATGCCAGCCAGCTCCTGACGATGCGTGAGGTACGATTGCAGTCTTCCTGCCTACCAAAACTTCCAGGTTGTCTGCGCGTGCTGCCCTTCATCCGTTGTTGACACCTGCTTGACAATTGTTGACGCCATGCAGGTTGTCAGTAGAGATATCAGGACCCTTTTGACCCAGCGTGCCCAGTACTTCAACATAGTTCTAGACGATGTGTCCATCACCAACCTGACCTTCAGCAGGGAGTACACAGGCGCAGTTGAGGCCAAGCAAGTGGCACAGCAGGACTCAGAGCGTGCCAAATTCATTGTAAGTTGCCAACTGTCTTTCGTTGCATTTCATGACTGACATATATCTAGTTGCCTTTTTTCATCCTTACTTCTGTGCAGCACTTAATTTTGTTGGTTCACAATGATAGGTGGAGAAGGCTGAGCAGGAAAAGCAGACCGCCATTGTCCGGGCGCAGGGAGAAGTGAGTTTACCGCCTGGAGTCAAACATTTGCTGATTTGCTTCCTTTTCTAATGGTAAACGAGGAGGATGTTGACTCAACGTTCTGTGGTCCACAGGCGCAAAGTGCGAAGCTCATTGGTGACGCCATCCAGCAGAACCCTGCATTTCTCACCCTCCGAAAGATTGAGGTATAGGCTTGAAACTCCCTGTCTTTTTGTGGGAATAGGGTTCTGTGGCTTCCAGCTAAGTACTAAACTGTCAGCCTGGTGCGCATGTAGGCCGCTCGTGAGATTGCAAGCACCATCGCTGGCTCTAGCAACCGTGTGCTGCTCAATGCAGACAGCTTGCTGCTCAACCTGGTAAGTGACATTGCCGCCAAAGCATCATATCTCTTTGCACCCCTGCTGCTGTCATTCTGGTTGTGTCGTCTGGTTGGTCTTTCAATTGATCAAATTTCTTTGCGGTTTGCAGGACAACATCACATATGATCTGAAGAAGGCAAAGTGAGCTCAGACTCCAGTGAGGGAGGTAGTGCAAGTGAATGTTCTTGCGGCAATCTTTCGGAAGTACCCTCGTGTAATTGCAGCATCATCTGTTGAGATTCTGTGTCCTCGGCAGTGCAGTACGAGATTGTCTCTTCGCATGTGAACTATTCATTGCAGACTTCTAGATGTGTTGATCAATCTTTCTAGTGAGTCAATACACGATGTAAAATTCGTGCTTAGGTGATGTGCCAAATACTATGTGCGCGTACTTGTAGCTGTTCTATTTGCAAAGAGGCATGGCCATCCCAATCACAACCAGAAGGGTCTCAATGGAGAGCAGTCTCTTCGGACTGATCATTCGGCCGGTAGTCACACAGTACCGATGTAGATCACAACGGGGCAGAGGATCATGCTTTATTACTGTTCCTGGAATCGGCTACAAGTTCTCTTTCTTGCCCTCTTTCTTGCAATCCTCGATCTTCTGACTCTGCATCTGCTGCTTCACTCTCTGCTGAATCCTTTCCATGCAGTGTCACTGGCACATTTGACTCACGCTGCTGCTCCAAGCCTTCTGCACCAGTGTCTGCCGATGCAGCTTCTTGTGCACTGCTTTCTGCAGGCTCGCTGAGAACACGCTGCCGGGCTTCACTGAGACCTTCTGATACAGCATTCTGTAGCCTCTCATCTGCATCGCCTCCAATATCTATCGCCTCCTTCAATTTGGCCCTTGCCTGCGGAATGGATGGGTATGATCAGCAATGCCATCGCATAAAGGCCGATGCAATAACGTTATTGCAGGTCAACCTTGTCACAGTGGCATGACTTCCGTATTGGAAAGATGCTTGAAGGGTGTACCTCCTGACTTTTCCGTGCTAACGCCAATGCTTTGTTTGCTTTAGAGATTGCCGGGAAGAATTTGTCATTGTTCTCCACCAAGACTGTGCCAACAAACAACCCAGCCGCTCCCAAGATGCAAATCAGCCAGATCCTCCCCTTGTCAATCTTCTGCTGAGGTATTGCTCTGGCAAGGCTCGAGACAGTAGCGGGTGGTATCGTCTGCGCATTCAATCAAAAGGCATTAGTTTAGGGACGTCGCATCCTATAAGCTCCAGGAGTGGCACAAATACTGTGACAACTGTGGGGAGGAAAGCAAATAACATTCACCTCGAGCTCAGCCCAGGCTGGCGGTGTGAACTGTGTCAGAGCGATTGCTGCAAGCGCTGCTCCTCCAATCAGGGTCGAGATTATCTGTTCCTTTAGTACCTGCCAATTTGGCTCATTCTCAACATGCCATCTTCTCTGCACGAATCTTAAATGCAGAAGGCCCCAATTTATCTATTTACAGCTCTCAGACAATGCATTTTTGGAAAGAGACTGACCCCTCTCCTACTTGCATCGCTTCGAGGGCGAACCGATCTTTGTCGGCTGCACGCTGATCTGTTTGAGTAAGATGTGCCAAGCACCAGGCGCGATACGTTGCTGTGCAAGCTACTTCTCATCCCCTGAGAGCATCTCGGAAGAGCAGCACGTCGACAGATGCATTCCATACTTGTCGGAGGTCTTTGATTTGTTGTAGTTCTTATTTAGCTGTCTATTCTCAAGAGCACATTACCTGTTTTGAGGGGAGATGGCTTGGAGATGGACACCCGATAAGAGCAGGTTACCCGTTCGGCAGCGTTCGCTGGCGTTCCCGATTCAGCAGTGGCAACGGCAACGGCAGCATCAGTTTTCATTGATTGTCCTAAACGTGACTCGATAAGCTCGAGTACTTTTACACAGTTTGACTTTACAAGCATCACGGCCAAGCAAGAGTGCAAGATCTACTCAGGACCCCGTTGGTGTCGTCGAATATAGTCTTGATCACACTATCCGGAGAGCCTATCGCAGGGCAGCCAGGACGTGTCACACGCCGAAATGGCTCGACTGAATCCTCTGCAAGTGTAACTTTTCATCGTTCACAGTGAGCAGAAGTCAAACACTCTTTTCTCGGATCGGAGGAAACAATGCAAGTCCCAGTTGCTGCCGTTCTGAACGCAAATACCAAGAGGGATACAGGGAAGAAAGCACAACATGGAAATATCGCTGCAGCAAAGGTTCGTGTGTTCCTTTCAACTCTTCATGACGACCAGCTTGTCTTTAAAGCAAAAGGTTGAATGTTGATCATCACTTCTCCGATTAGAACTTTGTTGCAAATGTTGCCATGCAGGCCGTTGCTGATATTGTGCGTACCACGCTGGGTCCACGTGCTATGCTAAAGATGTTGCTGGACGCCAGTGGAGGTGCGAAAGTTCACGCCAGATCACCTTGCACAGGACTTGCGCAGGCTTATAGGTCTGACTGGATATGTGACATGCAGGGATAATCTTGACGAATGACGGCAATGCTATTCTTAGGGAGATTGATGTCGCCCACCCTGCAGCAAAGGTGATAGCTTGTGTCTCCCACATCCTGGGGGCAATGGAGGCACCGATTGCGCTGCTTGCCCTCTGACCATTCTGTGATGTTGATGCATGCAGTCCATCATTGAGCTGAGCAGGACACAGGACGAAGAAGTGGGGGATGGCACAACATCTGTGATTATCCTGGGTGAGCCTTCCCTGCAGCATTTGCAAATGTTCAGGGCTTGTGTGGATGATGGTGGTAATACAATGATGGACTCTATTGACACTCTATTGAACTGCCTGGTCTACAGCTGGAGAGATGCTGCATGTAGCGGAGCCCTTTCTGGAGCGCAACCTGCACCCCACAGTCATCATCCGCGGCTACGTCAAGGCGCTGGAGGACGCCCTGTCAATTGTGGATGAGCTGGCGTTTCCCATTGACACCAATGACCGGGAGCAGATGCTCAAGATTATTGCTTCATGCATAGGGACCAAATTCACCTCACGCTTTGGTACTCTCATGCCGGTAAGACCTTGTGCCATTCACTCGTTGAGGATTGGTTGTTGTGGTCTGTCCTGCCTTTGCCTGTGACCACTGGTTGATCAGATCATTGCATGTTTTTCTGTACGAAAGCAATTTTAGATTTCCCTGGGAAAGGGAGCAGTGCAGCCTTAGCGCGCACCATGTGACTGGTAGACAGGCAGGCAGTTATGATGCCGTACGTACGGTTTGGATGAGGTACCAACGATATCATTGGATCTGTCCTGCAGGAGCTTGCGCTTGATGCGGTGAGCACGGTGGCTGTGAACGAGCCGGGCAGCAAGCGGGAAATCGACATCAAGAAGTATGCCAAGATAGAGAAGCTGCCCGGCGGTTCCATAGAGGACTGCCGCGTGCTCAGCGGCGTGATGTTCCAGAAGGATGTGGTGGCGCCCGGGCGCATGCGCAGAAAGATTCACAACCCGCGCGTGCTGCTGCTGGACTGCCCCCTCGAATACAAGAAGGGTGAAAATCAAACAAACGTGGAGCTCTCCAGGGAGGAGGACTGGTAGGCCTCTTGTCTTTTTTTTCAAGAGCGAATTTTTTCAAGCGAGATAAGGTCATGCCGTGCCTGGCCCCTCATCCCTGGGGATCATTGATTTGGCTGTCTGGTCCAACTCTCCCCTGAAGTGCTGGCGCCTTGGCTCCAGGGCCGCGCTGCTCAAGCTGGAGGAGGAGTACATAGAGCGGCAATGCCAGGAAATTGTCAAGCACAAGCCAGACCTGGTGGTCACAGAGAAGGGTCTGAGCGATCTGGCCATGCACTTCCTCACCAAGGCGGGCATTTCTGCCATTCGTCGCCTGCGCAAAACCGACAACAACCGCATCGCTCGCGCCACCGGCGCCACCATCGTGCACAGGTTTGCATGCTGTTGAGCCAAGCGGCGGCGACTCATTGCAGGCTGGATCACTTGCAATGGTGAGGTGCCAATAACCAATACTGCAAAGCTGGCCACCTGTGCTTCTTGGCTTGAAACCAGTGCATTTTTTTTGGCTACAGAGTGGAGGAGATTCGGGACACGGACATCGGAACGCGGGCGGGCCTGTTTGAAGTGCTTAAGATTGGGGACGAGTTCTACAGCTTCCTGGTGGACTGCAAGGACCCCAAGGCTTGCACAATCCTGCTCAGGGGGGCCTCCAAGGACGTCCTCAACGAGGTAGACCTCTTTCCACCATGTAGTTTTTTCAACGACCAGGGAGAGGAGAGGGGGTCAGGGTGAGAGGGAGAGGGAGAGCATGGGCCTGAGGGTGGTGTGCGGCTGCGGCAGGTGGAGCGCAACCTGCACGATGCGATGGGAGTGGCGCGCAACGTTCTGATGGACCCGCGCCTGGTGCCGGGCGGGGGCGCTGTGGAGATGGCCATCTCTCGCGGCCTGGCCGACCGCGCCGCCTCCCTCCAAGGCGCCGAGCAGGTCCGCTTATCTGCCACAGAGTGGTGCAAGACATGCCTGTGACATGCCTCCCAGCATCTTTACAGGTTGGCTGGCTGTGATACTGCGCGTGTGCGCCTGACAGGGACCGTACAAGGCCGTGGGGGCAGCGCTGGAGGTCATCCCACGCACGCTCGCCCAGAACTGCGGCGCCAATGTGATCCGCACGCTGACCAAGCTGCGCGCCAAGCATGTTGAAAAGGCCAATTCCACCTTTGGCATCGATGGCAACAAAGGTAAGTCTCAGTGCACCCGCCAACCATTTTGGGCCAGAGCGCGCAATCGCCTCTTGTGTGCAAAACCCCAAGGGGAAGAGCAGGGCAAATGGCAGCATGCGTGGAAGAATGTTTCAATCTGAAAGCGCTGTCGGCATGCGCCTATATGGAGTCTTTGTGACGGGAAGATGCCGCCTGCAGGCGTCATTGTGGACATGAAGGAGTTGGGAGTGTGGGAGCCATTTGAGGTGAAGGTGCAGACCATCAAGACGGCTGTGGAGAGTGCCACACTGCTGCTGCGCATCGACGACATCGTGAGCGGCATGCAGAAGAAGAACAAGATGGCCCCCGGACAGAGCCAGGCGCCCCAGGTCGAAGACCCTGACGCGGTATGCCTCCATTCGCAACAACCTTGTGCATGATACATCCGCTTGCACCTGTTTTTGCTGCGCATCTACCTCCATCTGTGGTGACTGCACAGCGAGTTGTGTTGATGGCAGTATGTGTGTGCATGCAGGTTGACTCGGAGCAGATGATTCAAGAGTGAAGAGGTGGATAACGTGTGCCTGAATTGCTTCAACTTGAAGGTTGATTGGCGCCTCACCGCTTTGGGAGCATCTTTCTTGAAGACTTTAAGCATGGACAGTGCAAAAGCAAGGCGTGGCACCCTTCAAGGAAGTCTGCTTGACACCAGTGCTTTGTGCTTGAAAGTGGCATTTGACTTCATGCAAGAATGACATTGTGCTTGTCTTAATTGATGCTGCATGCAGCTGCTCAGCAACCGGGAAATTTCCTTGCAAAATTTATCATCACTAGATTTGACTCTGAGTCATGATCAAGCTTGAGCAGTGATGAAGAAGTGATGAAGCTGGTTCAATGTAGCTGCTACACTCAATTGACTGGCAGATTCCTATCATAGGAATGATTCCTTGTAGTCAAATTTATAGATTGGCTTTGGCCGAAGTTTAGCCGAAACCGGGGGTTTCGGCTATACCAGGTGGAGTAACTCTAGGAGAAGTTCTCCTAGAGTTACTCCCCCTGGCTATACCTCGGCCGTCCGACATTATTATTATTATTATTCCATGGTCGGCAAACCCAAAGCCAGAGGCCATAGGGCATACACGCAGGGCGTCTGCAGCCACATCTGCGGGGCCTACAGTAGTCTGCAGCCTATCATGATCATGGATACTCACACATCGTATCTCAAACATGAACTCTCTGCATCGGATTAGTACCCTTCAAAGATCCGATGCCTCTGGCCTGCCAGCAACGCTACACCCGGTGGGTGACGTTGAGGGTATCATGCAGGAAAACCCAGAGTTGGGCAGACAAGTCAAGGATATGCATGTAGTCATTCTCACACGATACAATGCACACCACTAAAACAGACCGACATATGCCCTATTATTCGAAATGTTATCGGGGGAACAGTCTTGCAGTACGCATGCGGTCACAAAGTGTGACTCAAAATTCTGGCCGCGGCGGCGGCGGCAGTAGCAAATAGCGCTACACGCGGCGTGCACACTGTGCCTGGGCGGCCGGTAAATGGCACCTGTCAGTGTACCGTACACTGTGACAGGCGGCCGCTATAGCGGTAGCTACCGCTATTTGATCATGATGTTTATGACACATGATTGTCGTTGTCTGCGCGCTTGTCCAATTTTCATATCGTGCATGCAGATTATCGTGGCTGGCCTCCATCCCAGGTTCACTCCTTTGCTGCAAGCCTGTACACATGCCACAGTGTGCATATCGGCCCCGGTTTTCAGCTGTAGACGGACCTGTGCATGCCCTATGTCCCTCTGGGCTCTGGGTTCGCCACTCATAAAGATGATGATGATTATTATTATTATTGTTATTTGCCGACATGCATGTCCGCGTAATCAAAGAACATGTCCGACTCCAGTTTAGGCACAGTGGGCTGTGGTTGGAACGCCCCCCGATCTCTGCCTTCGCACATGACCGTTGGGACCGTTGGAGTCCACCTCTCTTGAGCTCTCGTTCTTGTTACCTTCTTATACAGCTTGATGACAAGATCAAGATCCCACAACATAATTTCGTTTCATCGGTAGGTGCGCACGTCAGCCTCAGCGGCTTTTGGGACATCGCAGCCATTTCCGGCAAGTGCACAATGACCTGCCTTCTGTACGCAACAGAAGGGCACTTCATCAGGCTCATCGAGGTGCGTTGTACAGGTCCATGAAGTTGTTTACCATCCATTTCGCGCATACGTCGTGTACACGTCTCATGGTATGAAATTGAAGTCCGGCAGCACGTTATATTCTTGCTACATGATCTCTATGCAGTGATTTTCCTTCACTGTCTTGCACCTCATACACACCATCCCATGTATACAGATGGATCTGATGGCAGTATTATGCTGTTAGGCTCCCCAAGATGGAGAACCTCTGGACCTCTTAGCTAACCGTCTCCATCTTGGTCTTGGGCAGCTACTGTACCTTCAGAAGAACAACAAGGCGATGAAAAAGGTGGTTATCGTGGAAAGGTTTGGAATCTGCGCATCAGACACGCCTCATCACAGGCAAGTCCACATCTGTCTGTGATGGTCATGTGTTGTAGGCGTCAACAGGTGATACTTGTTGAATGACCTTGGCCTGTGTCAATGTACGATGTTTAAACACGTATCATGTGGTGGTCCAAGAAGATGCTGTTGAACGTGTGCCAATTTTATTCTGCACAGCAACCCAACTGCTGAGCTGCCCATGAAGCCGCCCAGTGTGGCAGTAGCAGTGAGCAGCAGGAAGGCGAATCTGCTTCGGGTATGTATTTAAATATTGCCGATGATCACTTAGCTCTGAAACATGTGTTCATTATGTATAGGAAACTTGCGTACTTCAAGTGAAGAGTGTATGACAAGATCTTGTGCCGGTGTGCAGGCCACTACGTGCCACACACAAGCCGAATTCTTAGGTCAGTCCATCAGCAGATTGCGCGACAGGTCCCAGCTCACAGCACTCGCAATGGACAAGCCGGAGACAGATCTGCAGATGCTCTCTGATCGTGAGGAGTTCCAAGACCGCCTGTTTTGGGGGCGCCAGCGTGGCTTGGCCATCGTCTTTGCTGCAGAAGCTGGCTCTTCCGATGAGAGGTCAAGCTCAACTACCTAATCAGAATGATGATAAAACTGGCAATTGTCAATAGTTGACCTGGTAATGCCAAATGAACAGGTCAATATGCAATATCTTGTGTGCTGCTCCTGACCAAACTGACTCAGTTGGACTCACTGAAGCTTGTTTTGCAGGGTGTGTCTGGACATAGTCTCTGTCGACCTCAGCAGTCCAACGAAAGCAGCCATCGAAGAAAGTACACAGAAGGATGACCAGGAACCAGGTGCAGGCCACTCAACAGGCAATGCCGCCAGCGAAGGGCGGTTGCCAGTAGCAGACGAGGCCACAGATCGCACTGACTCCTCACACAGTCACTGCATCATCACTGCTGGCAATGGGTTGTACTTGGAGAAGCTAGTAATCGATGAGGATGCAGCATCAGTCGAGGGACCTCCAACGCCAGACAATGAGGATTCAGGCAGAGTGAGCATGCCAGCCACCAAGCGGCAGCGAGTTTCCACATCCTCACCCTCAGCTTTGGCAGCCTCTTTTGCCAGAGCACTTTTTTTGCTCTGAATGAGTCATGATCGGGTCACCCAGAGTACTGTGAACAGAGGTCATCCGTGTCCGCCAGAATTGCAAGAGATAATGACAATGAAGAGGATTGCGTGTGTCTCGGCTGCAGCTGTCATCCTTAAAATGTTTCGCTTGATTTTGCAAAAGCATCTCAGTGCTTGCTTGGTCAATCAAGTTAACACTTCACCTCGCTTCTCGCTTTGCATTTGTTGAACATACATATGTCAAGTTTTATGATCAACTACTTATGCCAATATGCGCTGCTGTGCGCAACGCCGCACAAATGTTGTACAAGCAAGTTTATGGATTTTGAACCCTTTCAAAGCACTCAGGTGTCCTCAAACTCGTAGCTTCCTGGATACAAAAATTCCAATGTGTCTCAATTTGATTGTGATCCAGATCCCTGAAACAATTTCACAATCTCTGTGGTACCGCCGGCCAGCGCAACAAGGTAGGCAAATCCTTCTATAGTGCCCAGAAAGACTCCCTGCATAGCACCAGGCAGTTCATCAAGGACTGCCTTGCCACAATAGGACCAACTGCATATGCAGCATGTCAAGAGGCATGCAGTACATTTCCTCCATGTCACAGCTTTGCATGTTCTGATGCTTCCCACACACAAGATAAATGCCAGTCTCACAGTTTTGTCAGCCACCGTTGAAATGCATTGTGATGTTCGCACCGGAAGACCCTCCCCGGTTGCAGCTTTTGTGACGAGTGAGACTCCCACCACAGGCAAAGCATAAAATTTCAGGAGTGCTGGAGTAGCAGCGGCCCAGGCTGCAGCAGCATCGCCTGCATCTACTGCCTTGAAGAACCTCACCCAGTTGTTGGCTGGCGCACGCGTGCTGGGCTTTAGCAAGCTACGCACAACTGCAGCCGGCTCTACATCCCAGGATTCTATGTGCTTGATCACTCTGCCAGTCTCCTGCAGCATGAAAGATATTAATATTCCTGATGAGTTTCATGAAATCATGAAGAATTTGGCACGCGCAATGAAGCAGGAGTTTGGCAGTGCTGATTAATGGAAGGCAACAAAGCCAAGAGCACTGTTGCATGAAGGGTACTGGCAGCCCCTTACTTGGCTGAAGACATGGGTTGTCCCCCCTGATGCTGCCAGGCGCGGCCTCCATGGCAGCGAGAGGACAGCACTGAATCTCCACTTAGTTTCCAGTGCCTCCTCAGTCTCTTTCCAATCCAGCATATCCAACTTGATGTCCTCCCTGTGCAACATGGTGCTTGCATCATGCTTTTCGTCTGAAGTGGCAGCGGACCTAGGTTCACAAAAGCTCTTTTGACAAAGCAAGCACAGCAAAGAGCGTCCTCACATCAGCGAGCCAAGATTGCTGACATTCTTCTTGAAACGCTCCACCCCATTGAAGCCCGCAAATGGGTCTGCGAAAAGGCAGTCGCTTTCATATGCTGACATCTCTCCTGTCAGGACACAGTATTGCCCCCGTCAAAATTGTTGGCAACCAGCTTGTACTTTACAAAATTAAGCTGGCGAGACGGTAAGTACCCACCTCTGCCACTGACAAAGTAGTTGCAGTCATAATCTTTTCTTATTGCGGCCACTGCGTCTGCTCTGTTGCATATCTCCTGCAAGGGTCAGCTGTCATCACCAAGGCACGGCAGATGCTTCTACATTATCTTGCCTTCCAATTCTGTCTTGCTGATGGCTTAGACAAGACCAAGACCAGGCGCACACAACACCTTTCGATCACTCTGAGTCTTCTCTTCTTTTTTGGCTTTAGTGAGGCCAATCAAGTTCCCAAATCCTTCCGCCCCATACCAAATGGCTTTGAGCCCCAGCCCTGAAAGCACAGTCATCTCATCACACCAAACATCCAGCAGGCATGCGAAAAGAAGAGCTCTCCCTACAAAAGTGTCTGAGACCTACCTGGATCAGGATCTTCTCGCTTCTCTGCTTTGATAGCGATTATCCCGTGCCTTCTCCTAGTGCTCAGGTTGTTAGGGTGTGCGGCAGTGAAGGGGTGAGCATGGCCTTGACGCATGACATAAGGTGACATAAGGCCTTTGAGTGCAACAAAGATGGGTTTGCGGAGAGGCAATGTGTTCTCCATTTCCACTTGCTCACTGTCCAAGGATCTCCGAATTTGCTGTCAACACGGCAAAATGTCTTCTCCACGTGAAAACCAGTGGTGAGAATCGATTGTTTGGCACACCAATCCACCCGAAATTCACTCCAGATCTTGTTTGGTGCCTGGTAGCTCGGTGTCTTGCCTCTCAGCTGCACAGATTCCTTCTGACCAAGTCAATATGAACTGGGACAGAGCGCGAAGCGTTCGATGCGTGGAGAGTTATTATTCAATCAGAAGTTAGAGCAAACTTTCTGGCTGATTTCCTTCCGCCCAGACTGGTCCTCTGCTTCTTAGAATCGCACGTGCTCATGCTGACGTCTCCAGCTGGCTCATGCACGTGCCGCGTTCCTTCTGTTATGTTGTGTCCGCTGCTTGCATGTTGCTGCAGAACTATTGCCTACATTCCCAAGATGTTGAAATAATCATGCATGGCGCTGGCTTCGTGTTTGCACCTTTGGGCTTTCCAAATTCGACACGTCAAGGTCGAACAGATCAATTACAGCCGACGGGCGCTTGTGAATGTGCTCAAGAACGTACACAGAGAAACATCCTACAAGATCCGACACAGCTGCTTGCTTGCGAGACCTTGCCGGAGCATTGGTACAGGCAGATCGATCCATGTATTTCCTGACCCGACGGAGCAAAAGTGGTCCCCAGAGACAAGAAGTGGACAATTGAAGGCACTTAAAGTATATAATTCATGCAGGAGCAGGAGATGTCGAAGGCAAGTCAGAGGACAAAGATGTTCAGCAAGGGTCACAAACCAGGCAAGACGAGGCTTTCATGTCTATGGCCCTAAAGGAGGCCAGGCAGGTACTGACGGCAACCATAGTTGCAAATGTACAAGGTGTGATTCTGATGCTGTTCAAGACAGAGGCATGACGGTTGCATAGTCCCAGCGGTTTTATGCTCCCATGGGATTGCAGGCCGCCCTAGAGGATGAGGTACCCATTGGCGCAGTTCTTGTTCTCGACGGGAAGGTACTAGCAAGGGCGCATAACAAAGTGGAGGCCTATAAGGATCCTACAGCTCATGCAGAGATGCTTGTCATTCGAGAGGTGACTGCCTCCTGCGCATGTGATCATTGGACCTGTGTCAATGTCTGTCTGTCGATTAGCATTAGCCCATCTGGTTGCGTAGGCTGCGGCACAGCAGCAGGGGCGGTGGTACTTGCGGGATGCCACTCTGTATGTGACACTGGAACCCTGTGCCATGTGCGCTGGAGCCGTCCTGGTATCTCGTGTGGGTGCGGTAGTATATGGAGCCAGAAACTCACGACTTGGGGCAGACGGGAGCTGGACAAGGCTCTTCCCTTATTGTGAGGGTTCACTAGCAGAGAGCGGGGGTGAGGAAGGTTCACAGCGGTGGCCAGGGTCTCCACATGCAACTCATCCAGACCTGCAGGTGCGACTGTTGATGCGAAAAGATTCCGATGAGTCTGCAGCTTTGCTAAAAAAGGATGGCATGCCATTGGTTGCATATGCCCTGCCTCAAAGGTGTGTCACATGCTCAGGCATGATTGCAGGTCAGACGAGGCGTACTGGCAGATGAGTGTGGATTGGTTGTCCAGCAATTCTTCCAAAGACGAAGATCCGAGAACAAATTGACGAATTAAGCAAGGAAAATCCTGCCCTAACTTCACAAAACATCTTTACAGGAGATGATGGCAGCGTCGTTGACAATTTGAAATAATCATCGTTTTTCACAGAAAAAGGGAATGTGGCCATACCCTTTCAGAACCCACTTCTGTGAGAGGATCCATGCCAAAGAGTGCAGCAGGGCAAGACACAAGAAAAGCAGCCCTTCCCTCTGTGGCGCTCGCATTGGTTTCATGTCTTGCAATCTTTCTTCACTTCAAACGAAATCGGACAAGCTGGACTTCAAACATTAGCATGTCTATTGCACGTCCCACTTCCTCCTCCGTGGACCCTCTGACTGCTTCTGTCTGTCCCCCTGGTTGCTTGCATGCGACCTGTGGCGATCCGCACTGTCGGGCTCGCGCCGCCTGTCGTGGTCTCTGCTGCCACTGCTGCGATGGCGGTCATCATCGCGGGCGCTGCTGCGGCTGTCCCCATCCATCTGTGCAATGGCGGCTGCCCAGTGAGAAGCGCTGCCCCCTGCCTGGCCTGCCGGCTGAGCGGCACCACCGCGGCTGTATCCCCCGTCCTGCGCCCCGTAGCTCCTCTGTGCCGGCGTGCTGCTGTGTGAGGCATGCCCGCCCCAGCGCTGCTGATTGCCGCCACTCTGCATTGCTGGCGGCTGCCCCGGGCGGCCACCGCTGTAGCCCCGACGGCCAGCCAGCGCATCCTCGTTCAGCTTGTCGTAAGAGAATGGCTGCGCAGAGGCGGTCGTTGATCGGCCACTGCTGACGCCGCCCCACTGGTTGCCAGGGTATTGAGTGGGCGGGAGAGCAGTGCTTTGCTGGGCATAGCTGCCTTGTGGAGCGGCCACTGGCTGGGCAGCCCCTGACAACCGGGCCGCAATTGCCTGAGCGGCGGCGATGGCCTGTTGCAGTCATAGCAGCTTCCCGTCAGTACCGCAGTTCCACTCGGGACAGGGTCGCATAAGCACTCCAATTGAAAAAGGAGAGTGGAGGCACTGCAGAACCCACCGCTTGCACAGATGCATTGCTTGCAGCACTATGGGCTGGTACAGCGGGCACCACAGGCGGCGGCGGAGGGAGCACGACTGGCTGCGTTGATGCGACGCGAGCAGCGACAATTGTGGGTTTCTGTCCGATGTCACCTCCCGTGATGCCGGACGTGACAAAGGAGCTCTTGAACTGCTGTGTGTGCATGGACTTGAAGCCGCCTCCTCCCCATACGCCTCCCTGCAGGCAGGAAAAGTACATTGATGTTCGAGGGTTTGCAACTTTGGTACAGATGCACAGCACTCTATGAGGATAGGTAAGCATGAGCTCAACTAAGGCTGTATGTGTCTGTAGATGGTGCATTTTAACCTGTTGCTGAGGCGTGCTCTGTGGAAACTGCTGAGTGGTGCCTCCGCACTGTCCTGCTGCAGCAGGAGAAGGCACACTTGGCACAGTGTTTGCCCCAGTAGGCACCTTTCCGGCCGCATTGGTCCCCTCCACTGTAGACTCAAGTCCTCCCTTAGCAAAGCCGGCTTCCATTGCAGCTGCAGTCCGTTGTGATGCAGGCTCCTTCATCATTTGTGCACCAGAACCCGGCACGCCGCCAGTGGCAGGGGTCCCACTGCCAGGACCGAATCCCAGCCCAGCTCCACCAACCTGGATTCATCGAAACAGATAACGAGCATTCAGCCCACATCATTATTGCGTGCAGCACCGTTTGGCTGGACAGAGTTTCAACGGGCCCAAATCATGGAATACCTGAGATCTGCCGCGGCCTCGCCCGCCTCGTCCACAGCCGGCAGTTCTGTGTCCTGCCTTGCGAAAGTGCCCGTCCTTGGCTGCTAGATCCATCAGCGCTTTGGGCACCTGCTGATTAGCTGCTGCCAGGCTGTTGACCAGCTCACCTGCCGCGGTAGGCCCACAATCATCATTTGGGCTCATGTTGCGCAGCCCTTCGTGCGTGCGACTGAAAGGAGGCCATAAGCCTGGATTGGGTGGGTTCTGCATACCTGCAAATCGAGCCTCCCGCGGAGTCACGAGCGTGTAGGCGACGCCGTCTTTGTCACCAGCGCGGCCAGTGCGCCCGACGCGGTGGACGTGCGTGTCAATGTCCTTGGCTGCGTCTATGTTGACCACGGTCTTGATGGACTTGATGTCCAGGCCGCGCGCTGCCACATCCGTGGCCACCAAGGCATGGTGCTTGCCAGCCTTGAAATCGTGCAGCACCTGCATGCGCGTGTGCTGGTCCATGTCCCCATGGATTGCCGCTGCCCTGATCACAGCAACCCGCAGCCTGTCAGCTGATGTGACCTTCTTCATCAGCACAGATGCAGAGGCCTTTCCAGCTGTGCCAATAATCTAATGGCTGAGGTGTTTCATCTGACAAATATATGCTACAGAGCCCGACAGAGCGCACTTGAGCCCAGCTGCCTGAAGCTGTCCAGAGATCTCCTCCGCCCGAACTTTTGTGGACACAAATACCAGGACATCACCCTGATCAATGAAGCTTTGCACATTGGCCTGGAGCCATGTCCATTTAGCAGAGTCATCCAGCACCTCTGCAACCTGCGCCCATGCCAAAAAGGGGTTTGTGGAGAGCTCCAAAATACCAAGCAGACAATAACGTGAAGGGTAGACAAAGCAAGGCAAGTGTAAAACCAAAACACCTGCAGAGTGTGGGGACTTTGTGCACCTGCGAGATGTCGTCATTGGCGGCCCCAATCTCACCGACAGTGACGCGCACTGGCGATGTCAGCGCATCCTGTACCAGCCGATCTATCTTATTGGGCAGCGTTGCCGAGAACAGCAGTGTCTGCCGGTCCGGCCGCACCTGGCCAATGATTGACCGCACCTGCATGCCAGGGACATTGGTAGGCAAATTCAATGGATGAATGATAACTGTGTATCAGATGGAGGTTTTTGGCCAATATGAGGCGGCTCTCAAACAGGCAGAAGAGCCGCAAGGGCACGCCCCTACCTGGGGCTCAAAGCCCATGTCAAACATGCGGTCTGCCTCGTCGAACACGAGGTAGGTCACACGTGTGCACATGCATGCCTTCATCTTGATCAAGTCAATCATGCGCCCAGGTGTACAGACTGCCACCTGCATTGCACGACAGCACAGGAGCTTTCTCTTTTAGTTGCACAACAGAGCTATTGCATCTCTTCCGCGACGCTATAATCCTTTAATTCAGAGCCAAGAGGCGAAAAAGCAACTCCTATTCGAGTTTACCTCTGCGCCCGCCTTCAAGTCCTTGAATTGGTCGTACTTGGAAAGCCCACCGAAGGCAGCACAGACGCGCAGGTTGTAGGGCTTGCTGAAACGCCGGGTCTCCTTATGGATCTGCTCAGACAGCTCGCGAGTTGGCGCCACAATTATGCCAATGGGCCCTTCTCCTTTCTCCAGCTCAGGCTGGTCCATGATGTGCACAAGCATGGGTAGGACAAAGGCTGCCGTCTTGCCTGACCCAGTCTTTGCGATACCCTGAGACCAGCACCGCTTCATTCATGTGCATGCCCTTAGGACATGTGTCAATTAGCCGAAGAGGATCAAGACATGATTTGCCAGGCATGATCATGTAGGTTCGCACCAGGATGTCCCTGCCAGCCAAGGCAGCTGGAAGGGCTTGCGCCTGAATGGGAGTCGGCTTTTGATACCTATCACAGACACGGCAAGCTTGATTTGGGCACGTCACAGTTGCAAAGTAGGCGGTCACTCTAACCCAGTACACGAGGCCGTGCATCACACGGCAGCGCAGACATTCCTCAACATCAAGATTTACTCACCCTGCCTTTTTGATCACACCCATCAGCATTCCATCAAAGCCGCACTGCTCAAATGTCTGCACTGGCTTTGGAGCGTCAAAACCAGACACGCGGATGCCCACCCTGGCCCGTAGAGCAGTCACCTGGCACCCCAGTCTTTCAAGCAGCCCTTGCACAAATCTCCTTTGAAACGCAAGGCATCTCCGCATTGATGCAAACATGGCTGGACTTGATGCCGCACCTCCGCATGCGTCATTGCTGTCATGGCTGGATGCTCATCGTAGAAAACTTTGGCGAAGTCTTCATACTCGACAGTGGCATGATCCAAGGGAGGCAGCGGCTCAATCTTTTTTTTGTCAAGGGGAGCGCCGCTGTCCGAGTCGCCATATTCTGCATCATCCACGGCTCTGGCTGTTGCGTATACCTCCTCGTCAGAACCGTACCCAGAAGCAGCCGCCATAGCATCAGCTGCTGCCGCCGTTGCGGCTGTCTGTTTTCGTGCCTGTTCTTCAACAAATCCCAGATCATGGGTGCCGCCAAATAAGCAAAGCACCAGTACCCTTCCGGGAATTAAATGTCATGGTCACCTGCAGGAAGTCTGCCACGTTGTCATCCTCGTCCAGCTCAATGCCTGGCTTGGGCTTCCGTCCCGAGGGCTTGTCATCTTTGACCTGCTGGTCGATGCCCATCATGTACAGATCCAGCGGATCGTCCTCATCCACATTGGCTGCCTGTGCGGAGGTCAAGGAATTAGGTGTAGTCCTCCGGCCTTGAGGCACGCATGCTACAGGGAAAGGGGCCTCACCTGCTCTTCAGGCTTCTGTGCTGGTCCAGTAGTGAACTCACACTCCTGTGCTTTGAGAACCTGCAACAGTCCATTGATGCAATCACTTACGCGCCCGTTATGGTGGCGGCAATGGACCACAAGATGTTCATGTCCCAACGAGGTAGGTACCAGGCTGTCGAAGGTGGTGTTGGCATCAAAGTCCTCGCCTCTCTGCTCCAAAAACGTCTGCACCCCACCATGCATGGTCAGTTGTATTTATCAGTAGGAGATCCAACATTCCAGGGCTATGGTTTGGAGTCTTGCTTTCACGTCCGACACACCTTGATCTGATTCTCTGTCCAGGTCGTGAAGTCCGTCTGGCGCTGAGTATGTCCCTGTTCAGGAAACACACAACGCCTGACATCTACAGTTTCCATCACAAAGGCAGCCAAGACCCGGTGCTCGGAATTGGTCTACCAAAAAAGCGCACCTCCACATCATCGAAGCCCGCCGGAGCTTCAAACACTGCTGGTTGACTGCGTTCAAAGCCAGGAGTAACGTCTGACACATTATGTCTCTTCAGTTCAACCTCAGGGACAACAGAATGATACGGGAAGTGCCGCTTCTGGCCATTCATGCTTGATGATATATACGAAACTGTGTGGAAGATATATGTCCTTTGGGAATGATTGGCATGCCACTGAGATATCCTTCGATCATGAAAAAAGCACTTGATTGTTGTGTTACTATCGATTGTCGCCACAGTGCTATTTTGTGGGGCTTCTGGTCCTAGGTTATTTGGATTAGTCACCTTTTTCTGTAACCAAAGTCCATCTCCATCTCCCATTTACTTCTTGTTGTCGATGCCAATACCTTGTCTGTGATCAGGACACTGCATATGTCAGCATTCACAAGGTCATGAGCTCGTTTGTGAATAGATCCAAAAATTTGCATCACCGCAGATCAGGACTTGTTGTACCCTTTGAGCGCCAGGCTTGCACGTAAACACCTCCAATAGTTCCACATGAATGGGCATTCGGAAAATGGCGAAGTACCGTCTGGCGAGGACTGGCAGCGAGAGTGGTTCAATGCCCTGCCTGAGCTGGAGGACTTGGCCAGGTGATCCACGCAGACGTTCGGTGTTGCTGGCCATGCATCACCAGTGAACTTCACAATTACGTGAGCTGCAATCACGGTGGCAGCATGCCTTTCTTCTGCAGACCCACTCACTGCTGGCCCACTTGTGAACAGGAGAAGGAAAGGAGTTAGAGAGGTTGCCGTTATGCGTGCAAGCCAGCTGGATGCCGCACGGCTGGACAGCGAGCTCACTGCCATGTTGAGAGAGCAATTCATGCGCATCTTCTCCCTCTGTCAGCCGGTGAGCTCACCACTGCATATCTGCTCACGAGAGGAAATGGAACACTGTATGCCAAACAGACACACATGCTCGTCACCGCTGACCTTGCACTTAATCCTTCACTGTGCATGCAGAGACTGATAACAGCGTTGCAGCCGGAGCTGACACTGTTTCTGGATATTCTGGTGCGTTTCCTAGACATGACAGATCAAACAACCGGCACGATCTTATCTTGCCTGCTCTTGCCTGAATCACACATGGTAATCGGTGTGAAAAGTGAGTGCCTCTTGCAGATATTTCGCTTTACAGTATGGTCTGGCAGACCAACTCCCGGGAGCGCCCTCATGAACCTGCGGTACAGGAATGAGAGGCAAGCAAGCAGCCCTGCACAGCCTGCTGGCCAACGGGGAGGATCAGGGACAGCACAGCCACTGTTGTCACAGGTGAGCAGCGCTTGCTGACACATCCACAGTTGATGTGTTCAATATGATGATGTAAGAAAATGGCTTTTGTTGAGGAGCCACACGCTTGTTCTGTTTGGAAACATAGAGCATCCATGACGTCTTTGTACACACATTTGCAGGGCCGCTCAGGGCTGGAAGGTGCAGGGCTGAATCGCATGCAGAGGACAACGTATGGTCTGGGAGTAGTGGTTCTGCGATACATCTGGGCCAGGACAGATCAGCTGGCGGCCACACAACATTGGGGTGATCAGCCACGAGGGTCATGGGGCCGCCTCATGTGGCGGAGCATGCGCTGGGCTGAGAGTGCCTTCAAGCTGGCCTCACTGCTTAATTTCCTCCTGTTCCTGCGCTATGGGAGGTACAGGTATGGGCACTCGATCAGACAGTCGCATCACAAGTATTCTAATCATCCCCTGCTTCTTTGCTACTCCACGGTGAGCTGCAGTGGTGCTTCCCTGAGCGCAACTTCTCTTTGCTGCATAGGAGCGTGCTTGAGCGCCTGCTGGGAGCGCGGTTGGTGTACTCCAAGGGCTCCATGGCGCGTGCCCTGTCCTTCGAGTACCTCAACCGCCAATTAGTGTGGCATGAGCTGTCAGAGCTGCTGTTGTTCCTGCTGCCACTGATCAATGTGGGAAGGATCAAAGCGCTTGTCATGTCCCACCTACCTCGGATCTCCATGCCAGATTCAACCTCCGTCCTCACAGGTACTGTGCAACCTCCAAACCCACATTATTGGCATGTTCCACATCCACTGTGGTATATCTAATTGTTGGGTTCTGAGAAACTCCTGCAAATGAATAATTTGAAGATACTTTCTAATTGCAGATGGTTCATCAGGCAGCGATAGCCGCCAGCTGTGCGCCATCTGCGGAGCCTCAGAGATCCATGTGCCATATAGTGCGGTGCCGTGTGGACACAGATTCTGCTACTACTGCCTGCGCGCCCGCACTCAGTCTGATCCTAGCTACAAATGCCCGCAGTGTGGAGCAGGGATATCAGCAATGCGACGATGGCGACCAGGCCTTGCCAGCATTCCATAAAGGCTCTTGCTTTCCAATTGCAGCATCATCCTGTAGTCACTACGGTAGCGGCACCATTGCCCAACGGCAGCTGGAAGGATCTTCACAAGGATATCGTCATTATGTGGCCCTGTTCAACATATTTGCACGCTTGATCGGTCTTGCTTCAATTGGCAAGTCTAGCTAGGGGCAGATGAGCTGCAGGACTACCACAAAATGCAGCTTGTCTGCAGGTGCACCTGACATCCTCTACCGGCAGGGAAGTGATTAATGACAAGATTAACTATGTGCGAGCTTTTTTTGCTATTCATGGTTTACGCATATTACATCCTGTACTCTAATTGTATTATCAGTGAAGGTAGGACCTAGAGGTGTCATGCAGGTATTGAATTGCAGGATCTGTCAGACAGCCTTGCCGCAGCTGGTGCTGCACTTGCACCTCAAAAGTACTATTGCATCTGCCGCTATCGCTTCAGTCGAGGCAACAGATTGTGGTCTGGCAACCTGTACGATATGTATATTGGTCATCACATTCATACTAATCTTGCTATTTCTGTCCTCCAAGCAAATGTATTTTTCAGGCACCATAGGTTCCCAGCGACTTGGACAGCCATCACAGGAAATGCTGCGCCACATTGCAATGCAGACCTAGCAGACCATTGTTCTAGCCGATGATACTAGGGTTTGGGGACCCATTTTTAGCTCAGACCTGTCTGACAGCGGTTCCACATCAGTGGCCACGCTTGCGTCGGCAGGGACGATTGCTGCGTGCATGCTGTCCGCTCATAGGCTGGCGACTTTCCACCCTCAACATGTGGCTGTCAGCGGGCATGCTCAGTAACTTGCTCCGCAGGCGCGAATCCTCTCAGCAGGTGAAACTTCACAGCACGATGGTGCCACTCCTGAGTCGTCTGCACAGTGGACGTTTAGCCACATGCGCAGCCACAGCGCACAATACCCAATGCAGCTGCCCACCTGAAGCCATCTCTCTCCTTACTGTCGGTACTTGGCATGCCCTTGAAATGGCATTCCGTTTGAACTAGGCTCTTGCTTGGCACGCTAGCCTGTCGCATATTTTACAATACAAGCGCAAGAGATACGCTGGAAAACCTCACTGTGTAGTGGCTCGCAGAGAATAGTGCACAACGTAGAGGAAGCGCGAATATGCTGGTACATGACTGGTGCTGGCTCCCCGGAAGGAAGCCTGATGGGCTGGAAAATCGCTGCTGGAGCCTGGCATGCGCGGCCATCGGCTGCGCCGCATGCACTCATTTTGAACACTCATGCCTCCTGCCTAACCCCACCTGTGCAGTCGGTGGGTGTGCTGCTCTCGAGTTCTTATCGTGTCTCACCTTCATACCCAGTCAGCCGGATCGGCGTGCTGATGCATCATAATGTTTCACAATTCCAGCAGTTTTAGGCCTAGCTTTGATACTGTGGGTTCCCTTCCCGCCCCTTTTTAGTGGTGTCGGGTCCGAACGTGATCCTTATTTCTCGACTGGCAACCAAGCCTCCATGTACAGCTTTGCCTTCCATGATTGTTCCGTTATTGGTTGCCTGCAGTGCACGTGATTGCTTGCCTGTGATTGTTGCCTGATTGTTGCTTGCCTGCTTTGCTGTGCCCCCTGCCTCCAGATGCAATGCCTTAGGCTTGCCCCGTGGGTCCTCCAACGTCACCCGAGGGGTGTTGCGTTGCCGGCGGGCTGGAGTGCGCCTTGGGGGTTGAGGTCACCCCCTGGTGCTTGGGACATGGTGATTGCTAGGTCTTGCCTGTCAGCGGTTTGCCTTCATGATTGCGCTTCTCTTTAGGTGTCGCACTATCCTCCTGCGGGAGTGCTTTGCGAACCACCCATCAGACAGGTTTCCTAGCTATTCTTATGCATGTGTTATGGAAAGCGTGCGACCAACATGCGTGTGTAATGATCTCAGGGTTCTCAGCTGCAGGCTGTAGAATCACAGTTCAGATTATGTCCCGTTTGAATTCGTATTTTGGCCTCTGCCTAAATAGCTCCGGGTAGGGAGGGACGCTGTTGCAGACAGACGTTGTGTTGTCTTAGGCCGTTTGTGCTAGCAGAGCTTCAACTGTGCAGCGCTCTCTGAGCACAGGCCGAAGCTTTGAACTCGCTAAGGTCTGTAACAGTTCCAAGGCTCTCTTCTGCCTCTAGTTCGCTACTATGGCGGACGAGCTTGCTCCAAACTGTGTGCGCTGCCCGGAATCCTATGTTGTCACTGTTGGATTCGATCGGTATCGTTATGCATTAAGGGACATTGAACCTTAAATACATATATATATATATATATGGGGAGCAGTCCACCTTCTGGTTCCACCACCTGGCCAGGGAGCGACAGGGCCGCACGGAGCTGCAGGCGCTTAGGACAGGATCAGCACCCGACAGCCCGCGGGTGGTGCTGGACCACCCAGCAGGGCGAGACCAGGGCGGCGACTTGCTGCAAGCCTACTACAAAGGAGAGTCAGCCAACGGCCTCTTCGCTGCGCAGCCGGTCTCGCATGCGGCGCAGGGTGAGCTGCTTCAGGCACTGGACAGGCGGCTTTCCCCAGAGGCAGCGGCAGCAGGAGAGGGGGATCTCGGTGATGGCAGCGTTTCGCTCGCGGAGTTGGAAGCCGCTGCCAAGAGCGTGCCGCGCGGCAAAGCGCCTGGGCTGGATGGCATCCCGTACGAGTTCTACCTTTTTTTTTTTTTTTTTTTTTTTTAAAAGGGGAAGCCCCCGCTATTACACAGGTGCCAGTCGCACGCTTCCCAGCACGCATGCAATAGGATATTTGGGGAAACCTGTCAGAGTTGGGGCACGCAGAGCACTCCCGCAGGAGGATAATGCGATACTGAAGAGAAGCGCAAGCATGAAGGCATACCACAGAAAGGCAACAGAAAGGCTCCTAGCGATGGACATGTCCCAAGCACCAGAGGGTAACCTCATCCCCAGAGGCGCACTCCAGCCCGCCGGCAACGCAACACCGCTGAGGTGACGTTGGAGGACCCACGGGGCAAGCCTAGGGCTTGCAGCTGGAGGCAGGGGTCACAGCAAAGCAGGCAATCATCAATCACTGGCAGGCAATTATGGATGTGCGGGCAACCAGTGGTGGAACAGACATGAAAGGCACGTTTATACGGTTGGCCGACAGGGATGGAACAGGATCGCGTTCGGACCCATTACCACTAGGTGCCGCTCGGGGCTGGCAATGTGACCCTAAACTATGCCTCAATCTGCCAGCAAGGTGGGGCACAAGCAAACGGTGGCATATGGGAGATATGAAGCCGCAAATGAGGCGAAAAACAGGTAGGCTGGCGAGAACTCGACCAGATACACACACCCACCACATTGGAGGCGGGGATAGGCAGGAGGCATCATGTCCAAGGTCCTAGACACCCGCTCAGGTTCAAGGGTGGATACTGGGGTTGGAAACCCTAAACCCTTCAGATAGCCTTCAATGAACTACTGTGAATGGTGAGGAGGACAGACACTAAGGCAGAAGGCCACGGATGACAGGCCAAGGGGATTGTTGGGGCTGCTGGTGAGACAGAAACATCGGAGGATCACTGGAAAACTATTGATAGCCTAAAGCCCTGGGCAGGGTGGTCTTCTGTAAGCTTGCGCCAATGCTCTGGCTCTCCGGCACGGTACTCCACAGGTAGCGGGGCGCACGATGGATCCGTCTGGCCGAGGGATACCCAAGGGGTGAGCCGCGCAAACACGTCCGGTGGTGGGCGAGGCCACCGGCACTGGGTGGCGAGGCCAGTGCCCCAGGGGTGAAGGAGGCACCCCCGGGGCCGTGTTGGGCCGAGCTCGACAGGTCCCTCGACCAGTGGAAGCACGTGACTCGGAGCCCCATTCCGCGCTGGCAAAGGTTAGAGGTAGGAGAGGCGCAAAGCTTCTGGTAGGCAATCTGTGGTCCCAGGGCTCTAAGGCAAAAGGGGTCTCAGACAAGGAACGACAGGCCGGGCTTTGCCGGGGTGGGATCGGGAAAGGTTAGTCATCCGTGCCAGACTATGGTATGACGAAGGCTCTTAGCGCCCATGTGCCCAGAGCACCTATCGCAAAGGCCCCCCTAAGAGAGGGTGTGAGTTCAACACAAGAATCGACACGAGCGGGTGTCATGGCAGAAGGCCAAATGAGAGCATGGTCATACAGATAGCCAAGTTAGAGCCGTGGCCGGCTGGGTACAGTGAATGGTGGATCGGAAGCGTCACGCTGGAAGCGGCACGGGATGCTGGGCACTCCAGTGGATGACTGGTTGCGCGCCCGGCAGCTCCTCCAGCGCGCAGAGGACCGCGCGGTGGCACCATCGCGCCGCAAACTGCTCCCTGGTGATCATCGGGTCGCGTCCGCGAAGCCAGTCGCTGAGCACACCTGCTGTCTGCCGGACGTTGACGGTCGCGAGCCGCCAATCGGCAAGCAGGGCCTTCTTGCAGGAAGACAGGATGCGAGCCGCAACCGCTCCGGGGGTGATCGCCGCCGCATCTGGCTGGTGGCGGCCGCGCTGATATGCTGCCCACAGCTGACAGATTGTAGCGAGCCGCAGGCGATCCCAGAGCTGCCTGAGCTGCCGCGGCGGTCCCCAGATCCTGGTGTCATCGGCGAGAAGAAGGTCGGCGCTGCGCGGTGGCGCGTCGTCTCCGGTCACCGCGGCCCATGTCGCTGCGAACCAGTCCCACACCCCGGCGGCGAGAGGGCAGATGATGAAGACATGGGTGAGTGTGGCCAGCTGACCTGCACAGCTCGGATGCGGGCAAACGTGACCGGCGGGATCGGCGCGGTGGACGTGACGCGCGAAGCCGCCGACGAAGAGCTGGCCATGCAGCAGCCTCCACGCTGTCACGCGCTGCCGCCGGTCCAGATGGGAAGCGTGCACCACTTGCCACACATGAGCCCAAGGTGCTGATGGGTCTGCTGTGACAGCAGCAGCAGGATCAACAATGACATCTGCTCCCTGTGGCACTGGTGAAGGGCCCGCTGGCGCGCCCGCAGGCCCGCCGCGGTCCCGCAGCGGAACCGGACGTGGT